TGTTGTGTCTGCTGAACAGGCTGGTTCTGCTGGGTAGCTTGTGTCTGTTGAGTTTGCTGAGTTTGCTGAGTCTGCTGAGTCTGCTGAGTCTGTTGGCTCTGCTGAACAGGTTGTGTCTGTTGTTGTGCGGGCTGTGTTTGCTGTAGGTTAGTGGTACCAGCGTGCCGTCGTACCTTTCCCGATCTCCTCCACAGGCCATGATCATTGCTATCGACATGGTCGTCGGTCTCGAAAGGTCGGATTTCGGGGTACTCATCCGTCACAAGATTTTCAACGGGCTGAGCACCATAGCCTACTGCTTTTGGTGCTGCATCGACGGAACGAATCAAAGAGCCCAGGCCAACAAGGGCGACAACAAGGAAGAGAATGCGGAACATCATGATGAAGAAGGCCTGGTAGCGAAAGGAAGCACGTGAAGCAAGAAACCCTGGTAAGAGTCGGAAGAAGAAGACAGCAGGCTAACCGACATAGATATCAATCCTACCGAGAGCGAGTGAACAAATATCACTTTCCGCCTGCCTTGCTAGTGCCCTCTCAATCATTGTCCTCCATGACATGAAGCATGGGAACCAAGCCAGCGTATCCCGCATGGATGACATGACCTGGAGACCCATCGCGCTCTCTAGAGCAGCGGCTCTGCTTTGAAGAATGGGACTGACAAGACAAGCACGGACGGGAGACATGGTTTCGCGGTCCGGTAAAGCTGCGTAACGAGCGTAAGAATGCTAAAGCTCAATAGTCTGATGCGAGGTGTGCTGGTCCAGACGGAGCCACTTGAAGATGTGGAATCGAGAGACCAACTACGCCGGGGACGGCCGGGGTGCGAGAGCATTCCCATGAACCAGCTTCCATTCCAAGGAAAACTAAGCGATGAGGTGTTGCCGCAAAGGTCTGAGCCGCACCCTCGATGGAGAAGAAAGGCGATTTGATCCACCCAGCCCGTGTTGGAGGAGGATCAGGCGAAGAGCAAGGCTGATGAAGGAACTAACCCAAGCTCCTCCTACAGCTGGATGTTCCTGAGACGGGTCGACGACCTTCATACAGAGCGAGCCAGAAGAACGCCACCAGTGCCGCCGCGCGGGAGAGGCTTTGAGAGCCACGTAAAGACATCCCTGCCCATGTGAATCTCCGCTTGCCGAGGTTGCAGCGGATAGTGCCAACATGGGCCAAACTAAACTCTCTGAACCCAAGCCGCGACATCTTACCTTGACAATAATGAAGACCCAACTTCCTATTTGCATGAATCAGCCCCACGGTGTTGCTGATTTCCTGTCGAAACTCCAAATCCACCCATGGGATCGGCGGCAGCGAGCGGGTTGCTGCTCTGCCATTGTCTTCTCGGCGATTAGATCTGATCGCCAAGCTCCATGGGATTCTTGCAATGCGAAAGAAAAAAAAAAAAGACCCAATCCACTTGTCCAAGTGGCCCCGAACCGCATTGCGTGGCTTGGTCGATCAAGGGGGAACCTCCGTAGCAGTTTGCCCGGTTCGCACCATGACCGGGGCCCATAAGGTGCCATATCTGCTTCCGAGTGAATAATGACAGTATTTGCGAGCAAAGAACGCGAGGATACCATGACAGCATTTGTTCCCAAGTGCGGACGACTGCTGGCTCGGAGCTACATTGTAGCTCGAAGAGAGGCGGGGCTGCGGCCTTTTCCAGGTGGATCGCCAGCCTTACGCCCTTACATGAAGTTCGGACAGGGGTGTGGATGCTCGAGGCATTGAGGCGTCTTCCAGGGACGTGGCTTAGAGTGCGGAATGCTCGGCCAGGAACAGAGCTGAGACGGAGGAGGATTGCATGGAGGACTCGGAGGTGTAGGCGCAGGTGGTGTGTGTTGTGAAAATGGCACGTCCGCGCGACCAGGCCGGGCTTTGCCCCAAACGGAGTAGCGCCAAGCACGTGACACGGCTGTAAACCCTAAATGCACGACTGGCGACGAACCGACCTCAAGCCTGAAGTTCCGGTCAGACGCAGCTGAGCTCCATCCACCTCCATCCACCTCCATCCACCTTCGTCTCCATTATTTTTGTCCGCCTCCGTCCACTTCCATCCATCCCTCTAGACTTGCTCCGAGCTGGTCCCTCCAGGTGCACGTCCCTCTTGGCTCGCGCGATCCATGGTTTCGGTACATTGCCCAAAGCTTTTGCTTCCGTACTCCTTCCAGCTTCTTCCTCTTGTGGGCAAAGCTTGCACTAGATGCGCTGGGGCCCTCCCATATCTCTGGAATCCGACCCGAGATAGACCCCCAAGCTGAATGCCCACTCGCGCACCAGATCTGAAAATGCGGATGCTAGGTGGACTGGGTGTACTACTCCGAAAAGTGGCCGATCTACGATGATGAAACCATGAATCCCGCTAGACGAATGCCCGGCCGAACTTGAGTTCTCCTGTCCCGCGCCTCTCCTCCCAATGTGTGCCTAGGTGAGTTCACGCGAAAGATGGACAGGGCCTCTTGCCAAATACGGACCATAGCTGTGCCGTGGTTACATTCTGCAGTATGACAGACGACTTTTGGCCTGTTGCAATTGCCTGGGTATCTACCACAAGCCGATTATCTTCGATCCTCAGTAAAAGCGCCTTCGTTCCCACGCATAAAGTCGCAGCATGACTTCATACAGCAATGCCCTGATGCAAAGATCCACAGGCAAATGTGCTTTGGCCGGTTGCCACGTTTTTGTCATATTGTCTGTGCAGCAACCAGGCTGCTGGAACCGTCAGTGCAGGAACTGTCTCTGTCATGCTGCCTTTTCAGTGGCCAGCGGATCTCACCGGATCCAGAGAGGAAACTCCCATTCGGTGGCCTTCCTGAAGAACAGAATACTAAAGTGAGACCCTGGTCAAGCCACACGCCCACGCCGGACTGTCTTGTCAATTTCAAAATACCGCACCAGATCTGCGTCACTGAGAATCATCTGTCCAATGATATTGAGATGCCACTAGACACTTTTGATTGTGAAATGGTTAAGCTGCCTATTTTTGAGCCTATCACGACACAGCAAACTGAAAAAATCACACCGGGGTGCATCCTGTACGTCACCTCGGAGTGCGGTACGTACAATGTACAGTACGATGACTGTGGGAAGATCCGTGATTCCTGCAAAGCACCGCGTTGACGATATGTCATAGTATTAGGATGCTACCTCATCTGTACGATTGACTAAATCACACGCCTTTGGTAAGTTGAGGCTGTCTGGTCGGGAGCGTCCTCTGTTACAAGAGTGCACTGGAAAATCCTCAGGACTGGTGATCAATGGGTCCAGAAATGATGGGGTTATCCCAAAAACCAGAAACCAAAAGCCTGGGTAGCAGCAGGTCTTACGGACGCATTTCGATCGACGTGTATATCCACGCGAAAAGTCGATGCCGAATGCCAGGAACAGGTACGGCTTTATCTCCGCTCCCCATTCAGTTTTGCTCAATCGGGAAGAGGTGGTCATTGCTTTTCAATAGTTTGGCCGCACTGACCATCTCGCGTGTCCGGCGGGTTGGTTGTGTGAGAGAAAAGTTCCCGTGTCGCACGGACCCTCCGACCCGCGGCGACGGTCTGCGTGTGCTGATTGAAAACTGCAATGTCACAGGTCTTGCAGGCTGCATTCGTGGAATTGTGCAATACCACGGACATCATTTGAGGTGCAAACGGGCGTTTCCTACTGTGGTTCCATGGGTTGTTGTCACAGAATACTTGTCAGACGTCGAGCGTCGATCGTCGGTTCTCTTCCGACAGCCATGTCGCTCACTGCGGATTCTTCGTGTCCAAGATCCGCCAATGACTGCGTGAAGATCGGCCGAACATTCATTCCCACAGCTTTTATGATACAATATGTGAGTCGCGACATGCTTACGCAACTCGGTGTAGATGCATGGCTAAGTTCCCCATTGGCAACTTTCTTCCCGGAAGCTTGCACGAGGGTTCTGGGCCGCTTCGTTTAGCTCGTGCTGTGCCGGCTGGTCATCTTTTTCAATCAACAATATGGGTCTTTACCGCTTGCACATCCCTGCTGCTGCCCCCAAGGGTCCTTGGCGCGACACGGTACTTTTCGACAGTGGAAAGATACTCATTGGTAACACCAATACGACGGTACAAGAGCCTCATTCATTCAGGTCGTGGCGCCCTCCATCTGCTGGTGGTGTACCAAAGGATGCTTCGGCAAGCCTGGTGGAGCTGGCCATACCAACTAAACTCAGTTCCAAAAGTTCAGTTCCAAGTCCAGCCCCGTCCATGGCATGGCCTTTTGTGCCGTGGCATACCCTTGTCATCCGGAGCCCATTCGTGGAATGTCTCAGCCCGGTCTCATGGTAAGCGAGAAAACTATCGAAGTCAGCGGCGTTGAGACTTCCCGCTCTCGGAGTCAGTTCATATGACAGACGAGATTACGGACGTTACGAAGGGTCACAACGGCGGGGACTCAGCCTCTTGAACAGTGACGGCCTTGACTGATACAGGTAAGCCGCCGTTTGTCTTTGCTGGGGCATGCTGTTGAATTTTGTCACCGGGAGCCTACAGCTGCTTTCGTCTTAAACAGTGATTGTTATTATCTGGATCCCAAGATGCTTGCCTTTTAAGAAGTCCATACAACTACGACGCTGTGGCTGTTGGCAAGAAGCCCGCATTTTCGTTGTGGACGCAGAATGGAGAAGTCAGCATCCTTCTCCACTGAGAAACAGGGCAGTCCCGGGCCTAACCCTGGCGGTCGCACCACAGAAAAAGGATCTCTGGATGGAAAGACCATTAAATGGATAATTGTCAACGTCGCCGCGACTGTGGGAATCGTACGTATGGCAGACGTCGCGATGCCATTGCAGGACTGACTAGATACCTTGATATCTCCAGGTCTACATCAACAAATCCATCTTCTCCAACCCATCCTTCCGTCAATGCCAGCTCAGTTTCGTGGCATTCCACTTTGCCATCACTTGGATCACGCTTTATCTGGCTTCTCGACCGGCAGTGGGCGCTTTCACTCCGGTGAAGACGAGCCTGATGGCCATTCTCCCGCTGACGATCGCCATGGGCGGTAATGTGGTACTGCAGAACCTTTCGCTGGCCCACTCGTCGGTGGTTTTCTACCAGATTGTGCGGATTCTACTCACTCCACTGACGGCGCTGATGAATCTTTTCATCTATGGGTCGCGCATCCCAGCCCTGGCAGGCCTGGCTCTGGTGCCCGCCTGTCTAGGGGTCGGGGTCGTCTCGTACCTTGAGGCCGTGACAAAGCAACACGCCGTCTCGGCCTCTGGAACAACACTGTCGGCCACAACCATGGTTGGTGTCGTCTTCGGCTTTGCCGGCGTCGCCATCTCCGCACTCTACACTGTATGGGTCTCGGCGTACTATCGCAAGCTCAAAATGAGCAGTGTTCAGCTCCTCCTCAACCAGATGCCTCTTGGTGGCCTCATGCTCGTTGTGGCCAGCTACTTCACCGATACGTATCCGGTGTGGAGTCAGGTTACCAACCGGCAGTGGCTTATGATTTCGGCTGTAAGCATGCCTGCCCATGCCCCTATCCTTCCCCCCTGTGACCCGCTCGCTCCTCCGATCTTCTTTTTCCGCTGCTCAAGATTTCCTTTCCTATCCTTTTCGCAGATATCTTCCTCTCCAGATCCACAGAAAGAAGCCCACTGACGTACCATCATCCACAAAATGCACTTTTGGGCTTAAAGGTCAAACAAGTGGGTTGGTTGAATGCAACAAATGCTGACGTGCATACCTCCCTAGAGCGGGATCTGCGCCATGCTCATCAACGTCTCCCAATTCTACATCATCACGCATGCCGGTCCTGTCAGCAGCACTGTTGTCGGCCACCTGAAGACCGTCATGGTCATCGGTCTAGGCTGGGTCGTCAAGCATGAAATGGTTGGGGCTGAAAGCGCGCTCGGCGTCTCCCTTGCGGTGCTGGGGATTATCGGGTGAGTTTCAACTTTCTGTTTGTTCTGTTACTGCACCTCTGACCCAACCCCCTCTGTCGCTTTCAAAAGTTTCACCTGGGCTTCTACCTGTGGCTCTGGCTCTGGGCCCGGCTCGGATCGTTGTAGGTGTGGAACATAACATCCACATTTGTTTGACTTGGGCCACTTGGCGTCTGTCGGTCGATTTTCTGTGCGGGGATATGGTCCGCCTGCATGACATGGCCTTGGGCTGAGCTGACCCAATCTGACTGTGTTTACTCTAGTTACTCGTATGCTTTGTATCTGGAGCAGAGCAGGATACAATTACCCAAGTAAGGGAAAGACATACTGTAAGACAGCCTCGAGTAAAGGGGGCAGAAGAACTCGCGGGAAGGGCCGGGCAGAACAGAACCTGCTTGTATGTTATAGTTACAGTTACAGTTGCCTGACAGGAAGTGGGCACCCGAAGGCATAAAGCGGAGCCTGTCCTGCATACCATGCCCCAAACGAGTCACCACATGCTGCCTGCTATGTACTTATGTACCACAATATATATGGAATACAGAGGCAGTCAGTCGTCATGTTGATCCTCATAAAGTCTTCCACCGGATTTCCCGGTGAGCAAATTGAATGCTACACGTAGCCAGCCTATAGTTTATTCAAAAAGGTTCAGAAAATATTCAGATCGAATTCCAATCTCTCGTACAAATGTCATGAATATATACATTAATCTTCAACACTAGTACCACTCATAATGGACCTGACAATCCTCGTACTTGCAAGAACAAAGATCCGACTGTTTCCCACACGTCTGCGAAGAGACATTAATCAGGCGATATTCCGGAAACTCAGACACTGATGCCTGGCCACTGCCATCATCGGCTTGGTCATCGTGTCTGACATGTTTCAAGTCAGAAACCGCTGCCAGATCGAGGTCCTCGAGGGTCCCAGCACCCGCACCAACAGTGCCAGAACCAGACACAGAACTCGAACTCGAATCCGAACCAGAACCAGAATCAGCTGCGCTTTTCGTCCCCGTCCCTTCAACCCTCTCCAGCCCCGCGACCTGCGGCAAAGCATCTTTTCGCCCCCCAACTTCAGCCATCCACCCATACTTCCTCCTTACAATCTCCGAAAGCACAGCATGCGTCTTATACTGATGAACAGCAACTTGAACCTGCCCCCTCTCATTAAGAATTTCTCCCCACTCATTAAACGTCACCATGGGCGTTGTTCCAACACTTCCAAAGAGCGCTTCTTCATTAGGCACCAATGACACCCTCCCATACCCATTAGATTCCAAATCATACTCTAACAGACCAGAGTAGAAAATGTGGATATGCATCGCCTGGTCGTTACATTTGTAACCAGACCGACGAAGTTGACTTGCCATTGTGGTCATGTAAACAGTAATTGCTCTGGCTGTGCCGTACACGGAGCCCGCGCAGATGCGGTCGCGGGACATGTATGTCGCGGACGCTTTGGGGCTGATATACCCTCCACTTCCAGTTTCGGTGCTGGCGCACTGTTCGAACCATGCTTTGTGGACTGAGCATTGGCCGATTTTCAAACCGCGCCATTCTGCAAAGTAGAGAATCTCGATGCCAGAAGACATGGGCATGGCGAACGGATTGCGCTGAAAGACCACGTCCAAGTCACACGCTAGTATCTTGTCGTATTTATTGGAAATGTTATTCTTGGTCAGGAGATCCGCCCAGCCTTGAAATCGGCGAAGAACGACTGCCACATCTGCGATTTCGGGTAACGCGCCCACGAATTCTAGCGACGGATATCGCTGTGCAAGAGCCTGGAATGCCGAGGGAAGCTCTTGTAAGAGAGATTGGGGGACAATGATTTTGACTTCCACGGGTGCCGGGGGACAGGACCATGATGACTTGGGTAAGTTGGCTTTGCGCAGCGCAGAGAGAGATTCTTGGGCGAGTGCTAGTTCGAGCGATTGCATGAATATGAAGATTTGGTCTTGCCATCTGGAGCCGTCAATGGCGCTGATGATCAGGTTTGGTTTCTGTTGTTGACACTGCACGACGGTAGTGGTGTTGCCGTCGTCGGGTCCTCTTCTGTATGATGTTGCTGCTTCGGCAAAATTCTGCCATAGGTCGGCTGAGTCTAGGCTGGTTGGGACAACAGGGCCATGCTGGAACAAGTAGACGAGAGAAGAGCCGAGAATGATGAGTCCGACTATGGACACCAGCCTTGAAACTGATCTCATGATGGTTGGGTGTGATGGATGTTGTTGCACTTCACATCAATCACAGTAAACCAGGGTCAGAATCAGGGCCACGAGGTGTGAGATAACATTGTACAACTATGAGGTTTGTCCGATGGGATCCTCCGCAAGGCTGGCGGGGGACGGGGGCGGCAGCCTCGCCCAAAAAGTGGAGCCGGCCGTATCGGGACTCGTTACCGATTTAGGTTCTGGTTCATGTTTTGTTTCAATGTCATTACAAACAACGCACAGACCACGATCTTGACGTGAAAAGATCCCAAACTTGAGAGAGTTCCGCGGTCCACCAGCCTCAATTTAGTCTTCGGAGACTACTATTCTTTAGTAAATACCACCCTTTGAGGGCCCTCGAGGGCGGGTGCCCTGCCATGCCGTGTCATGCCGTGCCACGAGAATATTCTCGCGCTGATCGTCCGTACCTGACGCCAAACTGGGCCGTGTGCCCCCAATCGTGTTTCCTTTTTCACGGATTCTCGCTTATCAATGCCATTCTGGTTCTTGTGCGCTAGGAGTCGGGACATATGGACTGGACATATTCGGACCTGCGTGCGGGTCCACGATCACCGGTCCACTGTCCAACCCATACCGCTGCACGATTCCCGTGGTGGTCTTTTCAGCCCATCGTCAAGTCACTGCGGCTCTGTGAAGTCAGAGGCTGAGCTGAGCGGCACACTGCGGTGGACATAGACTGCAGTGGAGTTTTTTTTTTCTCAAAACTCAACTTGCATTCTTGTGGTGCTCGGAAGCGAGCCGCGTCGGAGAGGCATCGAAGAGTCGGGGGATAGTCGGGGACGGAAAGCAATGCAACTGCCGGAACCCAAGGACTGAAGCCCAAGAGTGTTCGCGGTAGAGCAAGCTGAAGCTGAAGCTATGTCTGGAGCGGCTGCATGGGGGAGAGACCAGAGAACAAGCCTGGAAATGGAGGGGGAATGGCAGACGGGGTCTGATACTGCACACCACCACCCCCAATACATCCTCTCTCGCCCCTCGTTCTCTCTTACCAATCCGTGCCGACGCTTGCCCCGGCTCTTGGTGCCATACTCGTTGCAACCCTTTGTCCGAGTTGTCTGTTCTCCCCCCTGTAGTCGAGTCTTTCCTCGCTCGTCCCTCCCCCATCATTAGCATTTTGCTCCTCCCACCTGGGGTCGGCGGCATTTTGCTTTTACCACCTTGAAGGTGTCGAATATCCTCGCCTTTGTGCGGATCATTTTGTATGAGACGCCATGCCTGTAAGGTTGGTGCCTCTGCCGGACGAAAAGGGCTTTGACCGAGGGCCTCAAAGTCCACCCGGGGGCTCATTCCCTCGACAGTTGAGATCGGCCTCCAAAAGGTACTTGCGCCGACTTGTCATTGTCGCTGTCAGCCTGTTCTGTCTCCTGCAAGTCACTCAATTGAGAAGGATACGAGGGGATCGAGTCGAGTCGGCGACCGCAGGACTCAATGTGGTCTGGCCGAGCGACCACCACAAGGCGAGCTTTCTCCCGGTCGAGAAAGCGGCCGAGCTGTGTGCCACCCAGAACTTCACCGTCTTCCCCAGGCGGGACCGGCACCGCAAAGTGTATGATTTGTTTCTGATCGGGACCGAGCTGGACTGGCTAGAGATTCGCCTGAACGAGCTTCACCAGCATGTGGACTATTTTGTCATTGTGGAATCACCCCGGACATTCACGAACCTGCCCAAGCCTTTGCACTTCAAAGCCAACTTTGAGCGATTCGCACGCTTTGCTCACCAGATCATCTACCGGGTAGTCGACTTTGATGGGATGGAGGACAGCTCGACGTGGGAGCGTGAAGCCCACCAGCGGAACTCGCTGTTCGACGCCGTGTTCCCGAGTCTGATTGGCGCTCAAGCACCTGCCTTGGGCGACGTGATTCTGGTGTCGGACACGGACGAGATACCACGCCCTTCCACCATCACCTTGCTTCGCAATTGCGAATACCCCCAGCGCGTCACGCTGAGAAGTCGCTTCTTCTACTATTCGTTCCAGTGGGAGCACGTGGACGGAGACTGGGGCCATCCCCAAGCAACGTTCTACCATGGCAGTGCGACCATCCGTCCAGAAGAGCTCCGGATGGGCGAGAGCGATTGGGACATTTCGAACTCGTCATGGCATTGCAGCAGCTGCTTCGAGACCGTGGAGCAGATGGCGAACAAGATCGGATCCTTTTCTCACACCGAATACGACCGGCCTGAATTCAAGGATCCGGCCGAAATCGTCCGCCGCGTCCGCAATGGCCTTGATCTTTTCGATCGCGAGAGTGAGCGGTATGAGAAGGTCGACTCGCGAGCTGATCTCCCGGCTTATCTCAGGGCGAACGAGAACCGGTTTGCATTTATGATTGATCGCGATCCCCTGAACGCCAACTTTAAAGACTATCCGCCGTCCGCAAGGCCCTGAGGCGGCTGGGCTGTGGCAGAAAAACAATGACTGACCACGAGGCTGACTTTGACTTGGGTTGAATTGTTGATGGCGTTGAAGTTGATATCCGGTTGTGCCAAACTAGTCCTGATCTGTATTAGTTTCGATTTATATGTACCTTAGTTGATATCACGTGATATTGGTTTGCGACTTATGTAATCACCGTGCCATTTCTCATCTTCTATCTCCAATCAATCTTCTGCATTTTGCCATAGAACAGCAATGCTCAGTCACATCAACTTGAGCTTCACAGCGTGTACTGCTTGGTCGTCGACAATACAATAATGTTGCAGCTCAGTCGCCAGTCGCATGAACGGGGAAATGGCCGGGGTTGAAGTGCGTCGATATGTCACTTCGGCCACCTTAAGGTCCTCAAACCGGGACCATGCCAATCACCACAAGGTCCCCCAAGAATCATGTGAGGCGGAGGATCGGACCATGCCTTACAGGAGAAATCGATCTAATCTGACGCATAACTCGCGTCCGGTCCAGTTGTATGCGGGCGTCCATGCGCAGCGGCGAATGCCTGAGAACGAGGACCTTAGCCTCGCGTGATAGTCCGGAATACTACTACTGCATATCATATCCAGGACGCATGCCCACCATGGCGAGACCTGTGGTAGGTACTGTACCTAGGTAGGGATCGTGTGCAGTTTGATTCATTGCTATTTCTTCGCTTCTTGTCTCGTGTCCTATACCTGTTTGTGATTCAAGTGCCAGTGCAGCCAGCAATCAATCATAAAATATACTGTACGACTCTATCAATCACTTGTTACCCAAAAGTTCGGACGTTCCACGTCGCTACAGCAGCCACAGCAACAACAGCAGAAAGACAAATTGGTCAGTTGCAATGATATACGACGTGGCCATCATCGGAGCCGGGCCCTGCGGACTGGCAGTGGCTTCACGGCTGCGTGAATCGACGCCCTCAGCGCTATTTACGGATGACGAACATGCACGGTACTGGAAGCGGTTCAGCAAGCTTGAGACAATTGAGTCGGAACGCAAGAGAAACAGGAGGACTGAAAAGAAAAACAACAGGACTGGTTCGCAGGGTAGTAATACTAGCAACGACAGCGAGGGAACTCAGAACAACAGCAATGCCAGCAACAGCAGCAGCGAAGAAGAAGAGGATGACAAAGGCCATGACAAATCCATCATTGTGCTAGACGCCCATTCCAACGAATGGATGTCGGCGTGGAAGGAAAAGTTCCGCAACCTCCAGATCGATCACTTACGGAGTCCGCTGTTCTTCCATCCGGATCCGCGCGACCGCGATGGATTGTTGGCCTTTTCGCATTTCAGTGGTCGGACGCCAGAGCTGGAGGAGATTCAGAATGTTGTGGGGAGGGAGATCAGTAAGCACCAGGCGAAGAAAAGTAAGAGTCGGGGTAGAAGGTATGTGATCGCGATCTCCCTGCTTCGATGATTTTATTTCACGAAACTTTAGTATCTTGTCTCGCTATCCGCCAGCCTTGTTCTTTTCTTTGGCCCTGCGGTTTGGCCAGCTGCAAAGCACTCCCGGAGCCTGCTTTGATTTCTTCTCTTCTCTTCCCTTCCCTTTCAGTTTCTGATGAGGAAGGGCATGCATGGCGGAATCTGGGCTTTGTTTTTCTTCTGCTCCACTCACTTTGTCAAAACCAAATCCAACTGACACGTTATTGTTTTGGCCATCCAAAGACAGGTATCTCGCCATCTACGAATCGACGACCGCGACCGCATCGACTACTACACACCCTCCAGCCAACTCTTCGAAGATTTCTGCAGAGACATAATCGAGCGGTACCGCCTCCGCAATCTCATCCACCAAGCTCGCGTCCAAACCATCGAGTACGGCGACGTAGGGGGCCTGTTTGGCAACAACCTATTCAGTCTAGTCACAGACAGCAAAGAAACCATCTTGGCCAGGACGGTAGTTCTCGCCGTGGGACCGGGTGCAAAACCGTCGATTCCGCGAGACTGCAATCTGCGACTCGAGACCGGTACAGGCAGCGTGTGCCATTGTTTCGACTCTACAGGCGGAACATGTCTGCCTGAACATGTTGCGCGAAAGATCGAGGCCCGGGTTCCCACATGTGTCGTTGTGGTTGGAGGTGGCCTCACCAGCGCCCAGATTGCAGATCTGATGATTCGTCGAGGCGTGCGGAAGGTGTTTTTGCTGCTCAGAGGCAAATATAAGTTGAAGCACTTTGACGTCGATCTCGAGTGGGTTTCTAAATTGCGGAACCAGCAGATGTCGGTGTTTTGGTCGGCTGATACTGATGAGGGTAAGTCAAGTCACTTGACTTCTTTTTGTTGTCAGTCCCCGTTATTGTATTGCGCGGCCCGGCTCTCTTGATAGACGAGACCGCATTGGAGGCGTGATAGCGCTTCGTTGGAAGTGAAAATGTTTCTGTTCTCTCTTTGCTGACTATCCATGACAACCTCTAGAGCGCTTCCAATTCCTAGCCCAAGCCCGCAACGGCGGCAGCATAACACCCAAATACGACAAGATCCTACGGAAACACGTTGCGAGCGGCGCCGTGACCATCCTCACACAAACATGCATCACCCGGGGGACCTGGGCAGAATCATCCCAGACCTGGTCACTGGATATAACTCCGCCACATCCAGGGTTTCCAGACCAGATCGACCACATTGTCTATGCGACGGGGGTGCCTCCAAAAATCGAAAATGTCGCTTGCATGCAGGAAATTCTTGAACGGCATCCGATAAAGGCGATCAATGGACTTCCGTGTATTAACAACGATTTGATGTGGAATGATGATGTCCCGCTGTTTCTCACGGGTGGATTGGCTGGGTTGAGATTAGGTCCTGGTGCAGGCAATCTGGCTGGCGCGAGACAGGGTGCTGAAAGGATTGCTTGGAAGATCGACGAGTTGTTGGAACCGGACGAGAACGAGATCCCAAACCAGACCGAGATGATTTTGGATAGTATGGAGGAAAAGAAAGGACGGAAACTATCGTCGCAGCAGGGCAACCAGGGCAGTAGCCAAGGATGGAACTTGAATCGGAAGTCTAAGTTGTCCATGGAGCAAGAGAGGAGTGAGTTCACGGGTGGCTTTGCTAATCAGTTCCAAGCGCTTGCTACTGTCGAAGGCTACTAAATGAGCTGGATAGAGTGCGAGAAAAGAAAGGGAAAAACCTTTAGTTTGTAGTCTAGATCCGGGTCGTCCGACGGCTCATGTTGCGAATAGCACTAGCATCGGCACGATTTAGTATTCGGTTCCTAGACATCTGAAGACAGAGAATGAAACGAGCCCTCTGGATGAGGGTTGCTTTTGAGATGAACTTGTTTGCTGGTTTCTCCTCTGGCTGCTGTGTCCGAGAATTGATCGCTCCCTGTGATATCAGCGGGACTATCGTTCTAGGTAGATGTTGAACAGTGTCTGATACAAAGAAAAGGAGGCTTAGCAGTGTAATCCTTGTCACATTTTGGCCTCAGAGAAGAGCTGGCTGTCCTTGGTTGAGCTGTCGAAGACAGCAGCTGGGAGCAGTACTGTGTGTATTTTTAGACGGCCATAGCGTCCCTCCAGATGTAAAGCCTTATCTTCGGTCGAGGCCGTGTGTTCGATAGGAAGGATAGGGCGGTCAACCTGAAGCATGGCCAGGCCTGGACATTGGAAGAAGGATTGATTTGAGAAATCGCTTAGATTTTGTATTTTTGGGTTATGCCGAACAGGCAACCCCAGAACTTCCTAAAGGGTGTATCTGAAACCCTTGTTATCTAGCTCTGTGGCATCGTGCATACCGTGCTCGATGGCCTGTTTCACTTCATCGGCATCCTGAATTCCTGCGGCGGCGGCCTCCCGGTCCCGCTTTTTGTTCACCATGTACATGTAAATGTAAAGCACGGTAATTGACATCAACTTGATGATATACCCGACCAACATTGCAACGTAAGCCGAATGGTAATGGGGTGCTTCTTTGGACTTGAAAGTCTGAGGCCCGATGATATTGCCGACACAATATCCAGTAAACAGGATGGCCGCGGTGAGCTGCTTCTTGGTGTATCCAGCAACATTGGAGCTCACCATGGTGAGACTCATACTGAAGCCCAGGCCCTGGAAATAGCACAGCCACAGCCCGACCAGGCGGCCCCATTTGTTGCTGTTGGGCAGACCGACAAGCATTGCCGAGCCAACAATGCAGATGGTGTTTGCCACAATCATAGTGATACATCGCAAGTTAGGCCACTTCGAACAAACGATGCCACCGCCCAACAGCGCCAGGAACTGTACCGCACCGCCAGGGATCTGAAGGTATTGGGTGCCCAAAGTATCGACACTGAAGGACTTGATCACCAAGCTGGTAAACTGGGTGATGGCAGCATTGGGCACCTGCGCACCGACCGCCATGACAAACAGCATCCACGTCTTCGGGTCTTGCAGCGTTTGCCGCACCTGGTACATTTTGAAGTGTCGGTTCTTGATCCCTTGTCGGTTCGCCGACACCCTCTTTGCTGCTATAAGCTTCTCCTCGTCGGTCAGGAATTTGGCGGTGGATGGCAGGTCTGGTAGGAAGATCATGGCCGCTATTCCGAGGGCAATGCTGATGCTTCCAAAAATGAGGAACACATACATCCAGCGTGGCAGTCCCGTTTTGATGTGTCCGACGGCGTATCCGATCAAGCTGGAACATGGTCAGTACAAGAGTGGCGACATGCTTGCTGCGAAATGGACGACAGCGAAGCAGGAGGGGCGGAGGTCTGTTGTACGTACCCGCCGAACATGGTTGCGATACCATTTGTGCAATAGTAGGACTCCAATCTCAACGGCTGTTCCGCCGAAGTGTACCATATCGACATGATAAGGATGAATCCTGGGTTGACGATAGCTTCAAACGATCCCAACAGGAAACGATTAACAGCCATTCCCGCAAAGGACGAACATGCTGGGGTGGTGATGAGGATGATGCCCCAGAAGGTCGTGGTCGCCCCAATCACCTTGCCGATACGCAGCCGTTGCAGCAGGTAGCCACCTGGATATTGAGCCCATAAGTAGCCTGGACAGACGCTCTTGTTAACATAGGAACAGCCGGGCTGAAGGTCTTCAACTGTCCCTACCGAAATAGAAGATTGATCCAAGCCATGAATAGTCTTGCCCGTGCAGGTGCGTGCCTTTCTGCAATCCATAAACACTGGCATAGTTGATGCCATTCTTGTCAAGATATTGCATTAGATAGATCAGAAAGAGAATCGGGACAATCCGCAGGTCGAGCTTGCGGAGGACACGCTTGGAATCGGCGAGGTCGAGCTCTTGCTCATCGCTTCGCTTATACAGGTCATAATTGTCGTCCAACTCCGCCGATTTGGTCGACGTGTCGGTTATGGAGGCGGGAGTGCCGGGGATGGCAGTAACCTTTTCGTCCGTCCACGGCGGCAACGAGGCTAGATTGTCGGTCATCGTGAACCACAAGCTGCAGAAACCCAGGAGTAAAGAACGAGAGTCTCGAAGAGCGGGCAGCCTCGGTGGTTAGATATGTATGAGCACAGAGGCCTCAAATTCTGCGTTCCCTTGTCGCGTCGAGAACCATGGTTCCACCATCGGCCCGCAGAGACAGAGGCACGGTGACATGATGCCGCGCGTTGATACGCGGAAGTTCTCCAGCGTGGCAGCAAGAGCACTGCCAGTTCAACGTTGACGGACGAAGCACGGCGTCCAGGTGTAGCAGACTGTGCAATGTGGTAGATGATACCATCTCACCATACAATCACGACATCCGCTATCGCCCAATCCGGTAAGGGATCCCCAGAAAAAGACATCCCCCTGGACCAACGGTTGCGTCGACAATAACGTTGTCGGCGAGAGTAGCTATGGTATCACGTTCGATAGGTAGATATTTCTGGGGTGGATAGGGGTTGCTGTCGTCCTCAACCTCCACAAGCAATCGACGTCGGTATATGGAGGCGGGTGCGAGCAACGTCGCCTTAACCCAAGGGTCCATGCCGCACGCATGTCGCCAGTTTCGGAGACTCTGCCGGCTCGCGTGGGAGTCTGAGAGCACAGCTGGAAGCTGGTCTGCTTCTGGTACGAGGTGCCATGCTGAGAAGGTTATGACCAGGGCTTATGCACCGGAGGCCAGAATGGTCGGCTTTTGCTTTGACGAATTGCCTACTCTCCATTCTCTTGGATTCGTTTCCAGGCCCAAACACTCCATTCACACAGGCCTTCATCGTCCCAGTCGTCCGCACTGGCCTGCTCGCGGCCTTCTTGAATGGCCTCGAGACCTCCCGCTTCCAACAACTCCCATAACTGCCGGATCTGATCCAAGTATGCCACGCGCAATGGATAGGTAAGGATTACCCGAGAAGATGATCCGCGGTCAAGCCATCTTAAAATGGCCTTCGATAACAACTCAGGATGCTCCTCCGAGTACACAGTGTCTGCCGCAAGGATCAACCAAGCTTTGCTCGTATCTGCGGAATAGGTCTCTCCCGTCTGCAAGGTCAGATTATGGGGTGCGGCCCAGTCCAGCGAGCCGCACCGCACCCTGTCTTTGACGAGAGAATCGTTCAGCTTGACATTCCCAGCTAGACCCGGTACAATAGGTGCCAAGTCAGTAAGGACAACGGGTACATTCCACAGGGCTGCCGCGGTCAACCCAACTAGCCCTGTGCCAGCGCCAAGCTCCAGTACTTGGATCGGACTGCTCGAGGGAGGAAATTCCACAGGGAGTTTGTGCAAGAGACTGGCGAGTACGAAGGACGACGTCCACGTTGTTAAACTCAGGCCTTGGGCGCGAAGAGCCGGTTCGGCAATCTTGATCTCGAGGGGCACATCGCTGCCGCGCGGGACCTGAAATGACCTGGTCATGCAATCTACCACCATAGATCCCTGGTATCCAACAGGTGTCTGAGCTTATTTGCGATTTGTGCCTCAGGATGCAGTGATGGCTCGCTACAGCTACAGGTCGAGTCCAGTTCAAATTCAGATCCTCTGCGACGGTGCCAAGTCTCAAGCTGGCACGTGACTCACTACAAGCTGAGCATCTATCACGTGACTGATATGGCTCCGCGCGTCTCACCGTCCAGCAGCTGATCTCATATTCGATAAAATATATACCTGGTATCGTTGTCTCCCGGTTAAAGAGGGACATCGTCGCCATAAACGCAGCAAAGCAATGCGCCTCGACTTCTATACCGATACCTTTTGAGGACTTATGAAAACCTCTCAGGCATACGCTTAGCTCGCTCCCCACGCGTCTCCAACCACTTGTTCCGCTTCGCTTATCTCAGAAGATCGTGGAAGCATGATTGCCGAGACCGGAGCAGACGTCCGTGCTTGCGGGGGACTTCACCCGACCTTCTGGCTAGTCAATCCGCCTGGAGGATAACTATTCGTATCTCTCCATACAAAAGCAACTGATGTGAAGACCCAACCAACTAACCAGCCTGATTCCTGACGTGGCTAGAGCAGATATACTCCAACTTTTGCCCAAAGTCGCGTGACATGGACCTGAACAAGGCTTCCTTCTTGTACTAGTAGTACGACATCCACCAGCACAGTTTCCACGCTCCTGTCATGGAAGTCGTCAAGAGATTAGTCTTTCCAAGTGGCGGCCAAACGGTCTGTCATGGAAAGTTTGCAGGTGCTTTGACAGTTCGAGATGCACAGGATCCTGCAGCAGAGGGCGCTGGTTTTCTAGACGAGGTCAACGTTTGTTCATCCGGTTTTCACTATTGCGGCGCAATGACACTGACAGCGGATGTTCGTCACCACGAATCACAAATGGGAAAAGGTTTGTTTTATTTGTTGAGATGATGAGGCTGACAGCGCCTGGGCCTTTTCTCAGCAGAGATTTGCGAGGTCTGTGCTTCCCTTCCGCTAATTCGGTAAGATCGGGTCACCTAGTGGCTTCACCACAAGGGATATATTGAATCATAACCCAACATTCATGATTCGAAGGATAGCTCTCGCCGTTGGCAGGAGATAACTTATGACTACTCCGCAAGACACTGGCAAAGTTCCCCAGGTTCACTTCTACAGCAAACGCGACAACTACTATCGAGACTTCAGAACTATCATCTCAATATTCATACCATGCCGGCGTCGCTGTCGCACAACTTCAAGGCGCAAGGATTCCCCTCAAAGCACTCGGTTCGCATAGGTGGAAATGGTCTCGTCATACTGGCCGCCAGGATGGCCCTCACCGAATTATGACAACCCTGAAACCCGGGGCTCGCCCTGGCTATTCATTGCCACGTTGATCATCACCGCCGTTACACTGCTGCTGAGGTTCTACTCACGGATATTCCTGACACGGGCGGTTGGTATAGATGATGGTTTAATTGTGGCGGGATTTGTATGTGCGGACTTCCAACACCTTGTTGAACTCCCCTAACTGTAGCAGGTCCTCTCAATTGGCCAAACTTTCGCTGAGTACAAAGCTTTGACGACTTGGGGCTGGGATAGGCATCTTTGGGATGTTCCAGTTGGCCGACTCCAGCACGTCCGTCTCGCAGCATGGCTTGTTGAACTTTTCTTCATCCTTGGCAATGCATGCACGAAGGTTTCGATCTTGATGGTGTATCGCAAAATCTCTTCTGGAAGCCATAACTACTGGTTCTTCAGACTGACCTGGGCTGCCATTGTTTTCACCATTACATACACGGTCGGCTGTATATTGGAGTTGTGTCTCGCTTGTCGTCCACTGGAAGCCTACTGGAGATCCTACAGCCCAACGTACACCAGAAAGTACACCTGCGTCAATGAGACCGCACCCATCGTCTTCAGTGCTGCAGCTTCCGTCTTCTCAGACATTTACTCCTCGGTATTGCCGATGCTTCTTACCAGAAATCTCAATGTGTCCAGGAAACAGCGACTGGGTCTGTACGTCGTGTTCTCCGCAGGCCTCATCACTGCCGGCATAGGAATTGCCAGACTATGCTTCTTGGTGAGGGTGACGACCAATTACCGACCCGGCCCTCATATTCGTGACGTTACCTGGGACGGCTGGCCGACTTTTGCCTTGACGGACATTGAGGCGCACATTGCCATGATAGGTGCCTCGGCACCAGCCTTAAAAGTCTTATACAAACGATACTTCTCCCATCGACGGCCCAATCTCCACTCCTCGGTACAGTCGAACCAAGCCCGTCGAGCCTCCGCTCGTGCCGGTCAGACCGACACGAAGTACGGAGCTTCTCTGCCCCCTAGTGCACGTTTCAAGCGGCCGTTTCAGGCCAGCGACACGCTTACATACGACAGTGTGTCGGCATCGGGAGCCGCCACTGATTGCGATCTCGAGAACCTTTCTCTTCACAGCATGGATATGGACAGACCTTCAGCTCTTAGCCCTGTTCATGCCGCCAACCTACAACGGGCGGAGAGCCGTCAGTGGCCCGGTTGAACGAGCCAGACGGTATCGAGAGGGATGATTTATGACATTTAATGCCTAATGATTGCATGACACCGTGCCAGCACAGCCTTTGCTCTGGGCTTTGAGGCGTCTCAGCCCAAGGGTAACTCAGGGCATTGTGACTGGCTGCGCCTTTTGCGCTGGTCATCCAGTCAACATAAACGCGCTTCAGACCTTTTGTTTTCCACGCGTGAAGGGCAACGAGCAAACAAAGAAGTTGTTGCGTCAATGCTTGCTAGGGGTGGAGCTCTCTGATACCTTCTGCCGGCAGACGGCTGTCACCCCCCGTCTTTCATTATACGACGGATAATGTTCAGCTATGGGCTGCATAGAGCGCGGCCGGAGCATAGTCTAATGGGTCGTAGACAAAGGCACTTTGTAACGTTGCGGCGACTTCAGCGGCAGCATAAGTATTAGAGCACAAAAGACAGCGAATTCGGACCAAGAATAGAGCAATATTCGTGGACATAACAGGCAGTCCTCTTGATATTTATTTGTATCTGGATATCCTGGAACAATCCTCTTCGTCGTCCAAATCAATCCCTGAAATTCTGATATTACTGAACCATGAACTTCGACGCCATTAAAGCGGCATGACGGTTCAAGGCCCGGCACTTTACGCGACGCGCCGCGTTTGCACTGCTATCATCCGCGTGTCTCGATCCGTGGGCGGTTGGGCAACCTCATGCTTCCACTCAATAGAGCATTCCATGGCAGAAACCTGCGACTACTTGAAAGTATCATCCGCCCCAGCCTGGCCCTTCAATTTTCGCCGTATAATCCGCCAGCGGCGGTCCTAGGCGGCCCAGTATGGCAATATCAGGCAGTGCAGCGCAGGGGCGCAAAAACAACGACTAGGAAGAGCTTGAAAGAGCTACAACAAGGAGCCTTACAGGGAGGGCCTCTCCCTGAACTCGCCGTCGATGAAGAGCCTCAATATCCGACGGTGCTGCAGGGGGCCAAGCAGAACATGGCCAAGTTTGACAACTGTGTCTTACTCACAAGAGTTGGCAATTTCTACGAACTGTATTTCGAGCAGGCCGAGGAGTATGGGCCTCTTCTCAGTCTCAAAGTGGGACACAAGCAGACCAAGTTGGGCCCCGTTCCCATGGCTGGCTTTCCTTTCTTCCAACTGGACCGCTTCTTGAAAACACTTGTGCAAGATCTCAACAGATATGTTGCCATCTGCGATGAATTCCTCATCAACGTCTCTGGCAAGGTGAAGTCCGGAGGCCTAAAGCACGACCGTCGGGTGACGAGAGTGGTAACGCCAGGCACACTTATTGATGAAAAGTTCCTTGACCCTTACGAGAATAACTTTCTTTTGTCGTTGCAGCCGGAGAAGCCCTTGCTGGCGAATAGTAGCCCTGACGGACTGAAGCCACCGGAGCAGAAAATCGGGCTTGCCTGGCTGGACCTGTCAACTGGTGATTTTCTCACACAAGCCGTCTCGCGCAGCTCTTTGCCCTCGGCCATAACGCGGATCGCCCCTAGGGAGATAATCCTTCCGGTGGATGTCTCTGCAGACATCAAGGAGGAAGTCCAAGAAATCGTGGGACATGACCACCGCCTTCTTACTCTGCATCAGGAGTCCAGCGCCTTCTCGTCTATGACCGATTGGAGCGCTATGCTCGAGACCCCTGTGAGCGAAGACACACATCAAGAATTTAGTATCGCAGAAAAGCATGCAGGCCATCGTCTGCTCGATTATGTCCGACAACGTTTGCAAGGACTTGAGCTGCGTTTACAACCGCCCCGGCAGCGAGACCTCCAACAAATCCTAAGCATTGACCGCAGTAGTCTGAGAGGGCTTGAGATCCTGGAAACAGCCCGCGACGGACTGGGAAGAGGTAGCTTGTTCCACGCAGTCAAGCGCACCGTGACCAAAAGTGGTTCCCGCTTGCTCCGCGATCGTCTCACCTCGCCTTCGGCCTCATTGGAAGAGATCAATGACCGCCTTGAGCTTGTGTCGACATTCCTCGGGTCTGACGAGCTGACTGACTCGCTGATATTTCGCTTGAAGAGAACATTCGATGTCCAGCGAATAGTGCAAAAGTTCGCGCTCAACAAGGGCGACGCCGATGATATGCTATCGTTGGCCAGCGCCGTATCAGAAACCATTGCTACTCGTGAGCTTCTCCAGTCCGCCATGGCCGTATCAAATGACGTTGCAAGCAATGAGATTGCAGCTGGCAGATACTCGGACCATCCGCTTCAGAGGCTTCTGAATCGGTTTGATCTGGATGGTCCCAGTCGCCTCCAGGCTCGCATAGCATCCGCCATTGATGAGGAAGGACTCATGCAGAAACATCGTCTTGAAGAGGACGAAGCGGCGAGCGTGGCTGCCCTGGCGCATGATGTAGTTCTCCAAAGTGCACCAGAGGAGCTGGAATCCCTGCCCAAATCCGTGCGGTCTAAGAGCAGGTCTGATGGACAGAAGAAAGATGAGATCGAGTTGACAGAACCGTGGATCATGCGCCGCGATGCCAGTGACACGCTGAAGAGACTGCATGATGATCTGAATAATCTGGAGACTGAAAAGGTCGCCCTGGCGGAGACGTTGCGGAGAGAGCTGAAGGCTCCGACACTGATGCTCAAGTCGACGCCAGGGCTGGGATACATCTGTCACATCCGAAGCGCGACCGGCTTCAACAAAGACAAGCTCGAGTCGTTACATGCAAAAATGGTTTCGTCGTCTAAAAGTACTCGATCGTTTTATCTGAATGATTGGACGAGGCTGGGACGGAAAATAGATCAGGCGATACTCAATATCAGGGAGGAAGAGAAAAGAATCTTTGCGTCGTTGAGAGAACTTGTTATTCAGAATCTGGTCAAGCTACGCCGAAACGCATCAATCATGGACGAGCTGGATGTCGCCAGTGCTTTTGCCACGCTGGCCAAAGAGCAATCGTGGGTTCGCCCAATTCTCAACAACGGCACGGAGCACAAGATCATTGGGGGAAGACATCCTATGGTGAAACTCGGTCTGGAGGAACAAGGCCGGTCTTTTGTCAGCAATAATCTTGTGCTCGACCACAGCGAGCGGGTATGGTTAGTGACTGGGCCTAATATGGGCGGCAAAAGTACGTTTCTCAGGCAGAACGCGTTGATCACGATCCTTGCACAGACTGGGTCATATGTGCCTGCGACGTATGCCGAGCTCGGGATTGTGGACCAGCTCTTCAGTCGCATCGGTGCTGCCGACGACCTGTTTCGCGACCAGTCCACGTTCATGGTGGAGATGCTGGAGACTGCTGCGATTCTGAAGCACGCCACTCCACGGTCCTTTGTGATCATGGATGAGGTAGGACGTGGCACGACTCCCGAGGATGGGACGGCTGTGGGCTATGCTAGTCTACACCACCTGTACCACGTCAACAAGTGCCGGACTTTGTTTGCAACACATTTCCACGCTTTGGCAGACATGACCCGGGACTGGCCACGGTTAGCGTGCTATTGCACTGATGTATTGGAAGACGAAAGTGGTTCTTTTGCATTCATGCATCGCCTGAAGAAGGGGATCAACCGGCAATCACACGCTTTGAAGGTAGCCAAACTCGCGGGCTTGCCCCCGGCGGCACTGAAAGTGGCGGAGCAGGTCCTGCAACAGATTTCAAATGAGAAGACTGATGTATTGATACATGCTGCCGGAGCAGCTGACCGCCCTGCAGTGCCTGCAGCGGAATGAACATGAACCTACGGGGAAATCGGAGTCAGACAGGCTACTCGTCTGGCGGAAACCTCGGTGGTTGCTGGATTTCTCCCTCTGCTGGTCTGGAAGAGGCCACGGTCCCGCAGTTCTTACAGGTCCTGGCCTCCATGTCATTCTCAAAAGCCAGGACCCCTTCCTTGATTTGAGTCCCGAGGTCGGTCAAGTGGAAGCTTGCTTCGTGCACAATGTGATGACAGTTCTTGCAATACCACCTCATTGTGTCAACCGAATCCTCCGGCCGCGGTTGTTCCAGGACGATCCCGACTGTATCTGCAAATCTTACCGGGTTATGAGGTGTGTTGGCGGGCAGGAGGAACAGCGAGTTCTCATGGATGGGGATGTCAACGGGCGTATGGGGATCTGTCGAAGTATCCATCGTCTTCAGCAACATGGAGCCCTTGTGCTGGTAGAAGAACTCGGGCGTGGTGTTGATGTGGTAGTCGGTCCGCGCATTCGGGCCTCCAACCACCATGACCGTCAGCCCGCTCGTCGCCGGCGAGGAAGGATGATAGACGCAGTAGTTGTTGATGGGAGGCTGCAAGAGGTGGGAGTTGTCTTTGAGCCTGTCGAAGAGTCAGCGCAATGCCACCCAGCAGTCCACCACGTCCGGTGGTCGGTACCATTTTGGCAGGTTCAATGCGCTTCCGGCCATGTCGACGTATGTTTAGATAGAAATGGGCGCAGGTTGAGTACCAGTACGAGCTGAAGAATATCCACAGTAGCAAGGAGGCCGCCTTAGGCTTCAAGTATGTGTAACGTGCCACTGGATTATATGTTGTACTAGTCGTGCCAGATTATAAATCGCGACACAGCCCACTAACAACAGTCATGCGCACAGGACGGCAGTAGAATTCAGGCTTCTGGTTCGAATGGAGGTTGAGTCAGTGGGCTGACGACCTGAGCCGATATAGACTCGAGACCGAAGCTCTAGGATGATGCCTGATGCCTGAGAGATGCGCGAGGTGTGTCACGAGCAGTTGAGTGGTAGAGATGGACGTGGCGGGCTCGGAAGTCGCATATGTTTGTTCATTGATTATTTTATTATGCGGGGAACTTTTGCCAGCAAACTCGCTGCTGAAAGTTTGGAGAAAAATTTGGGTCGACCGTGCAAGTTTGTAACAGTCTCATGAGACCGATGCACAAACACAACTCACCGCACCCATAACTATGAACGTGCGGCAAAGAAATTGCTGCTCTTGAGAGATCTAGTTGGCGACATGTCGACCTCTCAGCCCGCCGTGCGCTTGAGCTCGCACAAGTCTCTGACATCGCGCCTCGTGCTCGCAACCCTCCTCGGCCGCACCGTACGCATCGATCAAATCCGACCCAATTCTCCCACGAACCCAGGCCTAGCACCGCATGAAATCTCTTTCCTCCGACTTCTCGAGGCCGTCACGAACGGCTCACACATTGAAATCTCCTACACGGGAACCGTCCTGCTCTACAAACCGGGCCTAATCACCGGCTCAGCGCCGGGCAGTGGCGCCTCGAGTTCGGGCGTGTTGCGGCATGAAATCCCTTCAAACAACACCCGAGGACTAAGTTACTTCCTACTACCAATATGCCTACTTGCGCCGTTCAGCAAGGCCAAGTTCAACATTGTCTTCACGGGACCAGGGGTGATCACAAGTTCGACAGAGAAATGGGGCGATATGAGCGTGGACAGTGTTCGGACGGCGATTCTGCCACTCTATGCGAAGTTCGGCATCGAAAGAGACATTGAATTGAGAATCCTGCAAAGGTCGAATCCTGGCCCACGAGGCGTTGGCGGCGCGGGAGAAGTGCAGCTGGTATTCGGGCACCAGGTCAGATTACCCAAGACTTTACACTTATTGAATCCGGGCCGGGTCAAGAAAATCAGAGGCGTTGCATATTCCACCGGCGTCAGTGGAAGCAACAATGCAAGAATGATTGAGGCTGCCAGGGGGATTCTGAATCAACTGGTGGGCGACATCTATGTGTTTTCAGATATGAGCAGTGCCGCACTGGTGCCGGCGCCTGAGAAGAATAACCCGAGCGCGAAAAAGAAAGTCGGTTTGGGATTTGGACTCTCCTTGGTCGCCGAGAGTTCGACGGGTTGTCTCTATTCTGCTGATGCTTCTAGTCCTCCTGAGGGCGGTAAGCCGGCGGAAGACATTGGGCGCATGTGCGCGTTTCAACTTCTCGAGAGTGTCGAGAGAGGCGGCTGCGTCAGCCTCGAAGCTGCTCCTACTGTGATTACTTTGATGGCCATGGGGTCTGAAGATGTGGGACGAGTGCAGCTGGGGCGAGATGTACTGGCTTCGGAACATATGATTCAATTGGCAAGAGATTTGAATGCCTTTGGCTCGGCGGGATGGGGTATCAGAGACGCTGATGGTCAAAAGTCAGAGGGACAGCTCGTTGTCAGTGTCGTCGGCAGAGGAGTTGGGAACATTGGTCGGAAGATTGGATGATCGCGAGGTTAAACGACCAGTCACTAATCAACGTGGCCTACCCTGCACCGCATCTGCCGCAGTACGCATTGCCTGCTCGCTCGGAGCAACGAGAGGTGCGAGGCCCCCGGGCCTCAGGCTTCTACGTGCCGCAGTGCCGGAAGACACGGTGCGATGGCGGTGAAGAGAACCTCGGCCAAGGCCTGGTGCAGCGAGATCAGAGCACTCTTTGGCATTTTACGCCATTTCTGGACGACGAGGTTGCCTGCTGTTACTGTCTCATGCCCGACGACTCCAGCGCCAACGGTTGGCAAGACGTTGCTTACGGCACGGGCTAGATCCGACGCCGATTGTGCTTGTGTTGTGATAATGCACAAGTACTCATTACCGGACTCACCGTCGCAGGCCGGGGCACGATCACGATATCGTACCAGCCGCCGTCCTGGACGTTGTCGATGGCGGCCAATGATAGGTCAGTTGCCTACGGCCTGGAAGGTCAAATCCGGATGCCCCGGAAGGTCTAACCAAGCGGCAACCCACTGCAGCACGACACTCAACCTCAGGGCTGCCCTCCCCACGAAAAGCGCACGCGACCTCACAAAAGCAGTTTTTCCTAGTGGCATCAACCTTGTCTGCCGTAAAGAGGCCGTTAAAATGGTCAAGGGAATCTTATACCCACCCAAGAAGTCATAGCAGGGATCCGAATATAACTGCAGAGCATAATGATCGCGGCGGAGGCATTGGCGAATGCGACAGACTGTTGAAGTATCATAATGGGACCAACGACATCGGAATGTCACGAACTTGAACTGCAAGGTGGATGAGGTCCCGCCTTGGTCCGAGGCTCGAATCAGTAATTGAACTGGGTGATGGTTTGGTTTTCTGCAGTGTCAACTTGAACATCGATCTCTGTCCTCGCTTCCTATTCAACTTCGTTGACAGCATTTGTCATGCCACTAGCGCTGAGCTTTCTAACAATCCACATGACACTTCGCTCCAACCAGACTCCCGAAACGGCGAATCTGATTACCAAACTCCGCCCGATTCGAGCCGTTGGTCCTATGTCCTCGGCCTTTGCGTTACTACCTCCGCGCGATTCGTTCATGGTACCTTTCATAAGGTACTCTGACGGTCAAGCGACCATAGAGGAATCAATGATTGCAGCTGTCTATCGAGCGCCATGGCTCGCTAAGCGCAAGTCCTAGAATGTCCCAGCCTGCGCTCTGCCCAACTTGAATCCGACTTATTTCACCGGCTCTTGCCCTCGGGTGTGGTTCATGTAGTTCATGTACCTCCATGGGGAGACGCCAGGCTCTGGCCGTGCCTGCAGCTTGGACGCTGCCGGTTTGTTGATATACTTTACTTAGTACTGCAAGTATTATTTAGTATCTGTGTCTGGCTCGTTTTGCAGTTGCGCTTTTACAACTGCGTGGACTCTACTTTTCCTATCCTAATATTGTTCCTTATACTAACGGATGGTTACCATATCGGCTGTGCTGGACTGTTGACACACAGTACTATTACAACGCAAGAGGAGGAAGAAGGAAAGGAGGAGTGACGGGGCTTACCATGGGCGCAGGTGCCTTCCTCGAACCTCTCGCAGTCGTTGTCTTGCTGTTTGGTGGTGCCTGGATCAACCGAGCCACGGATTACTCCTGGTCGGGCAGATATGGCTGGGACGAACCGCTGCCGGTCGCACGACCGATTGAGAAGGCCGAGGATATATCAGTTGAAGAGGCCCAAAGCACACATGCACGAAGGTCACTATCTCCATCACTCTTGGTGGCTGAGGACGAGAAATGGAGGGAGCGCGAAGTTCGTTTCCTGGGCTATTGCAAGGTAGTGCGGACGCCCAATACTGCTGTCTTCCGCGGTCGACTGCTCAGCAGGGTGCTACATAAGTTTCCCTTCTTGGTGGAAGCATGGTATTGGGCACTCATTTACTGGGTATGGGCTCAGGACACACCCCGTCCGGCGTGGTCAGAACTAATAGTTGTCCGTTCAGGTCTACCAACTTGGCCGAGCATTCACTGCCGTAACCCTGGTGGAAGGCACAGTCCACGTCGCCCGTCGACATGCTCTTCAGGTCATTGAACTTGAGAAACGTCTCCATATTTTCTGGGAAATCCCAATCCAGAAATTCTTCATGGCCTACCCGCGCCTCATGATGTCTATCAACTGGCTCTACTCCTTCATACATATCCCGGGCACAATCGCATTCTTAGTTTGGCTATACTATTACACGATTACAAGCGATCGCCATCTACAGAAAAACAGCGGGCGTCTGCAAGGTGTCGGACGAGGGCGCCCGGGCTCTCCTGGAGGGGCTTGTCTCTACGAAGCGCGTAGGAGGACCATGGCAGTGTGCAACCTTCTGGCATTCGTGGTATTCACGCTCTGGCCCTGCATGCCCCCGCGGCTGCTGAGCGACCCCGAGTATACAGGCCCTCAGTCCCCAGTGGCCAGGAGCTATGGCTTCGTGGACACGGTGCACGGCAAGGAGGGAGCTAGTAGTGTGTGGACACAAAACAGGTTCTGCAACCAATATGGTAAGCCAGGATCGCTTGCCGTATTGCCCTGACACTCATCCTTTCTAGCTGCTATGCCATCGCTCCACTTCGGCTACTCTCTTATGATCGGCGTCACCATCATGACCGTTCCTCTGGCACCCGAACACCGCCGCACGAAATCCTTCCTCCTCCCTTTTTTCAACAGGTCGCATCCCGAACTGGCACCAGCCATCCGTCTCCCAAACCCTCGTCGTCTAGCCTGCCTCGTTATCGGATTCATGTATCCATTTACGATCCTTGTGGCTATCGTTGCGACGGCCAACCATTTCATCCTCGATGCTGTGGCCGGAGCCGCGGTCTGCATCATTGGGTGGAGAATTAACCCTATCTTGTTGAACTTACTTCCTCTCGAAGATTGGTTTCTTTGGGCGCTACGGATACACAAGCCTGTACAGACGCCTGTGGAGAATGAAACGGCGTTTATGGCTGGTACAAAGGGAGGGAAAATAGAGCGGCGGAGTTCCGAGCGACCCCCAACTGCCATCAAATGAGTGCTCGTGCCGATAATCGAGACCAAGCTGGAGCCGCTCGGCTGGAATTTTGAGCAAGGGAGGCATTGTTCCTCAGCAAGCGCGTCTACGTGTGGCGGATATCTGTAAGATGGCCATTGTTCGCCGTCTCCTGGTGCTGCGTTGATCAATAGAAGTGCATGGCTTGCAGGTACTGTAGTAATCCTAATGACACGGTTTCCATGGGGCTGAAACTCAGGTACCTTGGATATTTCAAAATCATGCCAATAAGGATATCAGCATTTACACTGACAATGGCAGCGGACTGTTGATGTTAGCAGCAATTGATATAGGGTGGATCAAATGGACCACTAACACTACTACGTAGCATGCCAAGACCTACGTCGAAGCATCTTTAACCCAACTGCATGTACACCCGTGGACCAACTTGAAGCACATCAAGACACTGGCACTGGTCATCATCATTATTGATTGAGAGCTGTGGGCATCAGAGCTGGTGGAAATACTTTCTGTCAGATCAATTTGCAGGTACCTGGGCCATATATTGTTGTGTGCATGGTTGCCAAAGGATATCTTCCAGTTGAGTGAATGAATGAGTGCAGCGAGCGAATGAGCTTAGGAAGGCTGCTCAAACTTGAATGCCGTGGCAAGCCGATGTCCGGCACTGATAGTCAGTCGCAACTTGAAGAGTGTCAGTGAAGACGATCCAGAGCGATCAGCCACGCTTTCTTTGCACTCTCTCTTCAAATTTGAACGTCCGCTGCTCAAAACTTGTCGCAAACGCCCGGTGCTCAACCTGCCTTCAGCACAGTGCTGGTGTCTTGCTGGCGACATCTGCGGGTAACAGAGGGCACTTTCTCCTACGAGGTCCAACAGCAGAGCTCTGAGCTCCAGCAAAGATCGGCCATCGTCACTCGGACTATTGTGCCCTACTCGGGTCATTGCTGCTTCAAGTGGCTACCCCAGCGAGGAGGATTCTCCAACAGGTACGGTAAGTTGAGAACTGGTCTTCAATACCCATCTTTCCCCAGAAAGCGCATTGTGCTTGGATCCCTGTTGCACCATCCCCTGCCATCTCAACTTTGTCATTGTCACAACGCAAAAACAAGGCAGTTTGTTTGAGGTTGGCGACGTGGTGTCGATCATATCGACCGTGACCGGCGAACTGCTCAAAGCCAATCTCATCACGTGATTGAACATTCACGTGATCTGCGGTGACGCTTGGCGAACGGAGCAGCCGTCACGGGACCTGATTGGATTTGGAGCAGAGGCAGTGGGTTTCTTGGGCCCCATTTTGAAGTTGCGACTCTATTGCTGCTCTCATCAATTCTCTCCATCATCGTTGCAGCCGCCGATTCCTCCACCTCACCACATCGCGACACTGTCCAACACCATCATCCTCCCTATCGCTTGTCCATCGCAGGCATTGTCTTGTTGAAGCGAGGCTGCTGGTTCGTGTTTTCCCACGTCAACTCCCCTTTTTGCAGCTGGGGTCGCGGGCTGTGAGCGCTCATCTCACTTGCGCGTCACCTCGGACAGCTGCACCACACCACCGATCTTTGCCGTTTGGAACGTGGAAGCGAGTCAATCCTGCTTCTGCCAGCTTCGCGACAAAGCATTCATAGCTAACACCTATCTTCATCAGACTCTTCCTCATTGCTCGCGCTTCTCATCAACGCGTCACTCATCCCCTGTGACCCGTCACCATGGATACCACCGACACTTCCGTTGTCCAAGCCGAGGTGCCGGTCAAGGTTCCGCAACCTGATGACCAAGCTCCACCAGCGTTGGCAGAACCTGCTTCTGGCGTTGTAGCGGAGATGTCAGGTGCCCTGCCCTTCGAAGACGCAGGCGAGAAGAAGGAAGCTGAGGCTCCCACCGGTATGTTTCGCATGTCGCCTACCCGGGATCTTGTCTGGTGCTGACTAGCTATTACAGAAACTGCTACGGCGAACGGAACTGCCGAGTCTACCTCTGAGCCAGCCAAAGAAGAGGCTCCTGAGCCTGCTGCTAAGCCTGCTGCCGAGCCTGAATCTGCCCCTCCGGCCACCGGCGAAACAGAATCAAAAGAGGCGGGTGAGGCGGATGCTGCTCAACCAGAGACAAACGGAACTCCAGCGGACAAGAAGACACCCTCATCCCGACGAAAGTCATCGGGTGGTGTCCCTGAGCACAAGGGCAAGAAGCTCAACAAGAAGAAGTCCGTGGCCAAGATCACACACCTCGATGCCAAACCGGGCGAGTATTACTTTGCCAGATTGAAGAGCTACCCGCCATGGCCCAGTATCATCTGTGATGAAGAGATGTTGCCCGAGATCCTTCTCAACACGCGCCCTGTCACTACTAAGAAGGCAGACGGCACCTACAACGAACCATATGCCGATGGTGGCAAGAAGGTGGCCGACCGCACATTCCCGGTCATGTTTTTGCATACCAATGAATTGTAAGTTTGTTTCAGGTCTATTCGGTCGGCTGTTGCTAATGCATTACTCAGCGCATGGATTCCCAACACCGACCTCACTCCCCTCAACCCGGAGGAGTGCAAGGATGTGTCGGAGAAGGGCAAGTCCAAGTCTTTGCTCGCTGCCTACGAAGTTGCTGCCGAGAACCATGATCTCCAGTACTTCAAGGACATGCTTGACGAACATGCCGCGGCAATGCAGGCCGATATTGAGGCAAGAGAGGCCCGGGAAGCCGAGAAAGCCGCCAAATCCGATAAGAAGCGACGCAAGAGCGAGGCAAAGGTCGTCGATACCGAGGACGTTGAGATGGAAGATGCCGAGCCCGCCCCCAAGAAGTCTTCCAAGAAGCGTAAGAAGGAGGCCGACAGTGATGACGAGGAGTCGGAGAAGGTAAGAAACTTTCGATTTTTCGGCGTATTAGATCCAGTAACTAATTTGTGGTCTTAGCCTGCAAAGACTCCAAAAACCACCAAGATCAAGTTGACCACAAGCAAGACGCCAAAGACTGAGGAGAAGAAACCCAGGGAGAAGGCTAGCAAGGCCAAGTCCGAGAAGAGAAAGTCAAAGGCGGCAGCGAGTGATGAAGAGATGGCCGATGCTGGTCCAGCGGAGCCAGAGGAGAAGCCTCTGGACCCTGTCGAGGCACGCAAGGCTCGTGAGAAAGAAGGTTAGCAAAACATACTTTTTTGCCCTTGCATCAAACCTTGTATTAACTGAATCTAGTTCTCTTCCTCCGCCACAAACTACAAAAAGGCTTCTTGTCACGCGATCAAGCACCTCAGGAAGAGGAAATGCCGCAAATGTCGACTTTCATCAAGAAGCTCGAGGGATACAATGATTTGGAAGTCAGCATCATCCGCAACACCAAGATCAACAAGGTTCTCAAGGCATTGATCAAATTGAACACCATTCCTCGCGACGAAGAGTTCCAATTCCGCAAGCGGTCCATCGAGCTCCTGAGCCAGTGGAATAAGATTCTCGGCGCAGAGCCAGTCGATGGCACCGAGACTTCGGCGGACAAGGAAGGCAAAGCATCACCTGCCACCAACGGCGTTCATGAGGAAAAGTCGGCCGAAAAGCCAGAGGACGCTACCGCAGCGGAGAAGAAGGACGACGAATCCGCTACTCCAGTCGAGAAGCCAGCTGAAGCGACGGAGGAGAAACCTGCCGAAACTACTGAAGAAGAAAAGCCTGCAGAGACTGCAGCAGAAACCACCGAGACCACCAATGCAGAAGCTAAAGCTGAACCCGAGAAGCCGGTTGAAACCGAAGAAGAAAAGCCAAGCACTGACACTGCTGAGGAGCCCTCAAAGCCCGAAGCAACTGTCCCAGAAACTGTCGACAAGGCGCCCGAGTCAGCCGAGGCTGCTGCCGAGGCGGCGGATGTTGTCAAGGCTGCCGAGTAGACATAAATGGCTGTCTTTGTTGGATGGCTTCTGAACGGTGTGCCTGGGGTGTTTTGGGTCGGGCGGATCGTCCAATTGACAAGATGTCACTATTCTCTGGGTTGAGTGCTATCAATCACACGTTTAGGCAATTCTGAGGGGTTGTTCAAAAGGTGCTTGCGTGGAGCTACTAGTAGCTGATGCTGAGAGATTGTTGGGACGAGCATGGTGAAAGTTGGAGAGCGACTCGGAGAGAGCGAGAGAGACTGAGTGAGAGACACACAGAGAGACAGAGAGAGAAATGGCTGTGCATGCACACACGAATTGAAATTCATTCCCTGGCCTTGATTGAGAACGAAAATGAGACTACTTTGCTACTGCTACAGCTATGGAATGGAACTTTGAGATGCCTGAAATGGAAATGGATTGGCGGCGTGGTTCAGCTTGGCTTGGACCTGTTCATCTCTGTTTTCGCATATGCGAGAACGAGAACGAGGTCGAGATCGAGAAGTGCCATTCGAGTCATTAAGGTACCATTATTGGCGAACGTCGTTCAGATGCAACTGAGATTGGGTGGTCGAGTCGAGATCTCAACAAGTTACTATTAAAAAATCCAATGGGAAGTTCGGACCCGGAGTTCATGTTGTTGACACCGTAGGTAACGCAGAAGTCGGTTCCTGTCTATCTAGGCTGCCAGTGCGTTTTGTAAATGCAGGTGCGGATCCAGGTCCATGTTTCCATGTCTTCCTTTAGTAGAAGTAAATGTGTTTGCGCTTGGGCTCTCTCGGTGAGGAGCCAGAACGAATAAAGGGGACTACTAGGAGCTCATCAGCTTTGCAATTGGAGTCCGGTTTGCACCTTTACTTAGAGATATTAGTATCATGATGTTGATTATAAAATTTAGGCAGCAGCAAGCAGTACTAGTTGTTGTATCTTGGAGCAGTTTAGGTTCTGTACCAGTACAGTACGACAATCGGTAAGCAGGCACCAGCCTGAGGCGGGCTACCAAACCGGCTTTTACCCTGGGCATAATGATACTCGGAAGCGAATTGAAACGGGAAATGGGAAATGGGAAATGGGAAATGGGAAATGGGAAATGGGAAAAGGGGTTAGGTGTTAAACAAAAAAGTCGGAGTAACGAGAGATCCGGTCCTTAACCGGTAAAGCGATGGATTCGAGGACAACTCGAAGTCGAGACATTTAAGTTAAGGTACTCGCTGAAAATGATAGATTAAATTCTCAAGGGCCCAAAGTCTGGCCGAGCTGACGGACACCCAGGCTTGAAATTAGACAGGAACCTTCACCCACACCTTCACTGCCATAGTCGTATGGAAGCTCACTCAAAAGTGTAGCGATCATGGTCCATGATCATCAATGACACCCTCGGCCTCATCGTCTTCAGGCAGCTCACTTAGACAGGTATCAATCATGGTCATGAGCTCGTCGACGTCCGGACGCTCGGCGGGTTCGACCTGGAGACAGCGGCGAACGACCTCGCGGACCGCAGGGTGAGGATATATTCTCTCACTTTGCGCACCTGTGGCATGGGTACCCTGGGTCTGGGCCACTTTATCTTTGCCCTTTGCGGCACTGCCCTCACCGGGCCATCTCCAGTCGCCGCTCAACACACAAATGCTCAACGACCCACCGGTCTCGTCGGAGCGGGCCTCAAAGGGCGATTTGCCCACAAGACAGGCATACATGGTACAGCCCAACGACCAGATGTCGACTTTTGTGTCGATGACACTACCCGTCTTGACGTCAAATAGCTCGGGCGCCCGGTACGGCATGGTCGAGTGCTCGGCGGCGGTGTCCTGGACGGCGATGGCCATTGACCGCGAGGTGATGGGCGTCGGACTCGGCGCCAGACTGCCCAGATCCATCAGGATGGGCGTGCGGCCGTCGTCGTCAATCATGATGTTGCCCGGCTTGATGTCGCGGTGCGCGTACGCCCGGATCTCGCCGGGCTGTTTCCCTTCCTGCGCCCGTGTCACCTCGTCCTCCGGCATCAGTGGCTGTTCTTGCTCGCCTTCCAGTTCAGCCTGGTGGGTTTGATCGGCCGTCATTGACCGTTGTTTTTGCTGCATCCTTTTTTGCCTGGCAGCAGCGTCTTGGTCCTGGCTCGCGGCTTCGTCGCGAATCGCTCGTGCCGCCGACCGTGACGGCGTGTTGCGCACGTGGTACTGGTGCATGGCTTTAAGGGCCTTGCACACCCCCAACATCAGCTGCATTAGTCGCCGCTCGCCAAACCGCGTGTGATTCACTAGGTTCGCGTTGATCATGTCTTGCAGATTGCCTCGTCGGTAATAGGGTAGTAATATGTAGACCGTCTTGCTGGCCGAGCTGCCGGAGCCTGCCTCCGTCCCGATCCCAGACACCTTTGTGCTCGAGTCGTTTTGCACCGCATGGTCGATGCTGCGGATGATGTTGGGGTGCGGCGCAAACAATGTATATGCCTCCACCTCCTTCAGCGCTTGTGATACTGACTCCTGCCCGAACGGACATCGGATCTTTTTCAGTGCGTATAATGCCGAGTCTGACGTGTCTTGAACGAGGTAGACGTAGGAAAATCCGCCCTGGAAAAGTCAGTTACTGTCCTGTACTGTACGGTCCTGTGAGATGTGCAGGGTGGCAGAAACTCTGCATTCGAGTACAGTTTATGTATTTCAGGCAGACTCAAAGGGGGCATGCATGTCGAGGAACATTTCGATCTAGCTCACCTCGCCAAGTAATCGGAGCATCCGAAAACTCCTATTGTTGATCTTTAATTGAGGCGTGCCCGGGAAACAGTATATACAGTTGCACAGCGAATAGAAGACGTCCAGCATTGTTTGCGCCATGGCGGGCGACGACACCCGATGGGGTTGTGATCGGAGAGAAATGGTGGCAGAGTGTATGCGCGCAGTATCGAGGTTGATTTATTTATTTGATTGATGTACTTTTTGCCTAGGTGCACTATTACTGCAGCCTGAGGTCGAAATCAGGGTCGAGGTCGGGGTTTAGACCGGGGATGGGATAGGAGAGGTGTCGCGGTCTGGTTGACACCTAGGCTGGAGAGCACTGATTCTAATCCTGGCCCGTGTTGGAGTACTGTTTCCAGGAGAGGAGACACGCCTGTCTCGTTGCACAATGTTTGAACAGGTATAGACAGTCTGAGAGCATCTGGGGTTGATGCATTGGAAGTAGTAGCGCCGTGTACACGACCAGCAGTACAATTGTAATCGGATATCCACGGTGTCACGGGCCGCGCGTACTTCGCCGTAGTTGGCCTGTTGGTTTAGCCTCAGCCTCGCCGGGGGAAGGAAGAAGGTTTCCCGAAGCCTCGTCACCTGCGACTGGCCGGAACTTGGACGTCGGCGCCAAGCCTGGTTTCGAGAGCGGCAGCCCGCGTCGCCTTGAACTTTTCTAAAGTCGCCATACCGTCCATACATACCTAGGTACTTCATACAAGTCTCGCCGCAAAGCATTCGCCGCACACCTCATCACCACGGTAGAGGTCAGGCCTGGCGATATCCATCCCTCCAGTACAGGACCTGCTGTGGCCGGACGTTGTCACGAATATTGGACGTAGTACAATGCTGCACTCCTGGTAGCCAGCAATCCGTTTCCAACTTTAAATTCCTTCTTTATCCACAAGTCGCCCTCTCCGTTTTCCTTCGCTCCTACGATCGGTTCGCGATTGCGATTGTATTGTCAAGATGGCGGACCCAAACAATGTCTCGCAGTACAAGTACTCGGCCATGTCCAACCTGGTCCTCCAGGTGGACAGGCGGTTTGTCTCGCGGGCAAAGGATGAGAACACTGGAGACCCCGAATCCCTGGCCGGCCGACTCAACATCCGAGATATGGGTTCACGTGTGAGCAGAGAACAGGCTCCCAAGCAGAAAAAGGTGGCTCCCGGGTTGCAGGGAGTCGAAAGAGGCTCAATCCGGGAAGGCGAAGATGTCCTGGAACGAGAGCGTAAGAAGCGGAAGAGGGGCGAGCCTGCGCAGACTCGGGGGGCTGGCGTCCTGTCGGCCGGCGATGCGCTGATCGAAGGGCTCAAGTATCGGCCCAGAACGCCAGCTACGCGGGCGACCTACGATTTACTGCTTACCGTGACTGCAAATGCATTGGGCGATGTTCCACAGGAAGTTGTCCGTAGTGCCGCCGATGCCATCCTCGAGTATCTGAAAGACGAAAACCTCAAGGATCTCGACAAGAAGAAGGAAATCGACGTTATTGTGGGTACCACCATGACTCCAAAAGAGTTCAATGAATTGGTCAATTTGGGCAAGAAGATCACGGACTACGATGCACAAGACGAGGATGAGGACATGGAAGACGCGAATGCGAACGAGGCCGAACTCGATGAGCGTCAAGGTGTCGCGGTTGTTTTCGATGAATCCGACGAGGACGAAGATGGCGTTCGCAGAACATATGAAGTTCGAGATGAGGATGAAGCATCCTCAGACGAGGAAGAAGACGTGCAGGAAGACCCCAACCTGGAGGAAGCTGCTGCGGCTGGTGGTGCTGGAGCTCCAGACGTGGATCCTGACGAGGATATAGAAACTGAAATGGTCATTGATGCCGGCATCAGTGACTCGACTCGGCGGAAACGGGAGGATAGCGATTCGATCCCGATCCACGAAATTGACGCGTATTGGCTCCAGCGCCAGGTCGGGTCGGCCTACCCAGATGCACATATCCAGCAGCAAAAGACCCAGGACGCCTTACGGATCCTGTCCGGCAAGTCAACCGAGGGCGAAGAACTATCACTCCGCGACGTCGAGAATGACCTCATGGATTTGTTCGATTACGAGCATCCTGAGCTAGTGAGCAAGCTTGTCGCCAACCGAGATAAGATTGTGTGGGCAACCAGATGGCGCAGAGTGGCTGACGACGATGATGCTCGGCATTTGGTTGAAAGCGAAATGGTCGAAGCGGGTCATCGCAGCATCCTCGACGAGCTGCTTGGGAAAACAGACCGAAGCACCGACGATTCACGGCCCGCTAAAAAGATGAAGCTAGACTTGATGGACATTGACATCCCCAAGGCTCCTGAGGAAGAGCACAAGGAGAAAAAAGACGGCGTCCTGGCTGGTGGTCTTCAACCACAGCGTCTGATCAATCTTGACAACCTCGTCTTTGAGCAGGGAAACCATCTAATGACGAATCCTAAAGTGGTACTCCCACAGGGCTCCACGAAACGCACCTTCAAAGGTTACGAAGAGATTCATGTTCCAGCGCCCAAGCCTAAGCGGGAGCCTGGCGAGAAGAACATTCCAACTACTGAGCTTCCCGACTGGGCAAGGCAGGGCTTTGGTTCTGCCAAGGAGCTCAACCGGATACAGTCCAAATGCTATCCGTCGGCATTCCATGACGATGGTAATATGCTCATTTGCGCTCCGACCGGTTCAGGGAAAACCAACGTTGCCATGCTTACCATGCTTCGTGAAATCGGAAAACATCGAAACCCGGAGACTGGCGAGATCATGCTGGATGACTTCAAGATCATTTACATCGCACCGTTAAAGGCCTTGGTGCAGGAGCAAGTCGGAAACTTCGGCAAAAGGCTCGAATCATATGGCATACGTGTTGCTGAACTCACCGGTGACCGACAGCTCACGAAACAGCAGATCGCTGACACCCAAGTCATTGTCACGACACCAGAGAAGTGGGATGTCATTACGCGAAAGGCCACTGATTTGAGCTATACCAGGCTCGTCCGTCTCATAATCATAGACGAGATCCATCTGCTGCACGACGATCGAGGGCCTGTTTTGGAAAGTATTGTCAGCCGTACCATCAGGAAGATCGAACAAACAGGTGATCCTGTGAGAATCGTAGGACTGAGTGCCACTCTCCCCAATTACCGAGACGTCGCAACTTTCCTCCGAGTGGACCCGGAGAAGGGTCTCTTCCACTTCGATGGCTCGTACAGGCCATGTCCTCTTCGACAGGAGTTCATTGGTGTCACCGAGAAGAAAGCCATCAAGATGCTGAAGACCATGAATGACGTCTGTTATGCCAAAGTCATTGAGCACGTGGGTACAAACCAGCAGCAGATGTTGATCTTCGTCCACTCTCGCAAGGAGACCGCCAAAACAGCCAAATACATCCGAGACAAAGCAGTTGAGTTGGAGACGATCGGCCAGATCATGAGAACGGATGCCGCAAGCCGGACTGTACTGCAGGAGGAAGCGGAAGCTGTCCACGATGCCAACCTGAAAGACATCTTGCCGTACGGTTTTGGCATCCATCATGCCGGCATGGGCGTCGCTGACCGTACATCCGTACAAGACCTGTTCGCCGATGGCTATCTCAGAGTGTTGGTTTGCACGGCCACGCTGGCTTGGGGTGTCAACTTGCCCGCCCACACGGTCGTTATCAAGGGCACTCAAGTGTACTCTCCTGAGAAAGGTAGCTGGGTCGAGCTCAGCCCTCAAGATGTGCTTCAAATGCTGGGGCGTGCAGGCAGGCCGCAGTTCGATTCATATGGAGAAGGTATTATCATAACTTCTCAATCTGAGATACAGTACTACTTGTCGTTGATGAACCAACAGTTGCCCATTGAAAGTCAATTGATGGGCAAGCTCGCCGATAATCTCAATGCAGAAATTGTCTTGGGCAATATCCGGAGCAGAGATGAGGGTGTGGAATGGCTTGGTTACACCTATCTATTTGTCCGCATGATTCGGTCACCAGGCCTGTACAGTGTGGGGGCAGACTACAGCAACGACGAAAACCTCGAGCAGAAACGGGTCGATCTCATTCATTCGGCCGCTACTGTGCTTGAGAAGGCTGGCCTGGTCAAATATGACAGGAAGACAGGCAAGCTGCAGGCCACTGACCTTGGCCGCATAGCCTCGCACTACTATGTTACCCATAACTCAATGTCAACCTACAATCACCATCTCCAGCCGTCCATCAGCACCATCGAGCTCTTCCGGATCTTTGCGCTCAGTGACGAGTTCAAGTATATCCCTGTTCGACAAGATGAGAAGCTAGAACTTGCCAAGCTCTTGGGTAGAGTACCCATCCCAGTGAAAGAAGGCATGGATGAGCCACAAGCAAAGATCAATGTCCTTCTGCAGGCGTTCATCTCTCGGCTGAAACTCGAAGGACTCGCCCTCATGGCAGATCTAGTCTATGTCACACAGTCAGCCGGTCGTATCCTGAGAGCTATCTTTGAGATTTGCCTCAAGAAAGGTTGGTCGTCTGTCGCAAAGACTGCACTCGACCTGTGCAAAATGGCCGAGAAACGCATGTGGCCAACCATGACCCCCTTGAGACAATTCCCAATGTGTCCGCGGGAATATATTCAAAAGGCGGAAAGAATGGAGGTACCTTGGTCTAGCTACTTCGATCTCGATCCGCCGCGGATGGGCGAGCTCCTGGGCATACCTAAAGCTGGACGAGTCGTCTGTGATCTAGTTTCCAAATTCCCTCGATTGGAAGTTCAAGCCCAGGTCCAGCCCATCACGAGATCAATGCTTCACGTTGAGCTCACCATCACACCCAACTTCGTCTGGGATGATGCTCTCCACGGTGTGGCCGAATCATTCTGGATTGTGGTTGAGGACTGTGATGGCGAGGAATTGCTGTATCATGACCAATTCATCTTACGGCGCGAGTACGCCGTGGGTGATATGACGGAGCACTTGGTCGACTTTACCGTTCCGATCAGCGAGCCTATTCCCCCCAACTACTTTATTTCCTTGCTCTCCGACCGCTGGATGCATTCCGAGACCCGGATTCCAGTGTCGTTTCAAAAGCTGATCCTGCCGGAACGATTCCCGCCTCACACTCAACTGTTGGATCTGCAGCCCGTGCCTGTGCAGGCGCTGAAGGTCAAAGAGTATGTTGATCTCTATCCAAACTGGGATCGGTTCAACAAAATCCAGACTCAAGTTTTCAAGTCGTTGTATGACAGCAATGACTGTGTTTTCGTTGGCGCCCCAACCGGAAGTGGCAAGACGGTCTGTGCCGAGTTTGCCCTGCTACGACACTGGAAGAATCCTGAAGCTGGAAAAGCAGTCTATGTTGCGCCTTTTCAGGAATTGGTTGACAGCCGTCTTGCGGATTGGCAACAACGTCTCAGTCACCTTGTTGGTGGCAAGACTATATCGAGCCTGACCGGCGAGATCACTGCCGATCTTCGAATTTTGGACCGGTCCGACCTGGTGCTGGCCACGCCTACTCAATGGGATGTCCTATCTCGCCAATGGCAGCGCCGGAAAAACGTGCAGAACGTTGAATTGTTTATTGCCGACGAGCTCCACATGCTCGGCGGCGAGAACGGTGCTGTTTACGAGGTGGTTGTTGCCAGAATGCAGTATATACACATCCAACTCGAAAACAACATGCGTATTATAGGGCTGAGTGTACCGCTCTCTAATGCCAGAGATGTGGGCGAATGGATCGGAGCCAACAAGCACACCATCTACAATTTCAGTCCAGCGGCGCGGCCTGTCGGGCTGGAATTGCACATCCAGTCATTCAGCATTCCTCATTTCCCATCTTTGATGATGGCAATGGCTCGGCCAGCATATCAAGCCGTCCTGCAATTGTCACCGGACAAGCCAGCGATTATCTTCGTTCCCAACAGGAAGCAAGTCCGGTCGACGGCGCTCGATCTCCTGCAGGCTTGCATCATGGACGATGATGACGAGCGATTCCTTCACACCAACGTCGAAGAGCTGGCGCCGTTCCTGGAGCGCATCAATGAGCGCGCACTTGCTGAATCGTTAACACATGGCATTGGTTACTATCACGAAGCACTGACGACGAGCGACAAAAAGATTGTGGCCCATTTGTTCAAGATCGGAGCAATCCAGGTCATGCTTGCTTCACGCGATGTCTGCTGGGAACTGCCTGTGACCGCACACTTGGTGGTGATTATGGGCACTCAGTATTTTGTGGGCCGTGAACATCGCTATGTGGACTATCAAATCAGTGAGGTCTTGCAGATGTTCGGCCGAGCTACACGACCAGGAGAGGACAAGCTTGGGAAAGGTGTGCTCATGGTGCCCGCAGTGAAGCGCGAGTACTACAAAAAATTCCTTAATGAAGCCTTACCCATCGAAAGCCATCTCCAACTCTGGCTGCACGACGCCTTCGTGACGGAAATCAGTACCAAAACAATCACCTCGACCCAGGACGCTGTGGACTGGACCACGTACACATACTTCTACCGTCGACTCCTGGCCAACCCCAGCTTTTACGGCTTGAACGACACCTCCCACGAAGGACTGAGCACGTTCTTGTCGGAACTGGTGGAGAACACGCTGAAAGAGCTTGCCGAGGCCAAGATTATTGACTTGGACGAGGAAGACGATTCGGTTTCGCCCTTGAACCCGGCCATGATCGCGGCATACTACAACATCTCGTTCATCACGATGCAGACCTTTTTGCTGTCGTTGACCGGCCGCACGAAGCTGAAGGGGATGCTGGAAATCGTCACCTCGGCCACCGAGTTCGAAGACATCCAGATGCGCCGCCACGAAGACCACATCCTACGTCGGATCTACGACCGGGTCCCCGTCAAGATGTCAGAACCGGTCTACGACTCGCCGCACTTCAAAGCCATGGTCTTGTTGCAGGCCCATTTCTCACGCATGCAATTGCCCATCGACCTGGCCAAGGACCAAGAAGTGATCCTCAGTAAAGTCCTCAGTCTGCTATCTGCCTGTGTTGACGTGTTGAGCTCCGAGGGCCACTTAAACGCCATCAACGCCATGGAAATGTCCCAGATGGTCGTGCAGGCCATGTGGGACCGCGACAGCCCACTCTTGCAAATCCCGCACTTCGACACCAAAATCGTCGAGATTCTCGCCAAATTCGGCATCAAGGACATTGACGATTTCATGGGTGCCATGGACCCCTCGGAGAACCCGGACCAGCCTAAACTCGTCGCTGCAATGGGCTTGTCGAACCGCCAGCTCGTCGAGGCCGCAAACTTCACAAACAACAAGTATCCCAGTCTCGAACTTGAATTTGATGTCGTCGACAAGGATGCCGTTACTGCGGGTCAGCCATCGTACCTCCAGGTCCGTGTGTCGCGCGAAGTTGATGACGAGGATGCTGAGGTAGACTTGACTGTCCATGCGCCGTTTTTCCCCGTCCGCAAGCTCGAGAACTGGTGGCTCGTCGTGGCCGAGGAAAAGACAAAGTCCCTCTTGGCCATCAAGCGCGTCACCATTGGCAAGACTCTCGCTACGAAACTCGAGTATGTTGTCCCCACACCAGGCAAGAAAGACCTCACTTTGTTCCTCATGTGCGACTCGTACGTCGGCGTCGATCAGAGCATGGCTTTTGCCGTCGACGTTGCCGAGGGAATGGATGAGGATGAAGAGGAAGGCGAAGAAAATGCGCAGGATGGAGAGTAGAGTGACAATAAAATGCAATTTCTGGTTTATTGCGTCTGGGCTCTTTTGTATCATAAACAGGATCAAATGTTTGGGAAATGTCTATCGTATCCGAGTGGGGTTGATTGAACTCGCTTGAAAGTTGTGAGAAACAACAAATTAAATACGTCCGAGCATTGTACCCAGGTCGAGTTGTTATAAATGCTTCAAGGCAAAAAATCAGTAGAAGGACAAGGTGTATCATATGTCGTTTAACCCCTTCTAGAGCAAGCTTGGAAACAATCTCCTGGCTTTTTATTTTTAGCCTTCCATCTGTACTTTTCAGCTTGTGCGCTGTGACCGCGGCATGGACCTCTGAAGAATTCCACAAGTTCAGTGCCGTAACTGCCTCAGAACGAGGCTGCTGTTTCTATTCTCATCACTCCCTACCACTTGCATGGTGATCAACCCCAATGACAGCAGCAAAGGCACATTTTCTCAGGATAGGTCGTAGCGAAACCAGCCGCACTGGTGTAGAACAAACTGGTATTCATGGTCATTCCTGCATTCCGGCAAGCTGTAGTACTCCCCCCGGCCTTCCTGATGGTCGAAGTCTGCCCTCTCACCGTTGACCGCAGAAGACGACATCATGACTCCATGAAATATATTTACCACCACCTCCTCAATGGACCCAGTGCCCATCAAAAACTTGTCTACAATCGTCGAATCGCCCCGGCTGTCAATGACAATCTCGATGGCCCTTTCGTCGGGCGGCAGATAAGCTTCCAGGCAGTCAAATATACTTTCAGCGAGTTTGATCAGGCCCCGTCGCATGGCTTTGTATCTACCAAGCTGCCTGATGCTGTGCCTTTTCAGAAGGGGCAGCCAGTCCAGCAAGTGCATAACCCATTCCTCCCCAGAACAATAGTCGAGATTTTCTTCGCCAGTTCTAAAGATTGTAATGGCCTCTATTTCGAGCTCGTCGCGCATTCGAGGGCTTAGAAAGCCCTGAATGCATTCACCACACGTACAGCCGCAGGCAATCCGCTTGAAGTCAAGGGTAGTCTTGAGCTCGAGGTCTCTCAGTCTGGCAACGCACTTGACTGCCTGCCGGCTGTGTCCTTCAAACTCGTCCATGGTGAGAGTTACAGAAGATCCGGATAGTTTCCAGGTTCTCCGGGTTTCAAGTTCCAGGAGCAGAGCCTCAAGTGGTGTGTCGCCGACAGTGTTCCGCATCTCGGCCATCGCGGGACCGGGTCCCTCATCCATGAGCCAATTCAAAGCATCATAGCAGAAGCGCAGAGCCGCAATGTGGAGTAGAGTATTTCCCTCCTCATCTGTGGCCATCCATCGGTCGTCTTCGAATGGTATATTGTGGAACTGTCGTCTCATCACTTTCAGGAAGTTTTTGTTATTTGCTCCAGTCAGGGCTTCAACCACACGCTGTGGAAACTTCACCTTTGCACCAGCAATTTCTCTGGTTAGATCATGGTCTTGGTCCAGTTCAATGGAGGATTGAGAAGGCTCGTTGCCACAGTATAGTCCGAACCATATGGAGGACCCAATACGCCTGAAGCCCAAGCGCCTGAACCAGCGAATGGTCTCGACATCTTCATTCGCAAGCATCTTGGCCCGTTTCTGATTCTGTAATATGGCCGACACGGCCTCTTGGAAGTGATAGTCCTTTGTAGCGTTGGGCCTGACGACCGCAGTGAACTCTCCGTTCAGTGCTTCCCTGGCCATGGCGTGTAGCAATCTTGTCACCATTTTCAGACCAATTCCACGCCGCCGATAGGATTCTTGGACATGGATGTCTTCGATCAGCAGTATGGCACCTTTATTCAATTGGTCCTGCCAGAAACCGGAGCCTCTTTTGACTGGATGACACCGATATTGTTGCTTGAACCTTCCGTATCGGTCAAAGAGGTCAAACGCCAGTAGAGTCACCTCGGTGAGTTCCTGTGCCATGTGGCTGTAGAAGTTTTCCCTGTCGCGGTCCTTCCTGATGAGTGTGGCATAGCAAGCTCCGATGATCTTGTCCGGGTCGTTCTTACAGGCCACGGTTACCTGAACATACTGCGGCGCGCTCCCTGAATAGAATAAATGACGGCCGAATTTGTCGTCACTGTATTTGAAGGAGCAGCTTGTGTCGGTGAGTAAACCAGTGCCTATGAGACAGTGGAAGGGCCTTGCATGACTTGATTCGCTTGTGCCAAGCTTAAGGAAATGTGCTACCGATTTGGCCTCAATGAACTTGACCGTCACAGTAAGCTCTTCAACTATTGCATGTTCGTCGGGCAATAGGGTGTCAGGCTCTGTGGCGGCGGGTCGGCCAGATTCGTGTGGCTGCCGACTGTCATCGTGCTGGCTACTCTTGTCTCCCAATCGAAGGACCTTCGCGGCAGATGGTCGATTCAGTTGTGAACCAGGACGCTTGTTGGGCGTCATGTTTGTGGGAAATAGAAGCGTCGAGTCGAGAGGGCTGGCCGAAGAATGGATGAACAAGGACGAAGGGTAGAGCTAGGTCGAAGAGGGATCATTCACAGAAGACAAAACAGCATCTCAAGTTATGGACGACGGACTGGGACGGAGGAGTTTGGACGAGGTGAATGGTAGTAGAGACCCGGCTGAAGCGAGAAAAACGGGGCGTGGCAGCGGCGCAGGCAGCCGTGAGTCCTTCAAGTTCTCGGACGGTGACTGCAGCGCAGGCAACGGCGTTCAAGTTCCCTCCACTGGACTTCTCACCTCGCACCTGCCTTGCCATAGTTTTCGAACTCACCGACCATTGCCAGTATCACAACCTCAGAATCTGCCCAAGGAGAGATACTAGTACGACTCGTGTCATCCGTAATAGTATCCTTTGTTCGACTTCTGGAAGGTCCTTACTAGGTAAGCTTGACAATAGACAAATCGCTCTGTGACATTGCTGTTCAAGTTCTGCGCTGTAGGTGGCATTACATCCTCCTCCTTCTGAACCCTTCTCCCTTCTATCTGACCACACGAGCTTCTCTCGACCCCTGGACTTCTCTGCAGCCTTTCGCAACACCGCTGTCACGAACGGGTCCACGACCGCATGGGAGTATGCCCCAATATGACATGAATTCCGAGCACTTGTGCTTAGGAATCCTGGCCTTGTGTTTGAGATCGTACTCTTTCGTCAGTTAGTTGGGACAACGCCGTAACAATAAGTTGATGTTGCTCGAGGAGTTGGAGCGTTTTCAACGGTAGGAAAAATCGTTTCTGCGTTGCCCTGCAGTTCCGCGTATATGCCGTTTAGGAGAGACTTCAGGTGCTGCGTATAGGCATGTCAACGACGTTCGGCTTTGTTGGCTGCTGCGTGTTGTTCTTTTATGGACTCGCCCATTGGTACCAACCAAGCACCTAGCCAGGCTTTCGATCGTGCTGTTGAAATCCAGCCGCCCGCGATTGAATTGTTGCTTGAAGACAGTTGTAAGAACCCGTGGCAATTTCACAAGACATGCTCGGTAGGGCAGCATACGTGGCTGACTGCCCGGTTGGCGAGGGCTGAATTCTCGCCAAAAACACCAAGCACCTACCTACCTACCTTAGCCTTCCGGGTTTGGGCTGGATATCGAAGAAGAAAGAGAGAGTGCGCTTGCAATTGTCCCGAATTGCAGAGTGTACATAGCACACAGAAATTCACCCAGCACTGCATCGCCCAGCAATGAGCATTTTCATTGCAGTGGCAACTTTACAGATCGTTTCGCCCACTGCAATGACACTATTTGCATCTGCCCTACTTGTAGCTCCCATGCGCGGTCAACCTCGCGGAGAAAGGCAGCCCGGGGGGGTTTTGTCACTTCAACTTGAAGTTGCCAGTGGACGGCTTTTCAAGTTGTTGACACGCCGAGTGCGGGCCGAGAGTCCCCCTAATAACTAATAACTTGAACCCCATGGTGGATGGAGATGGAGAACCGCGACGCTCAGCCGAATCGGACTCGGAGTCTAGCAAATCTCGCTCAAGGCTGGGTCCTGATCATTGCCGACGCCCTCTTCCGATGCCGAACTTTGATGAACCCCATGAAAACAAAATGTCTTTATCCGACGACCGACGACCGGTGGCGGCGCTCGCTCAATGATTGATTGCGGGAGACTATAGCTACAGTCCTACAATTCTTTTGCCAACGGTAGAGTACTAGTATTGTGTTTTGTTCTACAACAGACGCCTGCTCTCTGCTTTGCCTCTAAACAATCTCATGCCTATGAACAGCGTATAACATTGTTTACAGTACCTACCTCTGCTCAAGCGCTTCTCCAGATCCTCTTACATCGCTCCTCCCTAAAGGCGCAGTCACAGTATACTCTGATCTGTCCTGTCCCAGACTCTATCCCCCCAAGATGGCGCAAGCAAAAGGCCTCAAGCAGATCCTCACCAAGCAACCCAGCGACGTTGTTCTCCTCTCCTCCCTCCGAACACCAGTCACACGAGCCGTAAAAGGCGGGTTCCGCGACGCCTACGACCACGAACTCCTATCGCACATCCTAAAAGCCACACTCGCCGCCAACCCGAACCTAGACCCTGCAAAGATCGACGATGTGGCCGTGGGCGTAGTATTAGCGGAGCTAGGGGGCTCGAAAGCCGCGCGCATGGCCCAATTACACGCCGGATTCCACGAGCGGACGGCCCTGCACACGATCAACCGGGCCTGCAGTTCCGGGTTGGCAGCTGTAACCAGCATCGCCAACATGATTTCTGTGGGCCAAATCAACGTCGGCATCGGCGCAGGCATGGAGAGCATGACTAAGAACTACGGCAGCAAAGCGATCCCGACTGCACTGTGGGACGAACTAAAAAACAGTCCTGTGGAAAACGCCCGCGATTGCATTATGCCCATGGGCCTGACGAGCGAAAACGTGGCCAAACGGTACGGAGTGAATCGAGAAGACCAGGATGCTTTTGCCGCCGAATCTCACAAGAGAGCGTCCAAGGCTCAAAAGAGTGGTCTGTTCGATTCCGAAATCGTCCCCGTCAAAGTCAGGCAATATGTCCCTGAACAGCCGGATGTTGCGCCGAATGAAGTCGTGGTCGATAAGGACGATGGGATCAGACATGATGCCAGTTTGGAGAAGATGGCCAAGTTGAAACCGGCTTTTTCAAAGGACGGTTCGTCAACGGCGGGTAATTCGTCTCAGATCTCTGATGGGGCCGCTGCGACTTTGCTCATGCGTCGCTCAACTGCTAATGAACTGGGATTGTCGAAATCCATTATTGGAAAGTGGGCAGGCACGCAAGTTGCTGGATGTCGGCCAGATGAAATGGGTATTGGTCCTGCTATTGCTATTCCTAAGTTGTTGGATTATACCGGACTCAAAACGGATGATGTTAATGTCTGGGAAATCAACGAGGCCTTTGCAAGTCAAGCTCTTTATTGTATTCGGAAACTGGGGCTGGATGTTGAGAAAGTCAACCCGCGCGGAGGCGCAATTGCCCTCGGTCATCCTCTCGGTATGACTGGCACGAGACAGTTGGCTACTCTGATGCCCCAGTTGCAGGAGGGCCAAGTCGGTGTTGTTAGTATGTGCATTGGTACTGGGATGGGTATGGCTGGCTTGTTTGTGAGGGAATAGAGGAATAAGAATTGAGCTTCTCGGGTGGGCCCCCAGGAGGAAGCCGGTCCCTCCCCTTTCCGTTTTTGCTGAGCCTGACCCGGAAGAATGGACAGCAGTATTTGAAGCACGTCCCCTCGGCACGAAGCGAGGCGGACTTCTTACGCTTTACATGCCCGAACCGAACCTGCTGTCCCGGCGTCATGAACCCGGTTCCGCTCATCACAAAACCGGATACCTTATCGATGTCCATTTCTCTGTTTCTGTCTCGGCCTTCAAGTTGCCAATGGATGGAAAGACGATGGCTCTGGCACGGTCGGACAGACTGCCAGTGTTCCCAGATCCCAACTGTGGTCATTCATCAGTGGCATGCATCAGGAACCAGGGACCAAAAGGTACAGTTGCGATGCCGGTGCCAGTGGGTAGTCCACCGCAAGAGCTTGAACCTCATGCAAGCTACAACGGCGGGCCGATACTTTCCACCTGGATCCGAGCAATCTTCTACCTTTATACACACAACACACAGTCTCCGTCTCACTTCTATGCAGTGATGTGGTTCCCTTTTATCCCAATTTGAGCAGGTTTTGTATTCTATATATATAGCACGAAAAGCGCCGGTGAGACTGTCCGGTCTGTCAAAGTGAACATGTCAAAAGCGATCGTTCCTGTGATGTGCTCTGGGCCACATTGGTAGTGTCATTGCATTAGCGGTGGAATATTTTATAATATATCTTGTGTTCAAGTTATATTGTATATTTGTACATTGGACACCCTCCGTAATTTCGAGCTTCCTGCTCTAGACAATTTGTCTCTGGCCATAACTTAACATCAATAATGGCCACAAAAACAGATTTGGAAAGAGACGGGCATCGGCAACAACCCGTAGACAAAGTTTTTGCTGGTTCAACGCCCCCGAACGGATCCGGCGACTCAGTGAGCAGATGATGACTTTCAATGCTCATGTAGCAAATCATGAGCATCACTGGCAGCGACTGGCGACCAAGCGTCTCCTCGCCTCAGCGCACCAGGCATCCAGGTGGTCACAGAGCAGAAACCCTGCATGGTACAGTATGTATATACCACAGTCAGACTCTCATGGATGATTACCAAACTGTAAACCCGCAAGAGTCGTAACATTCCGCGGACCCAAGACAAATCGAGTGAGTGCAATGGCCGAGCTGAAAACCGAAGATATTGCCGAACCGACCATTGAATACCTCATGCCGTCGTCTGTTTCGCAGCCTGGTTCCACTCCTCGCCCTGCGGCGCAAGCACCTTATGTCCCAAGACAGGCAGCCCTCGAGCCCGGAGTTCTCGCTCAATAACCTTCCATCGGCCAAGTTCCTTCTCTTTGTCAACAGCGGTCTCGCGACGCGAGAGGACCATGACATTCGGACCGAGCGGCTGCGATACTTGAGACTTGCTGTTCTTGTTGTTTTTTCTTGCCGCCGAGGCCTCTTTGGCCGCATCGATCGCTGTGGGAGTAGACGCTTGGCCATCTAGGCCGAGCAGAGCTTGTCTTTGCTTTGCGATTAAGGCTTCGGACACGGTTTTGGGTTTCGGTTTGGATGTCTGAGTTAGGAGCTCGACGAAGTCCAAAGCCGTCTTGTTCCCGCGCAGAACGGCGTTGAGGGTTGGGTCGGGCACGCGGAAGCCTGAGAGCTGCGAGAAGCGTTTGAGGATCTGGAGGCGAAATCGGAATGGGTCAGCACAGCACAAACGTGCGAAGAGGCAAAAAAGAAAAAAAAAATGCAGTTGTCATATAGTACCGCCGTACGGCGTTTCTTATAGCTTCATGTCATAAATGAAAGGGGATGAACTAAACTCACCTCGAAAGTCAATGGGCTGGAGAAATCGAATTTCGCCCCGGCCAACTGCTCCTCCATTGCGGCCACTGAGATCTCAAACGCCTTGGTCCCCCCCTGTGTTGCTTCGGACGTGACATTGTCGGAAGTGGAAGTCTCTTCAGGTCCTTTCTCAGCCTTATCCTCGAGGTGAGAAAATGCGCCCGAGGTAGTAAGTTTGATTTGTAACGACGACACGTCGATGGCTGAGCCTTCATCTAGAGTCCGCTCCGTCGCCGTCTGTTGTAAGGCCGGGTTCTGCCCCTTATACGGCAGCTTCTCGATCAATGCGACGTATATATATCCTAGAAATTCGTTTCGATCAAGAGTAGGAGTCGCGGAGGGAACAAGCCACCTAAATAAACGAAAAGAACGGTCAGTGTCTCTGGATGTCTTTGACTCTCGTCCGTAGCCGTAACAGGTGCGCAAACAAACTTGTGAGAGGGGGTAGTGCTAGGGCCAGGAACTTTGCTTACGGCTCAAATTCGTCTTCTGGTCGGGGAGGAAGATCTCTCCAGTGGCCCTGGTGGCCGATATGTTCGAGCCCGTCCCAAGTGTATGCTTCTTTATATTCCGGGTCTTCGTCCGTTACCCGGGACTCCGCCAATGAAGCTGCCCGGGTAGAGAATGAGGCCGGAGATCCAGACTGTAGTCTAGACCTTACGAGCCATGCCTTGCGTGTTGCTGGTACCGTTTGTTGTCTGGAGATCGTGTCGGAGGAGAGTCGACGGGTTTGTTGCGCATTGGGTGCGATGCCTTGGGTCCTGCATGTCCTGCAGATGTATCGCGGCGTGGAAGACTTGGACAGATTGTCGCATAAGGACCGAGAGACACGGTGGGACGAGGCCATGGCTGCAAGGAGAACACGAGCGTTGATCAAGAGTTGCTGAACCAGTCTCTCAATTGAAATTCGTCTTCACGTTCAGTTCAATTCCGGAGCTCGAATTCCCTCCGCCGCGCCAAGAGAATAAATTACGGCGAAGCATGGTTCTGCCAGTTGTGCAAATACGGCCGAGTACATTATCCACTGCACTAGCAGCAATTCTTCTCGCAAGACTGAACTTGAACTGCCAGTGGTTGGACTGGGCTTGAGATTCACAATCATGTTTTTGTGGCATCACTTCATAATAAGCTAAGGTAGGTTCAATGAGTGGCATCGCGCCGGATGAAGACTACGTGCTCTGTCCTGTTTTCATCTTTTCTCCTCATGCAGTTCCTGGGTACAGAGGCGACCTTTGACTGCCTTGTTTGTCCCAGGCCCGCGGCGGCGTAAAAGGCTGGCCCGCCAATCCTTCACAACCCTTGAAGGATGCTTTGCAGATCATTATTCTTCTGATCAGGCTTGACAACCACGCCCAGAGCTGAGCAGACAGGCACATTAGTGTCCTGGAATGGCTCGCTTGGGGTAAACTGGATGTCTGTGCCAGGACGGAAAATGAGACAGTGGGTGCTACCCCCGAAGTGGAACATTCCAATATCGTCGCCTCTTGTAACCTTCTGGCCCTCTTTGACAGTGACCTCGCAGCTGCTGACTTCGGCCATTCCGACAGCCACGAAGCCGACCATGCCGATGTCCGCGTCGTCGGTCTCGAAGAAGATGAGGGCTCGAGTGGCCACCTCACAGATATATCCCTGTGAATTGTTGGGTGCGGATGGGTCGGGCCCAATGCTGACGTTGGGATTGGCGAAGCCCTCCCAATAGTTCTCCGCATAGTATGTTCCAGGGATATGCACGACCTTGGCCACCTTGCCTGAGACGGGCGCATGCCATCGGTGATAGCTCGTGGCGGACAGGAAGGCTTGATAGACTGTACCGCCCACGAACTGGTCCGTGTAATCGTCTCCGCCGAGCATGTCCCGCAGACTATATGGCTGGTCCTTGATCCAGAATTGGTCCAGTTCCTTGACATTGTGGGAGATACGGTATGGAGTCGATTCGCACGCGTTGCCGATAACTATGTCAACATTAGGGTACGCGATCGGGCGGATTTCTGGCTTGAATTTTCTGGTGAAAAAGTCATCCCAGGATAGGTAGCCATACGCCGGCTTCGACGGATCACATTCAAAAGCCTGTGCGAATGTGACCGGGTGATTGGGATCCGCCTCGCTGGCGACCTGGCCCATGACCTTCAGTGCTTCCTCACTGAACCAGCCATCCGGATCGGTACTGAGCACCGAAACTGAGTCGGGCGAGGCAAGGTACTCGCTCCATTTGGTAAGCATGTTGCGGAACTGGAAGTTGACGTCCTGACGCAGGAATGCCGAATATCCTGCTGCAGTTCCCATCGGCCAGTCCTATGTATTTACGTTAGTCACTCCATTATGTAGGGATGAGTGAGAGCGGGATATTTTCAGTGACAACGAAAGCAAGGGTGCATTGATGGCGTCGCCCAGTTTTGCACAGCAGTTGCCCACTCTCGTCTGTAATGATTATAGTACACAAATGCGTTGATTTAATCGACAGACAGATGTGCATCTCAACGACAACCTCCTACACCCTTTACTCTCCGGGGCATATGGAATATAAGAGAAGCTTACCAAGACAGCGTTGAATGGAAACCCAACCAAGCCTTTTTGGCCATCTGTGTTATAGATCCAGTGTGGACCCATGGTCATCAAGGTATTGAAGACCTGCAGCATCTCGTCGTAGCTGCGGATCTCCGGCTTGCCGGTCGGGTCCTGGTTGTACGGCGGCACGGCCGGAACCTGTTCGAACATGAGAGTGAACAGCTGCCGCACCGTCGGATCGCCCTCGATGAAATCATGGAATTGCTGAAGAGTAGGGTTCAACGGCTGTGGGTTGTCTCTGGCCTTTTTCACGATCTTCTTGGCCCATTTGATCAGATGCTCGTGGTCTGCAGGCAGCCATCCTCCTAGACGGTGACGGAGGTATGGTGATCGATGAGATTCTGGAGCCATTGTAGGGACAATAAATATAGTCTCTGGGGTCTGGGATTGCAATGGAGTTCTTAGACAATGTATAGATGGTTGAGTTGAAGTGGAAGAACTTGTCCTCCGTCTCCTGTGGCCTGGGTCGATCACATCTTTATACCCGTGCGAGTTGATATCAAAACCTTGTGGCGGTCAGCCATTGTTGCTGAGCATCAGCCAGCCCTCCCTTCCTCCTTGCTGCCAGTGTGACCGTGCAGGGCTCATATATGCAACCGAGCCGTGACTGCAGGAAGCGGCTGTCGTGTCTCACAGCTCTGGCTCTTGATGTAGAAGGTTCACGGCATGTCAGCATTGGGAAAGGATGAGCTGCGATGTCATCCCTTTCAGCTGAAGTGACCACAACATGGACACTTTTTCAAAAGGCAGAGAAGTGGTGCCGTTGGGCGTTGCGATTGGCCAATTGGAGGCACACACCGACTGTCCTACACCATGCATCTGCGCAGCAAGCCACTAGAACGCACTGTACAGGGCAGACTCCAGCTGAGTATCGTGACTGTTACACAGCATATTTTCCAATGCGGGGTTTGATCCTTTGACCTTGCTCGATGGTTGCTTCTTCGACTTGGTTCGCCCTGCTTCCTGATCCAGAGATCTTGTTGCTTCGCGACGTCGTATACGAACCCAGCTGAGGACCATCATGGGATGAGTTTGGAATAGACCAGATGCCCGGCTGATCATGTGCTAACAGTCGACCTGCGTTGGAAGAAGAAAATAGATTGTACTTCAGTTGGTGGACGCGCAGTGGGTCGGTGTCTCCACACACAAGGCTGGAACCCCCTGATCGCTTGACAATCGTCGACAACGTCAAGCAGGGATATTCTCAGCATGCAGTGCCAGTGCCAGGCGAATGACTCCTCACGCTGATCAACCTGCCAATTTGAATTCGGACCAGCTAGTGGATATGCTTGAGGAGGCCAATAACGGGCTGCAACGTCGTACACCAAACAAAAGGACGCCTAGAATGCGAGCTTGAGTAAGTGACCTGGACCTCGGACTCACCGATAGCATAGACTCCCCTTCTGGGCAACAGAATGAGAAGGTGGTCGGAGTATCCGTGGAGACGGCACAAAGGCAGGTCTTCTAGACAAGACTATCCAGTTTTAATCAGTGGAGTTGCTGGTTCTGTTTCTACTGTCACAGAAGCCTGCAGATCCGAAGTTCACAGTCGCTGCCGGATCGTCTGTCGGGCGCTATGCAGGACGCGTACTATGCAGCAACTCACATGCATGACCTCTCCTCCTAGAGACGTTTGAAGCGTTGGTCAAGTGGAGTGACTGAGCCAAATTGTAACATTTGAAGGCTCCCAGACGGTAGCATGGGCGGAAGTCGGCCGGACACCATCAGAAAGACGATCCATAAGCACACAACAGTAAGAGAAGGATGGGTATAGGCTGAGAACCTCTCGAACGGCGCTTTATTGTGTCTTGTACTTGGAAAACCGACTGGATTGCGGCCTGACCATGTTGTAGCCAACTGCTGTGACAATGGAGCGGTGGCGCGGATCTTCAGTCATCTGCAACCTCCACACCGGCCGGCAGCTGTTGTCAAGTAGATCCTCTCCTACTGCAGAGAAGTATGCACCGACTCACGGGCCATGAAACCCAGCCGCATTTAGACACCACCCTCATTGGCACTTGGTTTGAAAACGCAAGCCAGGGCTAAAGGGTTTTAATTTCCCCAAGAGAAAAAGAAGATGGATGGTGGGAGGCGCTGCGGAAGAGACTCGCATATGGAAGGGTGGAAGCAAGGAGGAAAGAGAGTAGGTCCAAGCATAATAACATATACTATTATACGGACTGAAGGAAATAGCCGCACAGTGATCGATTGTTGTCGAGACCAAGCTCAGTCCCATAAGGATAATACAAGCAGTGACTTCGGATGGCTCTACTAGTCAATGCAAAGAAACCCAAAGACAAGATACCCACTTCATCTATCTAAGACGCTCCCAGTCCGGTTCGCAATTCCGTTACCAAACCCCGTATGTTCTGATCATGTCAACAGACGCGACAGTTCCTTGCAACACGCCGACACTGACATCCTTTTTGCCCTCCCGGTGAGATCCGCCCGTGACACAAGCAGTCCTGATTAGAAACACGGAGCTGTATCCACCAGTCACCCCGTTCTCCTTTGAAGCATGTTGAAAGAAACATGCACACTGACTCGTCAACACGCAGCCGTAATTCTAATTTTCACGACTATAACTCCCCCGCAAACAAGACCAACGGCATGGCCTATCAGGCCTAATTAGCCGGCTCCTTCGACGAGCGTGAATCAACAGAGCCATCCAAAGTGGGGGCTTTCTCCTTTTCGTCGCTCTTCGCTGGCTTGTGAATATTTCCTGTCGTATCCGGCAGGCCTTTCTCCTCATCTTCGGCCTGTGGTGCATTCTTCTTGTTCTTATTCGACTCAAGCTTTGTTTTGCCGATGCCCAGACATGATACGACACTGGCCACCGCACATCCGGCAGCCAAGTAGAATGTATGGGCGATGGCTTGGTTGTACGCAAGGAGCACACCTCTCAACAGCTCCTGGTTGCCTGAGCGGGCGATCTTGCCTAGAAAATCCGTTGCCCCCGCGGCAATGAGGTTGCTTGCATCAACGCCAGGAGCGCGGGTCTTCAGGGCACTGCGCAAAAGGTTGAGGAATGCTGTTTGGGCCAGGCCAATGCAGATGGCCCCGCCGAATGTTTGAGCCCACATGACGTTGGAAGTCGCGGTGGCTATCATATCAGGTTTGACCACCGCTTGCACAGCCTGAATAGGCTGCTGGATAGAGAGCCCGCGTCCCACGCCGTTGATGATTTGATATCCGACCCATTTGCCCGCTCCTGCATGGATGTCCAACGTGCTCATCAAGCCAGCAGAAACAGTAGCCAGAGCGGACCCAACTACCGCGAAAGGCATGGGATAGCCCAGCCGCGTGACGAGGGCACCCGCAATAATGACGGTGGTAATTTGAGCGCCGAATGTGGGCAGAGTGTAGACGCCGCTCATGGTCGGCGACGCAGACTTGCTCACTTGGAACCACAACGGCATGTAGTACGAGAAGATGATCAAACTTCCAAACTGGAAGAACGTAGTAATCATGCTGCTGTAGACGACCCGGTTGCCCACTAGAGATGCAGGAATCATGGCGGCATCCCCGTGATAGTATTCCCAAATGGAAAATGCAACAAATGCGCCCGCACAACCGCAGAGTAGCCCGAGGATGATGGCTGAGGACCAGGAATAGGTACTTCCGCCCCATTCTAGGGCGAGAAGAAGCATAACGCACGCCGGGGCGAAGATAGAGAACCCAATGATGTCGAAGTCGTGAATGACGTCTCGAATTGTCCAGCTCGCTTTTCGTGCCTTGTATGGTGGAAACTTGATGAAAAGCATGACCAACAGAGTTACACCTCCAACGGGAAGGTTGATCCAGAAGCACCAGCGCCAGGAGGCATGTTGAGTCAACGCACCGCCAATAAGGGGCCCAGCTAGCTGACCAACTCCTGCCATGGACATCAATAGCCCCATCAACATTGGGCGCTGGTCGGGTGGAGCAGCCACTCCAAGGATGATGGTGGCACCGTTTAAGAGACCAGATCCTCCCATCCCTGCCACTGCTCGACCCACCACCAGCATTGTGCTTGACTGTGCCACCGCACATATCAACGAACCCAACTCGAAGAGTGCAACGAAGAAGAGGAATGTGTATTTGAGGGAGAAGTATGTGTATGCCTTGCCGGTCAGGGGTTGCAGTGCCGAATTGGTCAGCATATAGGCCGCAGCGTACCAGCCTATGTCGGCAATGGTGTGGAAGTGGTCGGTGATTCTAGGGATCGCGGTTGCGAGAATGGAAAGATCCCGGGTTATCATGATAGCGATCAGGAAGAGAGAAGCGATCATGACCATAAGAGGTCTGGGACTGAGATATTGATCGGGTTCCTCTGCTGTTGACGGCGCATTGTCCGTGATGGACTCCGGGTTCGACGCGGGAGGGACGGGTGCAGTGGGCGGACTCGATTCCATTGCTTCCACTGGGGAGGGAATAGTCTCCCTGCGCACGGTGGACAACTTCAGTCTCCGTCGAAATGACTCCATCTTGTTAGATGCTGTTAGGAAACCTGTTGAGAAGCCTGAAGAGCATCACAGACATCATTCGCAGCGAGACCCTTTGTTTATGTACCAGTTCTCCTGTCCGTACGGAGCCAAAGCGACACGGAGGGGATATCGTAAACTCCGGGTCCGGTCACGTGAGCGACGGCCGACTGGGGTGGGAGTCTGGTCGATGCTGATGGCGTGGGCCTCCGTCGACAAAATCCTTCATTGACCTGTCATCCTAGATCGTGCAAAAATGTCTCCTCCGGTTTGCGAGATCATCTGCAACCTGAATGTTTGGGAATATTCAGGTGTAGACTGGAAGATCTGAGTTCCAATCTTCTGGCAAATTCTGTCCCATTAGATACTCGAATCCGTCGAAAAACCCTTCCATAGGGAGGTAATATGCGGAGAATGATGCGTTATTGTCGGAAATGGATGAGAGGTGAGCTTCGGCTTCTGTCTTGAGTCTGTTCTCGTACCAATTTTTGAAACCTCGCGTCCGTTCAGCGTATAGCAAAAAGCACCCACCCACACCCTTAGATTGACGACCTTGACTGAGTTGAAATTGCGCAGCAGACTGCATTTGAGCAATCAGTCGATCCGACATGGTCGAAAAGCTCATGCTAGACGACCTCAGGTAGTGTACATCCCAACCATCTGTAACCAGGAAAGATAGCTTGGCCAGCATGGTATGGGCATATATCAGATCGATCAATGCTAGCAGAGGCAATGACGGAAGACTCCTAGGTGAAAGTGCCGCAAAGCTCTCATGAACGCGTCGAATGTGTTCCACACAGGCATGCAAAGCCTCCGCCCTCTGCAGAGGCTCGTCGCAGTCCATGGTGAGAACCGGCTCATAGAGGCCAACCATAACACTCTGTCTATGCATCTCAACAAAATCTGTGACCTGCAGTTAGCACCGCCACGCCCCATGCACCAAAGGAAAGAGAACGGTTCTTGGGCGCATTCGACGCAGCCGACATTACACGGAGCTGTTACTTACTGTTTTCTTTCACTTTCACCGGAGCGGTGCGTTGCAACACCTCGAAATCTTCCTCAAGGCAACGTACGTAAGAGCGGATGGGTACCTGACCACAAAGACTCAGAGCGCCAGTTGCTGGCGAATATCTCTCGACAATACGCTGTAGCCGGACAACGTGGACCGCATCGATATCAGTCGGATACTCCACTGTCCGCGCAAGGAAGTTGCAGCATTCTTCAAGGTAAGGCGTCCAGCGCATGGGATTGCAAGAAGAAAGCCTGCTGGTAAGATAGTAGACACCAAGGACCGCGCGGCGTTCATCCGTGGTTCGGGCACCATCTGCAGCCGCTCTTCCATGAATTAGCTGATGTATGTCAATAAAACCGCCTGTGGCAGACGAGTTTTCGGTCTGCGCAGCTTTGTTCAATCCAAGATCGAGGATCAGCGCCGAGCCAAGGTGCAGTAAATTCATCAACTGCGCAGTATGATGATTGTAGTATTGACCCCTTCGATTATGTTAGTCCAGAACTCCAGTTTTGGGTCTCAGTTGACCAAGAGTCGAAAATCCTGAGCCTTCATGGACACGTTCTCGCAGAGAGACTGCCCGACGGCTGATGATGGAAAATAGACTTACCAGGCGACAAGAATCAGGATCCCTTGTAAAAGATCCAGGGATTTGTCACCCCTGACGAGCATGCAATCCCCCAGCTGTTTGGACAGCTCATGAGCCATTTGCCGTTGCAAGTGTAAATCGCCGTGGCAGGCAACCGTCAGACAAGCTCTGAAAAGGAAAGGTTTTGCTCGACGAATTTCCGCAATTGTTTGAGAGGGAGGAATGGCCACAAAGGGGAAATATTGACTCATATCGGTTCGAAAATCGCTGAAAATCCGTTCTTCGGCCATTGGTGCCAAGGTTTGAAAGATGCTCCTGTGTGGCTCCGCTGAAGGCGCATTCGGGAAAACTGGCCTGCCTTCAGTTGAGTTGTTATCTTCATGACTTGACGAGACCGATGGTGTTGGTAATGAAGTGCTCGTTGATGATAACAGGTCGCTAGACGCTCCAGCTTTGGCGAGAAGATCCGTGAGGCTGTTGAGTCTCTCTTCAAGTTGCGCTACTCGCCTAAAGCATAATCAATTAGTATATACCAGTTTGGCAATACCAGCTTTTCGAGAAACGGAGAGGTTGTGGACGATAAGAAAGAACAAGTACGAACACCAGATTTGGAAATTCTTGTCGGGGTTGCAGCGTGCTCAAAACTTACGTGGGCTTCTCTCGTGTGCGTTTCCGAGGTACGGGCGCGGGAGTGGTGCATTCTTTCCGCAAGCGATGACATCTATTGACCATCATTGTCAATCAACATTGTGGGACACCGAGCTACGCCCATAGAGAGCAACGAGTCCTACCTTTGACAAATCGAGTTATGAGACCCCTCAAGTGGAATGCATTTTGCTTTGATTTGGACACAATTCCTGCACGCCCGGTGCGGTCGTAGGCCGGGGGTGTCAGGAGAAGCCGATGTCATAGCTGTGCTCGACATACTACAATCTGAAGCATGCAGAAAGATGTCGCAGCGGCGCCACAAGGACGTGTATTAGAGAGGTGGCATTGTTTGCGAAGTTGAGAAGGACATGGTCCGGCTCCGTATGTAAACTCCGGGTCCGGTTCAGTGTAAGGCGTGGATGGAACAGCAGGTCCGTCCACTTCCGTGTTGCTCCGGGCTTGTCCTGACTGGAGACAAAGTGATGAGGACGATGAGATTGAGGCGACCGTAACTTGGATTAGACACCAAGTTAACGCCCACGGAATCACACCCATCACTCCTTGAACGATTGAAGTTTGTGGCCATTGCAGCGAACTCGGACACGAAAGACGCTGGATTTAGTGGAGCCAAACTGGGTTAGAGCTAATGTTGGCTCCCGGTCGAACTATTGCTCCCATTGGTCGACAGGTACTACCGCACTGTTTGACTCACTTGGGGCCTGTACTAGTGGTATACTAGCACAGTACAGCCTTTCTCTGAAGGTAGTTGCAGTAAATGTTGAGTCTGCTGGCAGTTGACGAGGTATCAATGGTGATCAAGGGAGTATAAGACGAGTTGGTGGTCAAAGTTGTCTTTGGTATGACCAGTGCTAGCCCTATTGATCTGTATTCTATTTATGAAAATTTTATGCGCCAACAGCAAGTAGCGAGTTGACAGTGTCCACAATGGTCTCCTCCAGCTTTCGATATTCCAGTCCCAGCACCTCCTTGCTGCGCGAGTTGTCATAGCCGTACACGTCCTCGGGCAATTTGGTATCAAACTTTTCAGGAAGCTTGTCCGCAAACTGTGGGAATTTATCTTTGATGATCTGGGCGATCTCGCCGTTGGTCATGTACCCGGCAGTGACGAAGAACCGCTTTCCGCCAGCTGCTGGTGTCTCCATGGCTTTGACGTGTGCAAGGGCGACGTCCCGTACGTCCACCCACAGGTAGACGCCTGATGGTGGGAGCCCGTCTTTGAATTTTCCCTGAATCATATCTCGGATGCGCGCATTCGAGGTATTGATGGCATCAAGCGAGTTCAGGTAGTGAACGACAGGACCAAACACCAGAGGTGGGTTGATCGTGGCGATGTCAAAGTTCGGCTTCTCCTTCTCCACAAACTCCCAAGCCGCCTTCTCAGCAAAGGTTTTGCTCGCCCGGTACGCGTCGGTGGGGCTGTTCACGGCTTCTTCTTCAGTAATCGGGTTCCAACTGGCTTCTGAGTAAACCTTTTCATGTTTGTTCAAGTTGAGGATTGCAGCAAATGATGAGGTGATAACAATCCTCTTAACGGTCGGAGCGAACTTCTTGACAGCTTTCAAGATACTCGTCGTGCCGTTCACGGCGGGATCGATCAGATCCTTCTTGGGGTCGGTAACATTGAAATGGAATGGCGATGCGGTATGCAGGACAGCCTCAAAGGGCGGATCAGACTTGACAGCCTCGTCAAAGGCCCCCTCCTCGGAAATATCCTTCACAATGACATAGCTGAGTTGGCTAGAGGGAGTGCCAGAATGATTCTGCAGGATTTTCTGCCCCTTTTCGTCCGACCGGACGGTGAAAACGACACTGTGGCCTCGCCTCACAAGCTCATCCACGATGTGGGCGGCGATAAAGCCAGAACCACCTGTGAGAAGGACCCTCATGTTTGATGCGCGGGTGGAATAGTAATATCAAAAACGGATGGCGACAATATGGCTTGGGACGATGATGAGAACCCTAGATTTTGCGTTGGCAGCTCAATTCAGGCTGGTCCCCTTATATATGTAAAGCAGTTCAATGGCCCAACGGGCCGGGAAAGCCCCGCGATGATTCCGTCGAGATTTCTAGATACCGTGGAGATATGGCGTCTTCACGTCACTTTATCTGCGTGGCGTGCTGGGACCCTGAGCTCATTCGCGGATTGGGCCATTGTCCATTGCAATCATGCTGGCTGCGATTGTGGCCTCAACTCCGTTAAAGCCGGTATACGATAATGTTTAGGCTGATTTGACAAATCCACTGCCGTGGATTTGGGGATATCTCTCACCGAGTTACGCTGCGCGACCCCTAACTGGCGATTTTCGGGCCATCAGCATGCGCCACCAAGCGGACCATCTCCGCATTGATGGCCAGCAGGACGGACGTAGTTGTACGGCACTTTATTGCGCGGACGGGCGACGGCCGCAGGTTAGGCGCAAATGGGATAGGCAATCTACAATGTTGTAAACGGTCGGAGCGTTGGTGTTGGTGCCCATTAAAAAGCCTCATCGCCGGAAGTTTCACATAATTATTATTATCGCACCCGCCACTTTCATGCGCCACATCGAAGTGTACTATGCGATAAGGCTGCCACCCTCGATCTTCGACACAACCTATACGATACACGTTCCAACTACTCCATCAAGTTCCTCTTATCATGGGTAACGATGGAGGCAGGTGAGTCGCAGTCTCGGTTCATAGGCACTTTCTTTTGCTAATTGTTGCCAGCATCCCGACGCGACGTGAATTGGTCAAAGAGGCTGCTCGAAATCCCACGTCGACCGAGTTGAAAGACAAGCAGAAGGAACATCTTGCCCACCGCTGGTCCACATGCCCTGTATCTCACAAACCACTGACGAAACCCGTTGTCTCCGACTATGCCGGAGACCTGTACAATAAAGATGCCATTATTCAGTTTCTCTTACCGGCCGAAGTGAGCTCGGTTGACAAGGACGAATACGAGAAATTTATCCAAGGACGTATCAAGTCGCTCAAGGATGTCGTCGAAGTGTTATTTGAGGAAGAGCAGGACGAGAAGACAAAGAGCACCCGATGGATTTGCCCTATTACCCAGAAAGAACTGGGGCCCAGTGTGAAAGCAGTCCACCTCGTTCCCTGTGGCCACGCTTTCTCGCAGGAAGCCATTAACGAAATGAAGAGCGACGGCAAATGCGTGCAATGCGGAGTCGCTTATGATCCACGTGATGTTGTTCCCATACTTCCAAGCACCGAAAAAGACAAGGCTTTTGTGATTGAACGGATAAATATTTTGAAGTCACTGGGCTTGACACACTCATTGAAGAAAGCCAGCGGTGGTAAGAAGCGCAAGGCAAATGGTGACACCAAGGTGGAAGCCGAGGGCGGAACGCGGGCGGAAGGGAACGACGACCCTGTCAATGGAGAGAGCAAACCCAAGCCGGCTGATGTTCCTCGGTCCTCCACGCCACAGTCTGGCACATCCACCCCACAAGGAATCAAGAACGCTGCAACTGCCAGCTTAACCGCTCGGGTGCTTGAAGAAGAAGCCGCACGGAAAAAGCGACGGCAACAGAATGATAACATCAGTTCCTTGTATACCAAGAAATCAGATGACAGCACGAGAAGAAATGGCGATTTCATGACTAGAGGCTTCTCCATTCCTGCCAATGCACGACATAAATGAAGCAGGGCGTTAAGGATGCCTTGACTATTCCCGCTGGTTGAGGGGCCGTGGCGACTGATGACCTGCTAAGGTCGAAGAAGCCTAGTGAACGATGTTGGTTGATGGTTGCGCCGAGACAATCAAGTCTAGAATGAGCTACAGACTCTGGTGCACTCGGAGGAACAAGTCTCAAACCCACGGCACGAGACACACCTCTTTGACTCGCCGAAACAACACGTCCCTGACCGAGAGGGACAGTGTTGCTCGATGCGAATGCGGCCGCTCCTCCTGATATCATCAACATCAGGCATACAACGTTATGCTGCTGATAGCTCAGATGTTCTCCTTTTCGACTGGTTCCAACCTCTACATCAGGCAGTTCGTCGTCTTATCGTCCTCTGTCCACTTGCTCAACAGTCTCGTATTGTTACCGGACATTCGAGCCACTTTGGGAAGTATGATGAGTCCAAACCAAGCTCAGAGTGCCAATATCCCTCGTCCCAAGCCCGACTCCGGTTGATGGACACCGACAATACATTAGCCAACCTTTCTTCGATGCCGGTGGCTGGATGTTGGCTATCAAGCGTTTGGTCCGTGTTTGGACGATCTCCAAATGCATATGTGTTTCACGGTCCTGGGCAAGCGTGTTTTACCCTTTGAACCCAAGGGCAATGCCCGCAGGAATCTCATCCTTGGTCTCACACAGAGTCTACCAAAGCGTCCTAGGTCCGTCCGCCTTCATCAAGCCAAGTCGACGGGCTGGGGCCAGTTACGGCGCACCGGACATGTTGGCACTTCGCTAGCCGCGGGTCACGATGTCCGGTCGTAGAGACGGCAATGTCTCAGCGCTTTATCTCACCTAGCTGCTCAAAGGGCTCCCCGAATGCCCTGGTGCCGTACTGAATGCTCGGAAGTTACTTTGTCGATTACAGATTGGGTTGGCCATTGAACTGAGAGTATTGCTGAATATGAATCCTCTTGAGGTAATGATTCTCCCATTACCTCCTATGGTATCGACCATATTTTTTCTGCAGCCTATATGGGTACTCGCTATCCTTACAAGTTGAAAGTTCCTAAGCGAGCAGCGGTGTATTTTGTTCCATTCTGTAGCCCGGATCACTGATGTATACATGTGCGGAAGGTGACTCCTGATAACTACATTGTTCAATACTTGTAAGCATCGTGTCTCGGCTCAGCCTTGTTCGGCGGGTCACGAATGCCGGCGAGCGCGGCTGCACGGCGCGTATGCTCCGCCGTTTATCCAGCCTTGGCAAAGATTTGCCAATGCATTCAATGTTGTCGGGGAGTGCTGCGGCAGCACCAGGTAGTTCACGAAGCAGGGAATCTTTCTTCTGGTGATCCTGCCTACCAGCTTCAAAGGCGTGCTGTCATCAACCAGCCTGGTCTCAGCTGGTCTGACTTTGCAGCCATGACCGCTGCGCGCCTTTCGCCGGCGGCGAGCCTGCTGCGCAACTCGAAGCTGTTCGCGCTTCCACCTCCGGTATCTCTGCCGCCTACTGAACCCTCATCCGAACCCATTGCGTTTTCGGATACAGCTACCACTCCCTATCCCTTGAGAGCAGCCTTAGAGACTCCGAAGAGTTCCTTACAGAGGGGTGACTGGGGGTTGAAGCGGTCGCTGCCCGTGGAGACGACCACCAAAACTGGAACACCGACTGTCAGAATACAAGGTGGAATCGATACTCGTGAACACATTGCGGACTTTGAGTCTGCTGCTGACCATGTCATGACTTTGCGGAAATTCCAAGAACTCAATTTGCGGCTGACTTTGCCCGCCGCCAAAGACAAGCGCTCAAGTTCTCGAACAAGTGTTTTCCATCATGAAGTCGATCATACCGCCGCCCAACCTGCTCCAGCTCTCGATAAAAAATACGCTCCTTCTTCCTGGTTGCACATGAGCGAGTCTGAGCGTATAGCACAGCTGCCGAAGCATCTGAGAGATAAACTGCAGGAAATAGCGAAAGCGAAACCGGCACCATCACAATCCGAAGCCACACCTCCTAGCCAACCAGCCTCTAGCATTCCAGCATCATCCCACTTTGCCCAAGAGACCAGGCGATGGAGGTACTCTGGACCGTATCTTGCAGGATTGAACGGAATGGAATTTGAAAATTTCTTGAAGAAGATCAATCGGGAAAAGAGAGCAGAGTTCAGGGAATATGTCAGGAAGCACTTGAACCGACAGCGAGCAGAAGAACAGCGTGCGGCAGCACTGGAAGAAGGTCGAACAGCGACAACCGACGTGGCAGAGGCCACCGAAGAGGATGTTACAGCATATCTACGGCATCTGCGTTCAGAACCAGGCAAATTCGGTCCACTCATTGCCGAATTCTTTGACTTGGCTGATGGCCCGCGGCCACCTTCTCAAACAACGGACCCATGGTCCTATGGCCGAGACACGATATCTGCAGACCCTTACCGAGAATCAGGGCCGCCTCGAACACACCCCTCGGCCGGGTTGTCTTACATGAGTTCGGAGATGTTCTCGCAGAATGATATCATGGTAGGCCCAAGAGATACGAGGCCTCCAGTGCCGGCGCGACTCCTCAAATCCATTCCTACCACCCACAACAGAAACGTGCCATTTGTGGGTGTGGCAGGATTCGTCGTGCCGCAGCCCACCCATACCTCCCTCACGGACTACAACTGGAAGTGGGAACCTGTCAAGGACGGTCCTAAAATGGTTGTCGCTCCCACAGCGGCTACCGTTTCGCAAGTTGGCAAGGCCGAGATCCAGACCAGACTCCTGCCAACCTGGCATTTAGAGGACGACGTTCCGGTCAATAGCGCGGAGAGGAGACCTAAGGACGACCACATCGGGACAAACAGGCGCACTAGTGGGCAACTCCCACGTGTTGACAGAAATGCCGCGAGACGTCGTTACTCGAGCTCCAGGCCAGCTCCTGAGCCGAGTCAGGACATCAGCGAAGAGATTGACGCGATGATTCGTGCGGCATCTTCCAATCCTTTGAAGAAGAAGATATAAGTGTATCATCTGTATCGAATAGTAATTGGCACAAATTCCAGCTCACTTGCTTATCTATTTCTGCTATAACATTGTTTCCTGTCATCCAATACAAGGCATTTCAAGTAGGTCTGGATACAGGGCAGCCAAAATTGTCCTTGAGAGCGCGTACCTACTCCAACATGGTCGTGTACTGGCAGGGAAGGCGTCAAGAAAATATGGTCACGTGATTGTAGTTGATTATCTAATCACTTGGCGCACAGTGCGCCCTTGCCAAGACTTCGTGTGGAAAATTGACCCTAAACGACCACATCTAAAGTCGTGGGTGTGCGCACTTCCATCTTCACGAACCCTCGTCTCGACTTCCCACCTCCTCGATCACCCGGTTTTTCGTCCAGCAGCACATACCGTCAAGATGGGTCGCGTTCGCACGAAGGTCAGTAGTAGTCTCGACCTCCCGAGCGAGCAACCAGAGTCTCCGGGGGGTCTTTAACAGAAAGCTAACTTGTCGCAAACCAGACCGTCAAGAAGTCGGCCAAGGTCATCATTGAGCGATACTACCCCAAGCTCACTCTCGACTTTGAGACCAACAAGAGAATCTGCGATGAAATTGCCATCATCGCCTCGAAGCGTCTTCGCAACAAGGTGTGTACTTCCCAGAGAGCGACGAATGTCTGTTGGTATACCCTGTGGCTAATTGTTGCTGTTTAGATCGCCGGCTACACCACCCACTTGATGAAGCGCATCCAACGTGGCCCCGTCCGCGGCATCTCGTTCAAGCTGCAGGAAGAGGAGCGTGAGCGGAAGGATCAATACGTGCCCGAGATCTCGGCCCTGGACTTCACCCAGAACACGGAAAGCGGCCAGCTCGATGTCGACGCCGACACCAAGGACCTGCTGAAGAGCATGGGCTTCGATTCCATCCCTGTCAATGTCATCCCGATTGCCCAGCAGGCTCCTCAGGACCGAGGTGGTCGCAGAGTCTTTGGCACCGATAGACCCGGTCGCCGAGACTAAACTGCTTCTGTCTCCCCGTGCCTTGCATCTTTTCCATCGAATCACAACGGAGTCTTTGACGGAAGAGAAAAAAAGGCTGAGCTTCGTGGATTGTGGAGCGGAATGCAGTGGAATGGCGCCATTTATCAACTCACTCAATAGAAAGGAGTGTGTTTGGTAAAGGGTACTTGCTGGAAAGGTGGACTGGACTGGACTGGACGAATCCATTGTCTACGTCCACGACATACCTTACGCTTGAGCATGTTGCTGTCCACGGGTGAGCAAAAAAGCCTACCGGAACAAATAGCAAACTGGTCGGAGGGGGCCAGGGTTCATTCGTCGCTTTGCGGCGTTAACTCGAGGTCGTCCAGCCATCTGGCCTGCAAGACACGCCAAGAAACAAAATTCCACAATCAAAGGTGTCGCCTAGTCCTCAAGGGGACGAAGCTTGATTGCCAAACCTCTTTTGTTTTCCCTTTGTAGATCTTGACTGTTTGCGAGTGCTAGTAGTTTCGGCCATTGTGCACTTTTGACGCTTCAAGTTGTAGCACTATCAGCGGATCCCTAGCACGCAACCGCGAGGTATCAGGACATCTATTGCCATCCTAGTTGGCAACGCAAGGTGAGTTTACATGTAGTTGTACGTCCTGCTCGAAGTTGCGGGAAGCATTGCGTTCGAACAGACAAAACTAGACTGCCAGAGTTGAGACAATATGCGAGAAACCAAGAGAGAATCATGAACCATGCATAAAGATATTTCCATTTGTACTTCAAGTACCACCACCTCGAGTACTACCTAGGTAGTCGAGACAGCAAGGAGGCGACCTCAAGTTGGCCACACGCATCATGTGTTTCAATCCATACAATAATATAAGCAAGCCCTAAACGCCACCGCCATGCCTATACTTATTAGGCCCTGTTGAATTCCTTTACCAATGCCCAGTAATCCGACATTCAACTATGGTCGAAAAAGGTCCCGGTCTCAACTCAATCAGCCTTGCCATTGGTCATACCCAACAACCCTTCCTTTTCATCCAGATGGAAATACCCACTTCCACTCTTGCCAAAGTTCTTCTTGAGCGACGTGCCGTTCTTCAAGACGTAGAGGAGCGCGACAACAGTAAGGATGAGAACCCCAAAGGACAAGTAGGGATGGTAGGTGCCAAAGTTGCGGATCCGGAACAAAATGTTTTCAAAGGTGCCGATGGTCGACTTGGGCGTCAACTTCGGGGGATTGGCCACGATTCGAGACAAGGTCTCGAGGATCGAAGTGCGCGAAGGCATAATGTATGCTCCGGAATCGGTGACGTCCCAATACCGACGGTTCTGCAGAGAATTGTGGGTCAGCTTGTGTCCATTCCATCGTCCTTCGCATTGCAAACAGCGCAAGAAAAACTTACATCTTCATCATTGATAATCACCCTTTCGCCCTTGGAAATGTCCACTCCATACGTCGACCGCAACCAGCGCTCCCAGAAGACGCCGTCGACCCAGGCAAAGGCGACGCCTTTGCGGAAGTTCTCCTCGGTAATACTGATAACAAAGCTCTTTGCCTGCCGCAATGCTCGCTGGTCGTTGCGGTCTTCGGCTTCCTCGATCCGTAGTTGTTTGGAATCGCGGAGTTCTTGTCGTTCGAGCTGGAAGGCCTGGGTTTGCTTGTCCATCCATTCCAAAGCTGCGTTCTTCAACTCGCGTCTCGATTGCATAAACTCGTCTGGGCGTTCTCGTGACAGTATACCCAGCACCACATACTTTCCAGTCATGATTTCTTTGGCGTTGGCTGCGGTCAATTCAGGAACGATAGGTAACCAGACAGATTGCATCCAGGTCAGAACCTTGCGGAAATCCCGCATGTCCTTGGGCGCCAGAGCGTTGTAGTAGGTTGGTCGTCCATCTCGAGAAACCAGGAGTCGAGGCCATGTGGAGATCTTGAATCGGTTTGCCAGGATCTGAGAGTCTGTCTTGACAATCTTGGCGTGTCCAATCAGACTCAATGTCAATCGGTCCAGAGCGGCAAAGTCTTCGGAGGTGGTCGCGTCGTCGAAGAAGTAGACGAAAATGACCTCCTCTGTCTCCTCCATTTCCTTAAATGCAGCAGCATCGACGTACTTGACATCGCTATCCAACGCCTTATTGGCGAAGGACAAGAGGTCGCCCAGTCCTCGGAGGCCCTGGTACTCGACACGCTCACCACCCCGGAAGAAGTAGATGGTAGGGTAAGCGGACACCTTTGCATCTTTGCAAAGTCGAGGGGATTGTTCACAGTTGACCTCTCCAACATTGAGCTTGCCTTCCATCTCTTTGGCCATCTCTGCCCAAGTAGGTGCAAGATGCTGGCAGTGCGAACACCAGGGGACATAAAACTTGACAAACCATGGATCCTGAGACGTAGTGACAAGCTTCTGAAAGGACTCGGGAGTCAAGGGAACGGACATTCCTTTCGGGTTCGGTGGAGGACCAGTCTTTGCGTTCTTCGGCCTTCCCAGCTTCGCAGTCTCCGAGGCCAGCATGGCCGATGTTGTTTCGGTTGAAACATCGGCAGCTTCCTTATTCTGCTTCTCACCTGCAGCGACCCCAGCGGCGGTATCTTTATCCTTTGCCAGAGGTTTCTCCGGCGTCGCGGCACGATCAATACCTTTTGCACCGGGCTTGGGCACTTTGACTCCCTGTCTCGGACGCGAACCCGGCTTGATTTGTTCCAACTTCTCCTCGACATAATTGCTGAGGGCTTCCATTGTTTTCTCGCCCTTGTACCGCTCCAAGACTTCACCATCTTTGAACAGCAAGAAAGTAGGCCATCCTTTTATGTCGTATTTCGCGCAGACATCGCCATAGGCGATACAGTTGACCGAAGCGAAATGGAAGTTGTAATAGCCGTGAAAGCTGTTGGGCGACGACAGGTCCGGTTGGCCTCCCTTGGTGCGCCCTTGAAGGGGATCTGAGGTCACATAAAACTCATATAACGTTTGCCAAAGAGGCGCGATGGCCTTGCAATGTCCACAATATGGCGAATAGAATTTAACCCACCTGCGAGTCAGTCAGTAATAGTTCCATCCGGGTTGTAGGTCACTGCAATCTTCTTACCAATAACCATCTTTTGTTGTCTCCTCGAACTTGTCGCCCTCGATATCTTTCATCGGCGGCACTTTGATGCCATTGAAAACAGTGTAATCCGTGCCCTCTCCTCCCTCGGCTGGTGATTCCCCTGAGAGCGCCTCATCAGAGATGACCGTTCCAGCCTTCTTTTCCGAACCCGGCGGGGCGGCGCTTGTGATTGTGCAGATGCCGGCAAGCACCCACGCCAGGAGTGCTGGCCTCATTGTGATATTTGACCAGCCGCTGCTGGCTCCGAGGCGACGTGAAAATGTCTCGAGGATCGAAAAGGTGTCGCAAAATAGAGTCCCGGGGGGATAAGTGTCCGCTCCGTATGCACGGAAACGGAAGAGAAAACGGCTTCTGGACCGAGTTGACGAGGTATTCACACCTGTCGCCAAGGTCACCCGAGAAGGATATATGTTCAAGTTTTGCAGTGGCCAGATTGAGCGGATGGCATGGCAAAAAGACCCAGTCGATGTAGTCGGCGTTCAGGGACAGGGACAGGATCCGCGTGTAGGTGGCCAGGCTGCAGATGCGCCATGCCTTACCAGTACTAACCGCTAATGTCTGGCCGCAGCCACAATTTCTTGCTGCTATAGAGAGCCAGAGTACGGCTGATCACGCAGCAGATAGCGTTGGTACGGCGGAGCAGATGCAACTCCTGCCACACGGTGATGCAATTGCGACCATGCGCCATCGCCTGGGGCCTTGAGCGCCTGGAAGCAGTGCGTGCTGCAAAGCCCGCTATCGCCTCACCTGCCACTGCACTCTTGCTGCTCTCGTCCTCCGCTTCCCCAGACAACTGCCCCTATAACATCTTATCTTCCTGCGATATCGACCACCACAACCATACACGACCGGAGACACTTGTTTCCGTCGTTTTAAGAGTACATCCCTTCTACACCCACAGTACCTACTCTCCCAATCCGTCACCATGAAAGCCCTCGCCCTCATCGTCTCTCTCTTCGCCGCTACCGCCGTCTCAGCACGATCATTGTTCAAAACCGATCAAAATGCTCTTGTGGACGATCCCAAGTTCCCTGTTCCTGGAAAGAACCCATTGAACGTGAGACAGATACTACGTTCCATCTATACCTATATACGCAATACTTACAGTATCGCAGTTCTGTGCGGACCCCGCCGACTATATCCTCGACATTGACTACGTTGACCTGTCACCCAACCCACCTGTTCCGTATGTGGACTCTGCGTACTAGCACTCTGTCCGGGGCCAAACTGACGTAAAAACTGCAGCGGCGAGAAATTGACCATCACCGCCAACGGCACCTTTTCGCAAACGATCGAACCTGGTGCCACCGTCTTCCTACAAGTCAAATATGGGTTGATCACCCTCATCAAGCAAGAGGCGGATCTCTGCGACAATCTGCCCAAGATCGACCTGAGCTGTCCAATCGATAAAGGTGTCATGACGTTGAAGAAGGAGGTTGACATTCCCAAGCAAGTTGTGAGTAGTAACCGGCATCTTCACAAGGAGAGAGACATCTGACAAACTTGACCATCTAGCCGCCGGGGAAGTACACCGTTCTTGCCGACGTCAACACTGTGGACAAGGAGAAGATTACGTGCATGGAAAGTACCATCTTTTTCACGAAGCAGTGATGTCATGGGACCCAGTCCTGCACAATCCATGCGATTTGATGCGATGCGAAGGGGTCTTCAGAATGATGTTGGTCCACCAATGTGCGGTGCATTGACACCATTTTCTCATTGATGTCTGTTCAACCTGTGAAATGAGTGTCCGGGTTCGAGTTGAGGCCTTCGAATGCTAGTCAAGGCGTTCTGATCGGACAAACGAAGTCAGGCCCGAGAGTGAGAGCGGATTGGGGCTTGGATGACTTATCGGTCTTCAGCATTGCGTGTTCCAATTGACTTGTTTAGCATGCTCTACAGTTAATTCCATGACTGTTTCCACATACTAGTATGCCCTCGTCATTGTACTCCCATAGCAAACCTTTGCCTACGAATATGCTACGGTGGCTCTTGTAAATGTGGCATTACTTATATATTGTACGAGTATCTTCCTTCGCCTTCGCTGCGACTTGAACCGGCGCCGTCTGACTGTACCAATAGTGGTGGGAACGTTATCTTCAGACCATCTACCATCTTCAAGCGACTCGACTTGGACAGAAGATACACGCTTGATTTGACAGGGGGAAGTTCGGTTCATGGACTTGTAGTCCGTCCCTGTCCATGTGCCCCTTAAGCAGTCGCAAAGTTCAGCGCACCACTCTTAACCCGCAGCGTCTTACCAAAGAACTGCAGGAAGAGGATGAACAGAAAAGCACCCGCACAGATCCCAGCCTGGATGCCAAAGCTGGTTTTCGTGCCCTGAGCTTCGGCCCAAGTGACCTGAAAATAAGAAATGATAAAACCACCAGTGGTGCGGCAGAAGTTGACCCAAGCGGCAGTCTCGCCCGAAGCCTCAGGGTAGGAGTCGAGATTGTAGGCGTTAAGAGCAACGGTGGTGATCATAATACCATAAACATAGAGGCCCCAGAACAGCGAGGTGACCATATAATGGTAGCCGTCTTCGAGACAAAAGCCCAGCCCGACCAGTCCAGCGAGCATAAAGGGCGTCGACACCCAGATGGCGCGCAGACGCACCTCGGGCTCGAAATGCCCGTCGTGCCGTCGAATGTAGCTCGTCGCCAGGTAGTCGTGCAGCCAGTGGCCTGTGACCTCGCCTAGTAGCGCGGCCACGACGGGCGTGAAGTAGAAGTATCCGATTTGTTTGGGGCCGAAGTTGTACAATGGTGTGAGGAAGATGGATAGAGTCGTGTTGATCCCCACAACCCAGGCAAATGTCAAGAGGTAGTAGAAACATGATAGGAAAACTGTCGGTTTGAGTATGACTTTGACGGGGCGCATCACCGCTTGTCCGAACGTGTTGCGCAGATGTCGTGATCGATATTGCGAGATCCCCAGAAGGCGCGTCAGCTTGTTACCCCGAGGCGGTTGGGAGGATGGCGGGATCCGGCGGTCGTAGTATGTTTCTTCGACGAACAGGATCGTCAAGACGAGACATAGTGACGTCTGAAGTTTGGGCAAGTTAGTACTTAAGGTTATGCATATGCATTTGGGAGTACTGCTCTGCTCTGCTTACCTCTGCGACGTAAACCCAGAATGGAACCTGCCATGGCTGCGTGCTGATGATAAAGGCTGCAAAGAGGGGGCCGAAGTAGGGAGACAAGATGATAAAAGCGGCCCAGATGTTGATCTTCCGTGCTCTTTCGTGGAAATAGAACATGTCGTAGATGAACATCAACCCTCCACCCTGAGCAACCGTGCTGAAGAAGCCGTTCAAGATCCGAGCCGCCATAAAAGACTCAAACGTCTTGGCCGCGGCGCACCAGATAGCAGTCGCCGTTGCCAGGATGAGGAAGTAGAATAGCACGGGAAGACGGCCAAAGTAAGCCGACAGAGCGACGACAATAACACCACCTGCACCCAACATGAAGACATTGCCAACCTGCGAGTGATTGACATGGTCGGGCGTCATGTTCCAGACGGTGGCTTGAGGGAGCAAGGTGACCGCTCCGGTGGCACTGCCGTAGTCGGGCAGAAAGGCGGCCATGGAAATGATGATGAGGATGACATGTTTCTTGAAGTGACTCCAATTGAGGGGATCATGGGGATCGGACGACGGTTGAGGCAGAAGGATGGTGTGGCCGTCACGGGCGCGCTTGAGGTTGGCATGGTCCGGGTCGCTGGCATCAATCACGTATCCTTCGGCGTTCTTGAACTCGTGAAGATCGGTCACGTCTTCGACTGCGATGGGCGCGTCTCGTATCTCTTTGTCGTCCATCTTGCAGCCAGTGTTTGACGTCAGTAGCAGGGGAGGATTGTCTTGAGGAGCTGGTCCAAATAGCATGCCACCACCCAGAAGCCTGAAGGAGCAGAAAAGGAAGACACACTATCGCTGCGAAGCAGCGTCGATGGGATGGAATCCATTCTTGTATTTGTATTTTGTGGGGTACAACCCGATTCCAGGCCATTATCGGGATCAACATGTCAAGTCCCGGTAGATGACTAGTAGAACTCTGGCCAAAGGCAGTCGTGCTTCAGGACTGGTTCCCGAAGAGCCCGTCGGATAGTGACCCCAGAGTCGATGGCTCAAGCCTTTTGTTAGCCTATGTATCACGGGACAAGGCGCCAACGTGCATTGGTTCCAAGTGGCGGATCGCCTCGCCGGCAGCGAAGATGTGGCAGTCTTGTTTGGTGTCAACCAAACCCGTCAGTGCCACGTCTCTGGTTTTTCGCAAATCTAGCCGCTTATTGGATGCGAAGGAGCTTCGACCTCGGTTAGAGAATGTCGACCTCGTGGGACTTTCGTCGGTGAAGACAATATTGAAAAGGGCGGAATCGATGGTCTAGTGGAGAAAAGCCACTTCTCCGCTTGCAGAATTGGGAAGCTGGGGTAATTTGCCTCACCTTTGCATACTAGTCCACCAACGAGATCTGGGGAGAAGGTGGGCGATTTCCGACCACGCAGCAAGAGTCACGGCAATTCAACCACGAGTCTGGCGTAAGGTAGTCAAGCTTGTGCTTGTCTTTGCTTACCTGTGATAGACGCAATGCTGCCGCTCGACTGCCGCGGTGGGCCGATTATCCCACAAAGGTGGCAGCCTTGCTCTTACATTTATTTGTCCTTCAAAACGACGAACGGCACCTTTATCTAGGCGTCGTCTCAAGGCTGACACGGATGATTGACTCGGGTATCTGCAACCGCCTTTGGCTGGCTGCCTGATGCATCGGACGGCAAGACTATTGAAGGAAGAGGAAGAGCGATCGATCGCAGTGTTGGAGATCCTTGCACCCATGGCAGACACATGGGTATGCTCAAGGACCCGCCAACAGCAGGCGTTAGTCGAGCGGGGAGAGGTATTTCTGTAGGATTTTTTAGATTGGTCCAACGTTGAAAAACAACAGCCTCTGTGTTCGAAGTCGCTGCCGTACTGGCGCATTACAGCCTGCGAGGTAGAATGGAAAAGTTGTGAGCATGACTCAACTTTCGCACAAATTGAAAGCGCCTGGGTGCTTAAGACGGTTGAACATGCTTTCCCCAAATAGAATAAATGGGTGTAATCAGTCTTTCATTTGGTAGCCGCGGCGGTAGTCAACCAATTTCTGGAATCGTCGTCGTTATAAAATGATGAATGATCTCCTGACGAGTATAGTCTTTCATGCACGGATCAATCCGTTAAGCCAGAGTACGTATGATCGACTCTGAACGCAATTTCCAGGGAGTTGAAAAGAAGCCAGCCAGCCTTGTCCGAGTCGGCGAGAAACGAGGCCTGTAAGAACGGCAGATAAAGCCTACCCGAACTGGTTACCTTCCCAAGGCTTCCCTGCGCCTGCACGTGACTCAGCCTCGTTCCATAAGACCTCAATTAGAATGAAGATGATTGGTGCAACCGACCCTTCCTTTGCAAACACGATTATCGAATTGCGCTTCCGGCCATCTACTCCGCCTTACACAGCTTTCCAGAAACCAAAGCTCGTCGACGTCGACAAAGGAAGTTGATATTGTACAATCTTCGCGCAGCTCCAGCCATACCACTTTGACCATAACCTATACGTCTGGCCCAGAGGCAAACTCGCCATCCCGTCACAATGCCGTCTCAAGAATACTTCCAGTCATCCGGGCGCACGCCGCTGCGTGTGTACGGGCCGCAGCCGACATACAAGACCTACGTTTCACCTTACGGACCAAAGTATGTGCACTCGCTCTTCTCCCTGTTACTATTACGGCGAGGTTATTTTGTGACTATATCTATGGCCAAGTCTACGACATCAAGATTGTGGCTGTGGCCAGCAATCGTGTCGTCCTTGTGTGGGCTTGGGACTAATGCGGTATTTCTCACTTACAGGACGAAACATGTTCCCAACATCATGGGCCTGACTCCCGGCAAGATCTTCCGCTACAGCGCCATCGCATCCGGCTACGGCGTTGCTGCTGGCGTCTTCGTGCTTTTCTTCTTCGGCGATATCCCTCGTGTTCGCAAAGACATCTTACAGAAACTTCCGGTTTTTGGCGACTACTTCGTCCGCGAAATTCCGCCCGAGGACAACCCGTTCTAGACAAGATGAGGTAGATGTGGAATATTGTGTGGAGGAACGTTTGCCGGACAGCCGGAGATTCGTGGCATTGAGGTGTAGATCTGGGCAGAGCGGACCGGACTTTACATACATACTACCACAGCTGGGTGGTGGGCGAATCGTGGAAGTAAGAATACACTTGGTGGTATGGAACCGATGACATGGCTATGAGACATTCATCCATGCCACCACCCTGATAAAATCAACGAAGAGCGTTTTTTCTGTGGCTTTGCTCGTTCATTATTTGAGTAACCGGATACATTGCTGCGTCGACTCTGAATGCCGGCAGCACAAGTGAAACGCGAGTGATATATCAGTGGCTATTCTACTACACTGGCAGTGCAATGGCCCGACGAGAACACATTTCACACGTTGAACACGTCGAGTCGAGCAGGGTCCAGATGTTTCGTTAACAGACTCAAAATTGTGACCCATTCCAAGTGAATTGATGGAAGAAGTATACATCATCTATACCCTATCACCGCGCTCAAAGTACACCCACTGCCCAGGCGGGCTTTGTTCCTCAAGCTCTTCCCACCTGTAAATTCAAGTTAGCATTGACCAGCAAGATCACGAAGAGCACTGGGATGGGATCAACGAACACTTTATGCCGTAGCATTTCATCGACAAGCGCAAGCTCGCCCTCTGCAACCTGCACAACCTCTTCAATCAGACCAGCACCGATCTTCTTCTCGATTTCCTCAACCCTAAAGGGCGCTGTTAGTTGGGACCAATTTACACCAAAGATCTTGTCAACGTACTGGGCCCTGGTCAAGGGTGGCTCGACCTCGAGATCCTCCACTTCCGGCACTCGTCCTTCCTTGTCTTCTTTGTCGACGACCTCGACCTCTTTTCGAATGGCAGCGGCCTTCCTCTCGGCTTGAATCTTGCTGTTCGAACCCTCAGGCAGGGAATCCTGCCTCGACACCTGGCCGTCCCACACATCCACTTTGTCCACATGTAGTTTTTCGCTCGTCAGCGTGCCGTCGTCGTGCATGAGTTTACTGTATGCGGCCGGGTTGGCGTCGATTTGCTTGCGCACTCGTTCCATCCATTGTTCGTAGCCCTCGGGTTTGACTGCCTCCACAACCTCCAGCCGCTGTTTGGTGAGCGCTTCTGTTGCCTGTCGGTACACTGATGTCTTGGGTAGCGCTTTCAGTCTCTTCAGGGTTTCGCGGTATGTGTAAATGAGTGCAGGGCGAGGCGACGGGTGTGTGCTTAGACCGGTCAGGCCGGTCGGGGTGTGTGGTTCGAGGTATTTGGATGCCGACTTCACAGTCGCAAAAAGCCGTGATGTGGCCCGCATCTTGGGGAGTCTGGCTTATCGAGAGAGGAGCGTGAACCGGGGTTTCTCAGGATGGTCCACGGGAAGCGTGTGATCCTCAACCGGCTGTACTACACTTGAGTGTTTCTTTGACTCTAGTTGTAGGAGCTTGAATGCGCTCCTGTCCGTCGAATCATATGTCTTGCTTACGTCGCCCGCCCACTGGCTTGGCATAGGCATGCGCCGCTTTTACTTCGCTATGAGCATGGTGGAGAGGAGTTCCAGCCTCATCTACAGTGTACAATACACTACCTATTATTAGTACTACAGTAAGAGTTGGAGGATTGCTACACCCGTCTTCATGGCCTTATGGGGCTTGAAGCTCTCACAAACTTCATCGGCCTTCGATAGTTCCCAGAGCAGATTACGACTTGATGTCCCAATTATCAATATTATCTCCATGAGGACTATCTTGCTGCGAGCAAACGTAATGTTCACGTGCGAGCGATCGATTCAGTATCAATGGGCCCTTCATCAAATCCAGCATATGCAGCCCTTCCAGTACCTGCTGGTTGTCAGAATATGGTGGTTTTGGCTCATGTCCACACCATTAAGCCATTGACACAGTGATGGAAACGGGCGATTGATTTATGTGTCTCGAGACAACCCGTCTGCAGCTGTAACATAAAGTTCGGGAAGTTCTCGACCTTCAGCAGCCCGTTTGTTTGAGGGTAAAGTCGGTGATGTAAAATATACTCGGAGCGCCAATTTGAGTATGAGCAGCAATGTGTCACATTGGACAGCTGATGCTCAAAGCGGGTGGAAACGTCCTCATGAAACAGCAAATCGCACAAGTGAATAGCCTGAAGCTCATAGCTGTACCGACTTTCCCAGACTCCAGAGACAGCAAAACGAAATATGCATCTCGACAGGGTCTATTCTCCAAAGAGCCTTCTCACCCTCCTCAACACGCTATCTTTCTCTGGATCATAAGGATGGTCTTTGCTGGGAATCTCGAGAACGGCAGGAAATGGATCGCGGAACCGGTCCACGGTGTCTCTAATCTGCTCGGCAATCTGTATATCATATCAGTCTCGTCCTCTTCATACTGCCTCTGCTAATCCAAGAATGCCCATACATGTTGGTTTATGAGGACAATGCCAATATCTTTGCGCTCTTTCGTGAAACTGTTGAAGGCCTTCTCTATTTCCGCCTTCTCCGTCCGTGAATCGCACACAAGGAAGTTCTTCTGCGAGTCAGGGGGATCCGTAACATGGCCGACGCCCGCGAGAAGAAGGCCGGTCACCGAACTGTCAAGTGTGGTCAGTTTCGTCACAGTGATGTATGTAGTCCGGGTGAGTTACTCTTCGTCTCCGATGACAGCCAGAAATTGCCGGTCCTGTTTGCACACAATTAGCTTCGTCCTCCATCAATGGCGGGGCCGGTTTACCTTGTAGGCTGCTGCTGAGGTAGTCATCTTCAACACCCCGCGAAACCAACCCTCCGGAAGATATCAACCAAGTCTTCCAGCACGATTGGCAAAAGCAATGAGCAACCACACGTAAACGCCGGTCTGAAACCTGTCAGCTATTAAACAGTAAAGTCGGGCGACAAGGTGCAGTTGAATAGTAGTGACAGTGTCGTCAAGTTGAGCAGCTTCACTCAGAACCGCAACTGCATCATCTTATCTTATCGAGGGTTGATGCCTGATTGGCGCAGGTCATTGTTTACCCGCTGCGCAATGCTCTCATAGAAGTGCCACTGCCAGTGCAACAACTGCCAGTCTAGAAATTCCACCTTCACTCTTGACACGCAGCATCTTCTTGCTCGCATCGCAGCCTTCCTCCAACACTCCCATACTTGGAGTGGAGATGTCCGCTGCATCCTTCTCCCTTAGGCCTTTGCGCGCACAAAATGCCTAAGTACGTCCGCCGGCAGCCGCTGTCTGAGCGGATCAAAGCCTACCTCAATCCCTACGATTTTCTCCTCTGGCTCTCTGAAGAGATTGAGTCAAATGGCTGGGATCAGCTGGAGAAAGAGTGGGCTACACCTATTGGCATTGCCCTGAATCTTGTTTTTCTTGTTGCACGGGCAAACTCGAAAGCTTCCACCAAAGGATATGACGATGTCTTCGGGGATGTGCCGAAGATAGCCTGGACCGCATGGCTGGTAAGGTCGAATGATAGCCGGTCGCGTCGAATTCTAACGACTACAGGCTACCTTTGTGGTCCACCTTTTGACCCTGTTATGCATGTTGAATGCAGTCTACACCTTTTGGCGCAAGAAGCATTACCGTTTGTTCGAGAACTCCGTGGATAATGTCCCGAGCACCCCCTCCGCCAAACGCGTCCGAGTTGATTCTTCTCCCGTCTCTTCGTCGCCACTCCGATTCCTTTCGAACATACTGGGCACAGATACCGCACAGTCAAGAGCACACCCGGATCCATCCCGTGATGTCTGGGAAGTGGCCGTTTGGGATCCGTTACCGGTTTCCTTGCGATTGTTCTGCTATTTCAGTCCTGGCCACGTCCTCATATACTGGCTTTTCTTGCCTACTACAAGTTCAGATCCTCGACCCAGCGTCACAGTCGCAACCGCCATGTTTCTGGCTTTTCTACTTTCATTACAGCTGTCCTTCCTACAATCCAGCTATTCAACGCAGATCAAGGACACCGCATTCATCTCGAAAGAAGTTCTACATGAGTACGACACTAAATACGTCAGACCCAGGACCCAACCCCTCTACAGAGACGTGGGCACGCAATTCAGCGAACAGGCTTCTTACAGTGCCGCTCGTGATGAACAATACAACAAGGTCGAAGTGTTTACCCCAATGGTGATGATCAACCGGGGCTTTAAGACACATCCGAATCCAAACTACTCCCAGTATACAGACCCAGATGGCGTTGTTGCTTCGAAAGAGTTGCGCCAGCGCATGACAACGCCAAACTTCAGATCGCCAGCTCCCACGGGCCAGTCTACTGTGAGGCCTTTGAATGCTATCAGGCAACCGAATTTCCGTCCAATGACCTCTGGAAGTGACGGAGGTAGTCTAGGTGTTTATTCCCACGCAGCGTCGCCTCTTAGGAAGAGTGCGTCAACCACTTTCTCGCGGGACAGAGTGGCCGGAAGTCCAGAAAAGCGGTCGACGAGCCCGGACAAACGTATGAGTGTACCTGCTGCAGGAGTCAATACCGTTGCGGCATCTCAGCGATGGGGCCACCTGACGCCCGATAGACATAGACGAGAGAGCGGGCGTTTCTAGGTCCAGTTACAGACAATTCGATGGTAATGGTTGATATATGGCTTCAGCTCCCACCCGTTGGCTCTATTCTGCCTGAAGCGTCGACCACGGTCGCGACTTCCTGGAAACTGCACGGTCCAAGCCCATGTCTCAATTTGGTGGCAGTCCGAGTAACCAGATCTCAAAATACCAGTTGATGTGGGGCGTTGTCCGCAACACCACGCTTATGCACAGACCAGTATATGCCCTTTCCATGCTTTGCATATCATAGCAACCGCCTTTACATCTACAATGCCCTTCACCACCTCAAAGTCGTTCGAGACCTCCCTTTTTTCAGCTCGTCGTCGACGAGATCGTATAGTATCATCATCTATCTCTTGCCTCAGTGATACGCAGCAAAGCCTGCTCAGGAGTCAGGAGTACGACGGCACCCAGCGTGAGCATTACCTACGAAGCACAGGGAAGTTTGACCGGTATCGAATCACAGAATCAGCAACTCATAGAAATTACGCTCGTGGTGAATCCTCACCTGCCGCCAGGGCACGCGCACAATCACACGCTGTCAGACGATACGAAGAAAGTCAAATTCCAAGTAACATCTTCGAGCTGCCCGATGACAGTGAGCACCAGCATTCTGGAGGCCAGCCGACGGTGACCATTTCGGAGGGGGTGGATATCCTGTCCATCCCCTTGGATCAGTCAAGTCGAAGGACAACCATCTTTGTCGGCCACAGCAGACCTACAGAGCGCCGGCCATCCAAAGCCCCGGCGGACAGACACGACATAAGACACCAACCAGCGGTTGGACTATCCTCGAAAATGCACCAGCCGGTCGATCGGGATGATTATCTCGTTGCCCGTGGTGCAAATCCAAGAACAGGCGTTGTTACCCCCGGCTCTCACAGTGCTAGCAGTTCCCTCGACCAAGGGGAGACATCTCGGCCACCAGCTCCTGCAGATCAAAATCGGTGGAGGCAAAGAGGGGATCAATGGGTCAGTTCAGATATGGACCAACCATTACTCCCAGCTGCCTATGGGAGGAGACCTGGATTGCCGGAACGACAATACCGTCCACTGCGGACGCCACCGAGACTGTCATCTGCTAACCGTGACAGTTCAGTGGCGAGGCATCAGAGGGCGTGGTCCGGTTATGGCAGACCGCCAACTGCACCTGTAGGGGTGGCAGCGCAGGAGAGGAGTCCGACGTACGACCCTACCCAGCGTACCGACGGCCAAGGACCTCCAAGCGAAAATGCAGCAGCCTTGACCTCACTTGGTGAATCGAGAGACGAACCAACGGTCCGCCGGAAACCCGTTGGGAGTCCTCCAGCGAAGAGCGCAAGGGGCGATGACTCTCAAGGGCTGGATGTCACCAACAACAGCGACGAGACAGTTCTCAAGAAGCCTAGATTCAACGCCGATATGCGATCTTCTTCGGCTCCTGGTCCTCTCAGGTGGCGGATTGAGACTCCATACAACGTCGATAAAGACTTGCCCACACTTCCACCACAGAGCACATCTCCCAATATCAGTCTCGACCAAGGAAAAGCTGCCGAAGAGTCTTTTTTAGGCCAACGCCTGGCGACAACGGGAGCCAACGGCCAAAGTTCAAAAACCTCAAACATCTGTGGACTTCCTTCAGTCGAAAAAGAACTACCATGTCTGCCGACGAACAGTGGCCCATCCCCGTTGAAGCCGGAACTGACCGTGAATCCGATGCAAATTAGGGAAAGCAGAGGGAAGACCAGCAACTCATCGATGATGGAGAACGCATCACCGCAGGGGCCCAGAGGAGGCGACCCAGCATACCCGTACATCCGCGCAATGAGGCCGACGTACCCCTTACCGAGGAAGAAGCCAGACTTCCCCATGGGAGAAAGAATGATGCCAGTACCCGTCTACGACAACCCACCGAAGCTATCAATACCACCGATGGGCATGCCCAGGCTGCGAGCCGAAGGGCCCAGGTCAATGCCTGGTCCAGCGACAAAGCCATCAAACAGGCAACAACAGGAGTACAGCCTGTCATCGAGTATCACTACCACAGCCATAGACACGTTTTCGAACAGGCAAGGGATGCCACGACCACTTCGGATCGGCCCGAGGCCTTTGATGTCGGAGTCAGGGATGCAGGGTTCTGGCCGTCATGCTTTGGGGCCCCGACCGCCTCCGATCGGATCATCAGACACTATCATGAGCACTGGCATGAACATGAATACCGACAACCTGATGTCCATTCCTCTTCCAAGGATAAGACCAAGGGCGATGACTCGTCCCACAATGCCAACAAGGCTGGAGGGCATGTACGGCGTACCGAGAATAGCACCAAACCCCAACCGAGCAGACACCACCGAAGTACGGTATTCAGATCCGAACAGAGACGAAAGACTCCAGCTCGAGCCCAGACTCAATCCACCAGAGCCCGAGATCGACCTCGTTCCGCCACCTCTGAAACTTCGGCAACCCAGCCGCGAAGCACCCAAGCCCGCGCCTCTCATTACCGAACCGCCCGCCAGCGGTCTTGGTCTGCTGAGGAAATGCAGCCGTTGTCACCACGGATTCGTGGACGTCAAGCCTCGCAGTACGGATGGTGTCACCCCTATGTTCGTCCACCAGAAGGCCGACGGCGAAGCAAGCGGGGACTATAAGCAACTGCACCCAACAGGCAGTCCCCTTCCAGGACTGCCGGAGGAGATTGGTGACCAGATGACCCAGGTGAATTGTTCACGCTCGGAAACAACCGACGTCGTCGATGAACGGGACCACACGATCTGTAGTCCGGATTGTTGCAAAGACGAGGACTGTCATGAAGGGTGTCTGGGGCATCCGAGTCCGAGCTCCAGGGCTAGTCCCACGAAGAGCATATGGTCAGATGTGCATAGCCCCAGTAGCGCCAGCGAGATCGACGACTGGGATGATGTCAACGATGTTAAAGGTAGTAGCAATGACAAGAAAGCTCTTGGAAGGTCACCAAACACCATCAACCCACAGTCGAGGATCGAGCACGGTCCGACTCCTATTGAGTTGTCAGCTCAGCCGAGAACGCCGGCAGCCCGGTCTCAAGAAGATTTGGCTGGCCATTCCGCGGATGCTCTCATTGCAGCGCTCAGTGCGACTGGTATTTCGAGATCCAAGAATCTGGTCCCCGAACAAAGAAAACACAGGAGGCAGAGAAGCTCCAGCTCGCCTGTTATTGGAGCGGCAGTCGTCGGCCCACCATATCCCAGCGAGAGTCCAGGTGCGTTTGGAGCATCATCCCGTCTCAGGATACCCGCTCCCACTCCTGTAGGGTTGGCAATAGCATGTTCCGGTTCCGGGTTGTCTTCTAAAGGCCAAGGCGGCGGCGGCCGCCGCAACATCAGCGGAACTAGCGTTGCTACAACTAGTACAGCATTCGAGTTCCAAGTCCCCGGTTTAGGGCTGGGATTGGGAGCTTTGGGTTCAAGAAGTTGTGCCAACAGTAGTACCAACTTTGGCGAAATGGTTTTCAATGGCAAGACGTGGATCAAGAACCATCCACACATCACCAAACTCGGCTGGGACGTACTCGAGCGAGCATGGCAAATGAGCCAGATCATGACCAGTACAGGCTGGCGCCTTTGGGCTGTTCTGCTTGTTTACTCCCAAACAGGCAAGTTGAAACTCAAGCTGAACAAGAAAAAGGGCGAGACCCCCACAGGGTTTGTGGTCGACTGTGCTCGGAGCGCCTTATATCTCATGGTCTTTGTGGCCGTCACCGTCTTTGTCATGAGGATTGTCAGGGTTGTGTTGGGTGTTGTGGGGATCATAGGGTGGCTGGTCAGGGCTGCTTTGTGGGTTTTGAAGCAGGTCTTGGGGTTTGGAGTTGTTCGATGATAGGTACATACCTTCCTCAGGGAGGTAGGTATTGATTGTATTGTCTGCCTTGTCTGCCTTGTCGCGTGCGTGGTCTGCGGACAAACGAACAAGCAAACAGACAGATACAGATACCTGGCAGATACAGGTGCGGATGGATGGGGTCGAATGAAGATCTAAGGCTATGGTCCTGAGGGAGTTGCGCCTTGCTGCAAGACGTACTTTAGAGTCAGCGGGGTGGTGGATGTTGGGCCACGAGTGGTCGTGTGTGCCAGTGTGCGTGGTGGAAAGAGGTATTGTTAGGTGTGATGGCAGAGCAAGTATAGGTAGCTTGGTTGTAATAGATAGAATAGAATGAGAATGAGTATTCTTTGCATTCGGACAGTTATATTTCACACATTGTTGGATGTACATTGTATGTATCGTCATAGTAGTACGTTGGTATACTACCGAGCCATGCCATGCGGTGCAGCTAGACACTGCTTCAAGCAGGGCAGAATATACAAACAGGGTCAATGCAGTGTTGGTCTTGTAGTCTCCAAGGAGATTTTCTGGGGCTCCCACTGACCGTGCCGTGCAAGGAAGGAAGAAACATTAGATAGGAAAAGGTGGTTGGAGTCGGGTATCGTTTTTAGCGTGAAGGTGGGTTGGTAGGTTCATCTTTGGACTAGAGCGGGAGATGTGATGCGAAAGCCTGCAGTGACAAACAAACAGTCCCTTCATCATGGCCACCAGTTCCATGGCCCTCTTTTTGGCAATTCGACATGGAATGGATGCTGGCTTTTTGATGACGGACCCCATCACCATCGCCTCACTTCCCCACAAGCGACCGGAATGAAATCCGCTCAAATAGGACCACGGCAAGGGTGCTGGCCACGACAGCTTCGACTGTCGGACGCGGCGAACGCTCAGGCTCCAGCTCACCGGACGGCTGCTGGCCCTGCTCAGAAACGATGTCCGTCGTCGTCGTTGGTTCCAAAGTATCCAGAAAGATGGTCAGTGCCCCCATGACCTTAAAGTCGCGGCGCTGTTTGTACACGGCGACAATGCGGCCGTCGGGGTCTTCGAGGACAAGATTGCCGTTCACAGCGGGATGTCCATCGTCCACGCCGGGCAAATTGAGGATTTCGGCTTTTGGTCTGCTGCGCCACATGTAGCTGTTGCTGCCGTTTCGTCCTCCGGGGTGGGTGCAGGTCATGGAGTATTGGCGCCCGAGGCACCTGATTTGTTTGATGGCCCAGCGGGTCCGCAGGTCATCGCTATGGGCTGCAGCTGCAGCGGCGTCATCAGTTCTTGTTGTCGCTGTTGGGTCGAAGTGCATGGCCGGCGTGATGTGGTACAGCGTGATGTCGACTGTTAATTTCCACAGGTTGTCGATGTGGGGGAACTCGACTTTTGCGACGGGGTAAGGCTCCGATCGATCGTTTTTCGCCGAAGATGGGCTCGGCGCGGGAGCGGTTTCGCTGCTGGAGCGGCGGCGCTTGTGCTGGTCGAGTCCATATTTGACCTCGTTGGCCGGGTGAGAAGAAGGGTAGATCTCAAACGTGGGTGGCACGACGAATTGGACTTTCCACCATTTCATCTCGGTGGTGACGAACCCTGTGGCGTCTGTTCCTTTGTCGTCGTCGACATCTACCACTCCTAGCCGGAGGTTCTGCGGGTAAACAAGTCCCAAGGGCGTACTCTTGAGGATCTCGAATCGCCGGACTCGCTGTGATTGGAGGAACTCCTCTCGCTGCTCTGGCTGGCTGATCGTTCCGGTCGCTCGGCCACGATCTGCGTCGGCGGCGCGTGGCCCGGCCATGACGACTCGTTGATCAGATCGTACGATAGATGATGCGGTTGCTGTTTGCACTTGCCCTTCTTGTGGGCCTTGGGGTCTTCCTTGGGATGACACGGGCAGCCACTAGGATAGTAGATTTCTCGGAGGGTGATTGTTGTGTAGCGTCTGCGCCCGTTGATGACCGTGTTAGCCTGGCCTCCATCCTCTGGGAAGAGTGCGTTGTAGGATGGTAGTATGTCGGGGTTTGAATTTGACCCCGAGTCTGTGGTGGATGCCATGATGAAGTCTGTGTGGGTGATTACACGGTACAGTGCAATAATGCGGCAAGGCTGAGACCATGAATCTGGGGTAAAGTGAAAGACAAAAGGAAAGAAAATGCCTCTGGTGGAAGCGGAACACTATAAAGATCCGGAGTGCACAAGAAATGATATTATGGAAACTCACAGTACAACTGCACAGACAATGAACGAGTGATCTGATCCGCTAGCTCCGCTGAGGACCACGGTGCCGATGTAGTGGATATCCTCTGTATACTCAGATGATCGGACTTCAATATGCGGTTTACTCCCAAGGCCAGCCGGGGACGTCGGAGGAGTGGGTGCTTCTGGGCCCGGGCTCGGATGCGCTCGGAAAGGGCTGTGCTGTGCTGTTTTCAGAGCTCGGATTGGTTGCGGCTGCGGATGCTGATGCGTATCAGGCCAGGCTGATGATGACTTTTCAGCATAAGCTGGACCCTTTGTGCCTGAACTCGGATGTTGTCTTGGTGTATCTACAGGGCTTTAGAACAGTGTGGAATCTGTGCCTATCCTTGAAATCGCGGAGTGTGCCGTCTCGAGAGGCGGCGGCAAGGACCTGTGGTACGCGCAACACGAGATGAGATGGCATACTGTATAATGCAGCTGAGCCGCCGGACTGAGGTGTACTTATACCCAACACGAGATCGACTCTGCCTCGACTCTGCCTGGACTCTGCCCCGACTGTTGATCAACTCAAGTCGGGTCGGAAGATGCTCAGCCACCCACCGAATCTGCCTTAACATTGTAGACCTGCCCCCGCTCAGACTTCGGTCAGGCGACCCAAGAGCACATGGCAATGCAGTTGGAGATGGGATCTGACACTGTATAGCCAAGACGGAAAGATACATCATATCTATTATTGCCTGTGGGTCAATGAACTCCAGTGTCAGTTGCTGAGGTCTTTGAAGGCGCTGCACTTTGTTGGTGGATTTGTTTGTCGCAACCGAAAGCTGGTCATCTGCGTATTCGGATAAGGCGGCATTCCCCGTGAGCAGGCCAATCTCAACACTTTGTTTGACATGCTTTAAGGAATGAACCAATGAAGCACTTCGCCGAGTAGTCTGAATACTAGTATTGGCAATAAATCGCCCGGACCAGCATTGATTGGATCGTCGCCATGACTTGTGTACGAGATGTCCGGGGAGCGTATATAGATATATCTGTCCGGGTATATGTTCACGTAAATTTGAATTTCAGGGATCCTCTCAAATGTCTTCAGAGGTGATAGACTCTAGGGTTGTCGAGGGTGCCGAGCCCGTAATCTCGAACACTGTTTACAGACGGACAAAAATAGCAGAGTTCGCCTGGATTGTAGAACGTGATGATCGAGACCTCAAGGACTTTGGAGCAGCTTCGGGCGGCTGCCAATGTACGCAGGATACGAGAGACGGTCGAGAGGCTCTTCAACGCTGCCGACTCGGAACAGAAATAGATTGATGGGTTCAAGTTGCCGACATTGAGAGATTTAATTTCTATGGCCAGTTGCAATTGACTTTGGCCAATAGTAGCACAGTTTGGAGTTTGTCCCGTGATCAGGCTCGCTAGCACCTTAGTAGATATTAGTGCTGTTAGCTGCTGTGATTTCTCTGATTGTGGAAGGTTTCCCGAGACCCTTTCTAGCCAATCAGATCCGTCACTCGCCGACAGCTTCAACGGCCACCGGAAGCTTTTTCTACCAGCTTCGACATTTATTGGCAATTCCAGTCTTTAGTATTTCGTCAGATCCTTTCTTCTGGTGCAGCCTCTGGAGACATGCTATAATCTGCATGCTATGTGAAAATTGTGCTATGGTGTAAAACGTATCCTGGCTCTAGTGGTCGTCTCAATTTGCAACCATGAGACAAACACCTATAAGATTGCTCCTGAGAGCTTCACGGCCTCGAATTCCAGCTCAGTCATTTGTGAGTCAGTCCCGGCTCACAAACATCACACCTCGTAGACACGCCTCAGCCTCCAACAGCCCGTCAACGTCAACTTGGGGATCACGGCTGCTCAATGTTGCTTATGGGGCTACGCTGGTGCTGGGCTTGGGGATTGTCTATGTCTACGTGACGGACACGAGAGCAAGTGCGCATCGTTATATTGTCGTTCCCGCCCTCAGATTGATATATCGGGATCCGGAAGAAGCTCACCGGGTTGGAAATCAAGCCTTGAAGACTCTCTGGGACCTCGGCCTGTACCCGCGAGAACGTGGCAGAGGGGATGAACAACGGGACTTGGCGGTCGAGGTCTTTGGACGTACCCTCAAAAATCCTATAGCAACATCCGCCGGTATTGACAAACATGCTGATATACCCGATGCACTCTTCGCAATCGGCCCAGCCATTGTCGAGATCGGAGGCACTACACCACTACCACAAGAGGGCAATCCAAAACCTCGCGTCTTCCGCCTCCCTTCTCAAGAAGCCATGATCAACAGGTACGGTTTGAATTCGCAGGGTGCTGACCATGTGGCCTCGAGGTTGCGAACCCGGGTCAGGAAGTTCGCTCATTCTCTCGGCCTAGGCAATGACGAGGTGGCAGAAAAGGCCGTGTTGGATGGTATCGCCGGCGTGCCTCCGGGGAGCTTGACTCCAGGGAAACTCCTCGCAGTCAACATTGCCAAGAACAAGGTAACTCCGGAGGATGATGTCGAGGCCGTGACGAATGACTATGTGTATTGCGTGGAGAAACTGGGGCCTTATGCCGACATCTTGGTTGTCAATGTTTCCAGTCCCAACACTCCTGGACTTCGCTCGCTGCAGCAAACGGATAAGCTCCAGACTATTCTGAACGGCGTGGTCAAGGCGGCTCAGAACGTGGACCGGAGAACGAAACCTGCCGTCATGGTCAAAGTGAGTCCCGACGAAGATTCTGACGCCCAAGTTGCCGGAATTTGCGATGCGGTCTGGGCTGCCGGCGTAGATGGGGTCATTGTGGGAAATACCACCAACCGACGACCGAACCCGCTCCCTCATCTGGGTCAATGGACTCCAATCGAAGAGCAGCACCTGCTTGAAAAGGGCGGCTTCTCTGGGCCTCATCTATTTGACCGGACAGTCGCGCTAGTCGAGAAATACAAGAAACTGTTGGTGGAGCCGCCGCCTTCTGTGGAGCCTCCACAGAGACGAAAGGGGGCCCTGGATGCAGAGACGAAGAAAATCAAGGCTGAGCTCGATTCCAAATCATCAGATGCACCACCAACACCAGCCCCAGAGCCGGACTTTGTTGCCGCCTCGGTGGAAACCGGTGCCATTCCTGGCATGCCCCCCCAAAATGATTCCTCGTCCGTCGACGCCTCACAACAAGCTACCAGTGCAGAGCCAACAGCAGTACCGGCGTCCGGCACTGTTAGCGCATCGGTGGACACTGGAGTGATTCCTCCCGTCAATCCGACACCAAATGCATCTGCTTCGGACAAACAACCTCTTATTGATCCACCTCAGGAGCGCTTCTATGACAAGTCTGAAGCGGGGCACGATGGAGAGGACGGCAATGGCAATGCTACGAAGAGTCCTGCTTCGCAGTCTACCGAGGAGGCAACTTCTTCAGTTGCGGCCCAAGAAGCGTTGACCAGACTGCCCTCCCAAGCACAGCAAGACGCCACGGACAAGCTAGAAGCAGAAACTCAGACGAGCTACTCTGATCAACCGAAAGTGATTTTTGCCACTGGAGGGATCACAAATGGCAAACAAGCCTTGGAGGTTCTCAATGCAGGTGCTAGTGTTGCCATGGTCTATACGGCTCTGGTCTACGGAGGTGCTGGCACAATCACCCGAATGAAGGATGAGATGCGAGCCGAAATCAGACGCCAGGATAACGAGAAGCGCCAAGGAAACCAAAAGTGATTTGTACTATGGCCAGGTCTCGTTTTATGCCAAAAGAGTGGGCCCAATAGATTACAGACTAGCCTTTTACGGTCAGTAAATACGAAAACATAATATTTGGGCAGCGCCTACTCTACTAGAAGAACTTTTACTGCCGCTACTTAATAGGCATTAATAGGCTATAGGTCTAAGGAATAGTTTGCCCTATAGACTACTGGAAATCTCGAAAGCGTATTTGTAGAACGGGCGGTCGCCCTTTGCTGTAGGATACTGTAAGACTATTCACGACCTGCCTAATATGGTTTAGTGCTGATTTTGGCATGAAAGGGGACCTGGCCACTGTAGGACACAACTTCACCTGGGTTGTTCGAGCTCCAACATGAGGACCTTTTTGTCCTGACCATCACGAACAACCGTCTTCTCGCCTGCGATCCGAAATCCAAACTTAGACAGCAGTCGAGCGCTCGGCGTATTTTTGGCGTATGTATGAGCATGCAAGATCTCAGGCACCACGACAGCCTCGTCCGGTCTCTCGGTAGTGGACTTGTCGAGCGGTACCACTGATTTGTCATTTTGTATGATCAATTCCCTCCTGGGCAACTCCCACCAAGCCTGAAGCCATCGTCCAAGTGCCTCGCCAGCATATCCCCTCCCCCAGGTTTCCTTCCTGAAAGCGAAGCTAAGTTCTGGGGGTTCTGGCCTGCGACACCCTATAACGCCAATGACTTTTCCCGGAGCTTCACTTTCTTCCACAGCGAAAGAGAAAGTGGTGGCATCGTTTGGGGGCAGGAGTCCGTTCATCCAAGTTTGAGTGGCTTCCTTGTTCGCGTCAATGATCCCAGTACTGCTCCATTTCATCACATCGATCTGGGTACGGAGAGCGTGGAAGTCGTCGAGGTCATCTTGACGGATTGGCCGGAGTAGTAGTCGTGGGGTTGTTATGGGTGAAGCCGGTACTGGGAAGACTGGCCGAGTGGTTTTCTTCATGTCGAATGTGGAAAAAAATCAAAATAAAAGTAGATTGAGCAAGCTGAATATATGGACCACGAACGAATCAAATTCTATATCTTGTATAGTCACAGTTCAACCTTGAACATTGGTCGTTGCAAGCGCTATATATACTCGTGATCACTCACCAGGCACGCACCTACACTGGCATCTATTTTCTATTTAGGACCTGATGTTGCAGATTAGAAATATTAAAAACGCGATACTGTTGTACTAGTCCTTAAGCGGCAAGGCACCACTATCTTGTTCGCCGGCTAAGTTGCCTTCCCACCGATAGCGATAAGAATTATTCCGCAGCCACCGCCTCGAGAAATTTTGTCTCGACCGTCTCCAGAGACTGTCTGTCCTCGCCACGACCGCTTCTTCAGCATTGTCCTCGAAGACCAGTCGGAAGGATGAAGACCACTTGGAAGGATATCGCGCCGGTTCCGACCTCTCAGGAATTCATCGACATTGTCCTGAGCCGGACGCAGCGGCGACTGCCCACCCAGATTCGCGCAGGGTTCAAAATCAGCAGAATAAGAAGTGAGTTGCTTGTCTTACGACCTAGGTTTTCCTGGCTAACGTCTACGTTCAGGCTTTTACACACGAAAGGTCAAATTCACGGCCGAGACGTTCGCCGAAAAGCTGCAGGCTATTCTTGATGGATTCCCGCGCCTACAAGACATTCATCCCTTCCACAAAGATTTGCTCAACACCCTTTACGATGCCGACCACTTCAAGATTGCTCTGGGCACGCTGTCCACCGCCAAACGACTGATCGAGACGGTGGCAAGAGATTATGTGCGGTTGCTCAAATATGCCCAATCCTTGTTTCAATGCAAGTCTCTCAAGCGGGCCGCGCTCGGTCGCATGGCCACAATCTGCAAGAGATTAAAAGATCCTTTGGTCTATTTGGAGCAAGTCCGACAACATTTGGGACGTCTTCCCAGCATAGACCCCAACACCCGAACACTCCTGATCTGTGGTTATCCCAATGTGGGCAAGTCGAGTTTCTTAAAGTCTATCACTCGGGCCGATGTGGATGTCCAGCCGTACGCCTTCACGACCAAGTCCCTCTTTGTCGGCCATTTCGACTACAAATATTTGAGATTCCAAGCCATTGACACTCCGGGTATCCTGGATCATCCTCTGGAAGAGATGAACACCATTGAAATGCAGTCCATCACGGCCATTGCTCATTTGCGCTCTGCGATATTGTACTTTATGGATTTGTCTGAACAGTGCGGCTACTCCGTGTCAGCACAAATGGCTTTGTTCAACTCGATCAAGCCACTTTTCGCCAACAAGCTGGTCTTCATCGTGGTCAACAAGACCGATGTGACTAAGCCAGAAGATCTTGACCTCGAGACGCAACAGCAATTGAAGGATCTGCTGACCCAGAACTCCAACACCGAGCTTCTTCAGTTGTCGTGTGTGACCAACGAAGGTGTTCAAGAAGTCAAGAATGCCGTTTGTGATCGGTTGATCGCCGACCGCGTGGCGGCGAAATTGAAGGCCGGTCAAGCATCTCAGCCGGCGGGCGCAGATGCTCCTTCGGGTCGTCTCGGTGACCTTCTCGCTCGAATTCACGTGGCCAGACCTATGGCGGGCTCGGTTAGTGAAACCTATATTCCAGAGGCCGTCAAGAATGGTACCTACAAGAAATACGACAAGTCGGATCCAGAGCGGCGGAAACTGGAGCGGGACATTGAGGAAGAAAATGGCGGTGCCGGCGTCTACAATGTCGATCTGAAGAAGGTCTACGACCTGGCAGATCCCGATTGGACCCACGATAAGATCCCAGAGTTCTTCAATGGCAAGAATATCGCCGATTATGTCGACCCTGATATCGAAGAGAAGCTGGCGGCACTTGAGGCTGAGGAGGAACGACTTACCGCCGAAGGGTTCTATGACGACAGTGAGAGCATGGAGGATGAGGAAGACGCCGAGATTCGCATGAAGGCCAATTTGATCCGAAACAAGAGGACTCTGATCATGAACGATGCACGGATGAAAAAGAGTCTCAAGAACAAAGCACACATTCCTCGAGCGAAGAAGGCTCGAACTTTGGGTCAGATGGAGCAGCACTTCCATTCCATTGGGCTTGACGCCTCTGCCACCGCGGACCGAGCCCGAGCTCAGATCCGCAATGCCCGCCCTGCGTCGACGGCGGGTGATGAGATGGAAATTGACACGCCTTCGGCGAGGGCGAGGTCCGTGTCCCGAGCACCCAAGACTAACCGGTTGACGGATGGATTGGGAACCAGTGCCACTGGAATCGCCGATCCAGCTAAACGGGAGAAGGCGGAACGGATGTCGAAGCTCAGTCAGAGGAAGATGAACCGCATGGCCAGACAGGGTGAGGCCGATAGACATGAAACAGCCTCGTTGCCGGCACATCTGATCAAGGGCAAGAGAAAGATGGGTTCTACGAGGTCACGTTAAACCGCCTTGATACGACTAATGACGGCCGTCACGAAGTTCTGCGCAGCACAGTCTTATTATTCACTCAAAAGCTCGCGGTGCTGTTGCAATGCTCTGCTGGTATCTTCCAGAAAACAATGAAGGCGTCGGGGAAGGACAAAGGCGTTGCGGTTAGGCGACACGTTGTCGATAGTGTATGGAGGGAGAGCTTCCTGTTTTAGTGAATTGAATATATTCATGTTGCAATCCGGACCTTCCGTTGTGTTTCCTTGCGAACCCAAGGCGACAGTCCAGGAACGCCTACATTAGAGAGCGGCACCCACTTTCGGTATCAGAACCGTGACTGACGGGGCAGACTTGTGATGTACGACCCATGAGGACATGGCGTCGGACTGATCGGTGCAGTGGTGATATGTTGCTAGAGGGCGACGAAAACAAGCAAGAGCAAGCATGGCGCCTGACAGCAACTTGAATTTCAAGACTTCGACTGAATGTATGGAAAGCACCAGGCCGGCTCTCAGGAAGGTGCTGGAGGACGACCAAGGCCAACATTTATCAACAATGCGGACTTGATCTTCTGTTTCTTCGCCTGCGTTTGCGATATTGACATCTATTAGGCCTTCTGCCCACTCGATTGTTTGCATCTTACCCACCAGTCATACTATTACTCTATCACTTTGAAACGGCCCGTCCGTCCGTCTCCGTTCTCAAAGTTTATCTGATTGCCTCCGATCAGTGTTACCGTCTCAACAACGAGTCACCTCTTTTCAGGCTGTACACCTCAATGTCACATCACGAGCAATCGACGTCTTCTGGAGATGAGCAAGATGCTGACAGGCAATCTCCTCCCCCCGCATCAGCCGAGATAGGCAACACCGAGACAGCAACCTCTAGCTCTCAAGTGGACATACACGATGCTGCCGATGCTTTGGCCAGTCTTAAAATTGAGGCTGGTAACTCGTTCGATCAAAGCACAGACGTCACGGCATCCCCCGGCGACGCTCTTTCAGTGGATATGTTCAAAGAGGTCAACGACATTATCAATGGGTTGATGGTTGGCACAACGGTGAATCTGCGTCGCATAAAGCTCAGCACTGTAGAGATGTTGGAAAGGCTTCAGCAGTGTGCGCCGGATGAACGCAAAGATCTCGAGGTCGTGGTGGCCGACTTTCTCCTCCAAAGTGGCGTGTACCGCAGACGCTTGACTGAGGACGTGGGCAAGTCCATGTTGGCTTGGAGGAGCTAGGAACCAGCGGTCGACAAGGAAGATCCCAAGGAATTGGCATGTTAGGAATACACGCGAAAGCTTCGGGATCAAATGTGTGACGATCTCACCACGTTCACTCTCGCCTGGACTGAACTGGCCGCTGAAATGGCGAGACAGCTCCTTGGAGAAGACGCATATCAGAAAATCACAAGCGCGGAAGATAATGAGGCGGAGTTTGAGCGGACCACAAATGAGCTCGTTGACAAGGTGCTGGGCATTATCTTGCCCGCCCGGAAGAAGTATCTGGACGCGCAAAACGAAGACAATCAGGCGAAGCAGGGAGACAATGATGTGGAAGGGGGTGGAGGTGACTCATCTACACCGACCGGAGAAGCAGAGCCATGATCAAGACATCATTATCCAGCATGGCCTTGGTACACACATTGCTCATGTTAGGATCGTCTGGGGCGTCATTATCGAGGGGACGGGGATGGAAGTAGTATGATATAGTAGCAGTTCTGAATAGTCAGTCGCATTGTGTCTTTTACCGGCGCCGTCAATAATGTACTGAAAACCCGTGTTGGCTTTTTCGCAAATCGTAAGCTGCATGATGCTTGCTTAAATCTCCAGTCTTCTTCTTGCGAGTGATATATCGAATGTCGTACTGGCAAGAGAGCCAGCTTGAGCCCGAGCGCCGGAAAACCACTTGGGGTCGAAGTAAGCGCAATAGAAAGACCAGAGCTGAACCTACGAGTTTTCCCTCGATTGAGGTCAGCTCTGCGTTGATTGAGTTTGGACGCGGGAGAAATTCATGGGATTTACTGACTCGGATTGATTGAATCCTTGTCCTATTCGGTCCTTTCCTGTGGGAGCTTTTCATGGGGATTTCACGCCGTTCGAGTCGACTTTGCGGGGAAAATACTAATCAACAACATCAACAGACGAAGAGAACAGACGTTCATTCACTCAGTCAGTCACCAGTCTATGCTTCGATTTCCTGCGTGACGAGATGACTGTCCTGGATCATGCTCTGTTCATCATTCCGGCTCTCGACAATGTGCCCGCATCATGACCGAAACCAAGGCCAGAGATCACATCCACCAACCTCGACCTGCCCATGCGCCACCCGCTACTGATCAAACACCATCCCAAGCTCATCCCCGTCCAGCATCCTATTCTCGGACGGGACATGCAAGTCAAGTTAATACTGCTCACCAGTCCTGGACGAGCTCGGTTGGTGGCGACAGCAGTGTTCAACCTCAATCGGCCGAAATGCAGTCCTCCAAACATATGAATACGAACACGCAAAGTGTCTCTCCCCAACTCACTCGGATAGACACCACTGGCACCTCCCAAAGCCAGTCCCAGTCGCTGTCACCCACCAACTCTCGCAAACGATCCATCGACCAGGTTCTGCAGCTTCAACTTCAACCTCCGGAGCCCCTAGCACACAGCGCCAGTGGCACGATCTCACGCAAAGGCCGAGCATGTCTCTCGTGCCGCAAACTCAAGGTCAAATGCGACAGTCTCGAACGGGGGGATGCCGGATGTTCGCGCTGTCAACGACTGGGACTGGACTGTATCACGTCGAAACGGATGCGCGTCAGTCTGTCGGAGGACGGTGAAGGGGGCGGTGAAAATGCTCATCCTGCCATCGTCCGGCTGGATCGGGCCGTCGAGGATATCCTGGCCAGGTTGAAAATGCCGCCTTTGGACTCGTATCTCAAGACGCATCCGTCACAGCAGCAACAGCAACAGCAACAGCAACAGGAAGAGTCGGAGCAACAGACCCAAAGCCAAGCTGACTCAAAGACGCGGCCATCGTTGTCTCCAGCCGCGGAGTCCAAGACGCAATATCACCAACCGCAACCCGATGCCACAGGCCTCACTGCACCAGGCTCAGGCTCAGGTTCTTCCAATTCGCATCCACCCGGACTCACCACTCACCACTCGTCGTCTAACCACCTGAACTTAGAATCCAACGCGCAGACCACGCGCGAGAACTCACGCGAACCCAACGCCGAAGATGCGCATGAAATGGCCCCAGCGCCAATGGGCAGTCTCTACGAAGTGACGCAGCTAAACACACTCCGAAGCCGACTCAAGTACGGCGACCCAGCACGACGCAACTCGCGCAAGAACATGGAACACGACCTGATTTCCATGGGGGTGATCAGCCTCGACGAAGCAGAAGAGATGTTTGTTCTATTCAAAACCTCACTGTCGCGATACCTGTTCGATGCACCGATCCACGAATCGCGATCATTACTGTCTGTGCGAGAATCGTCGACTTTGTTCTTCACGGCCATCATCACAGTCACATCGCTCCATATCCCCGGCAAGGAGAAGATCCACGCCGCGGCACACAAGCACCTGAGGGATCTGATCGCCACCTCGTTCTTCGACCGCTTCCATACCCTCGAAGATATCCGGGCTTTATGTATTGCGGCCTTCTGGCTCCCTGACCTCAGCTGGAAACTGTCGGGCCACTGTGTCCGGATGGCCACGGAACTGAACCTGCATCAAGCATTCTTCAAGGCATTGTATTCGCAGCAGAAACAGTCGGAAACAGAACGCGGACATGCCTTTGAGCGTGCGAGACTATGGTATCTTTTGTATGTCCTCGACCACCATTTCAGTATTGCCTATGGTCGACCCCCTGTGACCACGGAGTTGCAGGCCATCAAGGAATACGAGGTTTTTTTAAACGCGCCCGAGTGCACTACTTCCGATCGACGGGTCTTGTCGCAGGTCACGCTGTTTATTATCCTCAGTCGCGCTTATAATCATTTCGGGCTTGAAGCTGAGCGACTGATGGATGGTGATGACGAGACTTTGCGCACACATCAGCGGTTCATGGACGATTTGGACAGCTGGAGGTATCAGTTTCGACATGCGCTGAATCGTGATTCTCATGTGGGTGATTATCCGGGTGTTGGTAAGTATCGCTAGTACTCTACGATATGTGACCCTAAGATTTGTGTTTGATCTTGTGTTTTATCTTGTACGGACTTGAAGCTTCCTATACCTATCGCTTGATACCGCCATGTCGACTGCTGCTGTACAGTTCTGCGTCATTACCTCTTCCCCGTTCAGCCATCGTCAAACCTCTTTGTTTCTAATCGGTATCTCACATCTCAATAGGCGTCGAACTCCACTACCACTTCGCATCCATGATGCTCAACTCCCTCGCCCTCCGCGGCCGCAGTCTAGCCACCATTTCGTCAACATCGACCCTTCCATTATCGTTACGCCCACTGGCCTCCCACGCCATTCTGTCAGCTCACCAGATCCTGGGCATTGTGCTCCAAGAGCCATCGATCCGCGACTCCATGGTCGGTGTGCCCCTGTATTTGCACACGGTGATTGCGTTCGCCGTGGTGTTCTTGATCAAGATGTCGTCACGCTGGACGGGTATTGGAGTCAATATTGATCCGGAAGTCAAGACGCGGCCCTTGATTGAGGCTGTTATTGATTTGTTTAGGGCTTGTCGCGCGGGCAGGAATCATATTTTGTATGCGATGGCGGATGGGTTTGAGAGGTTGTTGGTGAGGAATTTGGGGAATAATAATGGGAATTCGAATGTGAATGGGCATGCAACCAACGGGAAGGGGGAAGAATATGATGGCCATGTTGGTCGTCAACAACAGCAGCAGACCCAAAGTCAACATCAAGGTGAGAAGGAAGAATGGGGAAGCTTTTTGATGGTCAGGCAAACTAATCTAACTCTTGCGACAGGTCTGGCTGTTGGCCCTGCACTGGCTGCCAGCGACGGCGGCGGTGGTAGTAGTCAACCACGACTCGGACCGCAACGGCCAGCAGAAGGAGGAGGAGAAGAAGAAGAAGAAGAAGAAGAAGCAGCAGCAGCGGCATCTCTACAGCGTCTTGTTCAACAGTCACGGGCCCAGCAGCAACATGGCCCGGAGATATATCTACATCACCAGCATCAGCATCAGCAGCATCAACCTCGATCTAATGGTGAAAGTGGTGAAATGACACAGGTCCAACATTACGGAGAGGACAGCAGCTTTTTGGCTCAACGACAACGACAATTGCATCATGGGTATTCCACAACACCGCCTACTGGAGTAGCATCTCCAGTGCCACGTTCAGCAACGGCAGCAGCAACAACAACAACAACAAATACTAATGCACCGCATACCGTTACGAACAAGCCCGCAGATGCAAGGTCAAATGCGAATACGGACACAAACGCGAGCAGCAATAATATGAGTCTGAGCACCAACAATGGCATGGAGGTCGATGACCATCGTCAAAATGCCGATACCGGTCCCATTGCCGACACAAATCCACTAAGCGGGCCTGGACATGTCTCTGCCTCCAGACCAGAACCAGGACATCCGCTCGAATCTGGAGCTGGATCAGCAGGAGCAGAAGTGGAAACAGCAGAACCAACAGAATCATACTACTACGAAGGCTGGCAGACCGAAGACGACATGCTCTGGAGCATGGGCATGGGCTACGATCTGTTGGCCATGGCGCCGGACGTTAATGCTTTGGGACTTGGCTTGGGGTATAATGGGCTTTTTAGTCCTACTGGTATGGGTAGTGGAAACGGGTGGCCCGGGCCGGGGTCGGGTGGTGATGGAGGAGGACCAGGAGCAGGAGCGGGACCAGGACCGGGAGAGGGGGGATGGTAGTGGCAAGCCATCTATGGTCGGAATGAATATAACCTTGGAATGATATTGTTTGTGAGTGTGGGTGTGTGGGTGATACAGCGTACTAGTAAGCCTACTTACTAGTAGAGCATACTAATATGGTGATCTGATCTGATCAGGATGAGAAAATTATCTTGACACTTTCTTTTTCGTTGATTCGTACATTTCTTGATTATGGTGGTTATCTAAGGGAAGGGAACCCCAACTTGGCCAGGACAGGACTGAATAAGGTCCCTGAGGTGAGGTGGGCTTCAGCTGCGCTTCGGCTTCGGCTTCGTGCCTCATGCGTGCATGTGTGTTTGCATCGAGCAATGAATGCAGTGGTATTGATTGATCGATAATGGAAAATGGAAGGAGCCTCTCGATGACATGACACGATCAGGTGAATCATTGATATGGTAACACGTTAGAATGGGCCGTGTATGATCATCCTCTAACCTTCTATCGAGCCTTGACATCAATGGCACGATTCCACGACCATGTTTCAGCTTCAACCCATCCATCATTCCTTCCATGATGCGATGGTTTCGGTCATGTTCGACAGCCAGGGTGGACGGTGCGGTTCATCAATGGCTCGGAAATGGTCCTGGTCCTTCTGGCGCGGTACCGTATCTACAGGTATCTGGTGCCAAACTGATGGAAAATTCCTCCATTTGTAACAATAACAATAAGCGTTCCAAGCCTTGAACTGTAGTCCCTGTACGGACGGTGTGCAAAGTGTTGACGTCCACTTGAAATATCGGGTTCTGCGAGGTGGCCCAATCTCCTTGTTGAAATCGTTCTTGGTCTGCGTTTCTGGCTGTTATGGCTGGTTATTCCGTCCTTTCGTCCGCACTTCTCGGACTTGAGCTCATGGCTGGCCGTCTGCTTGGTTTATAGCTGGAGAGCGGCATGGCCGTCGTCGTCGTCTTTCAGCCTTCTGACGTTCAATACCAGCCCCTGGGAATCTGCGAGTCTCTTTGATCGATGGCACCATCAATTTGTCTGCGAACTTGGTTGGCTCCAGACCGTGTATCGTGTGCTGGTGATTTGATTGACCAACTGCGTTGATGGACGCATTCGGATCAAAAGTCTGATTGATATTTTTGCTCAAGCAGCTTGAACCCTCTCCTCATACTGGCAACTCGGCATTTCTCCTCCCGCTTGAAATCGACTGTAATGCCATCTGAATATACGGACCAACGATTGGAATGTTGCCCGCGAACGAGGCAATGGTTGCAAAGAAATCGCCAAACAAGACGAATATCCCATACAGTTCAATCAGAAACCCAGTTAACGGCCATCGAATCAAAATCAGCAATATGCCGGCCATGAAAGCAGCGGTTCCTTTGAGTTTCTGACGTCTGGCGAAGAACATGAACGTTTTGTGGAAGCCGATTATGAGCGTGAGACCGATCAGGAAGAGAATCTTGAGGCCTGGTCAGCATGCGATCGTAGGGTGGGTGGAAAGGAAGTGGTACATTTCCCATTGCAAGCCTGTTGCCCAGTCAGATACGCGCGTATACTCACATATATCAGAGATCCAGACTTACATGGAGCGATCGAAGAACATCAAAACACCGCCAAACAGAAACAATCCACCTTGATCATGTTAATGTCTCTGCACCTTTTTTTCTAGACTTCATGCGCCAATTACCTCCTGAGCAGAAAGCCACTCCGATCTCTGCGAGAATGTCAGTCTTCACCCTACCCTATACAGGACGATCGGAGTCGATCGCGAGAGACGGCGTACTTTGGAGATCTGTGAGCCACATGCTGGGCATCTTTGCGAGTTGTTTAGTTGATCCAATTAACTTGTACGCGTCAGGCAATTGTGCACAGGAATCTCAGATGTGTTGCGGAGTTGACCCTCAATGTAGGCAGTGCGACAGTCATGCAGAAAGCACGCGGTGGGCGGTACTGTACTGGATATGTCGGCGATGCGAAAGTGGTTGAACTGTCCTTTACCGCAGGAGAGCACAAGGGATGCGCCAGTAAGTAAACGATGCGGTGCGGACACATGCGCGTCTCGTTTGGAGCCGACTTCAGTTGGATTCAATTGGCCATTCAATCCAATGCTCCGATTCGCCGGTCGAGCCACGGTGTCTTCTTTGGGAAATCCGTCACGCTGTCTTATTTGCGGCCGAATTGGGATTTCTCGAGTAAAACAGCGTGTATTGTCTCCATAATTGAAGGCACAGGAATGACGCAGACAGCAACAAGACGACAGGCCGCTCTCACTGTACAATTGTAGTGGCAGGAGTTTGTGACACGCCCAGCGGCATAGCAACATACAGTAGCATACTACTACTAGTAGTGTTTGCCCACCTGTGTGAACTATCCTGTATCTCAACCACTATGCGTTGACGACCAATTCTAGGCTGATAGCCACGCATTTCAGCCGTCCTTGTCTCAGCTCAAACCGCACAGATGAGGAGAGCAAGCATGTCGTGGCTCTGGAAGGTAGGTCTATCCATCTGAAACACCGCTCCCGTTCCCGCAGTTATCACTAACATAACCGATTCAGGGCGACGCAAATTCCCCTGCCTCGTTTGAAAAGGCTCTCTCCAAACTCTCGGCTCAGATCTCCTCTGCCAGCCTTGCCCTTGACACCACCCGCAGTCGTGGCCGTCGAGTCAAGGCGTTATGGACGCTCTACACCACCTTGACCTACCTTCTCTATACTCTTGTTATTGGACTCGTTCTCGGCCCTCAGAACTGGTCACCATACCACTATGCCGGTCTCGTCGGCGCGCCGGCCCTGATTTACGTGGTGCGGACACTGTTGACAGCCTTTTTTGACTGGAGGATCAGTCGTCAACAATCACACTTGGATCGCTTGCAGAAACAAAGGGAGCAAAAGATTGCAGAACTCAAAAAGGCCACAAAATACGACAGTACTCAAGAACTGCTGCAGAAGTACGGTGGAGCCCCTCCCACTAAGACACCTTCGAGACAACTTCAGGCTAGCAAAAGAAAGATCAAAGCCCAAGAAAATCCACAACCTCAAAGAACCGGCATTGCTCCTCCGCCAACTGCCAATATTCCTGGACGGAATATCTCAACACCTCCGGTAGTAAGACCCCCTCTCGACAGCAGCCCCGTATCACCGGTCCATGGACGAGCACCCGCCATGGCGCCCATGCCTGCACACAGTCCCGTGGATGTTGCACCTGAGCCGCCAGGGTTCGCCCCCAACGCCTTTCCGCAAGCGCCACCTCCCAGCACGGCGTACGAACACACTCCTCACTGGTACGATCGGATCCTGGATGTTATGCTCGGCGAAGATGAAACCGCAGCGAAGAACAGATTGGTGCTGTTATGCTCCAGATGTCGCTTAGTCAACGGCCAGGCTCCTCCTGGGGTGAAGACGCTGGAGGAGTTGGGTCGGTGGAGATGTAGTGGATGTGGTGCTTGGAACGGGGTTGAGAGCGAGGGAGCCAAAGTGGTCAAGGAGATTGCCGCCGCTTCCGCAGGACTGGATTCGAGTGAAGAATGGGAAGATGCAGCACATTCTGCAGAAACTCATGCAGAGTCCAGCGAGGAATTCAAGGAGGAAGAACCCGTTGACTCAGTCACGCATGGGACGACGGGGCGGAAGGTTGATGACCAAAGTGGTCTGGCAAAGCGGGTGACTCGAAGCGCGGGACGGAGGAGCTCTGATACTCTAGAATGAGTGGATGGACAAACCGCGTAGCCATTACAGATTCAAGACGTTACTACCGACAGTAGATGAACCTCCCTGACTTGCACAGCCTTGCGGGAAAATACCCTCACGTGACCCGGCGCCAAGATTGTTAACTTCAAGTTCGACTTTTGGATTTGTCTTATTCTGTGTATAGATAGAAACCTTTCGACTATAATTCTTGCTGTGGCCAGTATGCCGGAGTGATCTGCTCCGTTCATGACATAGAACCGGTAGCGAGCGTTGATGAAAATGTGTCGGACTTGAAGTTTCCGACGAGGCTGAAATTTGCAATTGAAGTTGCCAGCCTAAAAAAATCGGAGACCGACACAACCATATCACTCTCCACCAACACCAATGCATCGCGGAACTTGTGGCTCAACAAAATGTCATCATTCATCGTCCGTCCGTCAAATACCGACAAGGATCCGTTCCGGGTCAAGTTGACTGCGGTTTCCATGCTGTCCCTAAAATTAAAGTCCGGCGACACATGTGAGCTCCAAAGTATAGACTTCGAAGAACATGACCAGAAAAAGAAGAAGAACAAGAAGAAACTTGCCATTGCCTGGGAAGCCTCGGGAGCCGGGATGAAGGACACGATTGTGCAAACATCCAAACTTTTACAGGAGGTGTACGGCTTCAAACTTGGGGACAAGATCCTTGTTTCTAGATCGACACACGCGGTGCAAGATTCCGCGGTGATCAGCATTGAACATTTAGGGACGCCGTCCTTGAGTGAAGAAGACAAGCACTTCTGGGAGAAATACGCCAGGCTCTCAATTCCCGGCGTGGACGAGTGTCTGGTGGAAACGCAACGGCTACGATTTAGGACAGGTATCCAAGTTACAGAGTTTGTCGTCCGTGACATCGGTGACTCGGAGTCGTTGATCGGTCGGGTTACGAAAGACACGCGGTTTCGAATCCGGGCGCCGAATGAGGATGGATCTGAAGTTGTCGAAACTGTCAAACAGGTCGAGTTTCAACCGGTGAGTCTAGGTGGCGTGCACGATGCAATCCGTCAAGTACAGGACATTATTGGGAGGATCTGTCGGCCTGTCGTGAAGCGGCATTTTCGACTGTATCGGCCTGTGCAGGGTGTGCTGTTGTATGGGTCCAAGGGAACGGGCAAGACGGCGTTTATTTCGGCTTTGGGACAGGCTGGCTGGACGGCGGTGACGGAGTGGAAACCGGGGACTCAGCTGAAAGGTACCAACGGTTCCGAGCCGCAATTGGTGGTCGTGCCGACCAGATACTTGTCTCGCAAGGACTCAAATGGTGGTTCTTCGTCAAGTGTCGTCGTGGGCGAGCTAGACAAGCTGTTTGAGCAAGTTAGGGACTTTCCCGTCTTGGTGGTCGGCGAGGTCCGACATCCAAACGATGTGGAGCAGGCGTTGAGGTCGGAGGGGAAATTTGCAGCCGAGATCGAACTGCCTATTCCTTCGGCGCAGCAACGGAAAGAAATCCTGTTGGCGTTGCGTGGTGGTGACAGTGTGCCTGATGATGCGTTGGTACAAGAGATGGCGGACCGCACACATGGATATGTGGGCGCGGATTTGTATGCGCTTGTTCGGCGGACGCTTGAGATCGCGTCGGATCGAAGTGAAAGTGTGCCAAGTGTACCAAACAACATCAGATCGCTTGGTGGAGAGAACCAGAAACAAATCAACGGCATAGAAGATATGGCATCATTGACCCTGAACGAAAATGAGGACACGGCTAATGCATCGTCTACCCAAACTGAAGACGTTCAGTTAGCACTGCGTCCAACCTCCACCGACCTCGACGAAGCACTCCGTCAAATCCGCCCATCTGCCCTGCAAGAAATCTTCCTCGAAACCCCCAACGTCCACTGGACCGACATAGGCGGCAACCACGAAATCAAGCGCCAACTCCGCAACGCCGTGGAACGACCACTGAAATTTTCCTCGCGCATGGCCAAACTCGGCCTCCAGCCCAAAAAGGGCGTCTTACTCTACGGTCCACCGGGGTGTTCCAAAACACTGTTGGTGCGGGCCCTCGCGACCGAAGCCGGATTGAATTTCCTTGCAGTCAAGGGTGCAGAACTGATATCCATGTACGTCGGTGAAAGTGAACGGGCTACGCGCGAGGTGTTTCGCAAAGCAAGGGCCGCGAGTCCGAGTATTATTTTTTTCGACGAGATTGATGCTATTGCATCTAGGGGAAGAAGTGGAAGTGACTTGAATGTGTTGACGACGTTGTTGAATGAAATGGATGGCTTTGAAGAATTGAAGAATGTTCTCGTTGTCGCGGCCACGAATAAGCCGATGAACATTGATCCGGCACTCATGCGCCCCGGCCGATTCGATAATGTGGTCTATATCGGGCCGCCGGACTTGGAGGCCAGAAAGGAGATTTTTCAGAAAAGACTACAGAGGATTGGTGATGGATATAGGCCCGAAATCAGTCTTGATGAAGATACCGACGAGTTTGCGAGGGCCGCGGCTGGGTTTTCGGGCGCAGAGGTCGTGGCGATTTGTCAGACGGCGGGGGAATTTGCGTTTGATGATGATCGTGATGTGATTGTTGCGGAGGATATTAGGAGGGCGATTGAGAGCACGCCGAAGAGTATTACGGCGGATATGTTGTTTGAGTTTGAGAGCTGGAATAGTGCGAGGATGCGCTGAGTGATTTCTCGCAGGTGGTTCTCAACAACACCCCGCTTGGCGAAGTGATATCTCGGTGTCAATGGGAGTCTGCCTCAGCGAAAGCAAATCTCTGTTGTCCTTGTCAGGCTGTGCTGTCCTCCAAAGGTCACGAAAGAAGTGAAGGACCCGCTACAAGGCCTCGCAGAATCGACCATGACGAAAAACGAAACCTGGGGGAGAATGGAATCGAATCAACCATCTGGCATTGACCACCCAGCCTGGGTTGGAATCTGGATGACTGTGACGACAGTGGACAAACTCTCTACCCACTGTTGCCCAACCGCAGCTGATCCTACCACCCGAGAGTATCAACCAACTACCATGTCAATCACCAATCCAAGCCCATCCCGCCAAGTCCCTCTATCAAGTCAACAAGGTCCGCCAAAGAAACTCAACTCGGTCCGGTCACCACATACGTCTTGCTCTGCTCAGCAAATCTCCAGCTTTTAGTGGTCTTGCGAAACCTGTCCCACAATCGGCACTCGCGGACTCGACTTTAGAATCTCCTTCCCTTGGTCAAAATCGTCAATCCTCCCATCGTCATCCCACAGGGCAGCCAGAACCGTTCTTTGCTTCTGGTCCGCCGTGACAACCCACGGTTTACGCGAGTGCATCACTGCATAATTCTGCAGGAACGAGACGTCAGTCGAGTGCAGTCAATGATTAAAAAAGAGTTTCCTGAGGAGGAGGCAATGTTGTGTGGTGTGGCGTCATGACTTCAAAGTGCTAACTTACATCCAACAATACAACATCCCCTACTTCCCACTCAACATCCACCTGCATCCCCTCGGCAATGGACAGCGCGAGCTCTAGGTCTTCGGTGTTAATGGGACTTCCGTCGCCGTATGTCGGGAGAGGGTGGTATCCGCCGTCATCACCCAGAAAGGGTGGCTGGGTCGCGCCGTGGTGTCTGCTGCGGCCGTATGCGCTGGTTAGATTGCCGAACCAGGTGGTATGGCCCGTGGGGGTGTGTTTTCGAATGACTGTACACCGGAGAGTTAGCCATTGGTATATGACGACGGTGTTAGTGATGGTGATAGTGGCATATAGCAACAGCAACAAGTTTTGTTGTCGTGAGTCAAGGGAACGCAAGGAAAAGGAGGCGTTGTCGAGGGTGACAGGGAGTCGAAATTGATGGAATGGCAATGCAAACTCACTCGGAACAATATGCGTGACACTGATCGATCCATCCTCATGCCATTCGAACCTGTCACTATGTCGACGGACCTCGGCCTCGATTTTACGCCGGATCGTGTCTTCGTCGTCTCCGTCCCGAATCGTCTGGCCGTAGGCGCTGAAGACGCTGGTGCCGACTGTCGAAACAGAGTCTTGTCGAGGATACCGGTAGACGTACTTGACGCCCTTTTCGAGTAAGGATTGAAAGAATTGGGGCGCTTTCTCCTCTAGGGCTTTGGCCAGGCCTATGCTAGATATGATCGGGGTTGCTCCGCCTAGAAAGTAGGTGTGTTAGGTCAGTCTTTGACAGATATAAGACCGGTTGGACCGGTCGGAGCAGCCCAGTAGACATGGGAAAGAGAGGGGAGTGATCACCATGCAGTCATGGCATGGCACGTATAGGATAGACAAACAATACTTGTTACTAACCTGTTTCTGGAACAGAGAGCGCAGAAAATGTCAGCCATGCCGGGTTGATGGTGGACCAGCCGTATTCGTTGTGTGGCCAGATCGGTAGCTCGGGCGGTCTGCGTAAGAAGAAACATGGTCAGAACACAATAGGGAAAAAGACTAGACTTCAGAGCCTGTGGGCACAAAAAATCCCCGGGAAAAGCAGCAACTACAATCGCAGATGATGCGAACGCCTTCCCATAAAAGCGCGTAGAAACCCACGACGACAGGGAGGTTTCCATTTAGCCCGCCAAGGATCTCAACCCAGATGTCCTCTTCGGACAGAAAAAGGGACATCAAAACCCATGCTCAATCGCTCCCACACTCACTCACCCTTCATTGGCAGTTTTGACGTTTGGGGCCAGGACGGTCCTCAATGGCGGCCTTCCCACCTCCTCGTGAGGGCGGAAACCAAAAGCATGCGCAACGCGACTATAGTCGAGGGCCGTCTTGATAGGCAGCCCGCGGAACAAGATGGCGCCGCCATGCTCCTTCACCAGGTCCAAAAGGGCCCCGGACTCGCGGAGGGTCGTGATGGCCTCGACTGCATCGTCAATGGTTTCCGGCGTCCACTCCGCGGACGGCTTCAAGGCCAGCGGGAACAATTTTGGTTGCTGCTGCACTTTTGGAGAAGATGTGGTTTGGGCAGGGTTTCCATACCCATATCCAAAGTCGCTGGTGATTTGTTGGCCTGGGAAAGTAAATTCCTCAAAGGGCCATGACTTAGACTTGGGATTAGTCTCAGGTTGAGGTTTCGAGTTGGTTGATTTCGCGCTGCTGCTGATGGTTTCGTTTGTTGTGCGCTGGGCCAAGTCGGCGGTTGAGATAGGGGCCATGCTGATGGATGGGTGTTTTGCTTCCTTGCTCACGGCACGGGGGAGAAAAGGACTGATTGTTGAAAAAACGTAGCTTAGGTAGGTATAGATGGGTGTCAAAGTTCAGCCCGGTCGTCTTCGGGTATGCCGCGCACGCTGGTGCAAGTCAATCAGTTGCTTCACGAAAAGCTATTCTGTTGGCATAGGTATGCTCAAGCTAAGTTCTTCTCTTTGGGCGCAGTAGAGAAGATCATATTGCTATGCTGGTGCCGGTTTCCGGAACATCGGGTCCTGACATTAGCGGTACCCCGACTGCCCAAGAGGAAGGTCATCCACAGGCACATCCGGCACCGTATGTTACCGATCGCTTGGCGAAGGTCTATGGTCCATGTATCGATTGGATGAGGGAGCGGAAGACAGGAAAGATCCAAATGTTGAATCCAGTTGTGGACATCCCGGCATATGAGGCGTACAAGCTAGTCGGCGCCTCGTCCCATATTGTACGCTCTTCTCCTTGGACATAACTGATGTCGTCCCTCCTGTCGCTGGCCTCGATCCAAAGCAGGAGCCATAAGACGCTCACCATGATCGCTCTCTCGCGCTCGAGCATGCTGAACTATCGCCCCGTCTTGGGGATCTGCCATATGCCTTCTGTCCTCTTGCATATCATGACCGGAACTTGACTCCGTAAGAGGCCGCTCGTGTGCAATGGCAAGATTTGCTGTTTGGTGTCGTGATCCCCTCCGCATTCGGCACAGAAGGGAAATGTACGTGATCCGGGGTGCTGATGTCGTGATGAACGGTTGAAGTGGGTCCACTTTAAGGGGCCGGGCCAAGACCAGTAGAGGACCGCAAGAAGACCTGGGCACTTGATACCACTTCTTGCTAGCCCGGCTGGCGGACTTGTCGAGTATCGCTGATAACGCCGCACTGTGTCTCGTCTTTTGGGATTGGAAGAACCAATGATGTAGAGGTTCAAGGCGGGAAAAACCAAAGCAACCATGCAAGTCTGTCCATACCAGGTTGTAGATCGTCCTGTATGCATATGCGACTTTGCTTCTGGTCCTATTATCAACTGAAAACGATCTGAAAGAAGCATATGCACTCTCTACACTTGCTATCTAACAGCCAAGATAGTAGTCTGCGCGTTATGGACTGTACCGCAGGTAGAAAGGGTCTCCTGTCTGAACCGACGCGGGATGTTAGCACAAACGTGTCGGACCCAGTCCGCTGGAACTAACTCGTTGTTCAAAGCACGCCATCCACAATATTGCGCGAGGCAGAAAGGTGTTCGTGCCACCAACGTACATCAACTGTCCAGCCATATAAGTAGCTGGCAAAGGCGTCCTTTCCTGGGCGTTACTGTCAGCGGCAATCATCGAGTCCATCGTTCAGCCTTTCGCTGATTGGAGTTCGACCTGATTGAAGGTTCACAACTGATTGTCTAACAGTACGAAAACAAAATGGCCACCACAGCGGCGGCCAAGGACGGCATCGCTGCCCGAGTTGACAGTGACACCGAGAGCGGCGGTGTTCAGCCACAACACGACGAAAAACAGCCAAAGTCATGGTTCCGAGGGGTGTTCTTTCAGGCTACTGTCGTCGGCTTCTGCGCGTTTGGTGCTCCAGGGCTGTGGAATGCAATGCAGTCAGTCGGGGCTGGCGGCCAGCAGACTCCGTACCTTGTGATGTGAGTGGCGCTACCCCTTCAACCGCCATGTACCATTGGAAACCGGATGGACTGACAGACAGATCGGTGGAATAGGGCCGGAAATGCCATTCTTTTCTGTCTCATGACCTTCGCCTGTCTTAGCGGGAGTATCGTGATCAACCGTATTGGACTGCGCATGACCCTGGCCATTGGAACCATCGGATATGTCATCTACTCGGCAGCACTGTACCAGAACAACCGGCACGGCACCGAGTGGTTCATCTATCTCGGTTCAGCAGCGTGCGGTATTACCGCCGGATTGTTCTGGGCGGCAGAAGGAGCCATCATGCTCAGCTACCCGCCACCAGAGTCCAGAGGCAGATATCTCGCGTATTGGCTGGCATATCGCAACAGTGGCGCCATCCTCGGCGGCATCATCAACCTGGCCTTCAACTACAGTGGGAAGCAACTGGGCAAGCTGGATTGGAGGACGTACATTGTCTTTGTCGTCCTGCGTAAGTAACACGCCTCCTCGGAAAGAGTAGTTGTGTCCTTACTAACATTGATGGCCGTCATAGAATGCTTGGGCCCGGCCATTGCCATGTTGTTGTCACCTCCACAGAAGGTTCAGAGAGGAAATGGCACAAAGGTCCAGCTGGTCGAAAGAGTTGCTGATAGCATCGAGCTGAAGGAAACGCTGAGGCTGATGTTGCGCAAGGAGTTCATTTTACTGTAAGCCACAGGTTACCGGTAGATGATGGTCTGCTAACAAACCGACAGTGTTCCTTATTTCTGTTATGTTACTTGGTCCTTACCGTATATTGGCTCGTACATGTCGCTGTACTTCAGTGTTCGAGCCCGAGCACTCGCCTCTCTGGTCACGGCGCTTGCACAAGTTCTGGCAACCGCTATGATGGGCACTTTCCTCGATATCAAGCGACTGACCATCAATCAACGAGCGAAGGGAGGGTTCCTGGCAATCATGATCCTCAGCGGCGGCGTTTGGACATGGGCGGTGGTCATTCAGCACAAGTATCAGCAACACAAGCCCGCGCTTGACTGGGTGGATGCGCAATTTGGTGAAGGCTGGGCTTTGTACGTGTTCCAGCAGGTCGAGTTCGCCTTGACGTACAACTACGGATACTGGCTCCTGGGGTTCCTAGCCAAGAAGCCGGTTGAAATCGTCCGCTACGCGTCCATTGCCCGGGGTGTCGAGGCCGCCGGGCAATGTATCGCGTCCGGGATAAGCTCAACGCACACTCGCGTAAGTGGTCACCCATATCTTTCCTGTCAGAATCCGACACTGATCTTGATCCCCTAGCTGATCGTGTCCGCCGGTATCATGCTGGCGCTGTGGGGATTCTCCCTGGTGCCAAGTTATTTGGTTGTGAGGGAGGTAGGAATCTCTCATGTCGGTGCAGAGGAATACCTCCCGCAGTTGAGGCCTTCATCTGGGGTGAGAGAAGACAGGGACATTGTAGACGAGAAGAGGGAGAGAGACGAGCGGCGACCGCCGTAAGTGCTGGAAACTAGAGCCATTGGCATTGCGAGCATTTTTCTTTCCGCCATCGCCCTGTGACCACAGCTCCAAACATTCCTAAGGAGGTAGGCGATGAAAGCTGCGATTAATACATGATGGCCATAGGTGGGATAGGTTTGAAAGCCACAACAAATGGGTGATACTGTGAACAGGAAACGTTGCGGGCGAATAAGCCGCGAAGTTGGTGAGCTCGGCAGACCTTCCTCGGTGCTTCATGGATATATATACCGTTTCTCGTTTTCTCCTTTTGCTCAGACTCGATAGTCTCTGATGACCATTCGCATTATGGCCAGCGGTTTCGGTGCTCGAATAATGAGAGGTGGGGAATATGGGAGACTTGACCTTGTAAGTGTGGAGTGGTGTGGGCGGCCGCCAGTTCCATTTCGTGGCACGAGTATCAACACCAGGCACCCTCCAACGTTGTGGCAGTATCAGCAAGTGAATGGTAAGCCCTTCAACGCTGCTTGGCTTTTCGCACACCCACAAACTCCAATCTAAATCAAAAAGAAAAAGAGGTTCGAACCACGCAAGGCGCAAAAAGACAAAAACTCTAATCCGATGCCCTACCACCGGCTGGGTGGTAGAGGTCGGATCGAGGGAAACCCCAGTTGATCAGGGATTTTTTCTCGTCGGAATCGTCAGGTCTAGATCCCAGTTCTGCTCAAGCCTCAGACAGAAGGAGGCGAACCCGGGACCGATGCCACTATCGCCTAGAGATGAACTGCAAGTGCATCTCAGCTGGCGCTCACGGACTCACTCGGCTGAAACTCAGCAGCAGAACCGCTGAGCCAGTCTAGAGCTGCCCCAGGGTGGGTGAATAGGTCGTGTCCGACCTCACCACTGGGGAATTGTTGGAGGTAATTCTGCGGCTATAAAATATAACCTGTTGATTCACGAACCAACTGCTTCACCCCGGGCAACCAACCCGACCCACTGCACTCGATGCGTTTCCACGTGATTTTACAAGCATTCATACAGCAAGCAATGTATATATACCGTCGCTCTCCAAGTGTTGCAGGCTCATGCTGGCAGGGACCATCCCTTGCTCCTAGTCACCGTGTTTACCTCAACACTGCTGACCAGGCTGACCAGGCTGTGATATTGCCACACTGGGTTGGCTGTTTCGCCGTAGACCTGCGGTACCGCGGAGTATGTTCCCAAAACCGACGTAATTAGGTAATCCTCCCTTGGAAGCTACAACCACCTACAACATAGGTGCCAGGTATCTACTGCTACAGAGCCACTCCGTCTTCGAGTTGACGTACTTAGCGACTCATCTGTTCAAGTATTGGAATGAGTCCTGTTAGGATTGAACAATGGCTGGTGTACGATTTTGACCGTCAGCAACCTCAGCGATATCTGAGGGAACTTCAACCTGGACCTCGGTATGTCCCGGCACGGTGCTGACAATGTCGGTATCTCCCCTCTTTCAGGCACGAGCAGGTTTGAGGAAGACCAGCACAAATGAATTGCAACCATGACTCGCCACAGGAATCATCCGCACATACACCTTGCTTGGGGTGCCGGATTGGGCCGGCTCACCTTCTGCCGGCCTCCAACGTGTCGCTATTCAAACAGTCTAAAAGCTGACCCTGACTCGTCTCGGTCAAAGTCACTAACTGGGATCGCCCGCCTCCGCCAACGCTCTTGATATTCACCCCTCGGATCTTCCAGGAACCTCTGCCTTTATCATGCTCATTGCTCTTGTCGTGATTTGAATCGTTGTCCGAGGTCACAACCATGTCCATTACTACGCCCGTGACCCAGTTGCTGGGCATCCAGCATCCAATCCTGCTTGCCGGGATGGGCCAGACATCCGGAGCTCCGCTTGCAGCGGCGGTCTCAAATGCAGGTATCTAGACGACCCGTTCTTTCTGGGCATCAGATCTGGACTATAAAAGTCTAATGTTGAACAGGAGGCCTAGGCGTCATTGGCGGCGTCGGGTACACCCCTCGGATGCTGAAGGAAATGATCGAGGAGTTAAAAGTGAGTATCAAAAATAGCGTCATGAGAAAGTCAATATTCAATGCCCATACTGCGTCCCAACGCTGGCCACCAGCAGTTGTCACCGAGTCGCCCTACAGTATCGTATATTCGATTTTTGGCCACGAAACAGCCCAGAAGACGCAAAGTCATGAAGAGAATGCTGACAGTCCGTTTCACTGAACCGATAGGCAGGTCTTCGACATCCGTCACTTCCCTTCGGGGTCGACCTTTTGATTCCTCAAGTCGGAGGATCAGCGCGCAAGACCAATGTAAGTATTCGGGCGCCATCTTCTACCCAACCTCATATGATGGAATCCACTATATAAACAGTTCGGCTGAAGGGGACGAGCTTTTCCTTGAGCCGGTACTGTTTGCACTAATTTTCCCATTGAATACAAAATTTGTTATCTATCGTCCAGTTCTCGTTTCTATTTGTACCTACCACCTGCCTGGAGTTGATGTCCCGATTCTAGATTGATTATACCAGAGGAACACTCGATGAACTCGTTGATATCATCATTGATGGCGGTGCCAAACTGTTCGTCTCGGCCGTGGGAGTTGCTCCCCAACATATCGTGACCAGACTCCACCGCCATGGCATACTGTATATGAACATGGTCGGTCATCCGAAACATGTGCACAAAGCCTGCCAAGCTGGCGCGGATATCATTTGTGCCCAGGGCGCCGAAGCAGGCGGACACACTGGTGATACGCCAACGAGGTACGACCGCATAGCTTGCCCTTTCTCTAACCAGGAAAGAACCCTTTTGTACACCAAAATTGGGAAAGCACTCCAACGGCATCACAATCCCAGGGCATATGGGCTAACCTTGCACTGCCTCGGGCTTCTCCAGTGTCCTCATTCCCGCCTGCGCAGACCTTGTCAAGAACTACACATCGCCCTTGACGGGCAAGCCGGTGCAACTCGTGGCTGCAGGTGGTATCTATGACGGCCGTGGCATTGCAGCCATGTTGATGCTTGGAGCATCTGCCGTGTGGGTGGGCACGCGATTCGTGACGGCCAAAGAGTCTGGAGCTCCAGAGGTAGCCAAGCGAGCGTAAGTGATTGTCAATCTCCATCCTTTGGACTAGCATTCTTGCTATTCACGAATCTATTCAACTGCCAACATACCTCGCTGCCTGATCACGACTCAGCTGCTCTGGCAGTCAAGTCTATATCCACAACATCGACCTGCTTGGATTCAGTCCTTCCAGATTTATTCTTCGGAATCAACATCCAAGCAGGAATGCAAAAGCCCGTTCCAGGACATAAATGAGCCGATCTTATATGACCTTCGTCTAAATTTGCATATATCTGCTAACCGCCCACTGGCCTGACAGTATCATCGAAGCAGACTTCGACAGCACCATCAAGTCAACCATCTGGACCGGCCGGCCCCTACGCGCGCTGGGCACTCCATACGTGCGCAACTGGGAACTCAACCGACAAGACGAGATCAAGCTACTTCAAGCACGAGGGATTATCCCCCTTCAGCACGAGCTGGACAAGCTCGAAAAGGCCGGCGGCATCACCGAAGAAATTGAAGACCAAAGCACATTGAGGTACGTATACGTATACTTTGACCATCTCACGTATCTGAAGCCATACTTTGATCCGCCTCGCCGTTTCCAAGGGATCTCCGATCTTGATGATCCCTTGCTTCCAACTGCTCTGTTCATGATCCTTTCAAACGAGTCTGTTCAATCCGATGTCATTTCATTTCTCTGCATCGCATCTCCTAGTCGTAAACCCAAAAGGTGATATCACGTTTTCATTTTCCTTCTTCCCGTACAGTACATGAACCCGGGAGTCCTCCCCAAACCCAAGAGACTCCCAGTCACCACCGCCGGCGGCGCGTCACATGCTTCACCACCCTCACGCCCTTTTCACCCTTTTCATTTACACTCACCAAATCATCCCCAACAATCGCCACTTCACCACCATCGGGTCCTATGGCCTAGGTGGGTAGGGGACTTGGGATTGGTGCCTAGTCCGCGTCAACAACTAGGTCGGCTATAAAATACTTCTCAACCATAATTGTTCGGTCAAAAAACCCTGATGGCATAAAACACCGGGGGTTTTCAGTCACTCATACACCTCCTATACGACTGGGGCTTGTGAGACCTGTTTTTTGCCTTTTTGGGGAAATGCGGTTAATCCGCGAGCGCCAATCTGGAGTTGATGGAGTTGTTCCATCACGGCACGACAACCACTCCGAGTGACACGATATGACTACAGTTCGAAGCACGACCACCGACTTTTGTTCGTGCTTTTTTGGTCCATGGTCATCGCCACACAGCTCGGTATACTATGAACAGATCCTCAATTTCAGACGTCGCCGCGCTCTGACCGTGGAAGTTAAAAGCCTCTCTCGATACACGGACCTTTCATGGGGAAGAATGGAACATCCGACGTCATCTTCGCCCTCGTCATCGCCCTCAGACTTCTTGCACTTTCGCCATTTCTTTCTTCGCGAGTGGTCCTGGTTCTTCTACTTTAGCCCTGGTCCTGCTGCAACTTCTGTCTCGCCCATGGTTGTCCTTCATCCAGATTCGCGCCCATGGTCTACCCTTGGCCCCGAACCCTGAGCCCTGAGCCCTGAGCTCTACGTACCATTCATCTGTTCATTCATCCGTCCAAAAATACTACTCGCAAATCCATACAAAACTTCACTAACTCCAATCTGAAAATCTAGACCAATGGGCATCGTCTCCGGCCTCGTCAACAAACCAAACCAATCAGCCCGCGAAATCGTCGACGAGATGATGACGGACGCGGTGCGTGTGCTTGCATCTGCAGGGAACTACCTCCATGGCGGAGTTGACAGCAATGACGGTGGCATTGGAAGCAGTTTTGGACCGGCGCCGACGTTGGTAACTCCGGCGGCGATTGCGAAATTGTGAAATCTGAAAGACCATGCATGATCCCTGTTTAATAATAATATCATCGCTGAAGATGAATATCATCTCAAGTGTCACTGCAAACAGATGACTGTCTTGTCAGTGAGCAGGAGAAAATAACGAAAGAGGAGGAGATTGAAGAAGAGAGGGAGAGGGTTTCTGTGCTCCGGTACATATTCAACAAATGGATATTATTAAAGGTAGCAACAACAACAACAACAACAACAACATGATATAACCAAGACCATAATATGGAATGGATCTGACATTCAATTCATCCTACTATACACGTACATAAGGTAGCTAAACGAGGTAGCGAACTCAAGGGTACACATTACCGCAGAAGAACAAAAAAGGGCAAAACACCATAACAGGACATTACCATCTCCCCCACCTCCCATCTTCCATCTCTTACTTCGACTCGTCGTCCATACGACCCCAGGACTTGGAATCCCGGGAACCATTCAAAGCATTGTCGACACACAACCCAAATCACAACATCTGCCAGCTGCCAAGAGGTAGCAGTATGGTATTATCATCAATTTCAGCCTCGTGTGACCTGCATGCAAACCAGACGTCCTGGTTTGCATGCATTACTTCTTCTTACCACCTCCCAATCCCAAACTCTCCGCAATACTGCCCAAGCCCATCCCATCCAACAACTTACCCACACCAAGGCCACCGAGGAGCCCATTGACGAGACCGCCCAGTCCCAGACCATTGAGCAGTTTGCCCACAAGACCCAAGACACCGGACAACAACAGCCCCACTGCAGCAATGATCTGGAACAACGGTTCCGTCAACAGTGCCCAAAGCGGGTTCAACTTCTTCTTCGCATGCGGCATGTCGGCGATACGTTTCTTGGCGTTGTCGATGGTCTTGACGACCTGGCTAGTGAGTTCCTTGAGACCTTCAGCGACACGATGTTCCTCAGGACTGGCTTCGCCAGATGCGGCTCGAGCTTTCGCCTGTGCGGCGATATGGCCATCTGGGTCTAGACCGCGAATGGCGCCGTTGCATTCACCGAGGATGCGGCTGCCTTCTTCGATGAGTGGTTTGACGGCATTGACGAGAGCTTCTTCGTCCAATTCTTCGCGGGGGGTTCGGTCGGCTTTTTCGATATGCTAGAAAAGATCATACATGTTAGTTGACACAATCTTTACTAGAACCTACTTCGCTTTCGCTCCGTAGGACAAAAATCAATCTTGTGCACACTCACCTCTGTAATCTGCTTGCAGATCGGCTCCATTCTCTCAATCGTCTGATTGATAATGTTGGCAATCTTCTTTGCAATCTCGCGTTCCTCCTCATCCTTGAGCTGTTCAGGGGTCGGACCTTCGTCGACTTCTTCTTCAGGAATGTTTTCGAGCAATGTACATTCGCCAAGCTTGTTGCCGTCTTGGTCGACCACATAACCATTATCGTTGATTTCTTTGCCAACACAAGCGAGCAGATTGCCCTCGGTCAACTTGCCGATGACGTCGCCGTTGCGATCACGCACTTCACCCTCTTTGTTGACGCGCAGGCCGGCCATTGGAGATACTTCACGTTCTTTCTCCTCGGGCTCCCAGCGCTCGGCTTTGCCAATGACATTGCCATTCTTGTCGATGATATCGCCGTCGTCGTCGACGTGGCGTCCGACCAATTTCTTCGGATCACCTTCAATGACTCTTCCGACGATCTCACCATTGGCATCTTTGACCAGTCCGTCCTTGGAAACGATGGTCGATTCAAAGTTGGAAAACGGCCCCTCTGCCTTGGCGCCGCCACCGCCTTCGAGAAGTCGACCTTTGCCAATGACTTTGCCGTCGTTGCTCCAGATTTGACCCTTGCCGTCGACTTTGCAGCCAATCAAATTCTTGACATCGCCCTCGGCCACTTCGCCGAAAATGGTGCCGTGCTCGTCGACAATCTTGCCGGCTTTGTTGACTGTCTTTCCTGCCAGGCTGGAGAGATCCTCCTCGACAACTTCCTCTTCTGGGATCTCATAAGGCTCGGCATGACCTTTCACATTGCCGTACTTGTCGATGATATCACCGTCTTCGTCGACAGCACGACCAAGGAGTTTCTTCCAGTCTCCTTCAACGACCTTGCCGACAACATTGCCTTCATGATCTTCGACAAGACCGTCCTTGACCACCACGACACCTTCGAGACCGGCGAACGGACCTTCAGGCTTGGCTTCCCGCTCTTCGGGAGGGATAAGTTCGCAGCGGCCAACGACTTTGCCTTGGTCATTCCAGATCTGGCCATTCTCATCGATAGGACGGCCAGCGAGCTCTTTGGCATTGCCTTCGACAAGTCGGCCGATAGGTACGCCCTCCGGCCCGATGACATTGCCTTGTTTGTTGACTTTGAGCCCTTTCAGCTCAGACAGATCCACAGCTTCAGGTTCGGGCTCAGGCTCAGCTTCAGGCTCTTCGTACCTCTCAGCGTGGCCAACAACGTTGCCTTTCTTGTCGATAATGTCGCCATCCTCATCCACAGCACGACCGACAAGCTTCTTTGGATCGCCTTCGACGATGCGGCCGACACGGTTGCCGTTTTCGTCTTCAATCCAGCCATCAGCGACGACAGTGAGGCCTTCAAGTCCGGCAAATTCAGCTTCGCCTTCGTTCTCCTCTTGAGGCAGCGTCTTTGCCTTGCCGATGACATGGCCCTTGTTGTCCCAGAATTGTCCCTGGTCATCGGCGGTAAGACCTGCTTTCCAGATCTTCTTGGCATCACCTTCGACGAGTTCACCGACAATGTTGCCGTTGTTATCGACGATCTTGCCAGCCTTGTTGACTTTGAGTCCTTCGAGGATGGAGAGCGGGGGCAAACCCTCGTCACCCTCTTCGGCGGCTTCCTCGCCTTCTTGTTCTTCTTCACCGTCTTGAGTAATCAACTTGACCTTGCCAATTACATTTCCATCTTTGTCCAGGACTTCGCCCTTGTCATTCAGCTTCTTGCCAGCAACGGCAGCAAGGTCGCCCTCTTCGAGCTCGGCGATCGGATCGCCGTCTTCGTTGAGAACTTGGCCCTTTTTGTTGACTTTGAGGCCTTCGAGGATGGAAGTGTCTGGACCTTCAGGAGCCTGCTCTTGTACCTCGACAAGACCTTCTTCAATTGCCTCAGGGAGGAATTCCACCTTGCCGATGACATTGCCATCCTTGTCCAAGATCTCTCCTTTGTCGTTGATCTTCTTGCCACGAACGGTTTCCACATCGTAGCCATCAGCAAGCTTGGCAATCGGGTCGCCATCCTCGTTGACAACTTCACCTCGTTTGTTGACCTTGAGGCCTTCTAGTTGTGAGAAGTCAGGGGCTCCAGCATTGTCTGCCGCGTCCTTGGCCTCATCGGCAGCGCCTTCGGCTGCATCCTTGGCCTCCTCAGCAACGTCAGCAGAGTCGCCGGCATCGTCGGCCTTCTCCTCTGCCTTCTTTTCAGCCTCTTCGGCAGCTTTCTGGGCCTCTTCAAGTTGATCAACGAGTTCAGGATGAAGCTCTTTCATGGCTTCGTCGGCAGCTTCGCCCTCGACCACCTCGACGCGGCCGATGACGTTGCCATCATTGTCAAGGATTTCACCATTTTCGTTCGGCACCTTGCCAGCGCAGGCTTTGGGATCGCCTTCGACCAGCTTGGCTAACACTTCTCCTTCGTCATCGATGATGTTGCCCTTTCTGTTCAGTTTTCGGCCCTCGACTATGGTGAGGTTGGGCTTCAGTTGATCTTGGAGGTCCTCGACCTTGTCCAAAGCTTCCTGGACAAATTCGGGTTTGCCGCCTTCGGCGCCCTCAAGAGCCTCCTTCGCCTCGGGGACAACCTCTGCACGGCCAATCACGTCGCCATCCTCATCGAGAACCTCTCCTTCAGCGTTAAGGGTACGGCCAGCAAGGTCGGCTGGGTCGCCTTCGGTGATCTTTCCCAATGTCTTGCCGTCCTTGTCCTTGATGGCGCCATCTTCTTGCACCTCAAGGCCTTCAAGGACATCAACACCGGGGAGTTGCCCTTCGGCCTCTTCAGCAGCCTTTTCGACTGGCTGAGGTAGTGTCTCTGCACGTCCGACAGCATCGCCATCCTCATCAAGAATTTCACCTTCGGCATTCAGTGTCATGCCGACGAGATCTTTCGGGTCTCCTTCAGTGATGCGACCAAGAACCTTTCCGTCTTTGTCCAAGATGTCGCCATTCTCTTGTACTTCGAGACCTTCGAGGACCTTGATGTCAGGGAGGTATGTCTCGACTTCTTCCTCTGCAGCTTCTTTGGCGCCGTCGACCTCTTCTTCTGCACCTTCCGCTGTCTCTTCAGCTTTGTCTCCGGCTTCGCCAGCAAGCTCCTTTGCTTTGTCAGGAAGAACGGTTGCACGGCCGACGACATCTCCATCTTCGTCGAGGATTTCGCCATCATCCGCAACCTCGTAACCTTCGAGGTCTGCTGGATCACCTTCAAAAAGCTTTCCAATGGGTTGGCCTTCCTTGTCGAGGATCTCGCCATCCTCATTGACCTTTAAACCTTTCAAGACTGAAAGATCAACAGGGACATCCTCCGCGGCCTCTTCAGCGGTATCTTTGGCTTCATCGGCCGCATCCTCTGCCTTGTCTTTAGCACCCTCTGCCGCTTCGCCAACATCGGGTGTCTCGTCGGCGTCTTTTGGAACATCCTCGGTTGCGTCTTCGGCTGTCTCTTTGGCGGCTTCGGTGCCTTCTTCGGCCTTGTCCTTGACATCCTCGCCGGCGTCCTCAGCGGCATCTTTGGCATCTTCCGCAGTCTCATCTGCCTTGTCTTTGACTCCTTTTGCCGCATCTTCGGCAGTATCCTGGACATCCTCGGCAGTATCTTGAACTTTGTCTTTGGCATCCTCGGCGGTGTCTTCGGCTTTGTCCTTGACATGTCCGGCAGTATCGTCGGTGGTATCTTTTGCATCACCAGCGGCGTCATCAGCTTCCTCTTTGGCATCATCTGCGGCACCTTCCGCCGTGTCTTTGGCATCTCCTGCCGTGTCCTCGGCGGCATCATCTACATCGCCTTGGGAGACCTTCTGTGCGGCGCCATTGGCAGAGTCTTTGGCACCGCCCACTCGGCCGGCAACCTTCTTCCCGGCACCGTTGGCTCCGCCTGCCGCTGATTTGGCACCGCCCAGGGCCCCAGAGCCCTTCCCCTCCGCTTCATCCTCCGCCTCCTCTGCGGCGTCGTCGTCAGCACCTTGAGCTGGCTCCTCCGTTTCCTCGCCCTCATCGGTGCCTTCATCCTTGGCAGCGCCTCTTCCGCCATCCTCTGTTTCGTCTTCGTCGCTATCAGGGACGGGTTCAGGGTTCGCTTCGGAAAGTTCGCTGGTATCGGCCACCGATGTACTCTCAGCTCCGGTGTCATGGCCCGGCTGGCTAACCTTACCACCAGGCTCCTCGGTGTCTTTCATGCTGATCTGCTGGGGAGTATCTTCCTCGGCCTCTTCAGACTTCCTCTTGACGTCGTCACCCTCCTTAGGTTTTGGAGGATTAGGTGAGTCGGTCGACTTTTTCGGTGTGGCTTTCGAGGCACCTAGCTTGGGTGGTCTCCGACCACTGGAAGGGGTATTGGGCTTGCGGGATTCTTGACCTGTAAGCTTGGAAGTAGATGATGATTGAGGGCTCTTGCCAGTCTTTGTCGGCGTTTCCGGCGCATTGGCCGATCTGCCTGCTGCTGGAGACGGCATGGTGCTCTTGTAACTTCGGATTGTTTCTGGACTAGATTTCTTGGAAGAAGGGCTTCCACGACTGGGGGTTGGGGGAAATGAATAATACGCGTATGAGGCCGATGAAAGTCGGTTGCTTGTCATCAGCTGGCTAAAAACACAAACTCATAGATCGGCGCTGCTGTCAACCTCCAGCTGCGCGTTTTCTTTCTTTCTCTTTTTTGGGATATTGTACAAAAGGGGTATTAGATGTTGTTAGGTTGATTGTCATAACAGAAAAGAAGAGGACGACGCGTCGGGATGAGGACGAATATCTGGTCAAGTAGGTTGCAGAAAATCCCTACGTCACTGTCTGTCCTCACCTACCTTGCAGTGACAATTGACCAGAAGCTCTCGCTCTGGTCGTAACAGAGCTGGTGCCTCACTGTGGCTGACCATCATCTTGGTTTGGACACTGACATTGCGTCAGAGAGGACCATCAAGAGCAGCTGGATGGGAAGGAATGTGGCACAGCAAGCTTGGATCTGGAATGGACCCAAGGGGCGCTCTGCCGAATGACACGAAGGCAAAGAAGAGGAGAAGGTTGAAAGGGTACAGGGCCTGATGGCCAATGTGAATTAACGATCGAGAAAGATGGGAACAATCGCGAATGGAAATTAGGAAATAGAAACCGTGGGACAAGGAAGTCCATGTCTTGAGGCCCCTGGCGACAGGGTCTTCCCAGACCAAGCATTGCCTAATGTAAGCCAATGGAGAAGCTGATGTCAGTCTGTTCATTCAGATCGGCTGCTTGCTGCCGCGTCGTAAGTTCATGGTCGAGTTTCTTACGCGCCGATTTTCCAGGCCATGTACAGTCCCGCCAAACAGGACCGGAGTATCGCGCTGTAGCAGTCCGAAGAAGTCATTGTGAACATAATGGCAACACCACAAGGAGGAGCAGAATGCCAGACAGGTCGAGGTATTGACGAAATGTTTGCAAGCTAACTGCAGGGATCCAGGGTCGATAGCAAAGCAACAATGCCATTCGAGTGGAGTGATGAGTAGTCGCCCAAGTGTTTGGCTGAAATGTGGCGTTGGAACAATGGGAGTGGGAACCTTGATCGATCGCACCGCCGCACCACGAGGGAGGTGGAGGGCCACAGAACCGGTTTTTGGAGCTCGTCCACACGGATCGGCGTCTGTAGGGCATGCTGTTGCTAATGGTAAGTTGATCCTTTATTCCAGAACTGCGTCTTCTACCAAATGCCCGTCTGCATCTTTTGCATCATCCTATTGCAGGTAGTTCGTAGCAGTTCATCATCTTTCTCCGTCTGCTGGACAGCTTCACGCGTTCTTGTCCATGGGAAGGGAAATCAGCTCGGGAAAACACCCTGTATGTGAACCCTGCGAGGGGCTTGATGTTTGAGGCTGCGATCCACCGGGAGACGCGGATGACGGATCATCGTCGTCAAGTGGCAGGAGAAACAGTAGGCGAACGAGCCGAAATGTGGGCTGCCACCGCTCAGTGACTGGGAAGACCCTGGGGCTGCCAGGCCGGTCAGCATCCACAGGCGGGTGCAAATGATGCAAGCTGAGACGACCGTCTACCAGCCACGGTTAGTTTTGCCCGTCGCCCAAAGATCTAACGGGCCGATGCTCTGTCAATGACATTGAATCATCGCGGGCGACGGGTGATCGATACGCGTGTCTCGCTCAGGTGTAGAGTTCCGTGCCGCCCAGAAAAGAAGAGGAATGGAAAAAGTGACTCGTTGATCGACAATTGTGCACGTTGTTTGCTTGGTTGCACAACTGAAGTACCATCAACTTCAGCGCCAACGAGGGTCCGCAGCTGCGGTCCACAACTGCACCAGACGCCCAGTGTTACCTCAGAAGCTTTACCAGCACCAGGTATTCTTCTGCTCTCCCAAACCCACCACCATGTTTAACGGCTGTCGACTACTGATCCTTACTGATCCTTCGACCAGGGATCTCGCCAACTTTTGTTGGCAAACATGCTGCAACTTGACATCACTTGAAGCATGCTTACAGGTGCTCTCCTGGTACTTCGACCAGTCCGGCTTGACTTCATTTCCACCATTAGGTTTGATGACCGCCACACTTCCAGCCAGAGACTTGAAAGTAACACCGTACCCCCGACCCGCAACCCTTTCTCCCGACTTCCTGCTCCTTGGGACACTCGTTGTACATGTGCACCAGAGTAGGTGCCGCCACATGCGTCTGTAACAGATGACTTCGTTTTCTACTAGTGAAGCAGGTACCCGTCTTGTCGTGACAATGTCCTTGTCTAGTGCAATACTTGCAGATACAACGAGACCTCGAGCTCCGAAGCAGGCATGGTCGGTCCATGTTGAAAGAGCTAGGCAAGCATATGCGGATGAGAGACGAAAACACAAGCATTTGACCAGCCACGCTGATTATTGAACAGAGGTGTACTGCAGCACAGGAGTATCCCCCCAGATCCGCGGAGCTCAGTTAATAATGGCTTCCGGATCAAACTCACCGCCGTCCTTCTGGCGCAGGTACACCATCTTCTGGACCTGTCCCCGAAAGCTGTTGTTGGATGTCTCCGGCACCATCATTGTCCCTCATTGTCATGCCTGCAGGTGTATGGTGGCCTGCTAGGACACGAGATAGCTTGCCAGTATGCTTCTTCCCAGCCTTAGGTTCCCGGGATTGTTGTGCCTGGGCATTGCGTTGCTGTTCCAGGTACAGCCTCTCCTTTTCCGCACTCTCTGATCGGTCCTGCTTGGCTTCTTCCTCCTCATGCACCTTACCAGGGTGAATTAGCTTGTCCTTCTCGTGACGTACCTTGTCCTCCAAGGCTTTGAGGCGTTTGCGGGATCGAACATAGGTCTCCAGGCCGACCAAGACAGCGTAGCTCCGAGAGATTGAGACACGGGACATGTCAACTCCCTGCTCGCGCAGACTGTGTACGAATGCTCGGAAATTCGCCGCTGGAGGTCGATAGTGTCCGCTCAACGGGGACAGCTTTCTCAATTGGCCATCCTTTACCTTGATTAACCCAGCCGCCAGGATGCGTGCTCCGTGCAGAAATGATGAATGTTGGAATGCCCCTGACTGCTTATAGCCAATATACAAACGAAATGAGGTGTCTGATCGGTTCAACTTTAGCAGGAGACTTTCTTTCGCATTGAGGGGTCTATTGCCTGAATACTAACCTGCAACCTTATCACACGTGCATTAGCCAGTCATGCTTGTGTTGAAAGAAGGACGAAGGAACTTACAAAGATCCATTTATGGCCTTTTTTGAGGCTGTTTCTGATCATATGGTTGAACAGCACAGCGGCACTGACATGCTTGACTTTGGATACACCTTTGGCGCGATGGAACTGTTGGCAATTGCAGTGTCAGCTGATTTCGCCGCCTCCTTCTCGTTGTATAATACCTACCTCTTCATTAACATATCTCTCTCCTTCGTCTGGCGCCACATTTCCACCGTCGTCGTCGGCATGCTCGGGTTCATCCGTGGAGGTTGTACTAGAATCGGGATCGTCTGCATCCTCCGGCGGTGGTACATTGTACTTGAATTCCGGCGTACGGTCTGACACCGGCACAATGCCATTGATACTGTCCTTGTAGAGTTCGTCCTTAGTCCATACTCGCTGGCCATTCTTGGCCCAGACAAGGCGGCCCTCGTCGTCCACCTTGACCAAATAATTCATCCGCTCCTCCCTCGACAGATAGCGAACCTGTTCCCTATCAAGCCGTGCCCTGCTGCATTCCGGGAGATCCACTTCTTTTCCATCGCCCTGATCGAGCCAGTAGAAGAAACTCTGGTCTGTATCTTGGGTCTTCCAATAGTTGTGATATTTCCGCAAATTGCTGCCGTACCGATGCCTTTGGTCCACCATTTCAAGAAAGTATTGTAAATCCATCATCTTGGCGGTCCTCTTCATGCCTCCCTGTCTATTATCTTCGTTTTCGTCGGCCGAGGATCCGGAAACAGATGGTGATCGATCGTCGGCACCTGCTCGGCGCGCGATCTGTGCGGCTCTGCTCCATTTCTCGCGTGCTGGAGAAATACCTGTCGGCTTGCCCGCGGCGTCTGGAGCCGACTCGTTGTCATCAGCACGAGCAGGCGGTCGCGGCGTGGTTGCTGCACGGTATTGTGCATCTCTCAGCGCCTGAAAAGACCCAAAGGGTCAGCCATAACCTAGCCCTCTATCCGTGTTTCTGGAACGAACCTCATACCACCTCGTGGAAGCGTCCAGACCAAACCCCTTTATCTGACGTCGTGTACGGTGGCCTCTATACGTCTTCTGCGCTATTGTCAGTAGCCGTAAGGATTATGGATCATCAACATGAGTCGGACTTGAATCAGGATAGCTGCCTTCCGCCTTTCTTCGGGGCTCAGCTGGTTTCCTGGCACTCGGGTGGTGTCCGGTATGCCACCGGGGGTGTCGGATTCCATGTTGGCATCCTCGCACGGTGACAAGTGCCGAGATCGATTTGGTTACTCGGCTGCCCGCGTGTCTGCGGTGTATCCCAAGAGACACAGATTTCTAAAGTTGCATTCGGGAGTAACGAGTCGATTTCGACAACTTGAACTTCCTGGTTCGAGGCCAGCACAAGATGAAGTAGGAGCAGGACAACGCATTGTTTGAATTGGAGACTCGCATCAATAACTTCCCCGCATCTTATCGATTGGCGCGTTCAATGACAGAGAGTGTAGATTCTGCGTTTTTTCCCTTCTACAATAAGGTGGTACTAATAAACTGAGATAGTGATACGAAGTCCTACTGTAGCATTCCAATGGCTATACAAAGCAGAGCAGACCAGATCTACTCGACTGGAATGCCAAGTTTCCTGAAGTTTGGTTGGAAAAGACTCCAAGTGTTGCGTATCACTCATGCGGCGTTAGATTTGGTCTTAGATTTGGTCTTGCGCCATGTTGGTCAATTTGGCAAAGGCGAAGCCGCAGGTTCGTCGAGACACATTGGGTTGAGGCAGGCCGACAAGAAAGAGTTCGATAACTTCGAGGGATGGGGATGTCGACAAGATCAAAAATAGTTTGTCTTTGCCCAATACTGCAGTAACCCGAAATTGAATGGAAAGTGGTGCCGAGATTTGACCCTCCGGTTCTGCAGCAGGAGCAAATGGTCAAGTCATTGGGACATTCATGCTTTGCACAGAAACATCCTGCGCTCAAGCAGTTGATTTCCTTCTAGCTGATATCTAGGGTTGTATTCCTTTTGCAGAACTCCTGTCCTTGCATCGCGCCATCTTCAGATGCATCACATTAAGAGCTTAGATCATGAGTCGCTCAACTCGTTCTTTCAGAGTGCGGATTGGCCCAGCCAATTCGCTTGCCTCGTTGGTGGTAATGCTGGCTGCAATCACAGCGCGGCTGACACCACAGGCGCGTCCAAGAGCAACCTTGCTGGGCACGTAAACGTAGGGGACGTTCTTGTCCTCGGCGAGAAGAGGCAGATGAAGGAGAATGGCCAAGGGGGAGGTGTCGGCGGCCAAAATGACGACCTCGGCGGTTCCGCGGTTCAAAGTCTTGGTAGCTAGAAAGGAACAAGGTGGTCAGCACAGAGTCATAACCGCTAAGCAACGAAAACTCACCCTCGTTGGCTCCTTTGCGCAGTTGACGATAATGGCTCGCTTGCTGCACAAGATCGAGAATCTGCTGAGTAAGGGCCTGATCGGCGATTGGCCAGGCTAAACAAAAGTCAGTCACAAGTTTGAAGAATTGTTGTCGATGAGCGACAGAATGGGCGCAACATACCAGCACTTTCTTGAGACATGATGCGGTAGGTCGGTTAGTGGCTCGCTCGAAAGCTCACGGCCGTAGAAGCTGCAAGGAGAGAAGAGTCGGAGAGGGGTGTCGAAGTGGCTCGCTCGAAAGCTCACGGCCTGTATTATTGTGGGATGTAGAGGAAGATGATGTTACGTAGAATTCTAGTGTTCGACTCTGTAGACAGGATGATGCAGATGCAGGAACAAAAAAAATCCATGCCAAGACTGGATTAGTGTTGATGAGTCATCAATGACCTTTAGATGCACTCCTGCTAGTCCCTTTATAGTAATGAGCCCAACTACGAAATTGCTCTAATGGAAGCGCTGCACCCCTCTCACTGATTCCGGCGGCCTCCAGAGTAACTGCTATCTACGATGTATATCCAAGGAGACTCAATTGTACGCCAGAGGTAGTGGAACTATACTGCTTACTGCTAGTACTGTATACTGCTAGCTACAGAATGACTGGAATCAACGAAGGCGAGCCTTGAAGCCCGCGAAGACTGGCCCTTAGTAGAGATCCTTTGCCCAACCGGGGGCCGGCGTAGTACTAGTAGGAATGCACTATTCCTGCCGCCGCGACTCTATTGTTGTTGGCCTTCTTACCTTACTATGCAGTCCACCTCTCCAATCCAAAAGTACTACAGCGTTACTGTGGTGCCAGTACCTCAACACTTCAGGCTGGTCTACGATTGCTGAACAAGTTCCGCCAAGCTGCTATGCGTCGCAACAGTGCAGTTGTGCAGAGATGTCGAGTATTTGTGTTGACCCACTCACTGGACAGCGTAAGCATCGCGAGTCAAGCCATCGATCATAAGCCATGCCAGGGAGGTTATCCTGCCACCATTTATGTACTAGTGTGAGACATACGACGACGACGGGTGAGTCAGAGAATGCTGAGTCGTCTGTTCTCCCCGCTCGTCGTGCGCAGTTTTACCTTGTCCCAACCTTTGACCATAGTGGGGAGACGCTTGTTACTGCGTGGGTGGTCGAAGCTCTAGCAGCAATTTCCCGCTTGTTTTATTGGCTAGAGAGACGGTTGGAGATGGGGCTGGGATACCTCGCAAGGCCGCTTAAGGATTGACAGCCCTTCACCCGGCTCTCGAAAACAAGGATCGAGAATTGGTCTCGAGGCTTAGAGGCTTTCTCGAGAGATGATCTCGTCAGCAAGACGCGGGGTGCAAGCGTCGATGGCCGGATTTTGCCCAGCTAACATTGTCCAGCCCAGCTCAGCTTTGGCCATCCCCCGTGCCATCGGTGCCGCAGAATGAGTGGCTACCTCGAGTTGCACCCCATCCTATGCAGTTCCTCTCGGTCAACCACTGGGTCATGCTGGGCTCGAGAGAAAGTCAATCTCCAGGGACAAGAAGATCAGGCGTACATCTTTCAACCTGAAGCTCCGAGCTCGGTGGGAGGTTCTCAAAGTTCCACCGGAAGTTGAGGGCGAACAAGTCGACTATTCGAACGCCACACTTCCTGGGCGAGCTGTGAGTGGCTAGGCTGCCCCAAACAGGATAACCGGCACATAAGCGGGTCGGAACCGAAGGCTGAGAATCAACCAACCAGAGTAGCCCTGACTGCCCTGCATAAACAGTCTGGCGGGACCGCACGACCATCGTCCTGGAGCCCCGGATGCCCCTGTTCGGCGGGGATATCCCTCTGTTGTCCTCTTTATCCACAGTTGGTCTCTGGTAGAACTGACCATCAGCTTAAGGCCTGGTGGGAGATATGAGGCTGAGGGATGTCGAGCAATACGGCAACTCAGCACAATTGTGCGTCTTGGAACTACGAAGTATCAAGGCTGTCGAGGAGATGGAATCAGAGCATGGCGCTCTCTTTCCGCTCGACAATCCTAGACCCATTCGAAAGTCTGGGGTCCGGAGCACAAGTGCGGGAAATTCTCCAAAAGCCTTGCCGGGTTTGTCGCGCCAATGTCAAGCGTCTGTCCATTCGACTAGGGTTATCTCGGACCCATGCCACCTTTCCCCATATCTGGAGACGAACACACACGCTCGAATTCTTGTGGACCCTCAGCCGCTGTATTTCTCAGCGCTGGCCCCCCGGTCTATCGTTATTCTCACTCTACCACATTCGAATGCCTGTTCGGACGACTTTTTCCAGCTTGCCAGATCAATAGCAGTCACCCGCTTTCCGTCACCTCGTCGAAGGATACATGGCGACGACACCATCAGGTACGATGCAGAACCAGTTGAAGAGAAAGCCGTCGGCAGCTGGCCTGGCTACCGGCGGCAGGACGGTCAAGCGCAGAGCCTCTAAGGCCTGTCATTGCTGCCGTTCGCGAAAGGTCAGGTGCGACGTGGTCGAAAGCGGCATCCCTTGCACAAACTGCAGACTGGATGAAGTCGAGTGCATAGTCACCGAAGGCAAGAGAAAGAGGAAGTCGCATGCAGACGGTGATACCGGCCACCAGCATCACAACCACTCCTCCTGCGACTCGTCTGTCAAGGAAGAGAAGCATGACTTACCGCCATTGCCCATCTTCGACGACATTGACGGACTGGCCGAGTTCAATCCGGACGTATCCTCGTTGGAGATGAACTCGAATAATGCACTGGAGTTTGAGCTCAACCACCATCAGCCTCATATGCTCTGTATGTGGTCTTACCCTTAATGGCCGCGTCTGCTAACGTATGTATCCAGATCAAACGCAAGGCCATCGCCTCACACCGGAAGAGCGATCACGGAGGATGTCTACCATGAGCGCCAGAGGCCTCCCTACGCCGCTTCCCATACATTCGGGCGTGTCATATTTCCCCCAGCCGTCTCGGCGGCCAGATATCGTTCTCCCACAGTATATCCGGCCTGTGCCTCCCAGGATCTTGAGTGACGACCTTGAATTTCTGCAGAAGAAGGGAGCTTTTCTCATCCCCGATGCAGGTTTCAGGAATGAGTTGCTTCGCTGCTATGTGCAATATGTGCATCCATTTCTTCCAATCATAGACCTTCAGGACTTCATGACTGCGGTCAAGAAGAATGAACCCGCCAACACCGTCAGCCTCCTTCTTTTCCAGGCCGTCATGTTCGCCGGGACGGCATACATTGACATGCGATACTTGATCGCCCAAGGTTACGTGACGCGGAAAGAAGCCCGAAAATCCTTCTTCAACAGAATCAAATTGTTGTACGACTTTGATTACGAAACGGACCGGGTGACTGTCGTCCAAGCGACCTTGTTGATGACCTACTGGTACGACAGCCCGGACGACCCGAAGGACGTCTGGCACTGGTTGGGCGTGGCGATTTCTGTGGCACGAACTATCGGTCTGAACTGCGACACCTCCAGAGCAACCTTGATGAGCCCGCAGCAACGCCGGCTGTGGAAGCGCATTTGGTGGTCGCTCTACATGCGGGACCGACTGATCGCCATCGGCATGCGGCGACCCATGAGGATCAATGACGGAGACTTTGATGTCTCCATGCTCGAAGTCTCGGACTTTGAGGTGGATGCTCTTCCTGTAGAGCTAACCCGGATGTTGGGCGGGTGTCCGGCGGTCAAGGACGTCCCCAAGCGTCTAACGTTGGCCAAACTGTGTGTCTCCTTGGTGAAGTTGTGCGTCTGTATCAGCCAAGTCCTGGCGGTTCAATATTCCACGTTGGGACACAAGATCGGCGCCACTCAGGAAACCACCATGAGACTGGTCCCAAAGAAATCGGCAGCTCAGCCCGGCGAAGTTCTTCGTTGTGACCAGGAGCTCGATAGCTGGTACAAGCGCCTCACCTGTGATCTCCACTTTTTCGCTCCTGAGACACACGAACGGATTGCAAGCAACGATGGGGATGTGGTCAATGTGCACCGCGCTTTGTTGACTGGGATTTACCTCACCGTCATCAGCGCCCTGCATCGGCCGCAGATCTTGCCCTCGGCACCCGACGTTCAAATCGTCCCGGAGCTGCGAGAGTTGTCCAAGAGGAAAGTGCGTGAGGCTGCCGACGACATTACCGAGCTGTACCAGGATTTGGTCTCTCACGACCTGATCAGGTACCTACCTAATACGGGAGTGACTTGCCTTCTGCCCGCCATCATCATCCATCTGCTTGACATCAAGTCCAGCAACCCGGACGTCCGACAGGCCAGTGCGCGGAAATTCCAATTCTGCATGCAGGCGCTACAGCGGCTCAGAGAAATGTACCAATCTGCCGACTTTGCGTTTTCTTTCCTTGATGCAGCTGTTCGGAAGACCAATGCACAGCTGAAGACTGTCCCAAATGCTGCTTTGCGCAAAATGGCCGAACCGTCACAGTCAGCACTCCATGGCATGATGGAGTCGATGGAGAAGCAATCACAATCACCAGGCCAGCTGCTCCTGACGCCACCGCCAGAGGCCATGCAGTCAGCGAGTTTACTTCTTTCTGCTTCAACCCTGACGCCCTCTGAGCGCCAGATGATCGCTGCATATACACCTCCGCGATCTGACACAACACTTACGTCGCACACCACGGCGGGTGCTGCAGCTCCGCTCACTGACCTGGATCATGATGGGCTGCATGGTCAGACTCATGATCAGCATCAGGATCAGCACCAGGACCAGGAGAATGCTGAAGGCCTGGAAGACGCAACACACAATGAGTTTGAGTCCATGATCCAGCTCGATGGAGGGCATGATTCCTTGTTGAGCTTTAACGACGGTCTCGATATGAACATGGAATGGCTGAATGGCTTCGATTGCAATGACCACGCTATGACGAATGAAGAGTCTTTTTTGGACAGGTTGGAGGGCGTTGAACAGGCCGGGAATGCCTGTGGATATGCCGAACAGGCGCTGGATAGTATCACCGGTGACATTGATGTCGATTTAGAGATTCGAGTTGAGTCGTGATGGAACGAATTGATTGGGTCAGAGCAGAACCAGACTGCGCATACCAGGTATATAGATCAGTCAACCTCATGACACGAAAAGTACTGCCCATTGAAGATTCTCTGTTGCCGTCTATGCCACGAAAAGTGTCGACAGAGGTAGAGTATCCGTCATAGCTGCCATTCGCAGATTTGGGACTGAGCGCGCCGAAGACTCGCTCGCGACTCGGAGAACTCAACTTGAACTCTACAGGCTTGTAGTGGTCTCAAGGCATCACACGGAACAGACCTCTCGCGTGGCCACCCTCTTTCTGTTCTTCCCAGCGCGTGGATCGACATGATGCGCAGTGGCTTGCTACTTATATGAGGTGTGCCACTATCAGTTCGACTGACAGTGCCATGGTCAACACCACCGCAACCGAGCCTCGGTCGACGGGCCTGATCCAAACCCAGGTGCTACAATTTGGTACTGGTACTAGAGTCTGCGCTGATTTGCTTGTCTTGATCCAACCCAGCTACCAGTCCTGCTACGCCTCGAGTACGACGAACGACAATGCTACAATACGGCATGTGACTGACCAACATCCGCATCTCCTCACATCCTCGTCCTCGTCCTCCTCATCCTCCTCCAGAGCTGGGTCCTTGCGGCCTCCCACGACCCCTGCTTCCCCTACTACTAGCGCTACACCGATTCCCCGCTGGACGATTGATCCTCACTTTCCTCCTACGGCGTTAGTAATGTCACCTTACAACTCCGAGCTACAGTTGTACCCACCTTGGGTGCGGGCAAAAGATAAGGCGGCGGCTCCAAGCTCCCGCAGGCTGGCCGCAAGTCTGCCGTCACTTGGCAGCTCAAGCAGAGGTTCAAGCACGCCACCACTGCCGCGATGCCTGCAACAGTGGCACTGCATGGCACGGCAATGAAACTGGCGGACCGTCGCGGGCCTGGGCCCAAATCCCGTGGCGACAGGGCAGCTCAAAGAGTGTGTACCTTCTGTCCTACATTCAGGGCAAGTCATACAAAAACGATGCAAAGATGGCTTGTCGCGGTAGCACAAGACGGCAGTGATACCGCCGGTCATGGAGGTGTTTTGTTCCTCCCTACGCTATCGGCTTTTCACGGCCTTTTCGTGTCGGATAAGATCACGATCCGACACCAACGACCGAGTATTAGGTCGTGCCTCGACAAATACCGATGGCAAGGCAGAACGAAGAACGATCACTAGTACAACGAGGATCCCCCTGCGACCGGGATGTGCCTTATCACGGACCAAGAGAGCTTCGCTTGCCTCCGCCGGGGGGGTTCCTCGACTTGCCCTACGAGCAACAACCCTAACACCTAGATTCCTGTTTGGTCTGTCGCTTCGAGAACAATGCATGTTCCCAGTCGGCCTGGAGCGACCTACTAGTAGTATCTTCCCATGCGCTGCAGTGACGTTGAGTTCTGCTTACCGCATTGTTGCCAGGGTACCGCTATCTAACGTCTTCTCCGTTCTCCGCTGTACCATCTTCTGGTCATCCATGATCCCGGCCCGAATGCAACCTTCCCCAAAGCTCATCGTCATCGACTGTGCACCTCCCGGTGAACATCGGGGTTCTGACGAATGGCAAGCTTTAAAAACACGTCCCAATAAGCTCGCAATGGCACGCGATTGTTGAGATCGTCGTGATAACAGCTCTCTAGCTCAGAGCTTCCCACGCCTACCGCGGGGGAGCGACAGGCAGCACGGACATTCGAGCTTCGATGGCTAGGAACAAGAGCTCTCGTCGAGCTTCTCGAGCCAGTCAAGAGCTGCAACAGCTGCAAACTAGTGCAGGCACTAGAAACAAACCACTGCATTGTGCAGAAGACCTTTCTCATCCAGGAAGCTACTATCCGGTAGGTGATGGGGAAGGACAAGGTAGGTACGACAAGAGCTCTCTGCTACTTTAAATGCCCCTCGCGCGCTCGTCTGCGGTGTGGAAGTTTTCTTCTTGTCCTACGCAGGTATCCGTCTTGGTGGGTGTGCTGTGCAGTTACACAACAAGTTGCTTGACATCGTGCTCAGATTGCGGTCAAAGTATTTGTTCGACCGCCTGACCAGCGCTTGAGTTGTTGCTCTCGAGTTGTTGTCAACGAACTGCCACAACTTTCACCATGCAAGCTGCAAGACTCCTTTCGGTGGTCGGCGCGTTGGTCACCAGTGTCTCGGCGATTCCTGGCCCTAGAGTCCACAACAAGCGAGGTGGCCCCAGTCTTCAGGTCCTACCACGTCAGTTGCCGGCCGAGCCTGTGGGAGTTCAGACTATTCAAAGTCCCAACGGGGTCAACATCACCTACAAGGAGCCCGGCAAAGAAGGTGTCTGTGAGACGACCCCTGGCGTCAACTCCTATGCGGGTTTCATCAACCTTGCACCAGATGTTCACAGTTTCTTTTGGTTCTTCGAGTCCAGACATGATCCAGCCAATGATCCAATCACGCTTTGGCTGAACGGTGGACCGGGGAGTGACTCTCTCATCGGCTTGTTCGAAGGCAAGTATCCGGGGGTGTGGAAACGCAGAACTGACCATATCTGTAGAACTCGGCCCTTGCAATATCACGGAAGATCTGGTGACGCAGTTGAATCCATACGCTTGGAACGAGGCCTCCAACATGATCTTCCTCAGTCAGCCTCTGGGGGTGGGCTTCTCTTACGGGTCAAAGGTGAGGTTTACCCAACGACTCAAAGAGATGGGCTGAGCTGACACTGTCATTTAGGAACCTGGGTCTCTGGATCCGTTAACGGGTAGCTTCCTCAACGCTTCTCAATCCAACGGCAACATAACAGGACGATATCCAGTGATCAACGCCAGCGCCATCGGTAAGTTCTTTTATCTGTCTGCATGAACACGAACAGCTAGCTCACATGCTTTGCAGATACGACCGATCTTGCCGCGATCGCCGCTTGGGAAGTTCTTCAAGCGTTCTACTCGGCTTTACCGCAATTGGACTCGAAAGTGCAATCCACCCAATTCAACCTGTGGACTGAATCATACGGAGGTAAGGAAAATGACTTACTTTCACATCCTATACGTGCGTGAGCTGAGCAGCTGTTAGGTCATTACGGTCCCGGGTTCTTCAACTACTTCTACCAGCAAAACCAGGCGATTGCCAACGGCACCCAGCAGGGCAAATACTTTGAATTCGTCAACCTTGGAATCATCAACGGGATCATCGACGAATACATCCAAGCACCCTACTACCCGATCTTTGCCAACAACAATACCTACGGGATCAAAGCCGTCCCCGACGAAGTCTATGAATACATGACATTTGCAGCTCACATGCACGGAGGATGTCTGGAACAAATCGAATTCTGCGCACAAGTCGACACCACCACCCTATCAGGCCAAGCAGTTTGTACAGAGGCAGAAGACATGTGTAGGGACAACGTCGAATCCCCTTACTACTACTACAGCGGACGCGGGACCTACGACATCCGACACCCATCCGACGATCCCACACCAGCAGACTATTTCATGGATTATCTCAACCTAGCATCCACGCAGGCAGCACTGGGCGTCGACACAAACTACACCAGCACAGCCAACAATGAAGTCTATTATGCCTTCCAGCAGACGGGCGACTTTGTGTATCCCAACTTCCTCGAAGATCTCGAACAGATCCTCAACACCTCATCCGTGCGCGTGACTTTGGTTTATGGAGACGCAGATTACATCTGCAACTGGTTCGGGGGTGAAGCAGTATCCTTGGCCCTGAAATGGCCACATGCCGCCGACTTCGCCGCTTCAGGTTACGTTCCTTTCACCGTCGACGGCGTCGAGTACGGCGAGACCCGCGAGTTCGGCAACTTCAGCTTCACTCGCATCTATGAGTCTGGCCACGAAGTCCCTTATTACCAGCCCGTCGCGGCATTGGGTTTCTTCTCGCGCGCCATCTCGGGATTGGACATTGCAACAGGCAAAAATAAAGTCGACGGTAACCAGGGTGGTACGTCTGGTCCTGCGAGCGCCACGCATACGGAGCCGTTTGTGCCTTTGCCTAGTACTACTAGTGCCGCTGCCGCTTCGGGGTCCGCAACCGCTGCAGCCACCTCCAGTGCTTTGGGCGGTGCCGCTACGACCGCCCCCGCCGCGGCTGTGAATAATGTCCCGGTTATGAGGATCAAGAAGCGCGAGGACAGCAGCTGGTGGTGGTGAAGTCATTCCATCATCAGCTCAGGTTGGCGCACTCGACGGCTGACCTGATGCAACGCGGTCTGTTCGTTTATTTTGTGACACACTGGCAATCAGTGGCACGGCGGGATGCGAAACGAAAGCGAATGAACCCATTACAGTAATATAGCTTCTCAGTTATTTTAAGATGTAGTAATCAGGGCCAGGACGAGGCTGCATAATCTGGCCACAGCCACACTGTACGGTACGAGATATGTATATACCTACCACTAACTGCCAACCTCCTCAGGTAGATCTGTCCCTCTCTACAGCAGCCCTTGCAAGAATGATTGCTTTGCTGTTCCCGAAATTGGACCTCCGACGCATTCAGTCGCAATGTCTACATAACCAACAAACAAAACTTGTAGAGAGACTTCAAAGTACCAAGATTTATTGCAGAGTACAGCAGGCTACGATACATAGTCAAGTCAATGTATTGTAGGTCGGCTCGTCTCTGCATGTTTTTGAAGTCCCACCTCGAACACGTCAATACCCCGAATGACCAAGCTTGTCGTCCCAACCAGGTCCCCATCACCAGCTCCGCACCATACTAGTAGCAGGCTGCGGGTGGATTGCAGCGGTGGCAGCTATGTTTGACCTATACTGCCCTCCTCTAATCTCGACCCATGCTTCAGCCTCATCAGCTATTCCCAATCTGTGGCGTAAAGTCCAATGCGGCTGTCGGCCTCCTCCTCACCCGACTCCGATTTCCAGTCCCAGTCCCATTCCGCCCATTCATCCTCACTTTGATATCCAGTCACAATTTCAAGATCGGTGTCATGTTCGTTGGCGGTGTAATAACCCTCGTCTTCGGCTGCGTCCACCCCGGCCTGTTTGTCGTCGGGACCTCTAGGGGCGGCCATTTCAGGTCCTTGCCCAGGCATGGTCGGATTCGCTTCACGAGCTGGGGAAGTTGAAGGGGCGGTTGCGGACTTGAGACGTGGCTGAGGTATATCATCGCTCGAAACGCTTCCATTGGAATTTGATGGCTCAGCCGGGAAACCCAGACCCTTCACCCACTCGACCATCTTCAAATCATTCTCCGTTCCACCGACCTGGCTGTCCACAGTCCGCTGTGACGTTCGAGGCTCATCCGTTCCATTGTCAACGCCGCAATGTGCAAAAGGCCACCCGGTAAAAGGATGGCGGTGGAGTGTCACCTGCACGATGTCCTTGCTGGTGTCTGCACGTCCTGACGGTGCATACGAGTGAGGGCTAAGCGACAAGCTGACTGTCTCGCAAGGCTTGCATTTGACGCAATCGTCAAGGTCCAGAGTCGATGGACGTCGTCCGGATGCATAACAAGGCTGTAACGAAGTAGGAAGCATGTCAAAAACATCGATCCGGCACATGGCATCATGATCATCGGCACTGGCAGCTGGATTGGCCCCTGTCTCGACAGTGTTATTGGGACTTCGGTTGCTAGACACAACATCCTGCAAGGAACCAGAAGACCACAACATTGGAAATATCAGAGTGTCGTCCTTTGCATCGTAGAACCAGGAGATGTTGGAAATAGCATTTGGATGCGGACTTTTAGGTCTGGGGATCTCGTCTGAAATAGAAGGGTAGCGACCAGGCATTGGAAATTGATCGGTTAATGTTCGACCTGGCGTTTGCTCCGAACCACCGTCATTGGCGCTATTGTCCGCTGCTTGGCCAGGTGAAAACGCGGCGCGCTGTGTGAGAGAGGTTCGATTCGTCAACGGTAGTGAAGACTTAAAGGAGGTTGACACTTCGGGGCCGGTTAGTAGACCAGCTTCTAATAGCCTCTCTGAATCTCCGAGTGTGCGATAACTTGTAAAGTCAGGCTCGGGCCTAGGTTGACCGTAGGCGAATTCAAAGAAAGGAAACTCCTTCTCTGTGGATGAGCTAGGCATTCCTTGGCTCAGGCTGCGGTATAGTGTCGGACTAGGGATATGTATGTTATCCAGGAATCCTATGCGGTACTGGCGTGGCTGCTCCTCAACAGGTGGATCCGCAAGTTCGTCGGGGATTTTGACTCTAAAACCAGCATCAGAGCCTCCATGACCGAAGGACATGGGGAACAAAGAAGATGGAGATTGTGTGATCTCTTTGAAACTGCGTGGCTTTTTCGGCTTAAGCACGGCTCTTTGCGTTTCGACTTCGGGACTCGGAGGACAATAATAACTTGCAGGATGCATGAGAGCTGCAAGGCTCTGCGGGGAGTGCGGGAGGTCCGGTGAGGGTCCTTCGATGGAGGGTTCCGGGTCGCTCACATCCAGATCGAGAAGTGGGTATTGGTTCCCTGCAGCTTGAGTGAGTACTGAAAAAATGAGCGAGTGAAGGTGTCAACCACTGACCAGTAGAGAACACTCCTCGCCCAAGGCAAACATCGGAATCCATGTGGTAGCCACGTTCTTGACATTCGTATAGACATTCTCCGAGATCCAGCGAAGCTTGATCACGGAGCTTTCTTCGCTTGACGGGCCGCCGGTTGGAAGGCCCGCTGGCACGTTGTTGGTTGAGACGTCGAGCACGAGAACGCTGGCGGCGGACGCGGCGGCGCGCCGTCTTGCGGGCGGGCGAGGCAGATGCTGAATGAGTGGGTTTAGGCATCTTGACAATCTGTATATGTGGTGCAATGAGTAATATTCAGGCTATTTAGGAATCGAGCTAGGAATGTGGTGTAAAGGATGTCGATCAAGAAAAGATCTCTGAGCTGAGCTGAAGTTGATGCATGCAATGGGAGGGAGAAGCCAGAACCTGGCAGGAGTGCAGGTGTTCCTTCCCTCGTTCCAACGTCGACGTCAGCAATGCCAGCGTCGACTGTTCTGAGAGAACCTGGAAAGAAGCATACCTAATGTAGCCAACAGACACTGCCGACCTTCCATGTATATTGTGAATGTGTACCTACTGTAAAGGAATCGTTCATCCATCCGACAAGCATGTAGAGGAAGCCTCAGACCTAGGCAGTGACATAGACATCGGCCGGTCGTAATGCGATTTCTCAACCCTTTGCCTTGACCTTGTTGACCGACGTCTCGCCATCCGTTGGAAGCTCCAGGCCCATATCCCTCACATGCGCCTCCTTGACCCTGGCCAAAGCCCAGAAATTGTAGATGGCGAATAAAAACCCGCCCGCTGCAACACAAGAACCCGTAACAACAGCCGTGATCTTCGCCGTTACACTCCAAATACCCTTCTGAGCGGTGTAGACATTGACAAGGGTCGTGATCAAGCCGGCGACCGAGTTGAGCGTGACAGGCCTATTATATTAGTTAGTCAAAAGACCGCAAACTCAGGAGTAAAACAACTTACAAGAAAATTCTGTTGATGAGCCAGATGTAGTTTTTCCTCCAGCGGAACCAAAGCCAAAAACATCCTAGGGCTCCAATAGCGCAGAATGCCCCTGCGAGCCAAAGCAGGCCGATATGTGCAACAGTGTGCACAATGGTATGGGCCACTTCATTGCTGTCGTCGTCGTCGAGGTCCTGAAAGGTCTTGGTTTTCTTGAAGGTGGTGAAAGTGCCAGGAACCACGAGGAAGCCAGCCAAAATGATCCAGGCAAATACACTAGCCAGTATATTGTATGTGCTCGATATTTCATCCAAATGCAACAGCATCTCCATATATCTCGTATGCACAGAAGGCAGCCGGGTTAATGGCACGGGCTTCACTGGTAGTGGTGAATCTGATGTGTCGATGCTTGTAGTTGGGATAGAGTGGACGCTGCTGTTCTGCGTAGACGTCACGCTGTACGTTTCAATTCGTGGGAATGGTTTCGTGTCATGGCGTTCGGGATCCTGACTACTGTCAAGGTTGACGATCGGAAAGGATGATCGACCAGCGTCCTCACTTTCCGAGGTCTTCTCAGGGCTGTTGCGGTTTCTGCTGAACATGATGATATCTTGGAATCTTCGCCTTCAAAACAGTCCCCTGAAGACAATATGCAGATGAAGACAAGCACGAAGAAGTATTTAGGCAAGGGGAGAATGAGTAACCCGAGAGATGTGGAGAAATGCTTCGATCAAGACAAAGGGAAAAATTTTAGACCACAAGTCAAGGGGCGTCTTTGTCTATTATCCCAGAGCAAAAATAGAATCCAAACCTTTATTACCGGCATCAAGATAAAGAGTCAGAAAGTGACACAATTATAGTTCGGGATAAAAAGACGCCGCGCTGTCAATAGCCTGGCCTCAAGCGCGATGAATCATAGTGAAGAGAATCGACTTCATCTGGCCAGAGGTGAAAGAGTCGCCCGGAGTAGGATGAAGCGAAGTCGTGTAGCATACTGCCCTCCATACCTGAGAACGAATGGCTTATAGTAGCTGAGTTTGAAGACAGCTTGACCTAGCTTGACCATACAGGCAGAGAGATAAATATAGCATGTTTCATAGGAGCTCAAGGGAAAGTTTGCATTGTATGTTTGGCAACAAGCCAGGTGCAGATCCAACTTGAGATTGAAACCAGCCCTGGCGACTATTTGACGCCAATGTGGACGGAACGATGGCTGACTGCGACTGTTTGAGACAGAATGTGTTACTAAGTTGTTGGAGGGCGGTGGCTGTTTCAGCTTCTCAAAATCTCATCAGTGGTCGGTTCAAGTTGCCGTGGCTGGCCGATTATCAAAATAGAGAGATTAGTAGCAGATTCTCCTGAGAGTCACGTGAATGGCATAAATGACCCAGAATCAAGCGTGGAATGGCCAAGTTCAGTTCAAGTTCCTCTATCATTGCTGAACGAATGTATTTTTGCTATAATCTATCTCAAGTCTTTTGGTGTACTCGTCTTTGTATTCCATGAGTTCCCTCTTTCGCCCAGACGCCTTTGACCGTAACGCTCGAGTCATGATCCTGATCACATCCGAGTCTTGTGCTTGCAGAAACCCCATGAACCATTTGGTCTATAGCACGCCCCCATTCATCACCGTAAAGGCGCCATAGACCATCTTGACTCGATCATTATTCTCGCTGAACTCCAAGGAAATCAACCGCGGCAACCCCTCCCAAAAAACCAGCAGTAAGCGTACCGGTCGTCGTAAAGTATTGTTACATGTGAAAATCATCATCATCTTCGTCATCCACAACTGTAATATCAACCACATCGGATGGCATCTCCTCATTCGGATTATCGAGACAAGGCAAGATTGATTTGACAATGGTTGTCTGACTCTTTTCCCTCGGAACAAACCATAACTGAAAAACTCCGACAATGGCTACCGCGCCAGCAGCCCACCAAGCAAGACCGGTGAAACCAATTTCCTGACCCCAACCGTAAAGCAATCCGGCAATTGGAGGTGCAACTGTTCTGCAAGCTGCACCGGCAGAGGCGGCAAGACCATTGATTCGCCCCAACACCGAAAGAGAAGGACTTGCCTGCTTGAGCAAAATCAAAATGACTGGGTAATCGAGGATGGACAGAAGGTTTCGGATGGTGAGACAGGTGTAGATCCCAGGGTATACGAGGTTTTCTGGAAGAAGAGCGAGATAAGGCACAATGAAGAAGGCCACCGGATGTAAAATGGTAACCATGACAAAAGTACGCCAGATGCCAAGCCGCTCCGCGGCCAACGGAAAAATGACAGCCTGAATGAAAAGAGCAATGACTCCATTGACAGACAAAATCACACCGACGTCTTTGGTATTCAACCCCAGGCCACCGGGAATATGAATGGGGCTTGCACCCAGGACGGTGACATGATCGATGCGCCGATCCTGAAAAAAGATGGGGAGGAGGTGGTCATAGCACATAGAGTGGTACGTGTACAGACCAAGTGCCACCGTTAACATGACCACCTTTTTGGTGAGCCATTTCTCACGATCGTTTTCAGACAAGGAGGGGGCCCGCGATGTCCCGTCTGGGTTGAGCTCCCAATGCTGGGTCTTAGGCATATCTACCTCATTGAAAGTTCCAAAAGAGTCACGCCTGAGGTCGACACCGGGGTCTGCATTCGCCCCTGCTGCGCTGATCATGGGTGTCTGTTCTGTGATATCATGGTGGACAGTCGCATCAGCTCCTTGGCGGAAACCCGGATGAGTTTCATCCAGCCAGAAGAACCCACAGATGATGCTAATGAGCATGAAGGCAGCACAAACCAGGTTTGGCAACGCCCATGGATAGCGACCAAAGAAGCCGTCTCTGGAGAACTGGTTTGGGTATGACTTTGCCGGGTCCGCGAGCAGACCACCAATGGCAGGACCAATAATCGTACCAATTGACCAGACAAAGGGCATGATAGAATATGCCTTGGGCTCGTACTCAGGTTTCGTGACCAGCTCGCCCACAATGCTTTGTATCACGCCTGCAACACGTCAGTGACTGCTCTTGGACAGAGTCCTTTATTTCTCATGTAGGAAGTCTTACCGATATTCCCGTTCAAGGCACCGCCAATGATTCTGCCGGCCAAGGCCATGGTGAAGTTGGTGGAGAAGCCAACCATGATGAGAGACAACATGGTGCCAAAACATCCGAGGAGCAACACCGGCTTTCGGCCGATTCGGTCGGAGAGGCCTCCCCAGAATAGACTGGTGAGAGATTCGGAGAGGGAAAAGGAGGCAATCAGAATACCGGCGTAGAAGGAAGCATCATGCATTCCAAAGCCTTTGACCATGAGCCAGGCGTAAGGGAAAATCGCCGTGATGGCGACAGGTTCGGCGATCCGACATATTGCTGGCAACAACTGTTAGCCGCGTTTTGGAGCGATGGAGGAACGCTACTGACAGAGAATAAAGAATTGTGTGGTAGGGAAATCGTCGTCGCTGGGAGTGCCGTTGTTGGTCTTTTTCCATGTAAGTCTCATTTTCTGAAGTGTGCCCTGTCTCTTACGACCTGTCCTCCACGCAGAAGCCGCCCTAATTATCGATTGGATGGCGTGGGTTGGGATGTTGGGGACCGGGGTCGAGCGAGTCGCCGACACCCGGTATGTATGAGGAGTCGGCGGTAAAGTGAGAACGGGCGAGAGTTCTAGGCTGAGCAGCGATGTTATGGCAGCCGAAGGAGTTGAAGAAGTTGAAGGGGAAGAGGAAACGAGAAAGAGATGAAAAACGAGCACAGCGAAGAAGTGCCAGTGTGCCAGGAAGTAGTAAGTGGAGGCACACTGACAGACGATCTCGATGAGATGCGGGTGCAGGGACACGGCCCAGATCAACCAACTCTTCTCGTACTAGCTACTGAGTTGGAGACGCAGGTCCTACTGAGGATCCGTATGCAATTATTTTCTGTTGAGGACATGTCCGCATTGTAGGTACCATATTCATGGCCTTCAACTCCTCGAAGACATCAAGGTACTCCAGACGTAGATGTCGGCAACTACTATGACCCGTGTATTTCGAGGTAGAGACCGAGACTACAGAGCAAGTTGGAACTGAAGTGGCGTGCAGTGGAACCATGATGAGGTTGAAATGTCAGTGCAACGGCAAGTGGATCTGATGGGCTCCGTTTCTCCTATTGGCTGGAATAACCCTTCACCGCCTGGTGTTTGCGGGCGGTGAGTTGGAGAAAAAGACACTATTGGCTGCAATCAAAAAATCGCGGCACTCGGGGAGGAATCCGCATCGTGGTTTGTCCGGGAATCGGCTTCTGTCCCTGTTCGAGTTGAGCAGCCACTGGAAATGCGCCTCGACCACTTACTTATGACGATAGATCTGAAAGATGCAAAGTCCGGGGGTGAATTACACCACTGGCACTGGCATCATTCATCATTCCAATGACCATCAGTCCATCCAAGAAGCAAAGGGTCCGCGGATCCAAGGGTCGAGTTACAGCAAAGGCGGCGTGTCACGGTGTGCTAGTAACTTGCGGGGGATTGACGCCCGGTGCACTGGCAGTGTGACCATCACTATCGTATTGTTCCGGCCTAAAAATGCGGTGGACTTTGCCATCTTATTACTAGTAGTTTGACACAACATAGAAATAAGCGACCTACTGCCCCTGTAGACCATTGAACGAATTGCACCTTATCTATGCTTCTACGTTGTAGTTTGATAACGGCAGTTTCTTCCGCTACAATATCGTGATGGAATAGACCATACCGCTGGCACGTAGCTAGGTATCTATGGACATTTGTCGAGATCCTCGTTGTCTCACAAGGACATTGCTATCGGAGCCCTCAGGCTGTGCAACACAATTTTGTGTCACGTGGGTGACAGGCGCCGTTGACGTAGTATTACCGGCAGAATAACGCGGGCACGTGTGGACCGGGACATATCCGCTGTACTGTACAATTGAAGGATACGATGTCGATACTGTGTACTACCTATAGTAAGAGCATTGGAAGCTCGACGCTTAAGGTGCCTGGCTATTACATGGAATACTGGTGCTACAATATCGTACGACCATTCTAAGGTACCTAAGTACGTCCCATGAACACAAACTGTAGCTGCTCTCCAAATCAACATCACCTATTTTTACACGCTAATCTCAACTCTTCGTCGCCTCATCTACGGTCATCGTACCTTCGCTCATAGTTCCCTGCTGTTCATCACCAAACACCTCATTCTGATCCCCTTTCTGTGTCGGCTTGTTCTGCAACCCCAACTCCACCTCCCCTCTCAGAACCTTGACCAGCTTCAACGCCGAGTCCTGACCCGCCGCGGTATGCCGTCCCAAATCGTACACCACGTTGACCAAGGCCAAAGAAGCCACAAATAACCATACATCTCCGCCACGTATCCCTCTCCACCAACCGTGCTTGACCCCGACCTTCCACAGCGAGTACACACTTGTCCGTGCCGCATATAGTGCATTCATGTGCCCAGCGGGAGTGCGATCGAACAATTGGAACATCCCGGCCAAGAGACCGCCCAGGAAGAAGCGGAACTTGGGTAGAAAAGACCTTGGAAAGATAGCTTGAAACAAGCAGATACTGCCCCATGCTGCTCCGATCGACCCCGATATCGCAAAAGTTGACCTTAAAATCTTCTCCGCGAGCTTATTGGCCGATGCGACAGGAGAATCGACAAATTTCTTGAAGTGCGCCAGGGCAAAGAGTCCATAATACATGGTATAGAACTTGGCCATCTGTGGAAAGGCGAGCAGGTTATGCCGCAAATAAGCCATGAAGCATGACGGGGACGACGGATGGATCAGTGCACACGATAGTTTGTAAATGGCGGGGTGCGCCCGAGACGTTACTGGGGAGATAATAGGATTGATCCCCTTGGGTAGGGTGTTCGGATTGTCTGGTTGAAGAATGGGCGACACAAATGGTGGCCATCTCAGTCTGGCCATCTGGGCCAAGGCGTCGACAATGTCGTCCGGTTGAGGCCAACGAACCCTGGGCGACAGGCTTGCTGGCCGACGCTGAACGTATTCAGGTGTGTAGCCGAGAATGAAATGGCCGTAAGTCGCCGGAAAACAATCTCGGTCAAACACAAATGCGTGGAGCAATTGTCCCTGTGCCAGAGCAAACAGAAGCCAGCTTCCGACCCACGAAGGCTTGTTGGCGATAAACGGCGTGTGCTGGATGGCGGCATATCCTATCTCCAGCACCCTGGACGCGACGTACATGACTGCCGTGACCCTCAGCTGGTCGGCGGGACAGATTCCCAAGGCAAATCCGGACAGGCTGGCGCCAATGGCTGGTGCAATGCGAGAAGTCAGCGCCGCGTAAATCCGCGGGTATCTGTCTCGAATGCTCCGCACTTTCTCATGGAGCAGTCGGAGTCTCAGCCGTGCGAAAAGTCTGTAGAGGACTGAGTGAAGGAAAAGGAGCGAGGAGAGTGAAAGCGCCAATCTCGTCTTTGACGCGACCAACGGTTTTGCAGCTCTTTCGGCAGTCGGAGATCTTCGGGAGGAAACACGCGATAGAAGTGACTCGATAGCTTTCAGAGAGCCATACGTGAGCACGAAGACGCGGGAGGCGGATCGGAACGTAGCAGTGAGCTGTTCGTTGCGACGGCTAGGCACTTCAGCACTACCGGTGCTGTGCATGGTGTTCGTTCCCTCCGGATGACTTTTACCAACCCCATCTCGCGCGATTTTTGATCGAAGGATGTATCGTCTAAGCAGAGCATACTCACGCTCCGTCAAAACGTAGCGGAGCACCTGTGGCTCAGATGCCATGATCTGGGATTCCCTCTCAGGCTGAGCCTGGAGGTCGTGTTCACTGTTAGGTCGGTGTCATCAACCTACAATGTACGACGTCAAGGTTCCACAGACTATGACTTGAATAGAAGGCTAGGAAGGAAAGGGCCGAGAGGCAGCAGCAAGATTCAGCAGAGGCGCGCACGTAGTAGAGTGAGTAGTTGTAGTTCCAGTTGCACCGCTGGCACGATACAGGAGAAAATGAACTTGAGTTGCAGGGCCCAAACTGAAGTTCCATGCCTCGGCTCGACATGTGACCTGATAGGTCCGCCCCGAATTGAGCCTAGCGTCCCCAAATTGGAGGGTTCAAATTTTGCGGGGAAATGCATTTTTGTCCTCAAGTTCCACCGAAGACACACTACTGCATAACGCAACACCTTAAGCGCAATATCGTTGATGCGACTCGGAGTGCGCAAAGGCTGCCGTTGAATGCAAACAGTGTCTTTACCGTCCGCGTCTAGAGCGCGACGTCCAGTGGTATATCGCTCGCTCCGCATTCCTGGAGCCGCGTATCGGCATCGACAATGCGGCTCTCGAATCCAACAACAACAACCCTGACGGTGTTACTGGTCCTCTTCACCCTCCTCGAATCGTCCTTCGCGGCCAAATCGACCGCAGCATCGTTCTGCAAATGTATATGTTTCAACAACAGCACCATCATTGCCCTGAACCCACCGGGGTCATCGACACAGTCCTCATCGCTGCATAAATTTGATATCCGGTCGGGAGAGGAACCCGCACCCGCATTTTCAGACGAAAAGAGGAGGGCGATAGAGGCACAGGCCAGGGCCGACGGCAGCGATACCAACAAGTCGCCATCGAGACCGCATCACAAACTCACTTGTGCTGATTGCACGCGCGCGTTCTGTCTCGACTATAATTTGCCGATATGCAAGGGTGCGCGGGAAGAGGACGTGTTTACAACGTGTTTCCGTAAGTGAGAGCCCATAGTCAGTGACTTTTAGTCGAGAAAGAATGGTGTGCTTTTGAGTCACTACACAAATATCAGAGGGATCCGGGAGGTGATCAGGAAGCAACTGTCTCAATGGGCGTCTTCCCTATACACGGAAAATGGTGGTTAGTGGTCCGATGCCACATGAATCAGACAGCCTACGAGGCATGAAGTCAGCCTACTTGTGCGGTTGTCTTCTGCTACTGTGCTTACCTCCATGTGATAATGTCGAATTTCCCAAAGGCAGCCCCAGACACACCCCCTTGGACCCCTAGCATTTCCTCGTTCAGCCTTCCGAAACACATATAATTCCATTATTGTTGTTTATTGGTATGGCATCGCTAACAAAATCTTGTCTTTATTTGTCACAGAACGCGATTCCCTCAAGGATGAAACCGTGGTGGTCGTCTTCATTTTCGCCACGGCAGGCCTACTTGCGTGGGCTATAGTCAAACCATGGATCGATCGGCTTCGCGAGCGGAACTCGTTCAGTCCGCTCTCACAACACGACGGCAGCAACGGAAACAACAACAGCCTTGGTATTGGCAGAGAAGGGCGACGGCCAGGAGGTCGACCTCAAGGATCTGCATCCAACGGCGTTGGGTCCGCAGCAGCCGGCGGAAGCAGAAGCGGAATCGCCCGAGGCAGCACCACCAGAAGTACGACATCGAAATGGACAGGTGGATCAGGGCCACGGCCAGGGTCATCAGTCCACCCGGATGAAGATGCTCTTGACATTGTGTCTGGATCCGGAGCTGGATCTGGAGCTGGAGCTGAAGCTGTTCGATAACAAGTCAGCAACGTCGGCGGAATAAAGCCCCCAGTTCCAGCTTTGTCTTTGTCACTATTAGAGGGAATGGTTATACTGTATAGTGATATGTTACGACGATTAGAATTGTCCATAGAGATGCCCATGCGTTCCAAAGGTCGTGCAGTGGGACACCATCTTGTTACCAATATTCCGAATTTATAACATAGGGAATTGAGAACCGAACCCAAAAGGCGACAGTCCCCGGTCCCATCTGTCAAGATGAACCGCGTTCAATCCATTCAAGCCAGCACAGCAATAGTGTACAGTACCCTCGTAGGTAGACTTCGCTGATTTTGGCTCTCTGTTCCGTCTTAGTTTCGTTCTCATTTCAAAACCTAGTATTTCCCCCCTTCCACTCCCCAGCATTCTCGACCCCCTTCGCAACTCTATTCGTCCCACCCTCAACTCCACTCGCCGCATTCGCAAGGCCATCTCCCAGTGGTTTGCCCACGCTCCCCGTGGCGCTGGAAATGGTGTCGCCTAGGCCGCGGCCTGCTGCGCCGGTGATGCCGCCGACGGTGCGGACGAGGCCGCCTACTGTGTTCTAAATGGCATAAGCATGTAAGTATCCTTGGCGATGAATTAGGGGTTGTACTCAGTTGGTATGGATAAATGGATGGGTGGATGGGTGGATGAATGGATGGACGCAGGACGGATGTAAACCCTAGATTGAAAGACAGAGAGACAATACAGTATAACTTGAGTAAGGTAGTGACAAGGCACCGCAAGGAACAGCAACGCAGGATAGCATAGGATGTTTCTCTCGGGGTAGGTAGGTAATCTGATAGGTGAACAGGTAGGTAAACATGCAAATAGAAAACATATAGACAGGTACGATATAGGCAAATAGACACTAGCAAAATAAACAGTGTGCCACTGCATCCTTGGTAGGATACCATAGCATACTAAAAGATACTAGTAGTACATACCCCAACAGTCGATGTAACAAACTTTGCAGCCCCTGTGGCGCCTTCGTCGGATGAGGAGGTGTTGATAGGCATTTTATTGTATTGTTTTGTTTGGATCCTCTTGTCTTGTTGTCTGTTAAGCACCCATATCCTGGTTTGCCTTCGCTCGTGTTCTCGTATTGCAGAGCCTGCTGAAGTATTCAGAATAGAATTGAAGGACAAGTATGGATAGGTAGGATTGTAGGATTGGATCTATCAATTTGAGAACCTGGACCCGAGTTGCGTGAGATGTGGTTGCCTGAATCCGTCGACTTCAAGTTGTATACACCCCAAAAATCCGGGATACTTCTTTCTGTATATGACGTCAAGCGTCATCATTGGCATCATTGGCATCAGGGGTCAAGGGTCAAGATCAAGGGTCAAGCCTGAGGAGCACAGGGAAGCATGATCTCAATTAGCTAGTCACAACAGACAAAGCCTGAATGTTTATGGCGTTGTAACACAGAGTCTATTTCCATTAGACTGAATGCATTTCAGCATTCTCGGTGCCGGTGCTAGTCAAGAACACCGGTTCGTTTAACTCACAGTCTCCCCAATCTTAGGAGCTCGATGCTTCAACCACTCCAATGCAGCGCTCACGTCACCCCTCTCCTCCTCCAACGCTTTGGCACACCATTCCAACTCGTACTCGCCGTCTCGACCCATGACGGCAGCAAGCTGCCGACGCGTCTGGCTGACTTCATCGACGCAGAACCTCAATCCCGAAGTGACTCCCTGCGCCAACTGATCCATGATGGGCTTGACTATGGGCAGCCCGTCCTTGGCCGACACAACCCTATCTTCACCCGTGACGTTCTTGTGGCCCGTCTTGCACCAGTCGCTGTTCTGACACCAGGATTTGCCACATCCGCCCATCAGCTGCTGGAGAAGCCTTCTTTCCACCCTCCTGCGCAACATCTTTCCTTCAGGGTCATACGTCGAAACGTAGAGTGGACCGAAGCATTCATTGCAGAGGCCCAATTGTTCTTTCTGGACCCTCGCCTCGTCCTCTGCCCGAACTGTGCGGCCACACATGCCGTTGGCACACCGTTTCGGCTTAGGTCTAGAAAACCGCTCCCGATCGTGTAGCCGCAAATGAGTCTTCATGTCCCGCAGCCTCACAATCTTGCCACATAAGTGACACTCGGTCGTCCTCGCTCCGTCGGCCAGTTCGTGGGGGGTCAAGCCAGACAGCAGAACTTCGGCGTCCGTAAACTCCGGGTCGTCAGGACCCTTCTGCGGGACCACCAGGTGACAAAACTGACAGAGAATTTCTTTTCCTGGACACGTCGTCGTGCGATGATGGGCCAAGATGGGGACATTGAAAGCCTCAAACTCACAAGCAGGACAGGGAATCGGCTTGGGCGGATGGAACAGTGCATCGTGTTTGCTTTTGGATGTGGAGTCGTTACCATATTCGTCGTCATGAGGACAATGCCAATGATTCTTCCATGCTTCCGAGTTCTTCAGAAAGACACCAGAACACTTCGGACAGAGGATATTGTTGCGATAACAAAAAGCCTCGTGTAAAGGCAAAGTTCGTTTCGGCACGACTTGGCGACAATTCTTGCACATCACCTCGTCCGCCGAGATGTCGGATGGACCATTGTCGGCTGAGTCGGTCTGCCGATCACTAGAAGTAGTAACCTTAAGGGTATACGCAATTGGACGCTCGGCATCTGTCGAGACGGACGTAGCATCGCGCCACGCGTGAACTGCCAGGTTGAGTGATTCGGCTTCCTCGAGGTCAACACTGGTATGGGAAATCTTCAGCCTTTTTGTGGGCCGCACACTCAGGTCTCCAAACACATATTCATCTTCTCGAGGTTTGGAGCGTTGTCGAGCAGAGAACGGATTGACAAGAAGATCGAGGGTGCTCCCATTGCCGTCCGGAACTTGAAGAATGACATGAAGGTCTTGACCACGGTCCCACTGCTTCAATTCGTAGTCAACGTAATCTCCAGGCAACACCTTGCCCTGAACCTCCTGTTCTAGACTGATCATCCCTCCAGACGAGCTGCCCTCCGTCTCATCTTGCTGCTGCCGCTTGCTTTTCGCCAATCGCTTGTTCAACGTCTCCCGAGCTTGATCTTCGTTCAGAGGCTCAATGTCCACTTCCAAATCGGTATCAACCACACAGATGCCGTCGCCCTCTGGTTCAAACTTGTCGACTAAAAAGCGGAACCGCTCGTGCCGGGCACCGGGAACCACGAGTATTTCGCTACGGGTCAGGGTGGTGTAGTTGTCTCGGAGATATCGTTCAAGAAGTGATTTCCAATCCTCCGGGTCATAGCCCGCTTCCAACGGCCTCAGTTTGACGTAGGTGCCTTTGGGCAATTGCTGTGCATGCACTGTGACTGTTTCTGCCTTGGGACTGTCCGCTCCATTTGTCATAACCACATCGCCACTGGGCGTATTTTCCCTCGATGTCTGTTTCGACGACCGCTCACTGGCATCTGACAGTCCCAACGCCTCCTTTAGGCCGGCGCTCAATGCGATCGTGCCTTCTGGGGCCGAAAACTCTTGAATTCCCGCGTAGACGGCTCTTCCATTTCGAGGATTCTGTATTCGAAACGTCAACGGATGAGGAAGTTGTTGCTGGCGATCCTCCAGAGCGGCGCGCGCACGACGTTCGGCGGCAAATGAATACGGATTGTAGGGATCAAAGGCGGATGTGAGGTTTCGTGAAGTGCCATTCTGTACAGAAACGACGGGCGCGGCGGCGAGGAGGGCTTCAAGGGCAGACTGAGGCAAGGTGATCTTGTCTCCCACGAGGCGCCGATTCGCGGGTCCAACTTGGAATTGTCCCGACCATTTTAGAGTGTCTGGCGAGGCCATTGTTGTTGAGAACTTGGATATTGCAATAAAGAAAACAAAAACATGATCGAAGCGGAATGGTTATGAATTGCAGCCATGTTGGACTTGAATCCCATGCAACTGGCAGTGCCAGGCACAATCGTGACGCGCAGTTTTCGAGAAGCGTCGACAGCGGCGCCGTCTTACAAATGGACCGGCTACAAACTTGACCACAACTTAGCAACTGGGTGGCGACATCCATCGCAGACTGGATTGCACTTGGATACAGTCCTGTAGAGACGTATCTACTTCTCATCGAATGCATTCATTGCTGGCCACTCAGTAGAGCTGCCGCGCTAGGACTTTACCAGGACTTGACGTATGTTGTTGAGTAGCGTTCATAGTATACATGTGGTGAAGCCGGACCACGACAACACTCACTTGACTACTAGTATAGCACATCCATCTACAGCACCCCGGCCATCTTGCCTGGTCTTATTCCTGTTCTCGTTGTCTCAAATGCTGCATTGCTTTACTCGTACCGGTAGGACTTTCACCGTCAAATCTTTTATCTGTACGAAGAACCCGTCGATTACATAACGCGGCAATTTCTTTGATTGGAGCGCTGCAAAGTTTCTCGCGGCTGTGGGCGGATGTTGACAACTGTTTGTCTCAACTATTGTACAGTAATTGATCTTCAAAAGCCTTGGGAGAGAAAAGGTCATGGTGGCTGTGGTCTGCATGTCTTGAACTTGACCCGGGAAAGCTGTCCCAGATGTCGCGCTGCCTCCATACGTCTCATTACACTACGCGAACCCATAGGCCTACCACTGCGATCTAAGCCTTACAGGGCCTCTACTTCACCAGGGTTGATTTGATATTCAGACAAAGATCCCGCCAAAATGGCCGACCCAATGCGCCGAAAGAAGTCACTGGGTTTCCTGAATCTATTCCGATCAAAACAATCAAGAAGCCCCAACCCGTCTCATTCTACAAGGGCCTCTTCCGTCACGGAATGCAACAGTATTGAGAAAGAAAAAGCCAACTTGAAACTCGAGCAAGCAGACACTCGAAGTCCAAGACCGGCCAACAAACTACGGAAAAAGTCGACGCCCAATCTTCGCTCAACCAAATCAAACACCAATCTACGACAACATGGCGCCAATCGCACACACCAACATCACCCGCCCATGCCGGCAATCAGTCTGGCAGATGAATGGGAACGGGACGCCCAAACCGGCGAACGAAAGGACCATACCGAGATGTTACACAGTCTGGCGTATCGCGACTCTGCCGAATCGCTGGCCGAGAAAACGCAGCTTCTCTTCGCCGGAATCCCAGCTCAACCTGCTTCCGAGTTCGTGTCCCGGCTTGCCAGGAGGGTCTGGAAGCGTGTCGTGGACTATTTGGACCCAGTGGACGCAGCAAGTCTGGCCTTTTCATGCAAACCTTTTCTGGGTATCGTCGGCACCAATGCATGGCACGTCCTCAATACAGCTAGCGACGAAGCGCACTACCGGAAAATCGAGTTCCTGAACAGACTCGACCAGGACCTCCCGGACCATCTGCTCTGTTTCCCCTGTGCGATCTACCATCTTCGAATCCACAAGGGTCAAGAGATCCTGCGACCCACAAACATCGCCAATCCCCTATTCAACTGTCCCAATGCCTTTAACCCGGACAAGAAAGTCTCGCGGATGCGGTTGACGGTGGGTAAAACCTTACCCTTCCCTTTCGTCCAACTCATCCTCCGAGCCGACAAGTACTCTCTGGATTACGGGATCCCCATCGACTCAATGAGTCGTCGGTACAAGGACCGAGATAGCGAATGGACCCATCAGACGCGCTATGCAGTGGTCAACGGGCATCTACTGATGCGCGTCATCAGCTCGGCATTTGCAGAACCTGCATTGCCACCCGCAGGACTCCGCAAGCTGCTTTACTCCCCTAATGAGAATTTCACGCCCTACTTCTCCGTCTGTGCGCATTGGAAAGATGGCGAATTGATGCCTTCGGTTAAATGTGCATTGAGTCATCTGCCTGAACCGGTGGTGGGGAGCGGGATTGCTGGTGCGGCTGCACGAGTGAGGCAGAGAATGGAGAGACCTAGTCCCGTCGTGACGCTGTGTCCTCAATGCAAACCTATGCGTCGGTGTCCAGAATGTCCCTCCGAGTATTTAATCGAAGTGCGGATGCAGGAAGACAGGACGGATCCGACGAAACTGTTCAAGCATGCCATTGTCGTCACCAGATGGAGTGACTTGGGAGACGGCTCGTCGCCCTATACTCCCGAATGGGCATCCTGCAATGGAGAAGCGGCATTCGATTCGTTCAAAGCACTGGGCAAACGGGCGATCTCGGGTGTCTTTGAATCCCAGTTCACGGTCGACCAGATTCCAGGGCAGAAAATAGTTTCCATGAACCCAAACAGGGAACATCTCGGAGAGGCGGGGCATAATTGGTATTGACGGCCCGGTTATGGCGCCAGCTGTTCCACATGGAAACGCTCCAGTTGTTCAGCAGAACGGCTCCCTTGTCGCGATCTCGGTGCGATATCGTACGGCCAGGTCCCGTAAATCCAGCATGGGTTTCATCCTCTGAGATTTGAGGTGACAAGATGGTGTTGAGCGCAGTGCGGGTCTGATTTGGCCATGGAGGCTCACGGCCGTTGGGGTGCAAACAGTATCATCTGTAAAGGCAATTTGCTGCCCGTCTTATGATCGATGGCGTGGTTGACCGAAGTCGCTTCTGCTTACCGGCATTTGCTTTCACGAACGTAGGGGCAACTACGACGAAGGCAAAAGCGGCATCCGACGCCAACCCCATGCCGACCCAAACGATTGCCTTCGCAAACCTCTCAGTGGAGCTGGTCGAACGGCGGGCTTCAGCATTTGTCACGAGTTTCATGCTGAGTTGGTGCGGTTGGGGCGCCAGCGCCTCGACGAGACTTGCTGTCTTTTGAGCAAGTCTGTCCAACAGGAGAGACTCGACTCTCTTTCTTCATAACCGCCGTTGCAATTCCTCTCATTCGCCCTGCCAAGAGTGTGGAAACCCGTCCTCATGATGTCGCAACGGCGGCAAGTCGCCTATCAAACTCGACAATAACCCATCCAAACCCTCGGACATGCCGGTGTCGGCTATCGAGGTCATCCACTCCATCAGATTTGAGCTTGAGCTTCTCTCCCCGGCGGTCGCCGCTGGTGCTTCCAAGGGATAGTAGAAGTCGCCGCTGTCACCCTCATCGTCATCGTTGTCGTCGTAAAATGGGCGGGCCGATGATGCAAGAGTCATATTCACGCCGCCAGGGGTGTTGTTCGGCAACATGGTGCTGGCTCCTGTTCCCACCCCAGTCGTCGTCCAGTCTCCACCAGCCTTTTCATCCATCATGGTCATGGTGAGATTGGCCAACGCCTCGAAAATGTCTCGGTAGGGAGCCGCGGCGCTCCAGCGTTCCGCGATTATAACCAGGACAATTGTACAGTCGGTACATGTGTTACTGACCTGTCCTTGGCGAGTCACTGCGCGTGCAGCCGGAGACGTCCACAGACAATGGAGATACGTCAAGCCGGCGAGGAAGAGCTCGTGCAGCGCCGCCCAGGTGTAGTTTGTCGGCCTGCCCAGGAAATGCCGGCGGTAGATATGGCACGTACGCTCTGCGGCTCGAAGGCAGCTGAGAAAGATGCCGTCGGCATCTGCGGCTGCATCTGCTTCCGCGTTCGGCCCCATAGCGGTGGTGGCCGCAGTAGTAGCAGCAGTAGTACTGGCGGAGGTCGACGTGGTGTTGGTGGTGGTGGTGAAATGAGGATTTTGTGGACGATGATGATTGCCAATGATCTGGACTCGATATAACTGCAAGATGGCATAGTTGTATTCCATCTCGAACCAGTCCTGCGTCCCAAACAACACGAGAGGTTGTGCCTCGATGGGCCGGGGCATGGTCGGAGGAATTGCTGCTCGCCAGCTCTCGAGATCCCCACGGAGCTGCTGAATCCGCTGCGCAGCACAGCCTGGGTTCTGCTCAGGATTTATGCTGTCGAGATAGATGGTCGTGTGGATTCGGCCGAGAATACGACGGCCGCGGAACGTGTGGATCGCTCGTGTCATGGTGAGGTTGGTCGAGGAATCCCCTGAAGAGCTTCCAAACGCGCCGCAGACGTCTGCTGCGTCGCTGGGATACTGTGAAAACAGCCATGCCGATTAGTCTGGTTCTCATCTATGTGAACAACATGGGGTCCTGGGGATGACGACATGTGCGGTTGCAGAGACGTCGGGTTCGGTCTATCTGCCAAACAGCACATGAACTCCCTCCGCCGCATGTTGCCGTGCGTCGTCTCATACTTACCTCAGCATCAATTTCTTGGTCGCGCAAGGCCAGAGGCCGCCCCAGCATGACGGCCGACTGACACTCCATCGAGTAGGCACACCAAAAGACCCTCTTCCGCAGCTCCAACCGTAGCGGGTCTGTCGTCGACGACCTCAAGTGCTTACAGCTGCGATGATACCCGAGATCAATGCACTGTCGAAGCGCCAGTCCGGCCAGCTTCCTACACAAAGTGGAGTCTTGATCAGCGCTCAAATATCGACACCAAAGGACTCGACACCAAGGCGAAGCTAAGCTGGTTACAACATACCAATGAGAGGTGCCGATCGAAGACCAGACGGAATACACGGCACAGCACAAGATAGCCTGGATGGATTCCAGGTTATCGCGGGCCATGACGTTGTCGACGTACAACTGTGCTGACATGTACAGTCGCTGCAAGAAAGCAAAATCAGAGAAACTGCGTCAACTCCTCAAGTTCCAAAAGTCTGACACTGTATGTCACCGGTCGGACTATTTGCTTACCTCGGCGGAGTATCCCAGATTTGGTAACAGTAAAGCGCCAACGGCATATACCTGTATGTGGTAGACGTGTCAACCCTTTCCATCCACAAAGAGAGGAGAAGTACGAGCCAAACTCGGCGTAGATCGCAGCCACCCGGTAGAAAATTTTGTATACTTACCATGTTCAAGAAAAATAGAGGGATGGGGTTGGAGATCAGCGTGTCGAAGCCGGCACGCTTGCCTACCAGCGTGGCCTCCCACAGCCGAAACGTTGGCTCGTGCAGGAAGGGGTATTGATAGTGGATGTTTTGGAAGTAAGCGTTGCTGAGCTGGACAGCCACCGGGTACTCTGGCAGTAGACACGGCGTGGGTACCTCGTAATCATTGTCTTCGTCAATTCCCCGGGGCGATGCTGTAGAAGGGTCGGCGGCACTGCGGGTGGCATAGCTGTCACTGTCATTGTTGTTGCCGACAGTGGTTTGAGGTTTCCTCAAAAACACATTGCGCAGGGCCGAGTTGATGACTCGGGAGAAGGCGAAAATTGACGATGTGCCCAGATAATGGGGTTCAGCTCCGGCGGCGTTCAGGCTCAGCAGACCGACTTTGGAGGCCAGTTCGTCGAGCCCGTCCGGCCCCTGTGCATGTGTTTCATCGCCCGGATTGTTCACATGCACAGGCGTATGTGCCGGCGCATTTGACGGAACTCCGCCGCCTGGTGAATACTGGCCTTGTCCTATTTCAAAAGGGGTACCGACTCCATATGATGGGATTTGGCCAGGTTCGGGTTGTGGTTGTTGGACATGGCCGGCCTGGTGTTGAGGATGATTACGGGCGGGATCGTGGCACTGATATTGATTCACAATGCCCTCGAGGAAGGCCACGCGTTGTTCCAGAGTGGCGAGGTAATTCCGCGGCTGCTGGCGCCTGGTTGCTGGATCCTCAACCAGGCAAACTGGTGAATATCTGCGTCAGCACCATGTCGAGACCTTTCCATTACCGCCCTACAACGGGGCGGTAGAAGTAGCTGTTGCGCTCTGGTGGGAGTGGCCCCTGCTTGGTCCCCACGGAGGGTTGGAGGGGCAGGACTCATGTCCGTGACTTACCTGATCCGAACCGGAGGCAGTTTTCACATCCCGAGGGGTTATTGTCACACTACAGCAGTGCCAGGTTAGCCGGTGTGTGGTTTCGAGGCCTCGTAAGAATATTGCGGAGGTCCTCCTACCTTCAGCTTCTTCTCCTTGCAGTTGATACATGCGATCAAGGTCCTGTTGGACGTCCTTGTCCGATGTCTGCTGCCTCGGGCTTGTCGCTCATGGGGGAACTTGTATTCTTGCATCTTGCATGGTGTCAAAGCGGCAGTTCACTGCTGCATTGGAGCCTTCGAATGGGGTACTCGTTCACGCATGTCCGAACAACATACCTAGGCACAGTACTAAGAAAGTAAGAGTATCAGGAACGACGGGAAGGTCTTCGGTCTGGGGTTGAGTTTAGCTTTATATCCTCATCCACAAATTGAACGTGGACGGCGGAGATTTCCTGTGGCTTATCGCTCGCTCCATCGGAAGGCGGCCCCAGATTACGCACGGTCGGTCCGTTTAAGATTCTCCAATCTGCTCTCTCCCAGGCTGTCACGGCCGGCGAGGACGAGCGTAGCCTCCGAGACCTGTGGGTTGGATTATGTTGCCAACTGAGCCGTGGGCAGGTCTTGACCGTCATTCAGATTGCGGGAGATCTGTTCGACATAGCTGGTATCTGTGGTGCTACCCGCGGTCTGGTAAAGGCCCCGGACTTATGGGAATACTAACGTTGTACTAGTGCCTGCTAGTAAACGGCGGGCACCTACTAGTAGGTGGCGTGTTCCGGCTAAGCTACCTGCCCGGGCAATACTCTACCTTTTAAGCCAATTACACATTGAAAGTGAGTTGTGAGAAAGTGCAAGCGCCGTGCTAGCATGTCCACCTTCTTTTTTGCCATGTCACACTACTGTCCACTAAAGACGTTAGCGGTACTAGTGGCACATCCCTTGGCCTGTAATGGAAGTGAGTACTACACTGGCACTGGCATGGCACTCAATGCTCGAAGGAAGTGTTTGATTCAACCGACGCCCATTCTTCTAGCCAGTCTATCAAGCACAAAGGCTTCGCTCTAGCAATCTTTGGCTATCTAGTCTATTATACCACCATCGCCGGTCAAAGTTTGGACAGTCTCGAACCCGAAGACATGAGGCGTTTCAGCTGTTGAACTCGTGCCGGTGTGATCTGGTAGACGTCCGGCAACTCGGTGCTTGCCCAAGGCTTCCCAGCCATCAGCTGAACAAGCCCCGGGGCAGCGGTGAAGATTCGGGCCATTCCACTGTGATGGTTAGTCTAGCAAGATCTGCATACGGACGTTGGGGGATTCGAGGTGGAAAGGCATGGGTGGAACAAAATGCGTGGTTTCAACTTACTGCCCATGATGACCAGCACAGACCCATTGGCCTGGAAGCCCAGGCAACTGACCCACGAAGGGCACTCCGTCCGCGCTCTGCAAGTGAGGTTAGATTTCATCATGCTCTCAACCATCATCCATGACTAGGGGACGTACCAGTCCAATGATGCCGCTCCAGCTCCGTTGGTTGATGGCACCCTCGGGGTTCTTGAACTCATCGGCCCAATCTACCAGCTGAGACTGTGCGAAACTCCGGACGGCTTCCGTGATGGGCTTGAACCCTGTCAGACCATCATCTGTATATAGACTGCCGTGCTCCTCCAACCACTTCTCGAATCGTGGCTGGCCCGGGTTGCTGCCGCCGAAAAGGACGTGCCCATCCGAGGTGGTTCTCGGATTAATGGTGATCAGTGCACGATTCGGAAGGAGCACACCATATGAGTTTTGAAGTCTCTTGGATCCTGAAAAGGTCTCAGGAGGCACGACCTTGGTGCAGATGTGAGGGATGGGACGGATGAGTCCACTTAGGGACGGCTCCAGCGCAGCGCTGTACGCATTGGTCGCATGGACAACTTGTGAGCACTCAATTTCTCCGCGGTCTGTCTCAACAATCCATTTCCCAGAGCTCCGGGGAGATTGCCTCACACGCCTAGCGACGGTGTGTGTTTGAAGGTTGGCACCTTTCTTGATGTTCTCGCGCATCACATACGCCGCAAGCTTCCATGGATGAAGAGTCGAAGCAGGCCAGGCATAACACGCCTGTGCCTCTTTAACGCGGGAGATCTTGATGTGCTATCAGCGAATGGCATGCAAACTGTTGGATTGGACCCAATCTCACCTTTGTTGCTTCGGCGGGATCTTGTGTGACCTTGATATGGTCAACTTTGCCGCCTGCTGCCTTGTAGCTTTCAAAATCCTGCTTGGCGGCCTTCGCGATTTCTGGAGTCATGGGCACGTCAAGAGTGTCACCAACCCACAGGTCACAGTCGACATTGTTTTCGCGGACATACTTGACCAAGTTGGACCAGGTTTGTTGCTCGTTTTGCAGGATCTGTCAAAACCCAGTCAGTGTCTTCATTCCTGAATATCTCTATATCGTAGACTGGCGTATATACCTTGAGCGCCTGTTGAGTGCCGAATTGCTTCTGGTATTCCGCAAATCCACGCCATTGGTCGGGCTTGCAGTGGCCGGCATTGCGTCCGGTGGCCCCAGAGCAGAAGTCATTGGCTTCAAGCACCACGACTCTTTTATTAGGCCAGGTCTCCAGGCAGGCCTTGGTCACCAACGTCCCGGTCATCTGTCAAAGGCATCAGTCCATCTGTCATTATTCCACTTAGTGGTTGACTTACTCCAGAGCCGATGACCACAATGTCCGCCGAAGATGGCAAATCGTCGGTGGTACGATGGGCCAAGAGAGGATCGCCTTGGACTATTGCCAACCAATGTGACAGGGAACGGCCATGTCGCTTGGGGAAATCAGAGTATGGCGGAGTGGCTGCTTTGATTTCCTTGGGTTCCTGCTCGTGCCCTGGTCCTGCTGGGACAGCGTTGGCGGGAGCGCCAGTCTGGGATTTCGATCCTGCCATGATGATGCAGTTCGGCGTTCAGCGTGAGCAGATTTTAGCAGCAACTGCCGGTTCTTTTGCGGATATCAAAAGATAACAGAAAGATATATACCACGATAGACAACTCCACCTCACAAGTCCACTCTACTTCGAACGGATCTTCTCCAGCAGGCGAGCAGAGTAACTCAAGGAAACAGTCAGCGTTGCAAGATAAGGATCGCGAAGAGATGTCGCTGGTTACTCCTCCCGACCATCTATCAACTCCCGGTCCACACCCTTGATTACTGACAGTGTTGCTGCTCACTGCCACTGCCGAGTCTTTGAGGTCGGACGTCGTTCTTTTGCGAGCCTTGTCTCGCACCGTCGCGTGCTTGGACCCCACTTGGCTATCCCTATTGGCGGGCCATGCCGGTGGTTATGGACCCTTCCACCAATCCGCAAAACCTTCTCAACGACAAACCTCGACTTCTCCAGGGAAAATGGACTCCAGACTGTCCCATGATGTCCAGGGTATGACCAGATCCATGCGTTAACATCACAGCTCGAGTCGCCACGGGCCAGACTGGGCCCGGATCGAACGCTTATCTCAAGATAAACTCCTGTTTGTCAATTGCTGGGTATTGCCACCAATGAGGGCCGAGGATATGCAGCAGAGTCAGTGGAAGAGCCGCCATTATAAACACCCACTGGTTGCCCTTCATTCGAGGTGACACTGTCCCCAGTCCAACCCTCCACACAAACTATCACCCCACGACCTGCACCCTGACCTGACCTCAGCTGTGTTGTGCGTTCAATATGGCTTCGTCTCTGGGCAATGGCGACACTTGCAGCTCCGGCATGTGGCCTCCAGGAACGGTGCGCCTGGAGGACACGAGGGTGAGGGATGGGAAAGACATTATCCTGCAACCACGACCGACGGAGGATCCCAACGATCCGCTCAACTGGCCGAAATGGCGCAAGTACCTCAATTTTTTGCTCGTATGCTTCTATGTCGCCATGGTGGCCGAGTTCATCAACGCCCCTACGCCGACATGGGCACCTATGCACAAAGAGTTGGGTTACTCATACGAAATCCTCAACGACAGTTACGCCGTCGGCTGCGCTTGTCTTGCACTGGGTTCTCTTCTGCTGATCCCATTCGCTCTCAAATACGGCCGCCGGCCTGTGTACCTTTTCAGCACGGTACTACAATTCGGCCTTAGCATTTGGCAAGCGAAGATGAAATCGGTGGCCGATTTGATGCTGATCAACGTTCTGTCATGTCTGTTCGCAAGTCTTGCCGAGTCGATCGTGCAGATGACAATCGCCGACGTCTTCTTTGTGCACGAGCGAGGGACGATGAATGCCATTTATGTCTGGGTGTGGCTGCTGGCCAGCTATGGTGGGATGCTCATTGCAGGATTCGTGGCCAAAGGACAAGGCTGGAGATGGATTTGGTGGTGGAACGCCATCTTCTTCGGCGTGGCCATCCCTCTGGTCTTTTTCTTTTATGAAGAAACCAAATTCTGCCCTCCCAGTCTTTCGTCTGCTGAAGGTGACGAGGACCGGCACCAACAAGCGCCTGGCGTGTCTGAAAGCCCAGACAAGGCGCCAAAATCCATGGACGGCGAAGAAAAATCGACCACGACAGCTGATCCCAAGGATACGTCCATCATGCAAGCGGTCGAGGAGGGTTCGCCACAGGACAATGCTCTTTACAAGGTGCACATCAACCCGAACCTGCCGCGAAAAACTTACCGGCAACGGCTGGCCATCACCACCACCACCTCGTCCACCGTCGGATCCAACGGCACCTTCTTCCGGCACATGTACCAGCCTTTGATGCTGCTGGTCACCATCCCTGCCATTGGATATGCGGCTCTAGTCTACGGTATCCTAGTAGGCCTGGGCGACGTCATGTCCACCACCATGTCCACATACCTACCTCAGGCACCCTACAACTTCAGCACCGACCAAGTCGGCCTCATGGCTCTTCCCAGAGTGATCGGAGTCAGCATCGGCGCCCTGATCGTGGGACCCATGAGTGATTGGTGGATTGTTTTCCTGTCGCGTCGCAAATACGGTGGTATCTACGACCCGGAGATGCGACTATGGTGTATCGCTCCTTTCCTCCTCTTCGTTCCTGTGGGAGCCCTTCTTTTCGGCATCGGTCTCAACAACCATCTGTCATGGCCCATCATTGCCGTCGGCCTGGTGCTGTACAACATTGGCGTGGCGCCCATCAACAGTCTGATCGTGACCTACCTGACAGACTCGTACCAAGAGGTAAGTTTGGAGAGGATCTGCTTGTGATATTTGTGGAAACCAGTTGAGCTGACAATTTTTTGATTAGGTGATCGGTGACGCCTTGGTCGCCGTGACGGTGGTGCGCAACACTTTCAGCACTGCGTTTATTTTTGCTCTCACCCCGTGGGTCAAGCAAGTAGGCTTGAAATGGGTCCTGGTCACGATCCTACTCATCGCCATGGCCATTTTGTTGTGCTTTGGCGTTTTCATCAAGTGGGGCAAGACTTTCCGGGCGCGCACGGCTTCAAAGTATCAGTTTTATGCCCGGAGGCAATATAAGGAGAGGCCGTTGTAGGATGGGATGGATTAGTGTAGTGTATGTACGTGAGAAGGAATGAGAATGAGACTGTACGTTGTATATTCGACCCAGAGGTCAGCGATGCTTCATTCAGTATATCAATCAACCGGCGCTGCCATGCGATCCGTGAACCACGCATTGGGTGCTTCTCAGTAAGGGTCATTGATGAAGGTGTCCATGAGAGATGAAATATTAGGGTTCAAGTTGTCCAAGGAGAAGACCTGGAAACCGGCGCCATACTACCTGCTCAGCAGCACCAGCACTGTGCAGCAACTTGAAGCCTTCACCAATCGCCGAGTAGTCAGCAGTCATCACGTGACAGCCACTGACGACAATTTTTTTTCTTTTTCGCTCATACGGTGGCACAGCAGAGCAAAACGCAGACTTTTCCATGGCCCAGAAAAGCCTTCAACCCATCTGCAGATAAATGCACACACATCGGTTTGAAGCCAGACAAGACTGATCACAGAATATGAAACTGAACTTGAACGGCAAAGACGGGATTGACGTGCGGAACCGCCAAGTCTAAACAAGCTCGCTTAAAACCCAAAGGCTGCGTCAACGGGTGGAAGTTGGCAAGCTGGCGGAGGCCTAATGGATGTCCATGAATCGAGTCTTGGACGATCTTTCGATCTTTGGCCAAAACCGGGTCGAGCGCACGCGACTACAATGGAGATGGCTTGCGAGTTCGATTCGTATGTGCTTCCCGTCCTCGCGTGGGCTATCACTACCACTCCAGTTCTACCCACCACTTTTATCTCTGAGTTTGGTACTGGAGCTGGCACTGGCATATCCATCCACCCACCATGCTGTCGAGTTCCCTCGATTGGCAGAACTGCCCCATGAGTGGTGCCGGCGCATGGCACTGTAGGTACCCAAGTAGGTGCTTCTGTCCCCCAACAAGGATGTGGACGTGGATGTCGACCGGCTGTCTACTACTGCCGAGTACAACGTCGTATCTGTCTATCTTATCGCAAGGCTCGGCCAACCTGGCGCAATGTGGTAGGTGGATTTTCAAGCCCTGCCCTCCTTTTCGGCAGCCACCCGCTCTCACTGACCAATGTGACGTGTCGGGTTCCACTCCGGCATGGTTGGCATTGACGATCCCAGGTTTTGGTGTCTTGGTATTTTCTGCGGACGCGTCCTCTTCTCTGCAAGATTGAGATTGAAAGATGCGAATGGCACGTTTGGACCCCTATCAACCGGATAATTTGACCATACCATGGTTCTCTTCGACTGCTACTCGAAGCTAGCTGCACGGGCAGTGCGTGGCAATGCCGGCCATGCGTCGTGTTCCCCTGGCCAAATCCAAGCCAAGCCAAGCCAACTTGTGGTTGTTGCGACCCAGGTCTTGCTTTTACTACCGTATATCGGAGCAAACAGCCAAAGATCATGGCCTTCTTGGCTAGTAGTAGGTAGTCATTGAAGCTTTTTCGACTTTTGCTTCTTTTATTCATCTTGCTGTTCGGCGTTTCTCTTCATGCCAGGCATAGGCACGCCCTTGCCAAAGCTTGATAGTGTCCGATCGGTGTGATGTGGCAATTTCGATTGCACTTGACTCTGTGCGCCTGGTTGTCCATCTGTGCGGTCGTTGTATTGGTATTGCCCTCAAGTTGTGCGGGCTTCCAACCACCCAATGTCGAACCGCCAAAGTACGGCGAACTTAGATCCAAGTTTTATGACTGGGGTCTTCTCCATGGACTTGTTCCTCGCCAGTCATTCAAATCGTTCAGCCTTGAACCACCAGAAGTGAACTTTGTGCAATGGGACAAGCGATGCGATGACGGACACACATTCATCTCTCCTCGGGGCCACATGGTGCCTCATCCCGGGCCGATCATCATGGACGCACGTGGTGAACTGGTCTGGATGGAGGACCGGTACGGACAGGCCATGGACTTTAAAGTGCAGCAGTACAGAGGTCATGACTACCTGACGTTTTGGACGGGTGAGGACAGTGGCACTTTTGGCACCGGTTCATATGTCATGGTAAGGACAAACATCAGTTCATCACACACAGGACCCCCAAAGAAACTAACATCTTGTTTCTTCTAGCTGGACTCTTCTTACCAATTATACAAAAGAATCTCTCCATCCGGTGACCGTGGTCTCATGGGCGACTTGCACGAATTCAAAATCACCCGAAACAACACTGCTTTAATGACCATCTACGAGCCCAAGCAGGCCGATCTGTCATCATTCGGCGTAGCGGGGACAGGCTGGATCTACGACAGTCTATTCCAAGAAATCGACATTGAATCAGGTCAACTTTTATTCGAATGGCGCGCCTCCGACCATTATCACGTCCAAGATACATATCACACCATTGAAGCCGAGGCCCGACGTCCAGTTTTGGACCTTTCAGGTCGGCGGACAACATCGAGATCATTGATCGGCACAACCAAAGACTCGGCATGGGACTTTTTCCACATCAACAGTATCGACAAGAACGAGGAGACAGGTGAATACTACATTTCCTCGCGCTACATGCACACCGTGACGTGTATTCGACCAGACGGCTCGATACGTTGGATTTTGGGGGGAAAGAAGAACCAGTTTACTGATTTATCGGAGGGGGCCGCGACGAACTTTTCCTTTCAACATCATGCCACTGTGCACAAGGGTGACGAAAACGGTGATGGCAACGGTAGGGTGCTGATACTTACAATCTTCGATAATGGGAAATATGATTCCCAGTCCAAGAATGCAGAGTTCAGTCGCGGTCTTGTTGTCGAGCTCGACACGCAGAATATGACGGCCAGGCTGGTCAGGCAGTTTGTGCATCCGGATCATTTGCTGGTTGGAAGTCAGGGGTCGGTTCAGTTGCTGCCACCGCGGGAGCGGGAGCCTGAGCCGGAGCCGGACTTGGAGTCTGGTGGCGTTCGCAGTGGCAGTAGCCACCATGGTATTGGTGACTCGCACGCACTGGTAGGATGGGGTTATGCGCCCGCATACACCGAGTTCGACGCCGATGGCAGTGTCCTTTGCGATGTCCATCTCGCCCCCGAGGTCACGTTTGGATTTGGATGGGTCAAGAATTATCGCACTTTCCGAAGTTCGAGCTGGGTGGGGAAGCCGACTACGGCGCCGGATTTTTGGGTCGAGGATGATGATGTGATTTATGTTAGTTGGAATGGGGCGACTGAGGTTGATCGGTGGGTTTTGCAGGGTCGAGTTGGAGACGAGGACGAAGTCCGAGTCGAAGAACAGGACCAGGACGAGGAAGGGGTCGAAGACGAAGACGAAGACCGAGACCGAGACGAAAAAGGAAAAGACGAGCACGAAGACGAAGACGAATACCGAGACACATACGAAAAACACGGGAAAGATGCCGACGCAGACGCAGACGAATACGAATACGGAGACGAAAGTCAAGAAAGAAAAGACAAAATCAAAGACGAAAAGCTGGGCTTCTATTTCGTCGACCTATCATCCACCAAGAAACGAACCTTTGAAACCGCCGTCAACATTGATGTCGACACCCCGAGACATATCCGCATTGCGGCGGTCGACAAGAACGGGAATGTCTTGGGGTCTACTGAAGTTTTTGATCGGTTGAATCATGACGGATCAAGTGCGCCTTTTGGACTTTCTCTTTCTGTGCTTGTCGTGGTCGTTGCGGCCGTGTCGTGTTTCAGTGTGCTGATGTGGCGCATCGTGGCTGGCCGTGGTGGTCCGTTTACTACTCGACTTCTGCCCGGGTTCGATGCTGTCAAGACACGACTACGACGGTTGCGTCGACGGCACCAGCACCGCTCGCGCTCGTCCACGTCAGATCGGTACTTTGGTCTCAAGGAGGCTCTACGACTACTGGGACAAAATGACGACGATGATGATGATGATGATGATGATGGTGATCACGACCTGTCAGTTGACGATGAAGATGGGACAGGAACCAAAAGAGACGATGGCGGCGGTGACGACGACGACGACGACGACGACGAGGATAGTTGGCAGCCGCAGAAAGGAAGCGGGGGATACGACGGTAGTCATCACAAAGAAGACGTCGATGTCGATGTTGAGGCGCAGAATAAGTCGGGATATAGACGGTAAAAGCTGGCCAGATACATTCCCAGATGGAACTCGCGCTAATCAGAATGGTGAAACCTCCTTTCTCATTATGCTCAGGATCAATGATCACCGTTCTCATCATCCGACATGGTACAGTATTGTAGAGAAAGCGCCGAGTTGAACGGGCCATTCTACTTCCATTCGTTTTCACGCCCGTTTCCCACCAGACAGCCAGTTTCTTGGTCATTCAATCATTCATTTCATGCAACCGTCGATAGCGTGGCGATAGCCCTGTTCTCTTGTGGTATGATCGCTTCTTTCCGCTCTCTCATGGTCTGTCGACTCCCTATCTCATGCAAGAACCCCCCAGCACCGTGCAGTATTTTGTCATTCTTAGACACCAACATTCATTCCTCCAGACCGTTCCATCACATCACATCAGAGCCAGGAAAGCCCCAACGACAATCGCACCGACAAGCCCGTCGAGACATGCACTCAATACAGCGCTGGACGATAAGCTGGTGGCGTCACTTTTCGACGTGGTCGACTGGGAGGAAGATCCAGTCGCCGTTGCAGTTGCATCCACGGCCTTGTCTATCGGTTGTCCTGCAGCGGGCTCGTCATTCTCTCTCGGCGGCGCCAGTCCGTCTGTCGTGTCGATATACGGGAACAAGACCCGGTTACACATGCTGGGCAAGGTGCCGGCGAACGACACTTGTTCCTCCCAGGGACATTGTTGGATGCAGGTGATGAAAGGGTCGTCGCTGGCCTTGAACCTGCTGCAGAGACAGACGTCAAGGGCATAGCCGGTTTCGCCGCCCTTGCAGGGGGACATCACCGGGTGGTCGGCGGCACAGTTGATGGTGCAGGTTCCCGGTAATTGTGCGTGGACCAACGTTCCTCCTAGAAAGAGGCCGACCAGTAGCACGATGAATGGGATCGGGTAGATTGCCAGAGGAAGCATTTTGAGGCTTTGGGTCGGGGAGTGAGAGACAGCGGTGGTGGGGTGAGCACGCAGGGAACGGTGTACGCCTTTTTGCTCGCTTGCTTGCTAGCCGTTGTAGAAGTTATAGGTAGCGGCAGAAGAGGAGAAAGGAAGCAGAATAAATGATCGAGAGAGTCGTTAAACGGCATAAAAGACCTACTATTTCTAGTTCAAAATCCTCAGGAAAAAAAGATATTCCCTGGTCGTGTTGTTTTCCAAACCCGCTACGGGCTCCCGATCGTGTCGATCTTCGGGGTGGTTACATGGATCTCTGAACTTACCCGTGAACCTTGGTGTTGATCAGCGACGGAAAATCGCATCTGTCCAGGTAGATCTTGAGTGCAATAGGCATGATGTCTGCCGTAACGGACTGGATCCTCATTGCCAGTCCACCTTTTCGTCTATTGGATCAGTCTTGTCATGGAAGGACGGAGAATGAATCTGAAAAGGCTGGCCGGTTGGATCTGGAACCTTGCCCGCCAAGTGATGGTGTTGAAAGGTTCGCGAAGAGGGGCCCGCACTTGACATTGTGTATGTCTGGACATGGCAGGCTAGGTATATAGATTTTGAAGTCATTTTCAGAGCATTCTCTGCGCGTCTCCGGCAAGCTAAGAGATCCTCAGGGAGGCTTCTGGGATAGAACACTTTCTATGCCGTGCTCTAGGCGACATAGCGCAGGGCACGACTGAGTACGCATCATGGATAAGAGGATTGTTCGAAGGTCCAGACAAAATAAGTCCGGGGGAGGGGTTGTACTGAGTTGAGGTACTGTAAGGCCTTGGGGGGGATCAGGCCTTTTGAGGAGCTGGTACCTAAGCATGACGACGTCTCGGTGCTGCGGTCGTGGTCGGGCACTTTGCAGCTACAATGGAATGTATGCCAGCACTGTGTGCCGCGGTACGGTGTCTTGTCGACCATTCATTGAACAACGGATTTGATTGTTGACCCGTAACAGGGCGGTAAGATGAGAAGATCGAAGCGTGAAGTCGTGGAGATGAAATGTGGCCGAGATGCGTTTCTGCCTCGAGGGCCACGACGTCATCTCTCGCGCTTCTGTTCCTGCCTCTGCAACTTGAACCTCGCTGTCGCTGTCAAACCAGCTTCAGATGGTTCACGTCGCCATTGATCAATTGAAGGCCATCAACATCCTGAACATAATGTGAATTGTTACTCCTTTCTGCCATCGAGTGCCGAGCTCTACCTGCCGCCCAGTCCGAGCCCTCTCACCACCCGCAGAGGTCTTGCACCTCAGATCTTTGAATGAGGTCTGCCTCCCTCTTCGGCCGGCTGCTCGGCCGCAGAGGTTTTGTCTTCTTCTGCAGCCGCATTCCGCGACGCCAGCAGTCGTTTGCAAAATGGACGACCCGAAAATATAGCCTCAAGGACCCTCGCCAGCGGCGTTATCCTACCCTCCTGGCCGCTGCCACCGCGCTCTCCCCGGTGGCCTTTGTCGAGATAGGCGAGGGTGACAACAAGGAGGGCAAAACGACCGAGATGCAAATGCTCGAGATATCTCGTGAAGAAATCAGCAAGAAAGTTCCGGAGGATGCCCGCGGGCTACGAAGACTATACAAGAGCGTCATTTACGTCCTCGACCAATACATCTACGAACCGATGGCAACCGGGGTGCGGTTCCTCTATCTGGTCATTATATTTGTCCCTGTTATTGTTACTGTCCCCGCCGTCTTCATCGGACCGCGAAAGAAAGAGCGTGACAACGAAAGAGCCGGAACTCTCTGGTGGTATGGCTTCTTGGTCAGGGCAATGGAGCAAGCAGGTCCCGCCTTTATCAAATTGGGGCAATGGGCTGCATCGAGGTCCGACATCTTCCCCTCCGAGATGTGTAGGATCATGTCCGGCTTGCACTCCAATGCGCCCGCCCATTCTCTCCACCATACTAAGAAGACCATATCTGAAGCGTTCGGTGGCAGGCGATTTGAGGACATCTTTGTAGAATTTGATGAGAAGCCTCTGGGCGTGGGAGCCATTGCGCAGGTATACAAAGCGAGGCTAAAGCCCGACCTTGCAAAACCGGACGACAGTGATCTCGACGACCATGACAAACGAAGATTGAGATACCGGATCAAGAAGAACGTGGATGCATTGGTCAAATCCAGCCCGCAACGGGTACCGTCGGCGTACGTGGCGATCAAGGTCCTCCATCCCAAGGTGGAAAGGAATGTACGCCGAGATCTCAAGATTATGGGTGTCTTTGCTGCCATCATCAATGCCATCCCAACCATGGAATGGCTGGATCTTCCCAATGAGGTGGCCAACTTCGGCGAAATGATGCGGTTGCAGCTCGATCTTCGCATCGAAGCAGCCAACCTCACCATCCTACGCAGGCATTTCCAGAACCGAACCACAGCATGGTTTCCGCACCCTTATACCGACTTTACGACACGCAACGTTCTGGTCGAGGAATTTGCGCAGGGCTTGCCATTGGCCGCCTTCCTCGAGAATGGCGGTGGTGTTTACCAGAAAGAGATTGCCAATGAAGGGCTGGACGCTTTCTTGCATATGCTTTTGATAGACAATTTTGTCCACGCAGATCTTCACCCGGGCAACATCATGGTGAATTTCTACAAGCCGACCCAGCCGGACGTGAAGATCCCCTACGTCTCTCGGCAAGACCCGACGCAGCCAGCCAGCGCCTCCGACATCGACGAGTCAGAAGCAGTCCTCTCCCGACTGCGTCCTCACATTGGCAAAAAAGCAGAGTGGGAAGCCGCTCTGGCAGAGATTGACAAGGAGGGATACCGTCCCCAGCTGATCTTTATCGACACTGGTCTTGTTACTGAGCTCAATGCAAAGAACAGAGCCAATTTTCTCGAGCTTTTCCGTGCAATCGCGGAGTTTGATGGATACAAAGCTGGAAAACTCATGATTGAACGATGTCGTCAGCCTGATGCAGTCATTGACGGCGATGTTTTCGCCCTAAGGATGCAACATCTGGTCCTATCCGTGAAAAGCCAAACATTCGCTCTCGGTCGGATAAAGATCGGAGATGTTTTGTCAGAGGTGCTCAGCATGGTCAGATCACACCACGTTCGGATGGAAGGTGATTTTGTGAACGTGGTCATTTCGATTCTGTTGCTTGAAGGCATTGGCAGAACCTTGGACCCAGATCTTGATCTCTTCGCAAGCGCCCTGCCAATCCTGCGCCAGTTGGGTTCCTCCGACCCAAGTGCTGTGTTGAAGAGTTTCCGAGAAGGTGACTTCTCGCTGCTCAAAATCTGGGTCGGGCTTGAGGCGCGAAGATTCTTCCAAGCAAGTGCTGAAAGCGTGGAAATGTGTGTCAAGTACGATCTACTCAGTCCAAACTTCTGAGACACATGTGCAAGCAACAGTCAGCAGTGCAGAGCTCACCTTTGAACACCTGTCCACGTCTATACTTCGTCTATCTATGCCCAGTTCATTGCTTCAGGGGATCAAGTTGTTTTGTCGGTTTGTACGTTGTCCAGCTTGCCAGGGACCCTTTTTTCCTGCGTATGGGGTTTGCTTCGAAGCAGCGGTTAGAATATTGGATTTCACTTCTACCTTGTTTGCGTCAAGATTCAAATCTGTTCGCGAGCATCGGGCATCGGCGCCTCTTGCCGCGCTTATCGACTGTGTTCGGATGAGAACAGATCTGCCATGCGACGGCTGTTTCGTCCATGGCCAGCGCCGAGAAAATCACACTATTGGAAGTCGAACCAAAGATAGGCCAAGACCTGAGCAATGACAGGCGCCTCGGATCACCATTGTTTATCACACGTGCAAGCTGAATAGTGCTTCGTGCACACGTACTGTACAGTGAGCCATGGACTGATCGTGCCGGCCTCGGTCGATCAAACACCGCGAGCTAGTGTAAGATAGCTTGGTGTCAGCCAAGAATCACCGGCTTATTGGGTTTTACCGGCCTGGAAGATAGCCTGTCGATATCGCTTGCCATGGGAGCGCCGGCTATTGCTCTGCAGCTTGCTGCTCAATTCCGCTACACGTGTGTCGTCCCCGGCCAGCATTCTGGCCTGCATAAAGCTCTTGAAATCCTTTGAATTTATGCCTTGGACTCAATGCCACCTCGGAGCTGGCGGCTCGGAATGAACCTTTCGATGATTCTGATCTGAATAGAACAGAATGAAGGACTATCAATAACCATAAAACAGTCGCTCAGCACTTCAAAAGCCGAGCAACACCACCAGCCAGTATTTTAGGTGTCTGGGCTGGCATAGCGGAACCCATAGCAATAGCCGAGGACGAGGACCTTTTCCGCAGTGTTCCAGAATAAAGCCTTCCAAGATCTCGCTTATGAATGGATGTGGGCAGACGAAAGGCAGGTCGGTAGTTGTCGATCAGACCACAGAACAGCTCCCATAACACCAAGACGAGCCTGCGTGTCTTGGCTGGCACCTGGCTGGGAGATGTTAGATTGCCCAGCCATCAACAAGGACCAAAAAGCCGAGGATGTGTATAAGAATATCCTTGGTATTGTTTCAGTGCTGGCGTCCGCTCGAACGGACACGGCCGGATCGGCCTGATGCCGATGAGAGCAATGAAGCACACACGGACAAGAGTCAGGAGGAATCTGCAGAATGCCCAGAGCAGATACTCACTAGTCCTCAGCACCGGTCGAGAGGGTGGATCCAGTTTAGCCTGAACCCCGTTATCTCTAGGCCCGAAGCAGAGGCGATCCGGGGTTTTGGCTTCTGGGGAAACGGAGTGTCCAGTGTTAGTCCCCATTTCTGCGGAGCTGAGGAGAGGAGAGACTCAAAGCCCGACAGCACTCCTCATCTCATGTCATGTCATTGCTGCCACCGACTACAGCTACCGCATCACGGATCCTTGAGAACGTCCTTCGATGCATCAAGCTATCACGCTAACTTGTCGAAACCCTTGCCATTTTTGAAGCCCTGCTCATCACCACGCGATGTCTTATTCGACGTCGGCACACCACCGACAATCTGCCGTGCAGCGATTCTTGTCTGCCCAGAAAGTGGCGGCGGTCATCAAGCTCCACCTCGTCAGCCCAGACCTCCTGGGCATAGGCCATCAATCCTGATATGATGGCACCCAGGTAGCATTCGCATCATTATGCCAGGTTCACGGATCACCCACCCCACGATTTATCCAGATAGGGCCTGCGTCCGCTGAATGTCCTGTCCCCTGACAGCGCTCCTCGCCAGCATGATGGAGACATGACAGGGTAGCTGGTAGCTTATAGCTAGCTTTCTTCGCCTTCCCCTCGCTTTCATAAAGGAAGTCAAGGACCCTTTGCCCGCATCCGATCTCTTGCTTTGTCCTACCCGGTTGGCCAACCTTGTTGAACTTTGCACCGCAGTTGCCATTACCGTACTGCAAAATGGCCGATATCAAACCAGGCACCGGCGTGGTGCTGGACCACGACCTGCTGGGCGAGAAGGCTGGCGTCACCCACGAGGAAGCCATGCACTTTGGCCAGCTCACCGAAGAGGAACGGGCAATCGAGAAGAAATTGGTCCGCAAGATCGATGCCAGAATCATGCCGTTGATTGTACTTGTCTATCTGATGAACTATATTGATCGGTGAGCATTGTCCACTACGGAAACTCCATGTCAGTGGTACTGATACGCGTCAATCAGGAACAACTACGCTGCTGCTCGGCTACAGGGACTTGAGAAAGACCTAGATCTAAAAGGCGGCGAATATCAGCTGGGTAAGACCGAACACAATTTTTGTCAGTGTTCGTGCAACTAACGTGTCTGTCTATCAGGTCTATCGATTCTCTTCGTCAGCTATATCCTCGCCCAAGTGCCATCGAATTTGTTTCTGAACCACCTCGGCCGTCCATCGCTATATCTGGGATTTTTTACGACTGCATGGGGTTTCGTGTCGGCCATGACATGCCTAGTCAAGGGATTCGGTGGCATTGTGGCGTGTCGATTTGTGCTTGGTCTTGTGGAGGCGCCCTTTTTTCCCGGTACGAGACAGGAATTCTCTGGGTTCACCAAACAACCCTTTCTTACTGATTTTTGGCAGGTGTCTTGTTCTACCTTTCCAAATGGTACACCAAGAAAGAACTCAACCTACGAATGTCCATCTTCTACTCGGGCTCGCTAGTCAGCGGCGCATTCGGCAGCCTTATCGCCGCCGGCATCCTCAACGGACTTGCTGGCAAACGAGGTCTTTCGGCATGGTAAGTAGTACCAAGCACCAAACACCAAATACACACTCCCATAGGTTACATTCCATGTACTAACCAGTCTCAGGCAATGGCTCTACATCATCGAAGGAACCATCACATGCGCCGTCGGCCTGTTGATCATGGTAATCCTGCCCGACTTCCCCGACACCTGGAAAGCCCTACCACCCGAGATGAAGCGAGTAGCCAACCGGCGCATGGCAATCGAAGCAGCCGAAGCGGACGTCGACGTCGCCGGATCCAGCAAAGGAATGACTCAAGTCAAAGGCATGAAATTGGCATTCACCGACTCCAAAACATACATGCTCGCCATCGCGTACATGTGCATCACGGGCGCCGCCGGATTCCAAAACTTCTTCCCGACATTGACAGCCACGCTGGGCTACAGCCATACAATCAGCTTATTGTTGTGCGCCCCGCCATACATGTTCATGGTATTTTACTCCATGGCCCACAGTGTTGTTTCGGATCGATTCGGCAACCGGTTCTGGTTCTTCATGTATCCGATCCCAATCACGATCGTTGGCTGTGTCGTGTTCATGACGACCGATTCATTCGGACCGCGATACTTCTCGTTGTTCCTGCTCATTTTCATTTTCGCCATGAACGGAACCTGCTATGCTTGGATTGCCGGTGCTATTCCTCGCCCACCGGCAAAAAGAGCCGCCGCTTACGCCTTTATCAATTCGATTGGAAACTCTGCATCGATTTGGACTCCTTTCACTTACCGAACCCAGGATCAGCCGCATTATCGGCTTGCGCTGGGTATTTGTATTGGGCTCCAAGTTGTTGCGGCCATCATGGGTCTGAGTATGCGTATCAAACTTACAAGACAGAATGCCAGGCTCGAACGCATGGAGAATGAGGATGTCCCGCTTTCGGAGCGCGATCTCGCCAAGTTGCGCAAGACGGCGGAGATTGAGGGCATTGATCTGGCTGCTGCGCGTAGGCTGCAGAAGGGGTATCGTTACATGATTTGAGCGACTTGGATTGGACAATCAGTCACTCGCTCACTCACCGATATGGCCGACAGATCGTCACTGACTCCTTCGATGCTGTCCATCGTCAAAAGACAGGACCGCCCGGATCCTATCCCCGGAAATGTTGCTGGATTTTTTTGGAGTGAGTGGATAAGGCGGTCCAGATTCAGACTCGTTCTCGTCTCGTCTCGTCGGAGGGGATTGATCGGTCGATCAGGTGGTTTCGTGAGCTGGGTCCCTGGCTGGTTTTGGTCATATTGCACTCGGCACGGCATGGCATGGCATTCGATGGCAGTGCATTACGCCCTATATGCAGATGAATAGGTACATTGCATAGGGTATACTAGTAGTACTGGTGATTTTCCTGAAAAGAAGCTCCTACGATTGTACACAGTACATCTTTGTCCACTATATGACATGCCTTAGTAGATACCTACTGTACGTACCAGGTACCTAGGTACATATGACGTAGGTGTTCGTCCGTACTTTACATAAATGCATACATTGTACGTGTTTTCCACGCTTTCCGGACGCAAGAGTCCCGTCGTGTCCTCTCCATGTACCTAGATACCTACTGTACACATGTATGTAGCTATCCAGGAACTTAACTCTAGAAGCTTGACTTCCTTTCGCCGATATTTCTCCCCAATCCCCTCCTAGCGATCATCGGTATACATTCCAGGATCACGAGCGATCCAAACCTTTTTCCTTTGCCTTTTGTTATAAATCCACCGTCCACATCCAACCGTCATTCGACCCAGAAGGATCAGTCGACACACACACTTGACGCCCCCCAGCCCAAAGCAGATTACCGCCCCCGATCGATTCATATGATTGCACAGTTATCGTAGAACGTACAAACCCCCAAAGAAAAAGCAGCCGGTGTGATCAGTAAGGCTCTGATACACCAGCGCTAGAAAAAGAAAAAGAAGAAAAGGAAAGAGAAGAAGAAAGCCAGAGTCCAAATCAAATCGGCCGTTCAAGTACGTTTATGGTGATGCGTCCGTACCGTGGTCATGTGCAGAATGCCCCGGATCCCGGAAGCAAGGAATGTTGCATTTTCTTGTATAGAATTCAGTTCAAAACATGCCCCCGTCTTGGTGCACGCCCAAAGAAGTGGCACTGCGATTGGGAAACACTGGCAGCGCAGGGCTTCGAAGTCTTTCCTGACCAAATTCGGATAACATGGCCTGCTGTCGGGCGCGTGCTGCCATATTGCCACCCTCACTACTGATCTTCCTCAACCTATTTCTCTGCCGTGGCACAGGCTGTTGTTGTTGCTTCTCCTCAGTACGTTTCTCTGACCCAAATCCAAATCCGGTCCTTCCTGAAGATTCGGGCATCGCAGGACCCGCAGATTGTACCGTTTGTGGACTCGGCCGAGCATCTGAACCCTCATGCATGGTATTACCACGACGACGAGGATTCATGGCAGGTATGGGAGGCGTTGCAATCTGGCTGGGTCGCGGACCTCGTGGAAGACCGACGAGCGGTACCGAGGATGTGCTGGAGATGAAAGTGGGTTCTGAAATCATGCCCTTTGTGACGGACTTCTTGCGTGCTCCAAGAGGGGTGGATCGACCATCCACAGGTGTCGAGCGGCCGTTGGTCGGTACTGGAGGCAGAGGTCCAACAGGCGAGGGAAGGGCAGACTGTCCAGCAGATGGAGGGCCAGACATGGGAGACAAGCCCGGCTGACTGAACTGACTCATCGGAGAATGTGGGAAAGGTGGGCGAGGAGATGGCCTTGGGGCATTGATCGTGGGGCCGCTCTGACCGGTTCCAAGCTGAGGATTTCCGGCCATGCTTGGTGTCCCTGCCCGCTCATCCAGATGCGGAGATGCCTCCGGGCGGCTGGCACTTGGGCGTCGATTTGACATAGCTGAGCCGGACCGCTCGTAATTACGCACTTCGACCGGAGGCGGCCCACGTTGAGCGGCGTGAAAAGGCCGTGGACCTTGTTGGGCGCGTGGTGGTCCATATGAACGGTCTTGCTCCCAACCAGGTAGAGGGTCATGCTGATGCTCCTCGCGATGGCGAGCTGGGCGACTTCTTGATCTTTCGCCGGGTTCGGGTCCACCTCTTTCACCTCTTGGTGCTCGTCCGGAAGGTGTGGCGGAACGCTGCCGTGAGCGTTGATACTCTGCATATCGGTCATGGGTATTGCCCATCGGTCGTCCAAAGCCTGGGGTACGTCTCCCGCTGGGAGGCTCAAACTCGGCGGGCCGCTCTCTTGGTACAAAACCGGTCCCGGCGTTCTCGTAACCTTGTTCGAATCCATGATCACCTCTGCTTTGGACATTGGGTGATCGACTAGCCATGTCGGACTTTGGAATCACCCCCAGTCCGAGCATTTTCATCGCTTTTGGCTGAGAATCATTCACCCTAGGAGCAAGTGCAGTCTTGCTTGCTTTATGACGGAGCACTTGTAAAGCCTGCGCGGCAGGATTCGGACGGTCGTATCCTGGAGCGGGACTTCGAGATCGCTTTTCGGCCTCTACGACATTTTTCAAGCCTTCTTGGATCTTCCTTGCGCGCTCCGCAAGCTCATTATCAAACTCTTTCTGCGTTTCCGTGCTTTCGCCACGTTGATGGGAATGCACCATGTCGGCGTCCCATTGCCTGTTTGCGGGATGCTCATCGTCAGGTGGAGGTTGACCGTCACCATTCGATTGCTCTTGGGTAACAGCAGCGTTGTTTCGGAGGGAGATCGCCTGGCCAAGGATCTGCTGTGCTCTTTGTGACATGATGGTGGTAGGATCGGTCGCAGGAGCTTCAAGTGGGCTACGCTGAGGACGATGCGCATTGTCAAACTCCCACGGGTCACTATGTGTACTCTCAGGGGGATTAGTGGTGCGAGCAGTTGAAGCAACTGACGACTCCCGATCGCGAAACCTTGGAAAGCCGCTCGGCTGCTTGTGACCCAGCGCTGGTGACGGAGGAGGCATCACAGAGGACTTGTCGCTGTCGTGTCGCAGGTGTGTCCGAATCATTCCGCTCAAACCAAGTCCTGCAACAGGTCCAAGGGTTGGAGAGTCCAGTTCTTTGCTTTCTGAAGGATGCAGGGAGTCTGAGGTATCTGGTGTATCGTGCGTCACTGCAGGCGATGAGTCCTCCGCGGAAGTATTGGAGCGTGATCGAGCAGTCTGGATACTAGCAGCCACTTGCTCCCCGAAATCAAAGGCCGGCGTCCCACTAGCATCACGAAGCGCAGGATGAACATCCCCCGAGGCGAAGATCGGTGTCGGCTCGTGACGGCCCAACATCGGACTATCCATGTCGACCTCACCTTCCTCCTCATCACTGCCGTCAAAGGTGTCGAAAAAAGTGCCACTAGAAGCAGCCAACTGATCATCAACACTCTTTGGTTTAGGTAATGCAGGGCTCGGATGGGCGGTTGTGGATTCATCCATTTGCAGAGCGGTGTATTCTTCGTTCTGGCGTCTGATGAGCGCCTCGACTTGAGCGTGAACTTGGGCGGGACTGGCCGAAGCGCTCGACTGTGACCGTGCTCGACCAGTGCTTGAGGTGTTGAAGCTGCTGGTAGTCGGAGAGGCCGGGTTCGTAGACGTACTGATTTCCTTTGCATGATGCCGTAATCTGGCGACAGCATCTTTGTCTGAATCGTTGGTATGGGGTAGGGAGATTTTACCCTGGTGCATCTGCAACTGTCTCTCCTGGAACTTCTGCTCATCGAATTGTTGCCGGGGCCGGTTAAAAAGGCCCATGGCAGTCGCCTTGCCGCGGTCATTAGGTTCAAGACTTTGATGGTAAACCTCGCTATCCCCCTCATCCTCGTGGGTGGGAGAAGCGGTTTGATATCTCCGCAGTTGACTCTTTGTGGCTTTCAGTCCGAAATCTAGTGGAGCAACATGTCCTCTCGCTGCCGGAGGAGGACTGACCGCGCGCATACCGCCTGTCAAGGATGGAGATGCTCCAGCGGCGCGCTTCTCTGATAGGTTGGTCACACTCCTAGAAAGGGAGATTTGTCGGGTACTGACGGGAGATGGAGGCAGAGGTGGCTGGTCTTGGCTCTCAAAGGCATGGCCCGGTCTTCGAGAATCTGAGGAAAGCTTCTGCCTCAAAGGGTTTTCCTCGCTGTCAAAGTCGGATCCTCTTATACGTGCGTTGGAGGACGAACTGGCATTGCTCTGCCGTGGAGCAGGAGAGTCTGACACGACGGAGGTAGCAGCGGTAGAAGTGCGCCGGTTGGATGGGCCAGATGCGGTAGATGAGATGGTTCCTCTGCTCTTGCTGAAGCCCGTAGATGGAGTGTTCACAACACTACTACTATCATGTGCTTCGGTGGTGTCGCTGAGCGGTCGACCTTGCGAGCCGTTGCGCTCTTCTTGTTCCCGTGCTCTCAGCTGGGCTTCCTGGTAAGGTGATAAAATCACATCATCCTGATACAGGTGCCTTTTGGTCGTGAGTGGAGTAGACATCTCCACCAGATCTCGTGAAGAGCTGGCGTTCGCTATCCGGTACATCTTTTGACGCCCGCCAAAGAGATTGTTGCCCTCGACCCCTTTCGTGCGAGCGAAGAAACCGCCCGCATCATCGCTGTTGGCGCCAACACCCTCGGAAAAGGACTGTGATCGCTCCGCCTCGGCAAACGGGGCTCGGACCGTAGAATGGATGGAGTGCACTTCGGCAATGTCTGTCAAGGGGTTATGAGAGAAAAGATTCATGCGCGAGGCGCGTTTGGGAAAGAGGACGCTATCATCGTTGGCCTTGCCCACCAGGGTGCTAGGATCATCCTGTTCTCGAAGCATGCTGAAGCGGGCGGAGAGCCCGGGCATGAGCAAACTGGTCCGGAAGTCATTGCTATCAGGCAAAGCGGTCGCCAGGTCGATTTCTGGCTTTGTTTCCACAACATTTTTCTGTTTTCGTTTCAGGCTGCGAGATATCTTTGACAATGGCGGCGATTCGGACGATACCGGTGTTGCTGGAGGAATGACATATCCATCGTCCTTGGCCTTGCCTTTCTTCCGAAAGACGTTCATGATTGTAAGATGGAATTGTGACAGTTGAAGCGAGCGTAATGTACTGTTCACCTGTCAGATCAGCCGGATCCCTCACAACTGGGTTTGGACAGCTCATACAAGAACTAAAGGAGTGACTTGGTACAGGGTTGCTGGCGGCTTGTTATGATTCCATCGAGGAAAACGAGTGTCAGGAAGGTCGATTTCCCTAAGTATACGACAAGGCGCAATGGAGACCGTAAGGTTTGGTTGGAATATCACCACAGATCTGCGCTTGTAGGCACAAGATTGTCTGCCAGGACGATATTGTCCCAGTTGGACGCCCGAGTGGTAGGAACTTGACTAGGTGAGTTGTTTTCCAGATCTCTGCCTCCTCTTCACGCGTGGTATTCGCCGTACCTCGCAATTATGAACCTGGAATCCAACCGTAGCCTCGTCGAACACAGAAAGAGCCGCGGCGATCTCGACCGCTGCGTAGACTGGAAATCAACGTAGTTTTGATGTCTTAGGGACCGACGACCAGTTGGCTGAAGGAATAAGTCGAGTTCAACGACAAATGTGCACAGCTTAAGAGAATCGCGTCGCGACTATGGTCAGCATGAGCGAGAGATTTGATGCTCACTTTCCACCCGCCGAGCAAGGACAGGGATGAGGGTTCAATGGATGTGGCGCTCTGGTTCGAGGCGGCGGGAAAAGGCGGCGTTCCTATGTATGCAGGATGCGTGTGAACCTTAAGTGGCCGTGTGTTTTGAAGATCTTGACCTAGGATCGGGTGCTGAGGCGGGTCGCGACAAACGTTCTCGGAATGAAATAGAGGTCACAGCTAGACCAGCTGGCAGTCGAGGATAAAAGAAGCGAAAAAACAGGAAAAGCAGCCTTGAGGAACTTCGCTTCTCACGGCAGTCAGGCCCGTGGTAGAAAGTCTGTGTGCGTCTGTGTGCGTCTGTGTTCCTGGAGAGCGATGTAGTAGAAGGTGGAGCCAGTCCAACAGTTTGACAGATTTTGTGACCTCGGGCAGCCGATCAAGACGAGAGCATGCGGGTAGAAACAAGATTGAGCGGCGACGACCGAAACAGAGCCCGAGCCAGGCCTCCAGGATGAGAAGACGGCGACCCGTGGAAGGGGGAAAAGCAAAGCCCTTCAGGGCGCCGGTTCCATTGTGACGGTGTGTTTGAGAATGGAAGTGGGCTAACCGGAAAGCGAGAGGAGCCCCAGAGACGAGGCTAATCACACAGTGCGTGTCGCGGACGAGCTTGAGTGTGTCGGTGGACTCTGTGGAGATGGCAGATTGCGGATTGGGTGGGTATGATGGTCAATTTTGACAGATGTCAAACTCTGGTAGCGGAGTGTGGCCAAGCTTATATTGATATTACTTCTCCATACGTCTTGTACAGTATACACACACAGTCTGTGGCACGAGGAGGATTCTCGAGTGACAGTGTCGTACCGGCCGGTGGCAGGAAAGGAGGTTGAGGAGTTAGGGGTCATGCTGCTGCCGATGTGATAGGAGCTGACTCGAAGGACAATCCGTTACGCCGGTTACACAGTTGACGGAGCAATCAAGGAGCAGGCGAGCATCTTCAGGCATCGAGTGGTTCGCTTCTCGCGGATTCCCTCGTGGACTTTGGTTCCGGGGAGCGGCAAGCCCATGGCTTCGACGTGTGGCTGGAAAATCGACGCCAGCGGAAGCGGAAACGGGAATGGGAAAGCCATCCAGGAGATGGTATCGACAGGGGTGGCGGGAAAAGCGAGCCTGGCGTCCAGGGCAGCCGACGGGAAATAGAACAGATCGTCCTAGCGTGTTGCAGATTGTGTGATAGCCGCTCGTTGCTGCAGCTGAGGGCGACGACTCGGAGGGTATGCAGTAGTAGGGCGCAGGATAGAGAGGTGACATAGTCTGGAGTCTGTACCTGGGTACCTGGCAAAGCGGCACAGCATCTTCAGTCTCTCGTGTAGCTGGTACCACCGCAAGTAGACAACCAGATTCGGTGCCTGACGCTCCGGCCGACCCGTGGAGACCAATACTCCAGATGTTAAGGACTTTGAGCTTGGTGGCTGCACAATGTACGGCCTGGTGGTGAGTCTGTGGTACAACACCCGCACTGCCGTATCACTATGGCTATCGTGTGTGCGGTACATGTTATCCAGGTAGGAGTCCTACTGCAGTGTACAATACTACCTCCAACCATCTACCGTGCATGCCACCAATGCTGCAGGGAACAGGGAGTATCCTACTAGTACTTGCTCCTGCGGCTCCTTGCTACCTGCTTTACCCATCCAAAGTGGTAACTTTGTATAACCCCAGCCCCTCAGGTACTTACGTGAATGGCATACCCGATTGCAGATTCTGGCCTGCTGTGTTTCTCGTGGTGGCTGCAAAGTGGCACACGGCAGTAAGTTCACGGTAAGGTACCCAGCCTGTACTACAATTGTACCTAGGTAGGTACCTTAGTTACCCGTACCTGCCTTAACCCCCCTCCGCTCGGAGGATTCAGCAGCCACCACGTCACAAACACGATCGCCTTCTGCAGCAGCAACCACACGTTTCTTCCATCGCCTCTGCTCACGCACTGCAGTATACCTTAAGGTAGGGCACTCAACTCAGGTCTGTAAAAGGAGTGCCGTGCGTGCAGTGTCTGAAAAGTGCAGGATTCGAAACACCAACACCAAAGAGAAGCATGTGCCGTCCATTCTGATTGGCTGCACAGCAGAATATAGCGAGTATAGTGCCCTGGCCAGGCGGCAGCTGCCAATCCTGCACCGTTAGAGTGGCGTCTACGGCAGGCGGGAACAACCTTAATCCATGTCAGGGTGCAACGACCGGCGAATGAGAGGCGACATGTCTGGGCTCCCAGAGATGGCTAGCGCACTGCTGAAATTGTTGCCGCCCACTTGATGCGCCGCTCTCCACTGCATGTTCATGTTTTGTGATTAAAGCCAATTTAATTTTCGGTTTCGCTCCTAATCTCAGGCAGCTTTTCTTCCCGGCGATTGGATGCCTGATGCTTTCTCCGGAGCTCATCTTAGCCTTTGTGTCCAATCAGGGCAATACCTCCCCAGCATACACACGGTTTTTGAGAGCAATGTGTTCAATCGTCACAACGAGTATACTGCACACGGGCCTGCTATATCATTACTGTTATCAAGGTGCCTCGAGCTATACTAATGATATCTAAGCATAACTATAGTGGCCATAATGTGAGCCCTACTAGTACCCAACAGCGACTCACTCTGTCCGCGATCTCGAGGCTATGGCCTGCAGTGATTATCAGCTCTGTTGACGTAAGGTTGTAAACAAGTCGCGTGGTGCGACGCGTCGGGAAGATGACTTCAATTTCCAGCCGTCCACCATCGATCCAGGCGCGTCTTTCTAGTGCGGGCGCAATCTTTCTCGTCTTTTTGCTTCAAACGTAAGGTGGTGCAATCTCACTAATGCCTTGAGTCTGATTGCGGTGGTTAGAGCTTCAAACCCTATTCCGCACAAGACGCAACCATCCACCCCGCTTATGCTGTCATCTTGTCAAGGGATCCAGGCGGTGCTCAATCTCATCATACTACTCTAACGCTTTACACCACGAGCTTCGCCTCCACGTTCGCAGCCTCGAACATCCGAAGCTCGCTCGCCAAACCGCCGATATGTTCGGATTTCGGCAGCCCTTGCTTGAGGCTGCGCTTCCGCATTGCCTGGCGCATTGATTTTTCCCGTGCGGCAATTATAAAAAAGCTGCTATCAATTATAGCACCGCCGATCAGGTCATAGTTGGACGGTTTAAGCGAGCAAAAGATCTGGGGTGTCATATATGATAGGCTGGTTCGGTCTCAAAAGCTCGTCAAGAGAATCCTTTGCCATGCTTTTCGCGCATCTTGTGTCCCCTGCCTGTGCATGCATATTGCGACATGGTTGTAGACGCAGTTTAGCTCCACGTTTTAAATCAGCTGGTATGCTGACCATTTCTATATTTGTTCCCATGCAGTATTGACTTCGGCGTGGAGATCACGATCCTCCTTCTTCCAGGCCAGAGGATGGTGAATGCCGAGCCCTGTCCCTCGAGCCTCCATGTCACTGGCCGCTATCCTACACTCACCTGATGGTGTACTTCCCCTTCGTTTGTGGTAGGAAGCTTGGAGCATTTGTCGCCCAAAGCTATTCTCCATATTCGAAGGCATGGTAGTTTCCGGCTGGGGGTCGTGCTGTCGGTAGTCTTCTGCACAGAGGCTTGGAAGATACGCCAGTGTTTCATGTCAGGCCATGGTCACTGTACGATGCTCAACAGATATTGCTCTTGTGAATCCCTGAAACAAAGTTCAGGCTCAGGTTACAAGCACCTTTGGCCGAATGTATTCGTCTTTTCTTTTCTGGCCCTGACCGACATTACTAATCTCCTGGCACGTCCTTGTCGACAATCCTCTTGCTGTAGCATACTACACGGTAGTAGTACCGTTAGGTGTTGATTGAAGTGAACTTGGTTATGTACGCTCGAAGTGACAGTGGCAGCAACCTTTACCTTCCTACAGTATACCAAGGTAGTAGTCCTCATTGTCCCCATGGAAGATAAAGACGTCCGGTCTGCTGCAGCCTGAGCTTATCAAGAGGGCGCAGGCGCAGGCAGCCTGACGATACGGGCGATAGATAATCCGATGCGACAACCCATTCTAACTGGCCGGCAGCGCTTGGCGAGGCTGTAGCATTGATCTCAGCCTTCCCGTGCGAATGCGGAGAAGTTTACGACTGCGATGCTCTCCAACAAATGGAAAGTTGATTCGCTAATTGTCGCCAAACCACGAATTTCTTCTGTCCTGCGACAAGAGACTCACTCATTCGCAATTGTTGCGCTCAGCTCTAAACTGTACTCAGGCGGTATCATTACGGTGCACGCCGCTTAGGTGAAAGCAGTAGTGTCGTCGCCCTCTCTTCCGTCTATCTGCGACAGTTCTATTGTCCTCTTTTGCTCTTCTCACCTCAACCCACTTCTCCATGGTCCGCGGCCGGTGCTCTTCTGCGCCCTCTTCCCTTCAACATGCCTCCCAAACCCTCTAGTGACCGAGCGGCCAAGAAACCCTCTGGTCGAATGATTCAGCCGGCCTTGCCGATCTTACCAGGACGTCCTGGCGCGAAAGCGAACAAAAAGCAGTCTATCCCACCGCAAGAGACACCCAAGATCGGTGAACGTTCCCCGGAGCACACTGTCGCAACCCACAACCCGGGCGCAATTGAGAACGATACCACTGGCGACACACCGCAACTCACCGGCGCTCCTGAGGATGTCTCTCATACTGAGAAGCCTTCTGCGTCTACCAGTAAGTCACATTCTGTTCACTTGAAGCTCACTTGACTAATGACTTAAGGCTCACCTGCGATCGCATCTGAACCCGCCTCCCCTCCCCCACCTCCTCAAGCACCAACATCTGTTCAAGGCGACGAAGTTGATGTTGATGAGAAACAAACTGCTGTAGCAGATAACTCCGAGACAGTTGCCAATACCATGGTTGAGGTCAGCACACTGGCCGCTTTGGAGACGAGCAGCAGCCCAGCCAACAGTGAGCGTACACACGACCAGGCTGTGGCCCCTGATATGGCTCCCACCGAGTTCAATGTCCCCGGTCCTCGTCGACACAGTTCGTCATTTGGAAGTAGCAGCGTCACCATGGGAGAAGACACTCGTCGTGTCTTATCTGGCCCTGGTCCAGCAGTGGCCACGACACCTCCTGCCAGCATGCCACCGTCTCATGAAGTTGTCAACGGAAACCAGCCGTTCATGACAACTCCCCCTGGTGGTTCAGCCGCAGCAGGTCCACAAGCCCATACCGAGTATGAGGCAGCGCAAGCATCGCAAGCATCTGTGTCGTCGGCATCGCCGTTTGACCAGAGCGCCAATGGCTTTCCTCCCCAAATGGCCGCATTCACACCGAGTCAACGAACTCCTGTTCCCGTTCCAAGACAGTTCAACCCTCTGGTTCCTCTCATTGATCACTTGATCTCCATTGCGGCGACCAAAGAGGGCTCTGACTGGGCTCTTCAAATCAACTCACCCGATGGACAACCATTTGTTACATTCGGTCATTCTGTCATTCTCAACCGCAGCCTGCGCCTGCGCAAACTGATGGATCGCCAAAAGTCCAACACTTATGCTGTTCATATGATCAACTTGTTCCCTGCCCGCCCGATTGTGCCGCACGCATTCGAGGCTGCGCTGCGATTCCTCTACTCGGATACCGTGCTGTCAGACAACTTCTTCGCCAACATCCTACCGGGCCCGGACTATCACGCCACGAGACTTCAAAATCTGGACTACATCTTGTCATACTGGGTTTCTGGTATCGAGCTTGGCCTCGAACCAGTTTCCGTGTGCGCGGAGAGACTCCTGGTCAGTGTCCTGAAATGGGACATACTCGAGGCCACTTACAAGCATGCCATCGAGCTAGCAAATTCACCCATGTCCCAGGTTGGCAAGAACATGACAGGCACGGACTATCTGATCGCTAGCAACGCGGTAGTCCGCCTGGTCCTGTCGTACCTGGCCAAGAACATCGACGTTGAAAAGTTCCAACTTGACCGCCACAGCCCTTCCAATGTCTTCCCGCCGCGTCTGCCACCCCTGGACGAGGGTCGTCCAAGATTCAATCCCGCATTGGCGTCCATGGTCTTTGGATCTATGCCGTCGTCGTCGTCTTCGTTCGACTTCACTCCTTCTCCCGGACCCGACTCTGAGCCGATGAACCAGGGCCGCAACCCGACCTTCGCAGACACCGTGGCCTCAAACATACTGTTGAACGTCGATTTCGAGAACCTCAACCTGTTCAACGAGCTCATTCGTCAACGTGCCGGTGCAGCAGGCGTTCAGATCATGGCTGCCATCGTGGAAGAGCGTGAGCAACGTCGTCTGAAATGTTTCCATGCGGAACACATCGGAAACGCCGAGCGCATGGCCCGGTCGACTCTCTGGGAACCCGTGGGACTGAAGGAGTCTCTGAACGGCATTGTTCTTTCCCGCGAACACGTGGGCTTTCTGTTGCCTTCCAATAAGCCACCGGGTTCAAGCTCCATGCGTTCCGACAGTACTAGTACTGGTACTGCTTGAGATTGGTCACCAGACTTACGACATGACATGATTATGTTACGGACAGACATGGCATGACATAGCATGGTATGGCACGGCACGGCACGATTCGACACACGTTAGGATACACCCACCGGATGGTCATGTCATGACGGAGATATCACTTGCTGTCCAGTGAGCAACAAAAGCGAAACCCAAAAGATCTCAAGTTATGAGTCCGACTCCAAGTTTCCAGAGAATGAGCGAGCGATTTTCCAGCAGGCGAGCCTTGTGTGTGATTTTACAGTTTTTCCCCCTTGATTTTGCTTTTTTTTCCTGATGTGAAGTTTCAAAAGAGGACAGCACAGCACAGCTATGGCGATGGTGAACAGCAATTGCATGCAATGGGTTGTTATGGTACGGCATGGCATGGCGCATGAACATGGGCTTGGGAGCTACTGTTACCGGACTGGACATGGAGAACTGGAGAACTGGCGCAAACAGGAAAAGCTGTTGGGGTTTCTTTTCTTCTTTTTCTTCAATCAATAAGCCCAGGGTCCCTCAGGCTTTAGCTGGATGGCTGGGAGTTGAACGGTGTTGATAAGAAACCTACCTTAAAATAGGTACTCTAATGAATGGTTGTGTAATTTGGCCGATCGATCTGGTTTGGGTTTTGCTTTGCTTTGCTGCGGCTCATGGGTGAAAGGACTTGACTTGACTTGTCGTAACTGCCCTCGTAACATTGTGGGCGGCTTACTCGCTGCTTGCTTATTTCTTCAAGTGTATGATGTGTCTGTGTCCTCAGTTCTCAAACTTGAAGGGTAGATAGGTACCTTAGGTCCAGTAGGGTACCTTAGGGTGACTGCCAGTGATGATGCAGTCAGTATGTCAATCAATGAGCACGCCCAGTTGTTACCAGACGCGGCGTCCAAGACCACCTACCTGCCTACCTACCTACCTCTTTTTTTACTTTCACCACCTACTAGTACCTGGGCATGGCTACCTTATACTACTTGTACATGCTTTCATGCAATGAGTGAAGGACTGGAACTCACTTACACAAATCCTTACCAATCTGGCTTGACGTGACGCTGGATTGGAACGGAGCTTCTCAGCGTACGCCGATATTGAGTCAAAGTTTGAAAATCGAACAAGGTTGAAGTTGGCATTGGACAAAAAGAGAATTGAATTATCCATTTCACGAGAAATCATCATTTCGAGCCTGGCGACCCTTTTTCTTTTTGAACTTTCGTCTTTGACAGCTGTGGTGACACAATGAAACATAATATCTTTACTCAATCCCAGCTTGTATCAATATCAAAAATGACAAGGACTCGGATTGCTGTTGAATTGCCATGCTGGTACTTTTAAAATAAATGCTGCTGCTACTAGCACCGACTTAAAATCTGCTGCTGCTCTCCTGCAAAGTGACTCAAATTCAAATTCATTATTGATGCTGATTCCTTTATTCTTCCAGACTCTGGGAATGTTGAACTCCCTTTGCTGTGTCTGTCATAGTACCTATTTAACATACCGACTTGTGTCCCCCAATCGGACCACGCAGTGCGAGCTCAAGGCAGATGATGAATGCCCACGCTATAGCGATAATAATAATAATAATAATAGTTCCAGGTCAAATCACACAAGGTGTCATTGACCGAGGAGGTCACGCAAAGCCTCGCGAGAGACAGATATCCATGTCCCACGCACCATGTACTGTACCAGTATCATGTCACAGAGTCATGTCCCAGCGACAATACCACATGTCGGTACCATATCCCAGGTATACCAGGTACACCACCCACTTCGCTCAACTCAGTAGAATCCCTCGGTACCTTACTCAAGTCGGCATCGGCGCTTGCGACCCAGTAATCCCCTCCTCTTCATACCCCTCGACCGGCGTACACGTACAAAACAAATTAGTATCACCATACGCATCATCCACCCTTGCAACACTAGGCCAGAACTTCTTCTCCTTCAGCCACGGGAGAGGATAAGCGGCTTGTTCACGGGAATACGGACGATCCCAATTGTCCCTTGTCAAATCGACCATAGGGTGAGGCGACATTTTGAGCACGTTGCCTTCACGGGGCACCTGGCCATCTTCAATGGCCTGGATCTCCTTGCGGATTTGGATGAGTGCGTCGCAGAACCGATCGAGTTCGTCTTTCGATTCCGACTCGGTCGGTTCGATCATGAGCGTATTGGCCACGGGCCAACTCATGGTGGGCGCATGGAAGCCGTAATCTTGAAGACGTTTCGCAATGTCGACGGCCTCGATGCCCGCCGTCTCCTTGAACTTGCGCGTGTCCAAGATAAACTCGTGCGCGCACCGTCCATTGGCATTCGTGTACATGATGGGATAGTGTGGTCGAAGTCGTGACATGATATAGTTGGCATTGAGCAGCGCAATCTCGGTCCCGTGTTTGAGTCCCGCGCTACCCATCAGCTGGATGTACGCGTAACTGATCGGGAGGATCGACGCGCTGCCCCAGGGCGCCGAACTGACGGGCGAAATCGCCGTCGTCGCTCGATTCTCCCCGCCGGGGTGAGGATCGACGTGAGGATGCATGGGAAGGAATGGCCGCAAATGTTCTTTCACCGCGATCGGTCCCACGCCGGGACCACCGCCGCCGTGGGGAATACAGAATGTCTTGTGGAGGTTGAGATGGCACACGTCGGCACCGATCTCGCCAGGACTGCATAGGCCAATTTGTGCGTTGAGGTTGGCTCCGTCCATGTAGACCTGACCTCCATGCTCGTGGACAATCTTGCACACTTCCCTAATACCCGGTTCAAACACTCCAAATGTGCTGGGATATGTGACCATGATGGCGGCCAGTTCGTCCTTGTGCTTTTCGCATTTCTCCTTCAAGTCCTTGAGATCGAGATTGCCGGTTTTGGTGTCGCATTTCAACGGGACAACCTTCATCCCTGCCATAGCAGCGGATGCAGGATTAGTCCCGTGGGCCGAAACTGGAATGAGACAAATGTTCCTCTTCTTTGACGGGTCCTTGGTGTCGAGGTATTTCTTGATCACTCGCAGGCCGGCGAATTCTCCCTGGGCGCCCGAGTTGGGCTGCAGACTGACCTCATGCATGCCGGTAATGGCCACCAGAGAATCCGACAACCGTTTGATCAATTTCTTGTAACCCTGAGCGAGATGGATAGGGGTGAATGGATGGATTTTGGAGAATCCCGGGTATGAAACAGGCAACATCTCCGTCGTGCCGTTCAGCTTCATCGTGCATGAACCCAGCGGTATCATCGAATGCACTAGCGACAAATCTTTCGACTGTAGGTGATGGATGTACCTAAGCAGTTGGGTTTCCGAATGATGCTGGTTGAAAACCGGATGAGTCAAGTAAGGGGTCTGCCGCTGCAAATCTTGAGGCAGACTGTCATCGTTGACCTTTTTGATAATCTCGGAATCAGAAAAGGCGGCAACGTATTCGTCGCTCTGCACCCCAAAGCATTGCAGCAATTTCGAAAGACTCGTGCTGGTGACCGTCTCGTCAAGCGAAAACCCAAGCCTTGGTACTTTGCCCGTACCACCAGGGACACTGGTCCGGAGAAGGACGTCGCTCTCCTTGGCATGTCGCAAGATTTCCTCATATTGCTTCACACTGCGAGGCTCCACGACCACGGTATCGAACAGCACGGCACCATCATCGCGCACACCTTGATTGACCACTTTCAGCCCTTTCTTCTCAAGCATTGCCTGGGCGAACTTGGCCATGGCCCAGATCCGCTTGGCAATCTTCTTGAGTCCATGAGGTCCATGGTAAATGGCGTAGAAGGCGCTCATGTTCGCCAGGAGGGCTTGAGCGGTGCAGATATTGCTGGTGGCCTTTTCTCTGCGGATATGCTGCTCGCGCGTCTGCAATGCCAACCGAAGAGCCTGTTTCCCCAGACGGTCTTTCGACACTCCTACCAGACGACCCGGGATTTTTCGTTTGTGTTTCTCACTACAAGCGAAGAAGGCAGCGTGAGGCCCACCATAACCCAAAGGCACACCGAACCGCTGGGCATTTCCAAAGGCCACGTCGGCCCCAAAGTCACCGGGCGCTTTGAGAAGAGTCAGGGCAAGCAAATCGGTGGCCACACAGAAAGTAGCCTCAGCAGCATGGACTGTATCCGACAGTTTTTGCAAATTGTGAACTCCTCCAGTGGTGTCTGGATATTGAGCCAAAACACCCATCAAGTTTGCACCCTGGTCCTTGACGAGCTTGAAATCTTCCTCAAGAATATCCCCAACAACGACGTTGATGCCGAAGCCCGATGCCCGGGATTCAAGCACGGCAATTGTTTGCGGGTGGACAAGGTGTGAAACCACAAACGTCTTTCCTGGCTTCTTCTGGCGAGACATGGGGAGCGCATTCATTGACAGAGTCATGGCCTCTGCGGCAGCCGTCCCTTCATCCAAAACAGAAGCATTGGCAATCGCCAGACCAGTCAAGTCAGTCACGAGAGTCTGGAAATTCAACAACGACTCCAAACGGCCCTGGCTGATCTCCGCTTGGTAAGGCGTGTAGCTTGTATACCAGGCGGGGCTTTCGAGGACGTTTCTTTGAATCACGGTCGGGGTGTTTGTGCCATAGTACCCTGCTCCGATAAAAGTAGTGTAGTTTTTGTTCTCGTGTGCAAGGGTGAGCAATTCCCTCTCAATGCCCACCTCGTGAACGCCCTGCACGTTGCCCTTTTTGAACGCATTCTGCAACCGCAGTTCCCCTTCGGTCAGAATGTCGGGAGGCAGAGTCTGGCGGATGAAATCGTTCAGGTCTTTTGCAGGCGGGTCGAGAGCCTTCACCATCTGCACCTCGTCCTCGGGTGAGGGGCCGATGTGGCGTTGGCTGAAGAACTCATCTCGCTGGAGAAACACAGGGCCAGGTGTCCGTCGTGACTCGGAGGAGACGTGCTGCAACCGCCTCTGCTGGACGGAGAGACATCTCCTGCACAGTTGGAAAGGATTGATCCGTTGCGGAGGAGAGCGCAGCAATCGCGTAACTGGCAGAGAGGCACGAGGGCGCGCCACGGCCGGGGTAGACATGGTCGAAGACTTGATAGGGACAACTATAACGTCGACCTCATTGCCCGAATGTACCGTTTACAGGTATTCGACAACCTGCAAAGTCGACATCAAACAGAAGGAATTCAAGATGATGATTGTTGGTCTGCTGAGTTTCACAACGGCAGTGGGTCATTCTTGATTGATCTGGGGAGCGAAAAGTGGTCGGGGAGGGTCTGTCACGGTTCGCGTAAAAGCGCAGGCGAGAAGCGCCGGCGGACAAGTGGCCGCACATGCCGCCGATAACCTGATATGCCCGGAGCCACCCGCCAATAACATACGTTGTATCCGTTATGTAATCTACCCAGCTCGGTCAGACAGTCAACGTTGGGAGCGTCAATACTACCACAGTGTGACAGCAGGGAGTATGATACGGAGGTAGGCGCATCGTAGAGATATACGACTACCAGCTAGTGACGAGTTTGAACGACATACGCAATTTGCATTAACACCATATCCACGAGGCTGATATATATTGTGCAAATCTAGTCATATCGTGTACGCTCACAAGATCCTCGCTAATCAAATTAAAAGGCATAAGATCACTGCCCTTGGCTACCAGGGCTATATCTAAACCAAGAAAGCGACGCTGACCGTCGTATACTCAAACCGAGTAGGTGACACAAACATCTCACGTTACCAGCCTCGCCCTTTGATGATATCAGCAGCCTTCTCGCCCACAGCGTACAGCGAGGCCTGCAGATGAGCAGCCGGGATGATGGGTAAGATCGACGAGTCAATGACACTCAGTTTGCGTGTGCCGTACACCAGCAGATCAGGACCGACCACACCGCCAATCTTGCGGGGCATCATCGGGCACGTGCCACTGGGGTGAGCGAACGTCGGAGCCAGGGCGGGAGATCCAAAGGCAGTCCGGCCGGCCGCGAGGGCATTGAAGACCTCGTCCTGAGTCTGGTACTGCGGGCCGGGAATGGTCTCGACCGGGTTCAGCGACTTGACAGCATCGGTCGCCATGAGCTTGCGGGTGAACTCGACCATGGCATAGAGTTGCGACTTGTCGAATGGATTCTGGAAGGCGTAGTGGGTGACGACGGGCTCACCTCGCGGGTTGGTGGCGTTCAGATAGACCGTGCCGCGGGACAATGGCTTCTCAACCGCGTTGGGCATGCTGCCGGCGCCCGAGAACGGAAGTTCCAGCACAGCCACGGAGCCGGCCCCGAGTTGGTTGACCAAGATCTTACGCTGCGCAAGGTACCCGGCAAGAAGTTCCTTGTTGGCAGCATAGGCAGACGGCAAGTAGCTGGTGGCATCCTGCGCCGAGAGATCTGCCAGCAGCGAAGAAGTCTTGTCCGTGAGCATGGGGAGCGACAGGAAGCCCGTGCTGCTACCTTGGGCTTTGGTGAAAGGTCCCGTAAGGTGATACAGGTAGAGTGCCAATGCCTCTTGGTAGTAAGTCTGATTGGCAGTCAGGATGCCGGGGTAGGGGAAGGTGTTGGTCACTTTGTCAAGTCAGCACGCCGTTTCATACTAGAGGAGATGTCTGGGATGGAGCTTACAGTTCCAGTTGAGATAGGCGACGGGGTGATCTTGGAAGTTGCTTCCAACAGCAGGGAAGTCAAGCTTGACCTTGACCCCGGCAGCTTGCAGAACATCCTTGGGACCAATACCACTGAGCTGCAAGATCTGGGGAGTGTGCACGGCGCCGGCGGCTAGGATGACCTCCTTGTTCGCTCTGAACTGCACCTCCTTTCCTGTCTTGCGATTGATGGCCTTGACTCCCACCGCCTCGAGGGATCTGCTGTTCTTGAACAAAACTTCAGTGACTTGATGCTCCGTCAGCATGTTCAAGTTGCGGCGGCCGGACACGGGGTCGTAGTAGGCATTCAAAGACGAGGACCGCGTCTTTTTCTTGGGGTCCAAGGATGCGGGAGTCCAGAAGTAGCCCACTGCATTGCCTGCGGCATGTTCCTTGACCCAGGGGATGTTGAGCTCCGCAAAGGCGTCGAAGAACGGATCTGCATCGTGTCAGTACAGACCATATAGCTATGAGGTAGGCCATTGTGCTTACAGTTGTCTGGGTACTGGAAGTCAGGAAAACTGGCCTGAAGAGGTCCGTTTCCGTACGCCGACTCGTCCCAACTGTAGTTGTACTTGGCCTGGATCTCTGGGGTGGGTGGCGTGAAGTCGGTGCTCTGACACCGTTAATGCTGTGACCTGGTCAGGTGTTGGAGGTCTTACTACTCTACCTTCTTGAAGTAAGGAAAAAGCCCCTTCCATCCCCAGCCGGGGTTGCCCAATTGCTCCCACGAGTCATAATCGGCAGCGGAAGCCCGATCAAGCTCCATACCGTTGACCGTGCTGCCACCGCCAGGGACCGAGCCCGCTCTGACAGAGTATCTCTGGCCTCCCATTGCGGGTTCCGGCGCGCTCGTGATGTTGAACATGTCCGCCAAATTCAACGACTGGGCGTTGACCGGCCATAGAGTCTTGTTGCTTCGATCAAATGGACCATACTCGAGCACGAGGACCGAGCCTTGGGGAGATCAGTGACTGCGCATCAACTCGACCAGCTTGAAGACTTACTTCTGCCGTTCTCAGACAGACGGTTGGCAGCAACCAGGCCTGTCAGACCTCCCCCAACGATGATATAGTCATAGCACTGGGCGGAACTGCTCAATCCTGAATAGTCGCCACCGTCGGCGCTGTCGGCGCTGGCAGCATCGGCGGTGTCTCGTGGCAAGACAGATGCCACGGCGAGGGTGCCATAAACCAGGAGGGAGGCCCACGCGGGCGTGAGCCCGGAACGCAAGGAAGCAAACATGGAAGCGAATGACAACAAGCTTCAAAACGAGTGACTAGAAGCAAGTTGGAAGGGAAGTGGAAAGCAAGCAGCTTCTGGAGAGGGCGACCAAGGGAAACATAAATACTGAAGCTCCAGATGAGGACGTCAACAGACCCCGTTCTGGAATCTCAATGTAGCCATGTGTCTACCCCATTGCTGGACACTATGCTATCTCATGGCTGTTCAAGCGAAATTGATCATTTTGTCTGTGTATTGGAGGGGCGACCCATCGTGGAGAACCGTTAGACAGAAATAGTGTGCCCAGCACCGTGCAGGGCAGAAGAGGATCCAGACGACATCCATCCTTCGGGGTCAGTAGCTCAGTCGGATGTTTGGAGTGTAACGGTGCCCAGGATGCATTCAGGCACATTTCATTCCCAATGCACGCCCATCTATGTGGCAGGAACTGCTTCTTTCCCGGAGGATACCGCAATGGCTGGTGTTCCTGGCGAGAACCTTCAACAGGGCATAATGGGGAAACCGCCCGAAGTGGGTATTTCGCGCAGAGCCAGCTCTCCAGTACGCCAGCACGCCAGGCTCACAAAACACTCACGGTTCATTCCGGAGCCGGCTTGGTCGTTGTGAAATCGAAACGAGATCCCAGGCGCACAGGGCATGGGCATGGCCTGTCGCAATTGCTCTAACCCAGGTGAGTAGTTGGCCCAGTAGTGGGTTTGGAGAATTTGAAGTGGTTCCCACCTTTCCTTTTCAAGGCGGGATTGACAGTTTGTTTTCCAAGCCTGGTCCAGTCGCCGAACGCAAGGCTGCGGTTGGTTCTGGGCAAAGACCGGTGGTGTTAGAGTGCGCAAGAGGGCAGCCGGACTCTTTCCTACGCTGAAGCCACTATTCACTGGCACCGTTGAACCATTCCCCGGACGTGCTCTAACCAGTTGCAGAGTATGGTCCATGACAGAGAGAAAGAAAATCTTGTCCCGACGGTAAGCTTAGGGAGCCCCCCTTTGACAGGCGAGCATCCGTCGTACTGACGGGCATGATCAGTAGTGATCACCCGTCAGGAGAAGCGCCAGAGCATTTGAGTCTCCACTTGGTGCTCCTACAATATTGCTCGTGATTGTCTCGTCTGGGACTTCGCACAAGGGCACAGACTTGTCCGGGGAAGACAAGCTCTCTCTTGTCAGCTACTGGAGGATTCCCAGGCCGGCGGAGTCTCTGGCCATTGCACCGGCGTTGAGCTAGGAAGTTTTCATGTGCATCCGCTCATGGTCCCAAAAACTAGAGAATCTCTCACCAACTATGGGTCTCCTGCCAACGAGTCTCGCTTGTTGATATTGTGACCGGCCCTGCTGGGGACGATAGTGTCAGCGGGAAGGATGCGGCTCGTCACTTCTTGGAAGTAAGCAGGAGTGGTTCTCCAACGAGATACTCGGCGTTGAGCCTCGTTGGGTTTCGAGGTGGCCACAGAATGAGAGGAACAATGCTTAGGGTGGGTGGAATTTGCCATGCAAGAGGCTAATCCAGGTACCATCCAAGACTAGGGTGTCTGAACCCAGTGCTTCGGCTCTGCATTAGCCAACGTTGCAAGGTTTATGGCCACATTCTGGCTCAGCATGGCCGGCCAGGTCTCAACGCAACAGGCTGAGTTTTCTGCACCACCTCGTGTTCGAAGCATGCTACTGTTCCTCAAGCACGACTGACCCCTGCTGAGGCTCCGTGACCCTTTAGGGCAATACCGTCCTAAGAAGCCGTGTATATCAACCTCTTGGTATCCTGTCCCATGGGACTGGTACAGCCTCTTAGAAGTCCCCTTCAGGCGACAGACCAGGCACAGCAGCAGCAATGGATGCCATGGATAAGCCTGACCGTAGAGGGGAACTGATTGGGGTTTCGGTTCTCTTGACAACTTTCTCGGCGGTTTTTGTCCTCGCCCGCTGTTATGCCCGACTTTTCTCGACCCGGACCTTTGGCTGGGATGATGGCTGTATTTTCCTGTCGTTGGTGAGTCCAGCTCCTCGATGTGTCAATTCTCTTGTTTGTAAGAGACTAAATTGTGCTCCTTTCAAAGGCAGCATGTGTCGCAGGTGAAGGCTTGACGATTGCCTGTGCTACCCATGGGCTGGGCCTCACCATTTCAAGGGTCAATATCACCCACGATCTGCCCTTAATCCTCAAGTACACCCAGTTCGCGATCCTCTGCAACGCCATGGCGATGATGCTTATGAAGCTGGGGATTGGCCTTACACTGATTCGACTGCACTTGAGCAAGGCGTTCAACATGGTGGTCATTGCTTGCATCGTCCTCACCATCCTCGTCAACGGGGTGGCGGTTCCGGGCGTATTTGCAAGCTGCACGTAGGTTTTCCCTAGACTTCTAGGAATGCTCTCCACGAAGAGCAAGAAAGGCCAAAAGAAGGGGGCAGTGTTTGTTTTTTCATGCTTCATCAGCGGCTAACAGTAAGCGACAGCCCTTTGGCGAAAGAGTGGCACAAAAACCTCCCCGGAAAATGCTGGCCAAAGAGAGTGAATCTGGCCTTCTCTTATACCCAGACTGGTAAGCGTGTGACTTTGCAGCCACGATCGGCGAGACGCAGAAGCTGATGTAGAATAACAGTGGGCAACATCGTGACAGATCTGCTGTTCACTCTTGGACCACTGTTTTATCTGTCCAAGGTTAAGGTGTCCAAGTATAACAAATGGGCCTTGCGCAGTGTCTTTCTTATCGGCTTACTGTCAGTCATTTTTCCTTGCATATTTCCCCTTTACGCTGCAAGCCAGTGCTGACACAGAGCAAGAGCAACCGCATGTGCCATTGCCAAAGCGACCGAGTTGCCGAAAAATGAGAAGACCAAAGACCCGACACGTAAGTGCTGCTCATCCTACCTCAAAAGGCCGAGGGTTGTCTTTATATTCATGCTGACGGGCGACGCCAGTGGATACCGTGAATCTGACGATCTGGGTCAAGTAAGTCGACGTTCATCCCCTTTGCCTGCTCTGTCACCCCTAACATCGAGTCAATGTAGAGCCGAACTCGCCGCCGGACTGTTTGCCGCCTCCCTGCCTCCGCTTAAAGCCACCTTCGAACGGATCCTGACACAGGTATTCGGCATCCGTACGGGTTTGACTACGCCGTCTGCCACGCGTACCAAGGGTCATAGCTACGGAAACAGCCATACGTTTCGATCCGGCCGACGCGTGCCACCCGGTAGTGCAATGGGAACAGGCTTTGAAGACGACCTCCCCCACGGCTCCGCCATGTATGCGATGGATGACATGAAAAGGCGCGGCGATTCGGAAGAACACATCATGGAAGAAGATCAGAAGCACATCCTCCACCCGGGCAGTGTCAAGACAGGCAGTGGCAGTGACAACGTCGACGAGAATGGAGAGTGGATCACCAAGACGGTCGAGTTCACCGTGGCCGAGTCTCGATCCATCAAGGACGACCGAGTCTGAGTGCTTCGTCCCCGTTGTCACTTGTGTAGCCCTCATAGCGTGTTTTTCTGTGTACAGACTCCAGAGAACCAGCATGACGGCAACCAGCCCAGCAGCATCACAGCAAAAGGAGGCAACCGGTGTTTATGCCTTATGTACTATCAGAGAATGTCAGTTTTCAATGTATAGCGCAAATTTATGGTCTGTCTTTCTGCCAGTTCAAACCTTATGCTGTGAGAACCCGCTGCACGCCAATCTGATGCGACTCCAGAGTACGGTAACGGCTCAGCGATGGTACCTTTGTCAATGAGTTAATGATCGTGTGAAAGTTGAAGTATGTGTGTATTCATTGCCCTAGGGAACAGAAATTGTGTTTTTATCTACCTTACTCACAGCCCTACCTAAATTTTTCGGGTCGTAGCAGGCGCAGTTTGCCCGCCGCAGCTCCCTTCCCGGACAATAAGGCGACTACCTCGATCAAGGCGGGTAGCTGTATCTCTGTCTGAATGCCTTCACAGGGCTCGATCGGCGATGCAGTTGTCACATGAGCCATATAAACCTGACCGGTACACAACATGATATGAAAAAGAAATTGAGCGAAAACGGGCATCTGTGAATATTGTTCGTCTAAATAGTATACAAATCAGGTACTATGTAATCAGGTGGTTGTACAATGCTCGTAGTCCAACAGTACGCTCACTTCATTCTCCGCAAAACGAACAGGCAAAGTTAATCATTGCCTATGGACAACACCATGTGATCGAACATGACTTGCGCCATTACATACGTCCGCTCGAAGCATCAGGGTCGTTGGCATTAGCGAGAGTTTTAGTATCGATCATGTCCTAGTTAACATCGGTGTTAGCAACCTCGCCAGCACGGAATGAAGCATGTACCGCTACTCAGCACTTACGACCCAGTGGCTTGGCTCTCTTGGAGATGTCTTTGGCATTCTGCTGCTTGATCTTTGCCAAACGGGCCCTGAATTGCGAGAAAAAGGTCAGCTTTGGATCATTGCACTGCGGCAAATGCCATGGTGATCAAGGGTATAACATACTCTTCAGCAGCCTCTTGCTCTAGAACCTTGACATGTTCCCGGGCATCTCGTACAGCGGCTCTGGCCTGGACCAGAGCACGGTCGGCTTCTTGCTCAGCTCGCTCTGCCTGAGCAACTCGTTGGCGTGCATCCACAATCGACGGATCCTCCACGCTGTGTCGGTTGAACAGACCCCCTGAGGTCCGCTTGCCGGTGGTGTTGGACCGTTGCGGGTTGTGCATGTCGGACGACGAGGAGCGGCGACGGCTGCCGAAGAGGCCTCGCGATCCGCTGGCACTGGCGTCGGAGGACGATGTCGAGTGTCGAGTGCGAGCAGTATTCGGAGTGGGCTCGACTGGAGCGTTGTTCTTGTGTCCAAAGAGAGGCATTGTGAATGGTGTTCGTGGTCAATGATATGGCACTCTGATGTGATTGGTTGTACAGGTAGTTTAACAGTGTTGCAGGGATTGTTTGTTCTCGGCGAGGTAAATGATGTTGCTGTCTAGGAATGCTGGACGAAAAGCTGATCCCAAAGCCAGCAGATCAAGGGTACTTATCTATTCATGGTGGCAGCCGTGGTGGTGGTACTGTGTCGTGCCCTGAATCCGGTTTCTGTGCGGTCTGAGGGTGACGTAGCATCCAAGCCGCGAAGGACGAGGCTCGACACGATCGTCAGCCTTGCTTGGGCCATAACAACATGTCAGATGACGCCACATGCTTGAGAGAGCTGGCGGTTGGACCAGCAGAAATCATCCACCGCCTGGACCCTGGCATGTTTGACATGGGTTCAGCAGACTGCCCGGCGCAGACAAACCTGTCAGAGCCTGGCCGATGCTGCGGTCGACCAGATCGATCGCAGCCATACTGTACCTACATAATAGGAGGTAAGGCGGGCGATGATGATCAGGTGGCTGATTTAAGCGGCCGTGTTCGTATTCGGCCTTTGCCCATACGCGGCCCTTGCTCATGACAGGGGATACCGGACATTGTTTCATCGATTGCAGCGAGATATGTTTAAGAGATAAACTTGAAGGGGGCGGAACACGGTGGATATAATATGCCAGCGTGGAGAAGGGTTTCGCACCACGGTAACAACCGCCCGTTCCGCAGTTTTGCCCCAACTGGCTCCGTCATGCATTTACACACAGACCATCGCGTATGTCATTGAGGGACTCGAGGGACACCTGGGCACGTCTGCGTCCGAATTGATACGTTTAACAATTCATTCTCTCTGTTCTTGAGAAGTAATCATACAGTAGACAGTTATCTTGCAGTGGCGGTAGTAGCACCTTCAGTCCCAGCCGACCGATGAATGACCCGACCTCGCACTTCATTCGGCCTTCCAGTCCTCTCTTGTCAAGAAGGCACTTCCCACCAAGCCACAAGCTGACAAGCATCACGACCCAAAAGAGTCCTCAATCAATCTGTGCTCCTGGCGCACATGCAAACAATAGTTAAGCGGAAGCAGGCCTGTCCTTTGCGCCAATGCTGATCTCCATGCTTGAAAACGTTACCTCCAACACCGACCGCCAGCAAAGCAAACCCGTCCAGAACGCTAGACTGTGGACAAAAGAGACCCTACTGTGGCCTCAAGCCTTTGCAATCCATCCGCTGTGGATCATAAAGTCAAAAATGCGGTTAGCCTTATTGACATCGATCTGGAGAAAGTGTTAGTGGCCAGCTGTCATGCAAAAAGCTTGTGGAAATTACTTACCCGACAGACTCCACGGGCTTCTTTCTTCTTCATGTGACCACCTTGCTTCATCGCCTCTTTCAATAGGCCTTCCTTGAGTGCAAGGTATGGTTTAGGACGGATGTGAAGAGCATTGCAGAGTTGGATTTCTTCTTCGCTGAGAAGCTGCAGATCCGGGGCCAGTGATTTGTCTTCCTCCAATTTCCAGGGCGTGACTCCGTTCAATGGCTGCACAACATAACGCTGTTTGGGCTTGGGGCCAGAAGTGCTGTCGGGACCATTTGCTTCGGCAAAGAGCTTGTCGAAATCGTTCTGAACGACCGGCTGGCTGTCGGCAAACTGCGGAACGGTCTTTGGCTTGCGTTGGAAGCGTAGAGGCAATTCAGGCGCTGTCAGTTTCGAGGCTTCAGTGGGTAATTCGGCTTGTTGAACCTGACTGCCCTTCTTAGGAATCTGTGGCATGCGGTCAAATTGGCCTTGAGGCTGGTTGCGTTGTGCACGGGCTTGTTTGTCGGCTTCATACTTCTCGCCACCTTTCAGATCGGTGATACCCATCTGCTTCCACTCCTGTAATTGAGATATGGCAATTCGCAGATTATGCTCGTGCAGGAGGTCTCTGTTAAAGGCCTCGAAATCCTCATGGTTCATCATGCGTGCAAAGGGCTTAGCTTTGTGCAAGAGATCCTTTTCCTCCTTGGTTCTCTTCTTGTCGATCAATTGATTCTTCTTGTAGTCAAGGAGGTTGTGCTCGAAGATGATCCGCTTGCGCTCGGTACGTGCCTTGAGTCTGGAGTTGTAGATGTCGAAGACGGTCATCTTGAGTGCGGTCTCTTCGTCCATTTCACCCGTCACTGGATCAATGCCATCACCCGGCTCGAATGACATGTGCTGAACCGCTTCTTCGGCATCGTTTGCGAATTCGGTTTCAAACTCCAATCGCCCAGGCATGAAACCCTGCACTTCGTGACATGCGGGCACGCTGGCAGTTGGCTTTTGCTTGGGGGTGGCAGGTGGAGCAGATTTGGCTGCTTCCTTTCGTTCTTCAATACGTCGCTTCTTCCGAGCCTGGAATTCATCCTTGGGGATTCTTTCGAAAAGTCTCGTGTCCTTCGGATCGGCTAGTTCAGGTAAGGGAAACAAGGAACTATTGATGTATGTGTTGATGTAGTGGTCGCGCACTTCATCCTTCTCGCGATACCCGCCGATGTGCTCCGCAACGTCAGCCCAGGATCCGAGACCATATCTCTCCGAGCCTTCGAGCAAAAGCAATTCTTCATCGGCACCCCAGTCTTCGGTGTAGATGGGGATTGAGTTCTGTTCGACCACGTGGTATTCGTGAGTGCGAGGATCATGATTCTTCGAGTGCTCGCCGCGCGCAAAGCATGGTACACACAAGTCGTAGTCACGGCATGCGGGATTGGCGCAAGAGATGCGGACAGTGGAGGTTATGTCGATCGAGCAGACGTCGCAATGGTATTTGGTGCCGCCATCACCGCCCCGAGAGGCTGCGTTCTTTCTTATGACACCCATGGTTTTCTCGCTGTGATCATGTTCCGCTATTTCAGAGTTGGAGGACAAGTGCTGCGCGTAGTCATGGGGTACAGCCGCGTTATCGGCCTCCGAGTCAGCAGGTGGGTCTCGCGGAGGACGGGACGCAGAGGACTTGTTGCCGGACTCAGGGTTGGAAGCGTTGTTAGGCAGGGTTTTGCGAGATCCTCTGGCAAAAGATCTGGTAACTCTTCGAGTTTCGGGTACCGGGGGCTGAGGACGTGTACGCAAGGAACGTCGAAGAGCGGGTGAAGCAGATCTGATGGCTGGCGAAGGCGAAGGCGATGATGGCAAGGATGAACCACTGGCACTGGGAGCGCCACCAGAAGCGCGTCTTGGCGACTCGGAGTCTGAGGGTGGAGGCCCGACTCGAAGTCGAATGCGAGTTGGCCCTGCCATGATGCACGTGATGTGAGTGGTTCACCGTAGGAGGGATCCACGTGATCTGTAGGATTTGGACTGCACGTGATGTGAGTGATGGAAAAGAATCACGTGGGCGGTTCAAGATGTGATTGCACGTGATGGTAAGTGGGAAGCAGGACCCTGAATTTCGGCTGGGTAAAATATGGTCCACCGTTGTGCCAAGACAAAATTACTGTGTAGGGCGATGCAAGTGCTCCTGCAAATGCAAAAGCCCGCCGCTGTTTCACGTTCAAGTTGTGGGTTTTGCCCAGCAGCCTGCGCCTGCACCTGCGCCTGCGCCCGCCGTTGCAACCGCTGCAACCTGCAACAACAGATCTTGACCGATCCTGTGCTGTGCACTCTGCTACTACTACTGCGGTGGAACTCCGTCACTCCCCTGCTACCACCACACCCAACCTAGACGATTCACATCCAACCTGGCTGTGCAACAAACAACACAGTCTTCCTGTCCTTCCACCTCGTTCACTCGTCCTCAAGATTCACCTCTCCTCGACCTTCTTGTTCCGCTCGGTTTCCTCTTGTCACCAACTACCCCTCCTTGAGTGTTGTCACCTACGACTTGAACTCCTGGTTGACCGTCTCCGCCACCGATCTTACCACCCCCTTGAGCCTCGGTGTCTTGCCTCCAGTGCTTCTTATCTTAACAGTGTCTTCCACTGTCTGCTGCCGCGTCGAAAGCCTCACTAAGTCTGGGGAAGCCGGTTCAAGATGTCGTGGAAATTGACAAAGAGTACGTTTTCCGGACGCCCTACTATCCTCAGTCGCGGGCAAGAGAAACCTCGATAGTATATCACTGCTGACACATGGCACAGAACTGAAGGAGACGCACCTGGCACCTTTGACGAGCGGGTTCAGTCGTTCGACATCTACGTCCACGATCAAAGGAGACGACTCTGCGTCTGCGCCCCCTACCCCTCAGGACGGACCCGAACTATCGACGACTACTAGCAATGTCAGCACCACATCAACCACCGCGAATGGCATTGGTAAGGGTAACATGGTTGTTTTTGATGGATGGGCACTGACTTGTACCAGCGGCCTCCGAAGCGCTCACTTCACCCCCGGTGCAAACCACTAAGCCGGGGATCCTGATAGTAACCTTGCACGAGGGAAGAGGGTTCTCACTGCCACAGCAATATCAGTCAGTATTCAACAACTACTATGGCTCTGGAGGTGCAGCAGGCTCCGTTCGACCGAGCTCATCCTATGCGTCTGGGTCAATGGCCGGCTCCTATGCACAACCGAACAGACCTGTGTCCACCCACGCTGGAATCAATGCCGCCCCTACGATTCACGGAAGATACAACAGCAAATACCTACCCTATGCCTTGCTGGATTTTGACAAGCTGCAAGTCTTTGTCGATGCGGTTTCAGGAACGCCGGAGAATCCGCTTTGGGCTGGCGACAATACCTCCTTCAAGTTCGACGTTTCGAGAGTGTGTGAACTCAGCATCCAGCTCTACTTGCGGAATCCGGCCGCCAGACCTGGTGTTGGCAGAAGCGAAGATATCTTCCTAGGCGGGGCCAGAGTCACGCCGAGATTTGAAGAGGCTCGTCAGTTTGTTCCCGACCCAAAAAAGAGTAAAAAGGAGAACGAAAAGGCCGAAGCTGCATTTGCCACACAGGAGAGACAAGCAGGCCAGCTTGGAACCGAGTGGCTGGATATTCAATTCGGGACAGGCTCGATCAAGGTGGGCGTGAACTACGTTGAGAACCGGAAAGGCAGTCTCAAGATCGACGACTTCGAGCTCTTGAAGGTGGTTGGGCGAGGCAGCTTCGGCAAGGTCATGCAGGTCATGAAGAAGGACACTGGCCGAATCTATGCGCTCAAGACGATCCGCAAGGCACACATCATTTCTCGCTCTGAAGTGGCTCACACCTTGGCCGAACGATCAGTACTGGCGCAAATCAACAATCCTTTCATCACACCTCTCAAGTTCTCCTTCCAGTCGCCGGACAAGCTCTATTTTGTCCTTGCCTTTGTCAATGGCGGCGAGCTATTCCACCATCTCCAGAAAGAACAGCGCTTCGACATCAACCGTTCCCGATTCTACACTGCGGAACTACTGTGTGCCTTGGAATGTCTTCATGGCTTCAAGGTTATTTACAGAGACTTGAAGCCAGAAAACATCCTCCTTGACTACACGGGTCATATCGCCCTGTGCGACTTTGGGTTGTGCAAATTGGACATGAAAGACGAAGATCGCACCAACACCTTTTGCGGCACACCCGAGTACTTGGCCCCCGAACTCCTGCTTGGCCACGGTTACACCAAGACTGTGGACTGGTGGACCCTGGGTGTCTTGCTTTATGAGATGCTCACGGGCTTGCCTCCGTTCTACGACGAGAACACCAACGAGATGTATCGTAAGATCCTGCAAGAGCCTCTGCACTTTCCCGGCCCTGAGATTGTCCCAGCCGCGGCGAAAGACTTGCTACAAAAGCTTCTTGACCGCAATCCGGAACGTCGTCTGGGAGCTGGTGGCGCAGCCGAGATCAAGGCACACCACTTCTTCGCTGGCATTGACTGGAGAAAACTGTTGCAGAGAAAGTATGAGCCTAGCTTCAAACCTAATGTGGTAAGTAGTGGACATGTTGTTTTGTTATGCGGCCTAGACTAACATTTCCTGCAGACTGATGCCCGAGATACCGACCAGTTCGATAAAGAATTCACCTCGGAGGTGCCAAAGGACTCTTACGTCGAAGGCCCCGCCTTGTCCCAAACCATGCAGCAGCAATTTGCGGGCTGGTCGTACAATCGACCTGTTGCTGGATTGGGTGATGCCGGCGGCAGTGTGAGGGATCCCGCATTCGACCGAATTCAATAGATACAGACAGAGAGTCTTCTTGATGAGCGATGAACTGCATGACGACGTGGCATTGACGGCAACGGCTGGTCCTGCTGGGGGCCCAAACACGAATGTGCTCTTGTATCGGGCTGGTACATAGCGTGACTGATTGATTACCTTGGTATCGTTTTGGTGAACTGAGCTTCGGGGAGTGTACAGCGCGTGGCTGATGGCGTTGAGCGGCGGTCTCTAGATACAGCAAATGAAATGCGGCAAAAGCAAAGCGTCCATGTTGCCTTTTCTAGGTCTTTCACTTTGTATAAGTTCGAGTGGTCGTGTAGAGTCTCTATCTTGATTTTCGCACTACTGTTAGCCGTCTTCTAGTGTGTAGGTGGTTGTCGCGCATGCAGGTAAGCAGCCCAGCCTGATATTGTGATAAGTGGCCTTTTGTACATTTCAACTTTATTGTTTACAAGTCGGAGTCCAAATTATTCAGGTTGCTGGTCTTTGAACTTCTCCCTAAGACCAACCACATCAAATCCACACAGCTCAGCCTTTGCGACAACAGCCCTGGCTTTCCCCTCGACAGGGGCATCGATCATTTTGCCGTCGAGGGCCCAGGCACCCTTTCCCTGCTGTTCGGCTCGTTTCTGCGCAATGGTGACTCTGACCGCCCACTCGACCTCTTTTGGACTCGGACTAAAAATCTTCTGGACGGTATCGACCTGACTTGGATGAATACACTGTTTGCCATTGAACCCCATTCTTTTGCCTTGTTCGGACTCATTGACCAAAATCTCATGGTCGCCCTCGGACTTGAATGCCGTCGTGACCAGATCGAGCGTGTTGGGCAGATTGTGGGCGCGGGCCGCCGTCGCGATCAGTTGGCGTGCATGCAGGAATTCCGTCAAGTCGGGTGTACGCGTGATGCTCATGTCGAGCGCAAAGTCTTCGGCGGCAAAGACCAGGCCTTGTAGATGTTGTGGTGCGGCTCGACAGATTTCTTGTAGATTCGTCAGTGATCGTGCCGACTCGATCAGTGCCAGAATGCCTATTGACTGCGGTGGTGTGTCTGTATTGGCGGACTCGGAGGACCTCGTCGTGCTATGTGCCAAAACATCCCGAATAAATGTCAAATCGCTCGCACTTTCGACTTTGGGTACCACCAGCGTCGTGAGATTCTTGGATTTAACAAGCTCTTGCAGGTCCGCCAGGGCCAAGCCGGATCCTACGCTGTTGATCCGTACGGCGCGCTCTTTCACGCCGCTGGGTGTTGGTTCATCTAGAGCCCGGCGGACCAGGGATCGCGCCTCGGCTTTTCGTTGAGGCGTCACGCTGTCCTCGAGATCGTAGGCCACGCAGTCGACTTTGAGAGAGCGCGATTTGTCTAGGAATCGTTGGGATGATCCGGGGACTATACCAGGGAGTTAGATCCGGGGTCGAGAGCTTGCTCAAAGGAACGACCTGGTCGCCGTAGGAACGACTGCAAGCTCAGAGTTCACTTACCGTAGAGAAGTGCCCTTCGCAGAACATTCTTCGCACTGGCAGCCATCATGCAGCAGCGGACAGCAACAGCACAGCTCGAACTCCTTCAACTAGACCCGATCACGCTCAAACCCAATGATCGAATGGTGTCACTAACCAATGTTCTGCCGGGTATAAACAGGAGGCAGACTTATGCAAGGCTCATCTCATGTCTAGTCGACCAACTGAGAAATGAATATCTGGTATGGATCGCGTTTCACATTGCCCGTACTAGTACCTAGGTACCTTTGTTAATGCCATGGCCTCATCGCGACAATTGAACAGGTGCCAATGCCAAAGTCAGAGTCGGCATAAAATGCGGGGAGAATAGGACCGAACATCGGATCCCGAGATGCAGTGCGGAGACTCGGAGCAGATCCAGATTATGTCAGCGCAATTGGCGTCACTGTGGCGTCTCGAAATCTCCATGCTACGGTCCCTCAGGGGAGCAGATACAGCAGTCGTACTACGTAGCACCGCAGGATTCAAACCGCACTGCTGCCACAACACCAACTTGAAACCGCATCGCAGTTCGAATTTCAGCAGATCAACCATAGCAAAATCCACTACTGCACCAAGGACGAACTATCAACCCTCGGACGCCGCGGACCTTTCCTTCGAAAGTCAAGAGCATTCAGGTCTTACTCGCCCGTGTTCATACTAGTTTCCCAAGAAACAGATTCTATTCCATCGACCACCTACACTACCTCTCCCCATCAACCCGAACGAAGAACAGTCATCGTCGCCGTTGTCGCCGGCGCAAACTTAACCATGCCCCAAGCACAACCCGAGCTCCGCAAAGTAAGCTCTCCCCGTCTCTCCCTTCTTTAACATTCGCTGATTTTGGTCTACTAGTATATGGAAAAACGCCTCTTTGTTCAACTCAACGGCAATCGAAAGGTCATTGGCGTTTTGCGCGGTTATGATGTATGTATCTATACCCGATAACCACGGTGACTACTGTTGGAACCCTAATTGCGCCGACACTACACTACTCCTTTGCCTTGATTCGATGCCCAGATCACATCACATTGGCTGGGGCCAATAAGACAAAAAAAGAGAAAGAGCTAACAATGTCTCCAAAAACAGGTCTTTCTAAACATTGTCCTTGACGACGCGGTCGAAGAAAAAGCCGGTGGGGAACGAGAGCGGTTGGGCATGGTTGCCATTCGGGGGAATTCGGTCGTGATGCTCGAGGCTTTGGAGCGCGTGGGCGATGATCGGCGGTGAACTCCCAAAAGGAATTCAGTATGAAATCGACAGCCGAAACCGAAACCGAAAGCGTACGCGAAAAAGGAAAAGAGCAGGGGCCGCCGAAGGAGTTTGAAAAAGGGAAACAGAGAAACAAGAGAAAAGGTGGCGTTACGGGTGATTTTACTACCAGTAGCAGTGATACCCCGGCGGTTCAAATTGCGATGTTGCGGATGGAACGGGCAAAAGACCACAGACTACGTGCAAGGACTCGAATAAAAAGTGCTGAATTGGATCTGGTGTTATTGTTACGATGTGTCTTATGGCTGGGTATTGGGTATCAAAACAGCTAAGCTATGGAGGAGCAAGGATGGATCTGCAATAGCCTGGCGCGCCATTAGCTGCTCGGCCGTTGGACCAAGTTCATTACCTATGTGCCGCGATACGGCTCGCTCGCTCGCATTTATGCCAATGCATGGAAAAAGGAGAACGCCGTCCAATCCGGTCGACAAGACATTATCAATCACTTTGACGTGGCCGGCCTGAACTTCAGCACGACCCGGCCTGGTCCTCCTGCGGATGGTGTTGGCGGTTGTGATTGCGGTTGGGTCTGTTGTGTCGGCGGTGGCATTGGCAGCGGAGGAGTCGGGGTCGGGTTCGAAGAGTGGCTGGAGCCGCCCATCTTGAAAGTCAATTTGAGACCACCGCCACCTCCTCCACTGGGTCGCGCCGAAGGGATTGATGTCGACGTGGCTGGTCGAGGCGGCGGCACTATAGCCAAGGGAGGCTGCCATTTCGGTACGAGTTTCGTGCGGACTTTGCCCGACCGGGTGAACCTGAGTTGGCCCTGATACAGTAAAGTTAATAACTGAGACCAAGGACAATCCCAAGCTGTGAAAACTAAAAATAAATCCACCTGAATAGGTAGGCACAAAATTGGCTGCAATCAGTTTCACTCACCTTTCCAAGATTCTCAACCTGCCAGTAGTGCGGTAGTCGTAATGTGATCCTGCATTGGTCGACAGGCTCGAAGAGCAGTCGGCAAAAGTCCAGTAGAGTCTGAAGATCGTCCAAAGTGATCTGGTCGTAGCAAATGGCATCCCACATGGCAGCCTTGAACTCTTCGTGACCGCCCAGCTCTTTTTTCAAGGCGGCCATTGCGCCCTCGATCGTCTGCAGTCTGGCCAGCTCGTGTTGTCGCGCACTGGCATCAGCCTCTGCAGCGGTGTCCTCAATAACCAACCCATCGGCGGCCGGCTGGGTCGTTGTGGCCGCGTTCTTGTCGCCGATGGCTCGCTTGGCCAATACTTTGCCAAACGCCCGCTGCAGACTTTGGCGCAACCAGGGCGAAGGATCCGCCACCATGCAGTACAGCACATACCTTAGGACTGACGGCGTATCGAAGACGACCGGGGTGATGAGCGTGCTGTACGCCGTGTCGCGCAACATCTCGTAGTTTCCTGGTCGAGTATACTGCAGGAAATGCAGCGGAGAAAATTGCGCGATGCCGGCAGCGGCAAGCATGGCCTGACAATCGAGCGCGGTGCGCGAATACAGGTTCTGGTACGAACTGGTCCACTCGTCCATGCGGCGGTATCTGTCGATTTCGTCCAGGACCTGATTCTCGAGCTGGCGCATGTTATGCATTTCGTCTTCGAGATCCAGGTCCATGGCCATACTGTCGGTAATGAAACCCATGTCGTTGTCTAACCCATTTCCGTTAGTCGTCGACTGTTGTTGTTGTTGCTGTGGTGGCGGTTGAGGTCGTGCAATGACGGCTTGGGCAAGAGCTTTCATCAACCGCGCCACGTAAAAGGCGTCTGAATACTCATTGACTGAGTTGTCGTTGAACCTCAACTTGTCCAGCAAGAACTCCTTGACTTCTTTGGGCGTGTGGCCTCGACTGTCGCGGACTCTGCCGATAGCCCCGACGATTTCGCATTGCATCATATATGACAGTTGGTCGGAAAAGTCGTTGGGCCGGGTCATGGCCGAGCCTTGCTCATCCCGGACGCAGTAAAGTTCCTCGAAAGCTTTCTTAAGATGGAATAGGCCGATGTTCTTAGCATCGCCTTCATCTTTGGCGTGCTTGACCAGACAGTGTGCTGCCATTGCACGTACCCCATGGAAATACCGTCGATCCATCAATGTGCGCACGAAGATAGACGACACCAAGGGTGAAGGTGGATAGACAGCAATGTGTCGGAGGGCTTCTAGCTGCGCAACAACATCTCTGTCCTGCTGCAGCTGCGACGTGAACATGTAGCCGGGCATCTGCAGATTGATTCGACAGATCCATTCAAAATCAGCATCCAGCCGAATCCACTCGTAGGATTCGGCATTCATTTTCTCTTCGTCCTCGCCACTCCATTCGGTGATCTTCCAGTTCGCGATTTCTTCCTCGCTCTGCAGCACATCTCCCAGACAGTAGACCAAAGAATCGTTCTCCTCGTCTCCGCCTTCAGCGGCTGCCTTGGCGGTAGCTCGAGCCCGTTGTTTCCTGCTCCTCTTAAGACGCTTGTATTTGGTATTGTACGGGATATCGAACGTCGTGCTGGCATCTTTAATCTCCACAATGTGCTCGTATGGTGTGCCGTCTGCCTCGTGGATGCGAATGGTCATCGGTCCAGTAAACACCGGTTGAGCTGGAGCCGCATACACGCTTTGGAAGTCTTCACGGGCATCTCTCATGAAAGAGTCAATCTCGAGCTCTCGCTCGGTCGTAGTGGTTCCTTGGACCTGCTTAATAAGCATTTCCACGACCAACTTCTTCTTGTTGAATCTCTGGAATGCCTGGAACCGGGGACAACCGGCTCCCTTGACCCATTGGTTTAAGAAGTCGTCGATTTTCATGTGGCCCATACGCTCCGCCAGCTTCTGGAATAACTCGGTCGACAATGCGTTGTTGACCAGGTCACCCGTGCGGGCCCGGGTCAAGATCTTCGCGAGGATGCCTGGCATCTTGGACGCACCTTGAGTTTTGGCAATTCGGCGATCCAAGATGAAGAGTACAACCGGAGCCTTGATTGCCATGAATTCGTACTCGGCTGGGTCGACGTGCAGTAACGCGCCCATGTCATAGATCGAAGGACGGTCGTGGTCCAGCTCGAACACCCGGTCGGCCTGCTGCTTCATGTGGTAGCGATACTCGTTGTTACCACAAAGCTCCCGCATGAAGAGGTTGGCGATGAAGTAAGAGCCTCCTATGATGACCCAGGTATCCCGAGGACGCTCGGCAACGATGTTAATGCCAATCCACTGCGCAACTATTGCGTGGACCAATTTTCGAGTCACTTCTTGAGCTGGGTCGATGACTTCTTCTGGGTAAAGCAGCTTGGTACTGCACATCGAAAGGCCTGCAAAGATCGAAATGTCCGGTGTCGCGTCCTCAACAAAGACCATCGAGTATGTCTTGAAGGGACAAGATATGTATTTGTGAACCACAAAGTCCATGGCTTTTGGCGTGGGAAGACATGTATTTCTTGTCTCTTCTGCTCGTCCTGGGAGACAATAGGCCAACATCTCGACAGCGTTTCGGCCAAGCTCCTCGGCTTCCTGAGGATCCCGCAGTTCTCCTAGATTGACTTGCTCGAACGGACCAATGGCAAAGCCGATCTGCGCAGGGGCCAATTGCTGGGAGCAAGAGAATGACACGGTCTTTCGGGTCGAGTCTACCTTGTCGACAATTTCATCGGTCAACTCCCCCGAGCATATGACGACCATTTCTTTCCCCTCGTAACTCGGGCCTGAGGTACTTTTCGAGGAAGGCTCCAGACTTAGCTGGGATAGATCGACCGACATGATCTGATTGAGGGCATCGCCGACCGTCCTGGCGCATTTGATGGAGATATCCCAAGTGCAACGACTGGTGATGACATCGACACAAGGAAAGAGGGACGACGCACCGCCCGGTCCCATCCTCGACCGTGTGTATGCATGCGGCCAACGTCCACTCCCGCGCTTGCCGGAGACGAATTGCAGATTTTCCCGAACATGGCAGGACTCGAATTCTATAGTGACTGTCAAAGGAGTGAATCTGGCGACAGTGGTATCTGTGAGAGCTTGCGTAGCCTCCGCAGCCGACGGCCCTCCAGTGCTGTGGGGATCTTGAATTTTGATAGACCCAGTAGCCTGAGTGTGTACCTCTGCAACATCTACAGGCACGATCCGCAGTCGTTTTGGCAGGGCGATGACGATGTCAGGCTCCGGTTCGGCGCCAACTGACCTGGCCAATTTCCTGGCCAACAGATGATGCTGGTGGACTGTACCCTGGGAGTGCAGAATGAACTGCTCGCAGACGTCTTCATAACTGACCGATGAGGGGGGGATATTGTTCACTAGCACCGACTTGATAGTGCAGACCCGTCCGTGGAGTCTGATTTCCTTGAGGTCTGGAGAATCGGGATAGATTGTGATTTCGGTCCTTCCCGTGACTTCTTGGTTGAAGTTGACGTCGAGCTCGACTTTCTGATGCGCGACCGTGAAGGAAGGCGGCGGAGGGGAGTTCAAGGGCAACTGCCCCTCCACGCCGTCCATCGTGATGAGAGGATGATAGTTGTTGATGCGATGTTGCCATCAACCATTGTTGCTCATCTCGAAAGACAGAGTGTTGCGTCCAAGTTCTCAATTCAGCATATCGTGACGGAGGCGCGCGCCCGATACGGCACCAGAACGACTTGCCGCTATTCGAGACCTGTTTTTAGAAGACTGAAGAGCGTGTTGATTGCGGGATATGAGTGGTTAAAACCGTAACAAGTCCAAGTCGACGAAAGGCGGATGGTTCAAGTACAAGTTCAAGTTGTCTTTGGATGCCGCGTTTGAATGGAGTCAAGTTGAAGTGAAGTTGAAGCCAGAATAAGCTGCCTAAGGCGGCAACATGTCCCCTTAAAGCAGCACCCGATTTTCCTCGTTGGCGCCGGCGCTCAACAACTTCAACATGTCGAACTTCCAGTTGAACGACACTCGAAACGCGATCTTCTGCTCGAATTCACCTTCATTTCAACTGTCGAGTCACTAGACTGACTGTCGATTTTTACGGCATCCGCAATGGCCATCATCCCGTGAAAGGCGCTTTGTCCAACCACCATACAATAGTACCCAGTCCAAACCGATGCAATATCTGTCAACCTCACAATTCCGGGGCAGCTGATGACCTAGTTGTTGCATCCCTCTGTCGCGTTTCGTTCATTTTCTCCTTGTGTTCAGCATACTGTGTCGCTCCGGTGCGTTCCACAGCCGTTCAAAATGGCAAGGGTAGTCGATTCCAGTAGGTTACAAAAGCCCCGGCACGATCCCGCACCATTATATTTTTATGTATCTATTCAGTAACTTATATGATGTGTATCAGTGGATCCCCTCTCGGACGAGGCAATGGGTCATCTCAAGAGCTACAAGTACCAGAGTGTGGATAAGTCGTTCATTTCCAACTATATCCTCAAGCACTATGTAAAGAGCCCCCTTTTTGCCCAATGCGCCGGGACTTACATGTTTTCCAGTGGAACGGCGCGGTCAAACTTTTGCCAAAATGGCTCGCCCCGAACATGGTCACATTGCTGGGCTTTTTCTGCATCCTGATCAATGTGCTGTTCTTGCAAATCTTCATGCCAGACTTGGTCGGACCGGGGCCTTCATGGCTGTACTATAGCTTCGCATTGGGACTGTGGATGTAAGTACTTAGCTCTGTCCTGTATAATCCAAAAACACGACGAGGCTCTCGGCTAACGGCTATGAAGGTATTCGACCATGGACAACATCGACGGCAAACAGGCCCGACGAACAGGCACATCAAGCGGCCTCGGTGAACTATTCGACCACGGCATCGACTCATTGAACTGCACGCTTGCATCTCTCTGCGAGACGGCGGCAATGGGCCTGGGCCCCAGCAAGACCGGGGCATTTACAGCTCTCGTGCCCTGTCTGCCCATGTTCTTCTCGACCTGGGAGACGTACCACACGCACACTTTGTACCTAGGCGCATTCAACGGGCCAACCGAAGGACTAATAATCGCCTGTCTAGTCATGGTAATTTCAGGCTACTTGGGCCCCCAGATCTGGCAGTACCATGTGGCCGACTACCTAGGGTACCCGGAGATTTTCGGGGCCTTGACGTTCCGCGATCTCTGGGTGCCGATTATCCTGTTTGCTTTTGTGACGGCACACTTGCCGTCGTGCATCTGGAACGTCGCCCAGGCGCGCCGCAAAAACAATTTGCCGCTATGGCCTGTGTTTCTGGAATGGACACCCATGCTTGTGTTTACGGCCTCATGTGCCGCCTGGATCGGCTCACCATATTCGGTCCTGTTGCGCGAGAACCATCTCGTCATCTTCTGTCTAACCTTGTCGTTTGTGTTTGGCCGTCTGACGACCAAAATCATCCTGCATCACCTTACTCGTCGGCCGTTTCCTTACTTTACTGTCCAGCTGGTGCCTCTGGCCATTGGGGCTATCATGGCTTGGTTGCCCTTGTTTGGCTTCGACCCGCTCCCTCCTACGTTGGAGAGATGGTACATCTATGGATATTTTGTCTTTGCTATGACGCATTACTTTGTCTGGGCTGTCCGGGTCATCAATCGCATCTGTGAGGTGTTGGACATTAATTGTCTGACTATCAAGAAGAAAAAGGTGGACCGCAAGGAAGCTGCTGGGTTTGTGAAAGAACAGAAGTCGACGGCAAACTCAAATGGACATCTTGACGTGCGCAAGACCAAGAAGGAGCTTTAGACAGGTCTCCAACTGGCCTGACGGTTGCTTCCAACATGATAACAGGCCCCGATACCCCCAGACCGAGACCGAGACCGAGACCGAAACCGAAACCGTCAGCCACCGACGACTGCATCAGAACCACTGGCTGATCCAGCCACGCAACATAAAATGAGCCCTGAGTTATGCATTACACGAAAAGCAAAAGAATTCATTATTGGATACACAACACCACCACCACCCTTGGAACAAGAACCATTGCTAACCCAATATGTTTTGTGACAAATTGGCAAGGGCACTACAACAAGAGCATAAAGATAGAACAGCATAGACTACAATACACTACGATACATACCTAACCCTTCCATACCTACCTGTATCTTTCCAGAAGGGTCGTACCACGAGCAAAAATTGCAAGGGTGAAACTACCTAGTAGTAACGCACTGTTTCGGGCGGGATGCTACCTTGAATTGTGTAGGTAACGACAGGCTTTGAGCGTAGCCTGCATAAGCCTTCGTATCTTACCTACTACATGAAGGACCTGATCTTATAGCACGTAGCGTAGTCAATGATATGGCCAGAGGGGCAAGAGAAGAAGATTCAAGAACACAAGCTATGTTATGTTGTGTAATCGGTTTTCAAAATGACAAAATGAGAGTGTCATCACTATTATTACTAGTGATATTGTAAAAACAATCATCTGCGCCTCCATCTCCGTCTCATCTTCCAGGAACTGTGTTGAATTCAGTTCAGCCCTTCTCCGTTTTCGTAAGGACTATGTTGAAAGTAGTCCTGCCAACTAGTTGGTGTTGAAACCAGTTTTAATTTGTTTTGCTGCTTGTGGTGTTGTGACCACTGCAGCATAGGTTCCAAGTTTGCCGGTGTTGAGACCAGCCTCAGCTTGAGACAATGACAATGCAGGAGACGAGCCATAACCCTAACGTTTGAGTTCAACGGCAAGGAAACCGCCGCGGCGGCAATCGAGCGTCCCAAGTCTCAACCTCTCTTGTCATGGAGAAGTCAAGCATCAGTAGTCGTTGCCACGACTAAGAACTTCCTTTTGCGACTCGCGCAACAAGATCGTCTATTGAGACTAGTCAGTTTTTGCTCTGTTGATCCAGGCCATAGTCTGCTGTACACTACGTACATGTTCGAATTGGGCAGAATAAGATCCAGGAATGTCCATCAACGGTGCGTACGCCTCGAGTATGCCATTCGAAACAAGGTGATCGAGCTAACTTGATATCAGTATATTGTTCAGACCTCTCACACACACGAAAGCCAAAAAGGGAGAAAGAAGGGGCAAAAACTTACCCCAGCCAGATACCGCTGGCATCCCAGACGGTCAAGGTAACGCCGGCAGAAAACAATGGTGCCAAAAATGTCCTTGATCGTTTTGTACAGACGGTTCGCCGAGCTGAGAGGAAATGTCGCACGCGCCGGAGCATCGTCGCTCAAACCGTATCCGTAGATGCCAGGCTGTTTGTTCACGGATTGTCAACAACAACACAATACATCTGGAAACAGAATGCCAAACTTACACCATCCCTAGTATAGCCACGTCCAGTACTTCCAAACGTTTCAATGGCAAAGATCTCGCCTTCTTCCATTTTGGTTTGACTCGAGTTCTTGATGAATGGAATGGTTTTCTGGCCATGGATGTGATAATGTTTAATATCGTGGCCGCAAATGTTACGCACCGGCTTGACCGGATACATTTTGCCACGGATTTCGACTTCGTAACTTTCCATGGCTTCTTGGATTGCTGCACTTACGTCGCTGATGCGGACGTCAATTCCGGCATTCTGCGATGAACTATCAGTCATTGATCACTGTCCTGACAAAGTATCTTTCTTACCCTGATACCAGTATTGGTAGCATCTTTGACCGCGGCCAGAAGATTGTCGTACATGGGATCGAAAGCCATGGTGAACGCACTATCGACGATCCAACCATTGATATGGACGCCGAAATCCACTTTCATCACGTCCTCGTGTTGAAGCACGACTTCCTTCTGGCCTGGGTTGGGCGTATAATGGGCCACACAGTTATTCAGAGAAAGTCCCGTGGGAAAGCCCATGCCCGCTTGGAGGCTCTGTCCGGGCTCTAGGCCAGCATTGCCCAGGAGCGCTCGAACACTGTCCTCGATTCCAACCGCGATCTCTGTAAGTGTTTGACCTGGTCTGACCGATTTCTGAACCCAATGTCGGGTTTGACGATGTATTTCAGCCGCTTTGCGATAGTTGTTCAGGAATGTACTGTCTTCCAGCAGAGAAAGTCGTCCATTGTACCGCACTTCAGCGGGTTTGGCCCGGGCGGTGGTGTCGGCCGCAGGGCCGCCGTAGTTGTAGTCCAAAAGCTCGCCGACTGGGTAGACATTGGAAGGGAAGAGATCGTCCAGTGGGATCCTCGGGGGCTCCGACTGCTTCAGCGCAGCAGATGTCTTGTTCTTCTTCTTCTTGGACTTTTTGCGCTTCTTTTTCTTGCTGTGATCAGCAGAATTGCTTGGGTCTGTCAAGGAAACGGCGGCTGTGCCAGTGCCATTCATTAAGGTGGCCTGAGACTCGTCGCCGTTGTTGTCGTTGTCGTCATCGTCGTCGTCGTCGTCGGTGGCGCCTTTACTGCCCATGCATCCATCTCCATCTCGTGAGATGTGGTTGCCTCGTGCCTCTCCACCAGCGGCACACGACCCGTTCCCGGATGGAATGTCTACTCGAGTCAGTACCGGAACATCCAGCGCATGAATGGAGACGTACCATGTTGCTGGCCGTCATCATTATGTGGAGTCTTGGAACCCATGCTTGCATGACAGAAGTCTGATCTGTTGACGTTGCCGAGTGTTCTTCGTCAGGCTGTATTGCGTGCAGAAGGGCACAATGGGCGAGGAGGGGATTCGCAGTAATTACAGGTAGTATGGTGAGTAGAAAACAGCGGGGTGGACATCCAGCGGTTGCATTGCCAGTTGAGCAGAATCTGTTTCTGCTTTGGGAGATACAGCCGCCCCGCGGACGTTTCCAATCCAAGATCAAATACACATGTCTGACAAAAGTCTTTTGCCGGCGTACTCTCAGCAAAATTCGCATCCTACTATAAGTGTCTTGTAGTCCCGTGTCAGACAGTGGAGATCAAGAAGCATGAGGTACGAAAAGCACAAGCATCACGGGCAGTTCTCTTCCGGACAATTAAACGGATACGAATATAGTCGTATATCGGGTTATAGTGTTTGAATATAAGTACTTTCAACAATGCTATTCCAGTCCGATCAACGCTACTCCTTCCTGCCACCATGACTTTATTCACTACAACTTCGGCTTCGGACCACCGAGCAGTTCAGCGCCAGCGGCAGCAATGCACAGCTTACCAGTCTCCTTGACCTTTGTCTGGAAGATGATCTTGTTTCCTTCCTTCCACATTTCGGTGATCAAGGTCTGGCCCGGCAGGACGGTGCCGGCAAAGCGGACCTTGATGTTCTTGAACAAACCGTACGTCTGCACAATGTGCTTGCCACTGAAGCCGAAGAAGCAGAGACCGTGGAGGATGGGCTCCTTGAATCCGCCCACCTTGCTGAACTCCGGGTCGATGTGGAGGGGATTCCGGTCACCGTTCAAGCGGTACAGGGCGGCCTGGTCGGGCGAGGTGGCCTCCTCGACGACGGCATCGGGGGCACGCTTGGGAGGTGAGTAGACCGTGGTGGCGTTGCCGCGGTTGCTGCCCTTCTTCGGGCCTCCAAACCCACCGGATCCGCGGATGAAGACGGTCGACTCATTGTAGAACAGGTCATCGCCGGTGTTGGCGTCCTTGGTGGTGACACCGGTGACGACGATTCCAGCGTTGCCCTTATCAATGACTTCGACGAGCTTGGGGTACGAGACGGTCTTTGCTTTGGTCGGGATGGGGAATTTTCGAATCTCCAGATACTGTTCGCCGTGCAGCAACATCATGGGCGAGAAGTTGGGCACAATCTCGTCCATGCTGAAGGGCAACTCGGCACTGAAGTAGGGGATGACACCGAACGTCGGCAGGACCTGGAAGTGGTCGTCGTTCTCGTACACCAGCGGCAGCTGAGTCCGGTGGGCGTTCAAGGACAAGTTGTACAGGATGACGTCCCGGTCGTCGTAGCTGAAGGGGGTGCCCTTGGATTGGGCCTTCTTGGCCTTCTCGATGGCGGCCAGGTAATCTTTTCCATCGCCCGAGGAGCCGCCGGACGATTTGTTGCTCTTGTTCTCCATGTTGGCCATGATGGCCTTAAGGCCGTCCTGCGGAGTCTCCGGGTGATCGGCGCGGCCGTCGTTGAAGTCAACAATCTTAGCCCATCTCTCCACCACGTGTTCTGGAGCCAAAGGTACGTCGATGGGGAAGCCAACACCTCCGGATCGCTGCCATCTGGTCCGGGCTTGCCAGCCGCTGCCAACCTCGAAGAGCAGGCCAGTTGGCGGGTCGGGCATCTTGTCCGAGCAGAGGAGGAGCACGAGCGGAGCGACGTAGTCGGGCTTGAAGGCCTGTACCAACTCTTCCGGTAGGATTGTCCGGGTGAGGGCGGTGCCTGCATTCGGCGCGATCGTGTTGACGAAGATGTTGTTCTTGCGCCCTTCGAGCGCCAGAGCTCGGGAGAAGCCAAGAATACCGAGTTTCTATTGCTTATTAGTACATGTTTCCTAGTATATCCTGTGGAATGCACTCACAGCTGCGGCGTAGTTGGCCTGGCCAAAGTTGCCATAAATGCCACTGGTGCTGGTCGTGTTGACGATTCGGCCGTATTTCTGCTTCAACATGTAGGGATAGGCAGCCTTGGTCACCTTATAGGTGCCTCGGAGGTGGACCGCCATGATGATATCCCATTGCTCGTCGGTCATGTTGGCAAAAGCCTTGTCCCTCAGGATGCCGGCATTGTTGATGAGGATATCGACTCGGCCGTAGGTGTCGATGGCCGTCTTGACCACCGCATCGCCGTCTTCGACGGACGCCTTGTTGCCCACGGCCTTTCCGCCGAGCTTTTGGATTTCTTGTACGACGGTGTCCGGATTCACGAGATCGTTGACCACGACCGAGGCCCCGAGCTTGGCAAATGCCAGGCAGTAGGCGCGTCCGAGACTGGCATTGTTAGCAGTGGACACAATAGTCGTTCTGATAGAAGCTCACCCAGCACCACCTCCAGTCACCAAAACCACTTTACCATCGAATCTGATCTCCTCGCCAGGATCATTGCTCGGCATCTGGAGTGAGTTTTCCAGTTTGGCCACCATGTCGGCGGGACCCGTGGGGTATTCGGGCTCGGAGAAGTCGTTAACCTGATCCCACTTCTTCAAGATGGCGCCGGGCGTGTAAGTCTCGTCGGCTTTGAGCAGAAGCCCCTTGGCACGCTCCCATCGCAACTTCGCGATGTGGCCGCCACCGACCTCGAAGATGGAGCCGCTTTCGTGGGTGTTGGTGGGATGGACCAGAACGGCCACCAAGGGCACGACCCATTCGGGCTTCAGGTTATTGAGGACATCGGGAGGCATGACGGTGGCGGTCATCCGGCTGGCGGCGATGGGAGCGATGACATTTGCAATGATGTTGTATTTGGCGCCCTCTTTGGCCAGGGTCTCGGTGAAGCCGACCTGGGCCAGTTTGGCCGCTGAGTAATTGCATTGACCGAAGCTCCCAAATAAGCCTGCCGCCGAGGCCGTGTTGATGACCCTGCCGTACTTTTGTTTCCTGAAATGAGGCCACGCCGCTCGGGTACACTTGTATGCGCCCTTGACATGCACGGCATTGACCAAATCCCAATCGGAATCCTTCATGTTCTTAAAACTGATGTCTCGTAGAATACCGGCGTTGTTGATGAGGACGTCGACGCGGCCGAAGTTGTCAATGGCGGTCTGGATGATCCGGTCGCCATTCTCGACGCTGTCGTAGTTGGCGACGGCCTTGCCGCCGGCAGCCTTGATCTGATCCACCACTACATCGGCGGCCTGTTGCAAAAGTTAGAAAGTTGTCCAACGGGTTGTGCAGTTGCGGCTTTCGCGGCATGTGACGAAAAGATGCGTACTTTTGTGCCTGCACCCTCGCCCTTGAACGAGCCGCCCAAATCATTCACCACGACATTGGCACCTCTGGATGCGAAGAACACGGCGTATGCCTTTCCCAGACCACCACCGGCGCCGGTGACCACGACGGTCTGGTTGTCGAAGCGGAGTTCCTGTACCATCTTCACTCGTGGCTCATACGGGTGTCAACAACGCAGATGCGAGGGGGTTACGACAGTCGGAAGCGAATCGGGTAAGCCAGGGGGAAGGATGGTTATATGATGGCACTGAAGAAGCAACGCTGAGGAATGAGAAGAGAGATGGTTAAAGATCGGACATGCGACCTGGGTGGATTGATGGATTGATGTTTTTGGACGTCACCGTCAGCTTTCTGCTTCTATCCTATGCTTTTGGAACGGCACTTGACACTCTGCGGAGGATGTTGAGTGGCCGAGGCGTGGAAGTCACCGGGGAACCTCGGCACATGGTCATGTGATGGTCTCAAACATTCGCAGCCTTGAGCCTTCCAGCAGTAGAAGAACACAAGCCCCAGTAAACAGCTCCCCGGTCAACTAAAGTATGTTCTGTTTTCTGTCAATTCCTCCACTTCCGCTTCGCTCGAACACGGAGGTGTTGCTTCTTTGGCTGATATGGCGATTAGCATAGCAGCTCACCACTGCGAAAATGACACTGACGGCTACATGCTTGCTGAGTCAGTATCGACAGTTGCACACGCGCCAAGGCTTCAACTGGCACAGTACCCAGGCTGCATCTCGACTGGAAAGACAACGATTCATCCTGATGAGGCATTGTACCATTTACAAACATATGTACTGTATCTGTCATGCGGAAATCGTGCTTTTGCATGTGAAAAGCCCCGGATATGTGTGGCCGGATATGACCCCCCCATATCACGCCGCACAGCCTGGATGATTAAATAAAAGCACGGCCGAATCAGCCCCATGTCCGGATAAGCCCCCATCATCACATGGGCTACAACCGTATAGCATGCGACCATTTCATTGATATTTTTATTGATTTCGGTTTTGTTCGGGAGATAAATTGTGCCTGCCCGCTCTGTCGCCCCATGGCACCTATGGAGCCTCCAGAAAGTAACGGCCAGCCTCAAAAGGAGAAAGCAAATACCAATGTCTGCCAAATTGCAGATTGCAACGCTTATCCGTCTTGCTGTCCGCGCAACAACACGGAACAACACTCAGCCTTGACCGAGTAACGGAACAACCAGCAGATACAGATGTGCCTATCAAGTATAGATTAAAGTACTAAGTTTACAGATCTACCCCAGTATACGCACCGATAGCTAGAAACAAAAGAATTGATACCTAGGCAAATAACAATATTGCCGATCGGGACGCTGTCCGCATCTTGTCCCTCCCATTTCGGCAAAGCTTCAACCGAACCTCCAAGGCTGAACCAGTAGCTACCAGGTACTTCGACCACATCGTACAGCACCACCACGGACATATGCACACAAGAAATTGTCGGCTATCATCCCATTAGTGACCTCGGTGTGATGAAATGATCATCTGGCCTTTGCACTCAAAATGCCCGAGAATCCAATCCAAGACGACAAGGCGCAGTACGTAGTGCCCTTTATTTTATCCTTAGTATCAGCACACCAAAAACAACATTCGTCCGACACGAACCCAGATGCGCCGCCATTCTTCATCGGGTTGAACGGAGTGCAAGGCGCCGGCAAGACGGTTCTGGTCGACATACTGGAATCAACACTGAGCTCACCCCCGCACAATTTGCCGACGGTGGTTTTCTCGCTCGACGACTTCTACCTTACGCACGCGGACCAGGTGGCCCTGGCCCAGAAACACCGTGACAACCCATTACTGCAGCACCGGGGCCAACCGTCCACACACGACATCCCGCTCGCGTTGTCGGTGTTTGCGAGTCTGAAACAGAACAAACCGACCAAGATCCCACGGTACAACAAGGCCGCCTTCTCCGGGCAGGGCGACCGGCTGCCAGAAAGCGAATGGGACGAGGTCAACGGGCCTTCAAGTCCAAAGGTCCGCGTGGTCCTCTTTGAAGGCTGGTGTGTGGGGTTCCGCCCGCTGTCGGACGAGGTCCTCGCCGCCAAACACGCCGCCGCCGTGGATGCTTTGCATCATTCCACCCCGTCTAACACGTACAAAGGCCGTTTGGGCCACAATTCTTTGGAAAGTGTGCGGACGATCAACGAGGCTTTGAAATCTTACGACGCCCTCACGACGCAGCTCGATGCTTTCATCCACATCGATGCTCTGGATCCGCTGTACGTGTATAAATGGCGGCTGGAGCAGGAGGCTGGTCTGCGTGCGACTCGCGGTTCCGGCATGACTGATGACCAGGTCAGGGAGTTTGTTGACGGGTATTATCCCGCCTACGAGCTGTACACCGACACCCTGCGCGAGGGTGTCTTTAAAGGCACCCGGGAGGACTGGAAGGGGAGGCAGCTCAGGTTGGTGGTCGGGGAGGACAGGAAGGTTAGAGAGGTGGTAAAGCTATGAATGATTGAACTGGTCAACCAATCGATCCTGCAATTCAAGCTGTTGTATGTTTTATGCATCCATGTACTGCCACCTCGTCTTACCTCTCAGGGCGACCTGTATATGAAAGAAAAGCTGTCTTATCTGCTCGCATGATCAACGCTCAGAAGATATCAGGGATGACTCTGTTGTTTCAGGCAGCTTTTCTTTTTCTCGTGGAGGCAAGGCAAAGCAGAACGGGAACACAAGAAATGTGGTCCCAATCCCAATTCCCACGGTATCGGAAGAACTAACACGACGGCGAGAAGGGTCATCAGTCTCTCATAAGATGTCCACGATGGCCTTGCTGCATTGCAATGTCTCTCTCTTGCCTTTCCCATAGGAGTGAATCCAGAAAGATGGAGTCACGATGCTATTCTACCACTAGTAACGGACACTTGGGTGGAGTTATTTTGCGCCGAATTTCATACGGTATGTAATCAGACCAGCTGCTCCGTGCCTGGAGGGCAAGACAATAATGGATCCGAGTCCGAGTCCACAGGCCTCTCCACCACTCTGCACTTCTTGTAACCGATTAGATCTCGCCTACAGTTAGTCCAGTCATCGGTCCTACGTTGATGAAAGACACATGGCATGGCTTCATGATTTATCCAAGCAAATAGTGGACTCTCGCTTGTCGTCGCGACAGTTCAAGTTCCGCGCCGGACGCGCTGAAACCCTGTGACCTGCTTTACCTGGAAACTTCCTTTTGGCCGGCTTGGAATTCCGTGGACTGGGTAGGAGAGTTCCTGCGCCATCTAAACAGTACTGCATCTTGACAGATCGTCAAATAAATCACAAGAAAGAGCATTCGAGTAGCATCTAAGGTACTTAGATCCTATCCATGTACAGTAGTACTCTGTACTGGTCACCGTAGGAGTAGCAGGACGTGCTGTAATCGGTGTGCGTGCGTATCGACTATGTATCATAAACCTGCCAGTGATAACACGGCTCCATCCAGGACTACCGGGTTAGTAGTCTGTAGGCACTAGTAGTCAGAAATGCCAGTGTTGCGAATCAGAGATTTCTGACTCGGCCAACAGAACAGACAGAATTATTACCACAGTCAGGACCATCGCCGTCGCCGTCGCCACAATCACCACCACCACCACCACCACTATAGCAGGTACAGTCGATGTCGTGCTCCGCCATCTCCGATACCGTGCTCTCGTTCAATCGGTACTCGGCAGACCAATCGATTGGACCAGACGTAGAGGAATTGGTTCGTACCTACTTTACCTCAGTATACAGTGCGTAGTACATACCACAGTGCCGTCTGGCCAGTGCATGGCAACGTCCCATTGGGCCTTTCTTTTATTCTTGTCGCAGTACTTTCCAGGCATCCCAATTGGGCGATCTTCACACGATCCAAGACGATCCCACAATTGATTAGTAGCACAATGTGCTTTCCATCTGACAAGGACTTGTGTGTTGTGTCTCAGGCTTGCCGTACAACTGTACCTTAGCACTGCACGCTGCACTCCGCGGAGGTACTGTACTTTACCCTGACTCGTCTCCTTTGGCCAAACCCGCGCTCTCGGGCCGGACTAGGCGAGCCCTAAACTTCTAGTCGGAGCTTCCGCGCCGTGTCATAGGGTGTTACTATTGACCATTGACAAACCTGTCGATTAGATTGTGCCTGTACGGTACTAGCACCGGTAGTCAGTAGCCCGTCCACATACCTTCCTTTATTACTGTTCTACTCCATCGAGGGGTGGATTGGAGTCGTCCCGAAATTCCCCATTTGAGAGCTTTCCGACCGGAACATGGTACAGGACAATGTACATGGGGCTAGGAGGTGGGCAGTGGAAGTGGGATGAAAGAAAGCAGACACTTTTTGGTATTGATTCAATGTTGCAGAGATGTAGCGCAGCATACTGCGTGATGTGTGTGAGGTGAGATCTCAAGCGGTCGTCAAAGTGAAGCAGCGATGAGACTAGTCGTAGACGATGGTGGTGCTGGTAAACTTCCACGAGTCATTTTAGAGTTTGATATAGAGAAAATCACCTGCCCACCCACTGCACCGCAAGGCTTTACAGCGTAGCGACCGGTAAAAAATTCCCCATTCTTTTCTCCCAGTTTTTGCAAGACTGAAAACCCGGTCCTGTTGGTGTTGGTTGCGATGCCCGCGTGCGCTGCTGGCGACCCCTCCGAAAAGACCCTTCTTTGGATGGAGCACAATTCGCCCTCCTCGACGTGGCGTGAGGTTTTGTTTCGTCCCGTCCTCTTCGTTTCGCCTCCCCTTCTGGCGGCTCCTCTTTCGCTGCCACTGTTACCAAGATTACAGTATCGTTGTATCTCGGGTAAGGTACTTTTCGTAGTATCCAAAAGCACCTTCTGGTCAACCGTCGAAATCTCGTCTATCTCGCAAACCCGTTTGACCCTCCCAACCGGGGCCCTCGTTTGCATCGCGTTATGGGTCACAAGATACAGTTGTACACGCACAGGTTGCTGCGCCCCGTCTCGCTTAACATAGGATACTGCTGTGGAAGGCTCTCTACTATACTTTTCCTGTTCATGTGGCGCACCATGACAGACTTCTTGTTCCGCAGCTCTCAGGGCTCATATGTGCTGCTTGATACTGCAGTATCCTTGCATAGTTGCACGAATCCACCACCAAACAGTGTCAGCCCCACTGGCAGTATGCTGCATGGCCCAGTTTTGTGGGAGATGCTGAGAAACAAGGCCGGGCAGTAACACCGGTATAACGCAACAGCGAAGACGCGACTCCATTTGAGGAGGCCTGGGACGGCTGCAAAACTTCTGGCCATCACGGTCAAAGGGACACCACTGACCGCCCGAACAGCTGAAGTAAGGGATGCTGCAGTGCGTTCCTAGTGTAGCCAGAATCCGGTTGACTCCTCCTTCCATTCCTGTTTTCCAAACACAACCTGTTGGGGCCGACTAAACCTAACTTCCCTTACGATAGACCTGGCCAGCCGTTTCCCCTCTCCACACTTGCATGTTTGGTTTTCGCTTTCGCTAGAAACTAATTAGCGAGTTCCGGAGGGGAGGGGAGAACTGGAGCGAGCCAGTCGACTCGAACTCTGCCGTGGACAATCATGTAGATCGCCGTCGTGCTGGTCGATCTTGAAAACTTTCCCTGGCCCAATTACAGCACCTGCAGCTGTTGTGGACTAGATGGCGATGCTGGAACAGGGAATTGGCGGTCATCCACCGCGTACCTTTAGGACGGTGGTGCAAACGCTTGCATATCACCCTGCCAATGGTATACCGAGCTTGCTGTTAGTCTGTACACCAGTACGGGACGATTCCTCCCGGGAGTCACTACACTCATCAACTGAGCAATGCACGAACAGATACTGTACACCACAAGCATCCACATGAGATGAAACGGCCAGCCTTCTGGTCCACTGCTGTGCCCATTTCGAACGCTCGCTTAGAACAAGGCCAAAAGTCCCTCACGTGGCGGTATAATCAACGTCCAGCGGTGCATGGCCTCGAGTATAGAAAGCAAGCGATGGTTGCGGGGATAACCGAGTGCTGCCACTGTACATTGTATGCCTTGTTGATGGGTATTAGCCTAGCGCAACGCGCGTAGGTACTAGGCGCGGGCCTGGTCCGCTTGCATTTGGAACTGGAATTGTTTTTCTTGTATTTCAACTCGTGGACAACTAATTCCAGCCACTCACGATGGAAGGACGATCCGGGAACATGACTTCGCCGAGTAAATAGCCTGTGGACAAGACAACCGTCTCAATGGGCCCCTAGCACGAAAGCTGACGAGGGCTAGTCCCGGATGAAGGCTACGACTTTGCACGGACCGGACAGCAGGCATTCTGTTTGTGATCGGTGGGATCGGTGATAGCACCTGCGTGGTAGCCTACCGGCAATGGGAGTGGCATTAACCGAGTGTGTCTAGGTCCATTCCTGAGCCAGCCGCCTGGTTATCTCAACGGGACACGACAATCTTGGCAGCAAAGATGGCAGGAGATTCGAAGATGAGCAGACCATTTCAAACGCACTTCTTTTGCTTGTGCTTAACCATACAGGCTATCTGCGCGAAATAGAGGCGAATGAGACCATAAGATTCCGGTATCCCTCGTCAGCAAAAAGAGCGGAAGAAACATATGTTGTCTGCTGACGCCCGAGGTCGAACCTTACAAAACTCAGCCCCTCCGCCCTCCCCCGTTGTGTAATATTCCCCACAAAAACAGAATGCCGCCGTTCCAAAGATGATTGTTTCGTAACCCATGCGACGCGTCGTCAGAGCCCGATCATATTTTCTTGTTGTTGATCCCTTTGAGGTGGACATCACTATCAGGAAAACAGAAAGGTTAGCGCTTCAGGTCGGTAAATCGTATGCAGAGCTTGCCATGTTGGCAACTGGAATGATCAATATCGGGGCTGAAGGGCTTTCACTCCAAGATCGACCATCACATCTTGCCACAGCGGCAGGACGTTCGTTACCAACCAATCCAGGCAAGGGTAGCTGAAGAGAGCTGAAGAAGGCATTGGCAATGGTGGGAACAACAAGATGACTTACAAGACCAGCGTGGCATTTTTGGGAATCAGACCGGGAAAGCCACTAAATAATAGACAGAGTCAGCAGTCTCTTCTCAAGTCATTCGTGCTCATGCATATTGAGTGTCCATCCAGCGGGAGATGTCGTTAACACTAACCGTTCACCGTATGCCATATTCCTGGAAGATTGTTAGCATGTAGTCAGACCAGATTTGCGAACATATTGGGAATGCGCGTCATTCAAGTTGGGGGCATGAAGGATGGGGCCAAATTGAGTTCTCGGGACCTGACAAGAACCATGCTGGGGCATAAAACGGCCGAATGATTCGCGTGCACAAAATATGTGCATGATTGGAGACTCACCCTGGAATAATCAATCTGCTCTTCTCTCCCAGAGACATCTGCGGAACACCAGTGTCCCAGCCTGTACACGCGTAGTTTTTAGCGAATGCACTCCCCGGAGTGACGCGTCTCGGCAGCCTACCTGGGATGACCCTGCCAACACCGATCTGGGTTTTGAAATCTCCACGACCAACGGAAGAGTCAAATCTGGCAACAAGGTTAGAGCTGGATGACGAGGCAAGAATTTGGTTGAGAATAACATACTGCGTGCCCTTGAAGTCGGGCTTCGAAGCATCATAGAGCCAGCCAGTATACTCTATCGTGACCTCGTCGCCGACTTGGGGATAGTCGACATTGTTGCCCTCGCTGAGGAGCCTTTTCTCGAATTGGGAAGCCATTGTTGTGACTGTGTTTTGATTGAAGGGCGTTTAAGAGGGAGGAAGTGGAGACCTTAAGTAGATGAGATGCGTCCAAGTAGCTTGTGAGAAGTCAAGTGACGAAGGACAAAGGAATTTGGACACAACGAGAATATTGTAGAAGTATTCACCAACAGGCTGGTACTTGGAGCCGGAGGTATGAATGAGGTTTTAAATCCACCAGGCTCTCTTGGCGCAACAGGCCCTGCTCCTTGATGTGGCCCAGTTGCTTCTGCGACAGACAAGGCGAAAGGGAAGTGACGGTCTACAGCCGGACAGGACAAGTGGATGTTGCGTTCTAGCGCGAAGCCTCAGGCGGTCCAAGAGGAGGGCGATCGATCAAAGGCAGGAGACTGGAGAGGCTCGTTCGCAAACAAGATATGACAGCTGCAAGCCGCAGATTTCCAGACAGGGAAGCGCTGGCCTGCACTAGAGGAGAACGGGCCCGGATCGGAGCCAGGGAGGGCCTGCAAGCCACACAAAGATTCTGAGCGACGGATGACAGGGGGCTAAAAAAGCAACGACGGCTCAGGGCTGTGGTTGAAAGTACGGATCATGGGCCAGATGGCGGGTGGTGTGGTGGTGTCTGTGAGCAGAACTAAAGGTACCGCCGACGTGTAGCGCGTTACAAGAGTGACAGGTTGTGTTGGGGCGCTGCATGTCAGGCTCTGACAGCAGCAGACGAGGGATCACGGTTTCCGAAAGGCCATGCAGTGAGCTGCCAGTGCTCAAGCCCTGCAGGGATCAGGGGCCGGAGGCGAGTCCAAGGCACGGATTGGACAATTGGCCGTGGTATTTGTGAGATGGAGGGCGATCATCAATTGGAGACAGGCAGACACACACTTCACTACTGCGCAGGCTGAGATGCGAGATGCAGGCACGGCACAAGTAGCGACTACTAGTGTGCCTGCGCTCACAAATAATACACCTCACTGGCACTGCAGGGTGTGGTCATGATGCCTTCCTGATCCTCCAGCACAGCACAGGACTGCGCTGCATTGCAGATTCATCAGTAGCGCACTGGCCCTGGAGCACAAGGACCTCAGTAGTCGAGTTCAAGTTAGCGGTGAGGTGGCAGTGTGCGGAACTTGAATGCACAGGTAACCCGCCCAACCCTGCAAGGACTAGCGGTATGCTGCAAAGTTCATCATCACGTTACTCCATAATTTACGGGAATATGGAATTATGGAATTGAAATCCAGCTCAAAAAAGGGCCGTGGGGCACAGCGCACTAGCTGAAAGGGAACAGAAAGGCCACGAAAAGGGCAAAAGCGCCATAAAAGTTGCGGTATGCTTCGATGACAGGACCAGTTGGTGCGCCAGGAGTGGTGTAGCAGTGCCAGTGGTGGGGTGTCCAGCTACGACATTTCCCGTGACACACTCACACGGAAGAAGAGGCAGCAGTGAGGGGCACATCATGACTCGGCCAGGCGCAGGCGCGCGTACAATGGGCGACAGCTGGAAATTGTCAACATTTAGCGGGGCACTTGCAGGAAGAGTTAGAGTGCCCCTAGTTCACAGCGGTACTAGTGGCCTGCGGACTACTAAGTAGTACTACTACTAGCCGTGGCTGCAGCTAACTACCTGGGTAGCACCTTAGTACGTTGAAGTAGGAGTACACCACCTCAACTGCACCTTATCCGCCTGCGCAACTTGAACCTGAACCTGAAGCTGTTCCTCCATTTCATGTTTCTGCATTGGCACCGCCAGCCAGCCTCCCAGCCGACTGACCTCCAAGTACGTTGGATGATACCTGTTCACTTTGTTACAGGGATTGCAAGTTAGCTACCTCACAGCGTCCTTACCTGCATCTTTGGGTGCGGGCAGACTTCCCAACCGTGCGACTCGTAAAGCCCCTCTATGGCTCGGTAATGCGAGATATACTTCTCTCCTGCAAACTGTATTACGAGGATGGGCCAAGTACAGCGGTACCCGAGTACCATGGCATTGGAATTTCCCTCTGTGCTTCTCCTAGTACTCCTGTTGAACTTGAAGGACACAATGGGCTCGATGAAACAACAGTTGTCCTCCTGCCAGTGTGCTATCTGAGCGTGGGATTCCTTCTGCTCCCAGCTCCCAGCTCCCAGCTCCCACTCAGCTGCTTAGCAAGCCCGGCATGCTTCTGTTCACCCTAACCTCACCCTGGTATCCTTGTGCAAATGGACATGTTAGCTGTACAACTACTTCGTGGTGCAACATCCATCCTCAAATCCTGACAACCTGTGCAGACGCATTCGAGCTGGGTGGGTACGTGGCTATCTCCCTGAGGTAGTCTGACGTGATCATGCACAGCTGCGGGAGCCAGTCGCCAGGGCACTGGTTGACGTATCGCTAAAACTCAGGTGCTGCCAGCTGACCCCGAAACGCCGTTGCGTCCATCCTCTCTTAGACCCCACGCTATCTTCCGCACACCGCACACCCAAAGATTTCATCGGTTGCGTTTGGGATACGTCGGAAGCTTAACCCTTGGCTCTGTTCAACCTGTGGATGTGGACATTCTCCGCGCCCATCCCGGACGGCACAGACACCACAACTCGTACGCAGTCCACGCGCTGGGCATACTACCTAGTATTGACTGAGTTGAATACTCAGTACGTGCCTCAGCACTCTCGGCTCAGACCATCGCAATTTGGACCGCCGCTACGAACAGCCACCTGCGCCCTGCCGCACCGATCTTTACTGTGTACGTACTGATGGCAATCACTTAGGAGTCACCCACCGTTTATCCTTGTGGCTTTGCGCCGGAAATGGAAGGCATCCGCGATACTTACTGCACCAGCAAACTTGAACACGAGCCCGGCCCGTGCAAAGAGAGAGTCTGCAACGTATCATGCGCGGAACAGATTGCGCCGTTTCCTCCTGCTTGCCTTGTACCACTGGACACCTACAATCGTAAGAACGTCGAGCCATATTGACGCAATCTGACACATCCAAGCGACCGCCCGCCGTACGGTTGTTTCGCTTTTCCTACCCACAGCAACAAAATTAGCCCCTAACAAATCTCGGTATCTGCCTATTTCATTGTCGTTTTGACTCCAGACCAAGCCTTGACCAATTTCGGCCGGTGGCCCCTTGCTCGGGGATCATTCAGCATGTCTCGGTAATCTTCTGTCCGGGGACCCATCGGCAAGCGAGAAGGTCCACCATTACGTGCCCATCCAGGAGAGGATCCTACAATATTGGGATGGCTTGCATGGATGATCGAGGCATCTTCCAGGAGCGGCAACTCTCGTCAGATGTGTTCGTTGGCGAGATGGGTGAGCTGTCCTGTCGCGCTGCAGCTGTCTTGTGCGTTCAAACCTCAATCGCCCAGTATCTACAACCTGAACGTGCAGTTCCCCCTGCCAACCGCGGGATGTCGACGAGACTTTACGGATCTCTCGATGACGGCTTCGGATGAGACATCAACATCCGGCTCCCAGAACTTGGAGGCACCACCAGGTCAGGGATGCTTCCGCCGACCTAAAATTCTGTCGGTATCCAGTCAGAGAGCGACCCCGGCCACGGCTCCTCTTCTCTTCGGATCGACGTTCTGTACCACTTCAGTGGAGCTCCATTACTTGCAAAAGCTGCTCCACATGTTTGCCCGTGTTGAGCTCTTCTCCGCACACCATAATCGACCCATCACAACCTTGGGCCGTCTTGGAATTGCTCTTAACATGCACTCCTAAAATAACATGATCGCAGTGGTTGGTTTCTGTACAACGATCTCCGCCTGGCTTGCATTACCAACGCCAACATTCTACGCCGACTCTGCTCGAACCAACCTGAACATGACCAGCATACCGCGACGGCTGCAGGAAAGTGCCGTCACCCTCTGACCACATTATACACGGAAGCTTGGGCTTACTGTACACGCGCATAGTCGAGGGCTGTATTTTCAGGGAGATCTTCACCCTTTCTCTCACAACCCAGCCGAGCCTCGATGTATTAACCAGAATCGCGTCTAGCGCAGTCTCTCGCATGGACTCGTCTGTCCTGTAACCAATACCCTTGAGTCTGCAATGGAAGTGGGTGGGTCAATCTGCACGCCCATGCAACACCATGCCACTATTGCAGGATATTCATCCAGATGTGCTGGCTCAGCCGTGCCAGCCGCTCAACAAGTCGTGCGATCCAGATTCTGAGAGCCCACTGAGCGATGCCCTCGCACAACACGCCAGACGGCGAATCGTCTCGTAGACAATTGGTCAATGGTGCAGCGCTCATTCATCTTTCAGGCTGAGAATGCGGTGGGGGCCAGACGGGGTGAGTATGCCAAGTGGATACAATCCCGTCGTAGCTCGTAGATCGAGGTGATCGAGGCTGATCAAAGAAACGAGGTAAACACATCCCCCTTCGCATGGAGTGTTCGCAGTACGGGAGGGTGCGCCAACCAGAGCCTGGTGCTCAACCCGTGTGTCCATGATCGGCTCTGAAGAAATCAAGGTCACGTACTTGGCTAAGCTCTACCTGAGCCAGACCGAGCCCAGGAAATCGGTCAAACCGTTTTGTTCCTGTACCTTCAGCACACTGCAGGAAGGTCAAGGACGTGATGCCGACTTCCTCGAGGAAAGGCATGACCCGTCCGTAATTGGTACCCAGCTGGTCCATGCCATGGCTGTCGTCGGACAGACAAAACTGTATGCCTCTTTCTAGGGCAGCCTGACCGGTCAGTAACGAGCATAACCTTGACCGCCTCGAGAAGGGACCTACCTGGCATATTGCTTTCGTCGGATACGGCTCATCAAGACCTTTCCGCAAAGCGGCCGTGTTTACCTCCATGACTCCCTGATAAGATGCAATAAAGTCCAAGTTGCGGAGGATACGGGTCCAGATGCCTTGCATGCTGTCAAATCTTGCATTGGGATGATCACTCTTGAGACGAATCAGATCGAAATGACCCACCACCGGCGGCTTCACCGCCTGCAACATGGCCAGTTGGGCGTCAAAATAGTCGGCAAAGAGCTGCTCATCTGTCCCACCGGCGATATCACGCGCCTGTTCATACATTGGTCTATCATAATCAATGGGGACAGTGTGCACATGGTGGACAGATCCGACGAAGAATTCATATGGGTAGGTCTCGATGCTTTGGTTGATGAGCTCAAGTGACTCCGGTCGGATCCAGTCACACTCAAAACCGAGTGGGAGTGAAATCTGAGAATGATACTTTGCTCGTAGTCTGTTCGCTTCGGCAACATACGCCCGCTCATTGCTCAATTGCCAGTCAAAAGTCACGCCGGCCTCAATTTCCTCCGGATACCTGTCCCGGTCATGACGAGGCATGTGCTCTGTCAAGGCAAACACTTGCATCTTTTTCGAGATAGCAGTCAAGATGACATCTTCAAGAGAGTCCCTTGCATGGCCGGGACAGAATTGTCCCGAATGACTGTGGTGGGAAAATGGCATGGTGTCAGGCAAGTGGAGGAATCGACTTGTGGTCTTGCAAATTGTGGATTGACAAGCAGCCACTCGGCCTCTGCATTACTCCTTCAGTGACGCTTCGACCCGGGTTGTCTCTGCAGAAGCTCCCAATGTTCTGTGATGAGGGGAGAGGCGGTGTGACTGGGCAAGGCCTTCGTATGGTCTTTGGGCAAGCAAAACGAAGAAGGTTGCAAGCTACACAGCGCCGTATACGGGAATTATTCCGACGACGGGGCTGCTGCCGAAGTAATGCCGATCCACGGACGGACCAGAACTTGAAAGCCTTTCGTCCCGCATGGACCAACCCTTGCTTCATCGCCGGCTACGATCCGATCTTCGAAGAACATACAACATCTTACAACTTGAATGTAATGATGCCAATGCCAGGGCGGTGTGTCTCTGCGGGGCGGGCAGTACAGCCTGTCCTCCACGGCTCTGACGAGCTGAGACTACCTCCAGGCGTCTTTGCCATAACCCGCAACGTTTGCAGGAGCTTCTCCCACGTCTTTTCGTCCAGGCAAGGACGTCCGTCCTACGGGCACCTGCTATCTATCTACAATGTACATCTTCGCCTGGGAACCTGAAACCATAGACCCAATTCCCGCCAGAGATCCAAGGCGGGACCACTACTTTCACCACAACGCCGGCTTGGGACCACTTTGGAAGCCATACAACGTTATACATATCATGGCGAACTTGCAACGACCCAAAGATATCCCCTTCGCCGGCTCTCATTGGGGTCGACCTAGATCCGACAGCAGGCGAGTCCGCGTACACCAGCCTGATAATGGTAGAATTACGTATATCTGGCTTGAAACAAGCTGGAGGGTCTCGTAATACTGTTGATGGTCCGTCCAATGGATGCTGCCTGTTCCCAGATTCATCGGGTTGGGATGGCCCCTTGCATTGGACCCGGTTCATGGGGCGCCGTTAATAATCGCCACGATTTCCCTTGCCCCCTTTGTCAGGTATTGGACTCTCATCTCAATATCCTTACTGCAAGGGACTGTCAAACTGCCAGCTGCGATGCTACTAATTAGGCTATCTGGCAGGGAATAGACCGCAAGAAACGGAGTCGAAGGGTTGACACGTTCTCGAAATGGGAGGCGGACAGATATATGTACGACATGGCATCCGACAACGATGTCCACCTTTTCTGGTTAGTCAGTCGCGTCAATGTCAGACTGCCACTCAGGACCGGGAATCTTTTCTGTCTCCAAGATCGAAACCAGATCCAATCAGATCATAACAGCCGAACAGATCAAACAAAGGGGAAGATTTTTGCCACCACACGGACTTTGTAACTTTAACACATGCAGGGGAAACAGGCGCGGGGACGGAAAAGCTAGGAGGCCTGGATTTCGGGGTCTATGCTATCTACTAGGTAGTCTTCCGTGGCTGTACGGGGCGGACTACAAAACAGAATAGCCGGCTCTGGAACCGTCAACGACAAGCAATCGGGCCGGCCAAATTAAGGTTTTTCGGATCACAGCCAAAAATTACCCAAGCACGGCTATCTGATTACGGGTCCTAACCCATTATTATGTCAACCACTAATGGCCATCTGAAACGGCATCTAGGACGAAATTGACATCCGGATACTTTGCAGCTGCCATGTGTTAGGCTTGATATTTTGTTGAAGGCTAAGGCACACGTGTGTCACTTTGTCCAGTTCCATTGCTCTTGGGCTGGATCAAATTGGGTCTTGCCCAGCACCATCCAATCGGTACGATACCGAGATTGCCTGGGCAGCAGTTGATCGGGCCACATAGATCCTCAGCAATGGAACCCAGTCCATGACATGACGCCCATTGATGGCGAACCCACACTGGGCATACGTACGTAAAGGGGACGATGACATGTTGTTTGGTTGCCTTTGTGTCAGGAGGCCAGAGGTCCGGAGCACTTGTCCATCATCTGTCATGCTCGAGTAAGGTTGTGGCCAAACCTGGCGGAAGCCCTCGAATGGCTAGAAAGGGAGTTGACTTTGGACAAAGTATGTTAGCGAGGCTTGGGCTCCGTGCGAATTTTCCCCCTTCTCTTTCAGACACATATGACGCCGGTTGCCGATACAACCCGATTGCGTAGGCCTCGGTTAGCCAGCAGAAGCCGTGGGAAGAACTGACTTCTGACATGCAAAACTCAGAGGTAGGAAGCAAAGTGCAGTCACATCCGTTCGTACTAGGCAAAGTGTGTTATTGCAACTTTAGCCGAAATTGTCCTGTCTCTTACCGCCACTGCTGCCTCTACGCAAGGTATTCCGGATTGGAGTCACAAGGACGAAGTTCTGGATTTCGCCATCGTTGACAGCAGCGTTCGCGTCAGATGAGATCAATCAGATGCCATGCCCGTCCGTGCCATGGGAAAGGCTTTCGAGGCTGTCAGACTGGTTCTGGGCACTGTCCGCCTCTTTGATTGAACGGCGACTGCTAACACCCCTGGAGGACCACACAATATCTTACGGAACAGACTTCCGGAACGCGATCGTATGGGTTTTGAGATCTGGGCCGTTTGCAGGCCTGAACTGCCAGTGTCCCACTCAGATGTTCTGGAACGATGTCGGGAGGAATTCCCATCGTCGCTCCTAGAGTTCTGGACATTGACATTTTGGCATGTCTCCTAGCCTCCTTCACGGGGCCTGTCTGTCATCAGTGAAGCATGTTCCAGATGTCCTTCCCAGTAATGTTAAAGAGCACGGGGCTCGATTGTGGCGATCGACCAAGTCGATGACAACACAGGGAAAGCATCGCATCCGCCAAAAACGAGTTTGCGGAATTCGCGATGTTTTGCAGGGTTGTAAGTGCTCGTATTTGTTGTTCTGTGTGCAATTGGAACTGTGCCCGTGCTGTGTAGATGTGAGGCCACCAATAAAATCTGCGTCGAGGGTTACTCGAGAACAGGAGGCGGAGAATAATAAAAACAAATGGGGCCAGGCCAGGCCAAAAACACAAAAAGACGAGGAACATGGGACTCGAACCCACAACCTTGGCTTTACACTGAAGAACACAGAATAGGAGAGCCACGCGCTACCATTGCGCCAATCCCCCACGTCACGAATTCGAGCTCGGATTCGACAACATTTCAGATGCATTTTTCGGCACTAGCTGCTAATGAATCGCAAATTTTTCTCACGTGACTTTCTGTGAATCTGCACTGCATGGTCATATTGACCACTGCAGTTTGGCATTAAGGTACCCTTGAAATATCTCCACCGTTACCATCGAGTCTGACCGAGAGCTGCTCTTATGTGCACGGCTTGAACCCATATTTGATGCCGTTAACATCAACCGTGGTTAGCCATGACTTCCGGGCCTGACAGCGTAAAAGAGTCGGCCATCGCTAGGCTCTGAGCAACCCCCGAGAGGTGATTGCATCGTTCCGATCCTGTCAGGTACATTGCCAACTCTTCTATGACTTCCACAATTGTTGACGGCCACCAAGGAAACAAGTCGTGCGAATGTGCCATGAGGACAAGACTTCTGCCCTTATAGAAATGGGTATATGGTAACGTGGCTGATCAACTCTGATTTGTCTCCAAAGTCTATCAACGAAGTATATATCTGTTCTCCTTGGGTTCATAGCAGGGGACTTGTCATGTTAATGGGAATGAGCAGGCTGTAAACTGCACAAGATCTGTTTCGGCCTTGCAGTGAAGAATGGCAAATGCCCCTCGCTTCGGGGAGAGACGCTATTCAGAGACCAGACGCATACAGGGCCGAGGGGAGTGCCCATTGGACTAATGTGCTGCTGTGAGCAACGATTGCAGCCTCTGCCCGACAACGCCCTGGCGACCATCTTTTCCGGGCAACGACACCATACCGCTTGAAGCTCCGAACAGGGGGAATGTTGGACCAGAAAACCCAACTGAAAAGCACGTGGTATGAAAGAAAAATAGGAGCGCCCAGAGCGGCACATAACCCGCCCCTCAGTCAGCCTCGGGGTCGACAAATCTGACATGCGGCATCATGGGCATCATGGCGATGGCCTTGCTGATGAAATCCTGGCGGTTGAGGTATGCGCCACGCAGCCAGCGACGGCCGGAGTTTGGATCAAAGGCATTGCGAGCATGGACGACGCGCAAGTTGTCGAAGATGACGCAGGTGCCGGAGTCCATTTTCTCCTCGACGACGTTCTGGGGCCTCTCCATGATCTCGGCGAAGGCCTTGCTGCTGGCCACAAAATGGGCGAGTTCATGGTGAGCAGGCTGCGGGGAAATGTTGCCGACAAAGGGCGGGGACCAGAAGACATGGCCGACGTCCTTCATGGCGCGGACATGACGAGCATCAATGGAGACCCGGTGAGGGACACGCAGCTCCTGACGCTTCAAGATGGTGGGTTTGGCGTCGGAATAGAAAAACCCGTCGTTGTCATACTCGTAGCGCACCGGGTATGTCATGAGCGTGCGCACCATGGCCCGGTCTTCGTCGAACAGCGTGTCGACGGCGCGGAACGTGTCGGCAAACCGTGACTCGCCGCCCATGCTGCTGTTGTGCACGCAATGTAGGAACTGGAACCCTGGTGGATCGCGCATGTACAGCAAGTCCATGTGGAAGCCCAGGTATTTGGCCGTGTACGCCACGTTCTTTGGGTCCGGCTTCGACCGCACGTCCCACGTCGGCCCGTAGAAGGTCTGTTGCAAAGGTCCGATCCGGTTGACGATGGCGCCCACACTTGCCTCCTCTTCCGGCACCCCGTCGATAAACACCAGTCCGTCCCGCCACAGCAAATGCAACGTCTGCGCCAACGTCGCCGGGTCCGTCATGTAGTCATTGAAGTCGATCCGGCTCGTATCCCGTCGGAAGGACGAGGCGTCCCATAGCTTCTGTGGCCGGTGGTACAATGCCCATCGTCGAGCATTGCGGAACTCGCTTTTCAGACTGCCGATCTGCTCGCGTGTGAAGATGGTCGTGTCTCCACGCGAATGTGGTGCGCAGTCGTTCAGCCACCGCACAATCGTCTCGTCGCGCCCTTCGATATGTGTGATATCCCGGAACGATATGTCGTGCGGGATATCCGCATACGAAAAGTTGCGTTGTCGGTCAGAGGCGTCAATGCACTTCGGGCATTTGCATGCATCGCGGGCGAGAATCGGCGACACCAGTGGCTGCCCATTCTCCACAAGTTTGCCTTCCTCCAGTTGTGCATTCGCCAACCATTTCAGGGGATGTCGTGTCCGGAATTTGGGATAGGCATCGGTCGCCCCAGACGTGCCGGTTGGGCTTGCAGGAGCATTGCCGGCTGTAGTGTTAGTTGCGCCTGGTGTGGGCTGCTGGCTATCGCTGCCGCTGGGGGTTGACCCTGCTTCAGCCGCTGCTGGCTCGTCTTCGAAGCCGGATTCCAGAATATCCCTTAAGCGGAGTCTCCGTTGGGTAACCCCTGATCCTGTGCCTAAGGAGGAAGAGGTCACAGCCCTCTTTTGTATCTGCGCGTGAACATGTGTTGATGGGACGGCGGCAGCAGGTCGCTGCAACTTGATTCTTTTCAGAACGGTCGTCATGATTGCATCTGGCCCTTGCACCCAGCCCGAGACAAAATGAATTTACCTTTGAAATTTGCAAATAGACTGATGCGACAGTCCGGTCAAGCGGGACAAAACACGGGGTTATTTTGGCGCAAAGATCGGCTGAGGTGAACGGGCTATGGCTTGTTTGTCGCTTCAACAAAAAGATAGCCTGCGGAACTGCCCCGGTTTGAGAGATGTCGGAAACTTATATGCACATGTTCGGCTTCTATTTCGACGGACGAGCGGTAACAAAAGCAACAAGGCTCCAAGCTTCAGTGGGCACGAAAACGCCAATGGCCATTTCCGAGGTTCGTAAGGCTGAACTTGAACATTCACTTGATTCGAAGGCCAGCCATGCTGACTCAGGTCAGAGGACTTGCACGTGAGTGCGTTCGTCCCACGTGACTGTAAGGCTGCGGCACCTGGCCAGGCTTCCAACCACGACGTCATGAGTGTGTGTTATGCTCACTTCTCAGCACATGTGAAATGAAGCTAAATTAGAGGGCTAGGGATTTATTATCCATGTGTGCCGTTTGCTATCTATTACTTATACAATATAGTTCCTCTGTGCGTACCCAGTAGTGGTTGTTGGTGGCTGGTAGCTAGTTGTGTCGCATCGATTGTAGGCGTCATTCTAGCAATAAGAACTGCTAGTGGTAGATAATGCAACAATCATAATGTGTCAAATAACAGAAGACAGAAGCTTTTTCTGTGCATATACCTCGCAGTCAAACATTATCCCCCAAGCAGTGCCAGTGGGATCCTCAACATCTTTTGGTGGTGCATGCCTGCAGCTCCTCGAGATCGTTTTAGAGTGAATGGGAATTGAGAAACTAGGTACAACCTTACCATAGCTACTATCTAGCCTAGTACCAGGTTCCAACCTGGAGTGGCCTTCTAATTGCCAAATACCAGAGCTCTAGCACGTTGTAAGGTGCCCAACCGGTGCACTAGGGGCGACGCACTAACTGTTACTAGTAGTCCTTACCTGTCTACCTTACCCTTACCTGCGGTACTAGTACTGCCAGCGGCTTAACACTGCGTCCTCCTTGTATCTTGCATCACTGCACTGCACTGCATCCTCCCACGACCACAATCCCACCACCACCACTCCATTCATCCCTGCTGACCTTACCTGACCTTCGATATTCTTCATCCTCCTCCTCCTTGTCGTCTCGCGTACTCCTTACACTGTCACGGGTTCAACTTCTGGCCTTCTGTCATCCGCTTCTATCAGCGTCGCCATCATTGTCTCGTCGCCCTTAACCTGCAATCTCCGCTGACAAAGGCTCAGTCTGCACCTGTTCCTGTCCACCCACCCAAAAACACGTCCGATCACCAACGTCGCCGATCTACCACTTCCAACCACCAACGCGAGCGCAGTCGCTCTATGCTACCGGCGCGGTAAATCACTGTAGTGATCTTGCCTTTCTTTCTGGTCGGTCCATTCCGGACAAGGAGGGTTCCCTGCGCACAGGGCTAGGGCATGAAAGATGGTGGAAGGCGAACACGGAACTCCCACATGGAAGTTCACCCAATGCTTTGGCGATAAAGGGGATGTGGAAGACATCACAGAGGCGGACATCATCTCGACGGTCGAATTTGATCACACCGGCAACTATCTTGCAACAGGAGACAAAGGTGGTCGTGTTGTCTTGTTCGAACGGAATGAAAGTGTCAGTGTTTTCCTTCTACCGATCTCGCGATGCCTTGTGGCCGATCTAACTCTTTGCAACAGAAGAAGACTTGCGAATACAAATTCCACACCGAGTTCCAGTCTCACGAACCCGAATTCGATTACCTCAAATCTTTGGAAATAGAGGAAAAGATCAACAAGATCAAATGGTGCAAACGTCAAAATGCCTCCCACTACCTCCTGTCCACAAACGACAAGACGATCAAGCTATGGAAGGTTTTCGAAAAGTCCCTCAAGGTCGTCGCAGAGAACAACCTCTCCAATGAATTGACTCCAGCAGGTGTTCCCGGCGGAGGCGCCGCCCGTCCTCCTCGCATCCACTTCAAGGACGCCTCACAGCTCAAACTCCCCCGAATGACTCATCACGACACTGTTGTAGCTGCGGTTCCTCGACGAACGTACGCAAATGCGCACGCCTATCACATCAACAGCATCTCCGTCAACAGCGACCAAGAAACCTTCATCAGCAGTGACGACCTCCGGATCAACCTGTGGAACCTCAATATCCAAGATCAAAGCTTCAACATCGTTGACATCAAACCGGCGAACATGGAGGAGCTTACTGAAGTCATCACGGCCGCCGAGTTCCATCCGATCAGTTGCAACTGGTTCATGTATGCCAGCTCCAAAGGCACCATCAAGTTGGCTGATATGCGTGAGAGTGCTCTCTGCGACCAGCATGCTAAACGTACGTTGACTCGTCCGACCCTTGACCTACTGCTTCAGCGCTAACTGTACAATGTCTAGAGTTCGAACAAGAAGAAGACCCCTCCACTCGATCATTTTTCTCCGAAATCATCTCCTCCATTTCCGACGTCCGCTTCTCCCATGATGGCAGGTACATTCTTTCGAGAGATTATTTGACGGTCAAGATCTGGGACGTGAACATGGAAAGACAACCCGTCAAGACGATACCAATCCACGAGCACTTGCGCCCGCGTCTGTGCGATACGTACGAAAACGACAGCATCTTTGACAAGTTTGAGGTGGTGTTCAGTGGAGATGGCAAGAATGTCATGACCGGAAGCTACAACAACAATTTCATGATCTATCCCTCCGACCCCGAGCAAGAGACAGAAGTGGTACTCCAAGCCGACAAATCGGCCTTCAAGGCTAAGAAAGTTGGAGTGCCGACTCCTATCAACTCTACCAGCCCCAACGGAAACAAGAAGGGAAGCTCGAGAGCAGGAAGTCCTGCGGCCGGGGCCGGAAGTCGCATGAGAAAGGAGACGGACGCCGACCAGATCGACTTCAACAAAAAGATCCTGCACATGAGCTGGCATCCATTTGAGGACAGCATTGCCATTGCAGCAACCAACAATGTGAGTGCACGCACGCTTTGTAAATCCTTTTCGCGCGTTTTACTGACATGTGCTTCTAGCTCTTTGTCTTTTCTGCACTATAGCACCGTTGCAGCACCAACCCTGTGCATGACCGTCTTCCATTCTCTCCCCAAGCCAGGTGATTCCACGCGGAATCAAACGATGTACAGCATACCAATACCGGCATGCCTTACGAATTTGGTCAGACATTGGGTTTTGTACTGCCACTATGCTATGCCTGATGGACGAGCAGGTCTAACTGTCGCGGATGGGTACCGAAGGCAACTTGCATGTTGAACTCTGACGACCCTGGGAGTCTTTGTGTCAGGGCGAGTTCGGGACCTTCTCCAAAATGAGCTGTGATATGGTGGGACAAGGGCCTGAAGGGATGATGATGAAACCATGACAAGGCTGGATTTGGGAGCGAATGTCCTGGCAGTGGATACTCGTCGCTCTTGTTAGATTGCCCATACTGTGTTTTCTTGGCTTTTTGCAATTCAGCTTCTGCACACTGCACTTCTCAGGCGTCGAAAGTGCAGGACAAAAGGAGCTGCACTGCAATTCAGGGCGGAGATTGGAACATGATGATGCTGCTACGGATCCAGGACCGCGCTGAAACCACCCCTGGCCAGAGAGTGGGGGAATGACCCGTACGGCTCGAGAACTTGAAGTGCAGGGTGAAATGAAGAACACATGGTGGCTGGCTTTGCTGTGTAAGTGGCATAAAATTCAATTCTGGACCATGAAGAAAGATCCCCCTCAGGGAACAGGTCCGGCCCATGCAGAAATGAAATAATTAGCTTAAGGAACGAAGTAGTTGAGAACATATGTGCTGCCCCAAAAACAGAATTGTGTTCGGTCTACGTTTAGATCCTTCCGTCAATGGATCGAACTGTAGTATATCGGTCGTTGCACGGTGCTTCCCGACGGTCATGTATCATCCATCTATGGATGATACACTCAAGTTCATCATAATATTCATTACTGTAAGTAGGCCTAGCCATCTGTCCTGGCAACGGAACGACCACCTAGGCTGTATTTCCGGGGGTATTACCGAAGGACTCCAAACCTCTTTCCATGGTCGCTGCCGTCGATTGCGATTGCAGTAAAGATTGACCATTGCCATTATGGCCGCTGCCGCTGCCAGCATTGATGTTGATGTTGGGCGTGGTGTTGCCGTTGCCGTTACCATTACCTGCTGCTGAGGGCACAGCAGTAGTAGTCCCATTAGCAGCAGCAGTTTTCGCCTTTTCCAAATGTTCTTTTGTGACGCGTTCCAATTCCCGACCGGCCTCTTCCAGACTAGTCTGGATATGTTCCTGGCTGGCTTTGATCTCTGCCTTTTCGCGCAGAATATCAGCGCGACGTTTCTGGATGCGAGCCCGCTCAAACTCAAGACTTGAAACCATGTCGCGCAATCTGGCCAGGCCGACGCTGAGTTTCGGTAGGGGCGTGGTATGCCTTGGTTGTCTGGGCCGATTGATCTGGCGAGTGTGTTCGGCGTGGGCGGGCAGGCCATCCATGGCTCGATGGGTCTGAGCGGATTCATAGAGCTGATGTCGCTCGTACTCGGTGTCAGACTCGTCGTCACCGGAACCATCTCCTCCTGAACCGTCAGATAGAGAGTCGCCGCCCTCGGCCTCGTTGATCATGGAGCGAATGGCTTCGCGTCCCTTTAGGGCTTGTTCTCGTTGAGCTTTCCGCGACAACAGAGATACCCGGCCGGTGTCCTCGACGAATTCGTCAAAGCCCTCTGCGAAATCCTCGTCGTCCCGAACAAGCCGTGTGTCCTTTTCTGTCTGGTGAGGGATGTACGAGCCGACTTGCATGCGGCGCGGTTTGAATTCGCCGTCCGAGTCGTAGTCTTCAAGGGGGATGAAGTCATCTTCATTGTTGTTGTGCGCATTCGCCGCCTGTTCTTTTGCCAGACGAGCCCGCCGTTCTTTCTTTTCTCGGATCTCGGCGGCCGTTGGGATCCGCGACGATCCTGACGAAAGGGCGGATTTGCCGAATTTGCTTTCGAGGTCGAGTGCGAGCGAGCCATTGCCGTCACCACTCTCATGCGCAAGCAGTTCAAGCGAAGATGATGCCGGACTCCGATCCTGTGATAATGACGTTGTTAGATCGCGCGGTGTAGATGGTGTCGAATTTCGAAGTTCCTCGAGGTAGGATTTGGTGTATGTCGGCCGGTCGCCGTCTCTATCTCTATCATGGTCTTGGCCTTCTGTGGCGCCGCCGCCGCGGTTGAGGAGACTTTGCGCCGCACTTGATGGTCCTAGTCTTGATGTCCGAGACGGATGTGCCTGTTGTGACCGTGGTTGTGATGCTGCCTCTCGTTCTGTTTGTCCATCTCCTTCGTTTGCGGTTGTAGTTTCTTCGCCCGGGTTGAAGGATACTCGGAGTTTAGATTTCGTTTTCGGCGCGTTGGTGGTCGGCCGTCTCACTACCGGCCCGGAGTCTGTATATGCTCATTTCGTATCAGTACGCAGAAGACATGGAAAGGACATCACTAAATCCGACAAACAGTATATTGTCAGAGCATGCACCCCATCTTGCGCAAGGCCGGGAAAAGTGATGGAAATTGCAAGGATATGCTCGTCACATTGAACAGCCACAACAGTCATGGCGTAGACAAGTGGTGCAACTCAAGACGAATGCTAGTATGGAGCCGCAGGGAGTGATGAACCAGGAACGTACCTTCTTCTTCCACGTCGTCCACCTGTGTGTCTGGCGGCTCATCTCGTACGATTCGTTTGGGTTTCCGCCGCGCAGTGAACAGTGAAGCCATCTTGATAATTAGGGTCTGGCCGGTGACAAGGACCCGCTTTCCCTGGTTCGACAATGTGGTGCGATGGCAGAGGCGACAGGAATCTGATCGCTAAAAGACGACTTGTGCACCGAGATATTGTTCTTATTAGTCCATAGTATATGCGAGTCGACATGCAGGAGGATTCAAAGAAAACGCGGGGAGACAACTTGAATTGTTAGGCACTAAAATAATGTTGGCAGGTGCGCTAAAATTGTTGTATTTGCTCTCGCTCTATCCACTTGACAGTGTATAGAGTAGTCCTATATATACTATAGAAATCGGAGAGAACACCGTATCTCGTACGGTCTATAGATTATTCTAGAGAGTAGTAAACCTCGTCGTCGACGTCGTTATCGAGCGTTATTTAGGGTCGATAGCGAGGTTTAGGAAGTATAGCTAACGTAAGTATTCCTTAGTAGTAGGGTATCGGAGCTAACTATATATAATATACCCCCTTTAGGCTATATCCGTCGCTTTACCGTTAAGTATAGCCTATACGTCGACTAGGCGAAGATATATATAGACGAATCGCTTATAATTCTATATTATTAGTACTTTTATAAAGCCGTCTACTCTTATATTAGCGATTACGATCTATTCTATTCGTATTTTACTAGCTTATATCTCCTATCTTAACTAATACTTATATATATTAACGTATTTTAGCTTCGTAGATAGTTAAAAGTTATTCTTAGTTAGTAGATAAATAGTCTATATATTATTAGCTTTAATAGTAAGCGGTTAGTTAAGTTTTAGATATATCGAGTTAAAGAAGCGTCTCTATTAGAGTACTTTCTTAGCTATATAAGATAGAGCGAGTAGTTCTATCTCTATACTTAAAGTTATTACTATATTCTATCGAGAGGCTTTCTAGTTAATAGAGCCTCCGAATAGTATAAAGAGATAGCCGTCGAAACTCTTTCGGCTAGTATTATTAGTAAATACTATATCTAAGTATACCTTAAAGGTATTAGCGCTCTCGTATTTATTATTATTTTAAGAAGTTATTTTAGGAGGAGTAGAGTATTTAAGAGTAAGAGTATATATACGCTTTAAGTAGCCTAGTACTCTATTAGCGGCAGCTATATATTCTAGTAATAGATTACGTAAGTATTATAAGAGTATAGAGTAAGCCCTTACGATATCCGATCTTATCGTTATAGCTACGAAATTAATAGACCCTATACGCTATTAATATACGTATATCTCTTATAGAGTAGCCTAGCTATTATACGGTACGAGACTTTTAGTTAAAAGAGATATTAATAGTATCTTTCTACTATACGTATTAATGTTAAACTTAGCTAATAGTTTATCGATATATAAATCCTATACGAGCTATAACTTACGTAGCTTTCGATCTCGTACGATTCGTATATCGAGAAACTAGTTAACTTCTAGTATAATACGTAGAGTAAATCGCTCTTATAGACTCTATAGAATTATATTAACTCTCTCCTTAGACTTACGCTTATAGTATAGGATAATATCGTCTATATAGAATAGTCTATATAGAATAGAATAATAAGAAACTCGTTATTAAGAATATAATTAACTTCTAGTATTTAAGAAAGATCTAGTATCTTAAGAGTATTATTAAGAGTATTATATTATAATAAAGAGCTTTACTTAAGGTCTTAGACTTACACTTATAGTATAGAATAATATTATCTATATAGAATAGGATAATAAGAAACTCGTTATTAAGAATATAATTAACTTCTAGTACTTAAGAAAGATCTAGTATCTTAAGAGTATTATTAAGAGTATTATATTATAATAAAGAGCTTTACTTAAGGTCGTAGAGCGCCTTAAGTAGACGAAGTATTATATTTAGTACTTTAAAATCTTCTAAGAAACGTATATAGATTTTCTTATCGATTTTACTATTAAGAAATACATTAATAGTATTAAGTTAT